TTCCTTTTCCTGCTTTCTTCCTGTTTCTTCTTTGTTTCTTCTATGGTGCTTCGTGTGTTGTGGTGGTTGGTTGATTACACCATGATCATCAACTTTTGGTAGGCAAGCAAGTCTTTGATATTCCGCTAAATTTTTTTTTTCCCGGCCGTCCCTGCCTTCGCTTATGATTTGCACATTCATTGTGTGCGTCTACAGAAGGACTAGCTAGGGAAGATCAGCTTCGTGGTTCTTATTGTATGATAAGGTTCGATTTTTTCTCTGCTGTTGTCGTCAACCAATCTTGGAAAAAACCATCAACGTTGAGAAGACGATGAACCTGGGGGCAAGATGAACTTCCAAGCATGAACTACATAGTGTAGAGAATTCACGGCATCATGTTGGCAATGTGGAGAGAGTGTTCTTCGTGATACTGTAACGGACAGTAGTCCGTATGAAGTAGACAGAATCGACTTCATCGACTAAATGACAGCTACGAAGACTAAGTATAACTCGTGTATTCCTATGCTACTGCTGTATGTATTATTGGAACTGATGGTAACTACGACCATGGAGGACAGGCAGTCACAATGCATTATTCCTTGATGCGCTTTGGCACCCTAGCACTGGTACCGGTCCCACAGAAGAAGCACCAAGAAGCGCGATGGTTTTGAGACGGACAACACGAACACGATCCATTACTCTTGTATCCTAATTAAATTGTTCATACGCACTCTTGTTTCATCCCACAAAGTACCACTACGAAACTCCTCAAGCTACCAGTACGTGCTGTAGGATCTTGTTCCAGGTTGACCAAAGGAGAAGAACAAGATTTTTGGCCACACGATATGGAAGCAAGTGAAATTTCGCTGGATGGTGTACCCCTCAGTATATTCATCGTCAAAGTTACAAAACGTGCTTCTCTCGGAGAAGATAACTAACAATCCAGGGCGCGAGATACATCTGCAAATGACCAAAGACGATCCTCCTCCTATGAAGAGTCCTCCCACCTTTCAAATCAAGGTTGCCCTCATCGGCAATGTCTCGGCCGGTAAGACTACTGTTGTCAATGCACTCTTTCGCGACAAGTTTGGGGAAGTCTCCATGAAGCGAACCACTGCAGGCATTAATGAGTTTGCCATTTCCAGCCGCAACGAATGGGCATTGGTATCCGAGGCGCCTCGAGACTCTCATTCGGTCTTGAAGGAAATCACCCAAGACAACCTCGAGCTACGAACAAGTGAAGAAGTCAAGACCAAGCGCTTCGAAATCGAGTTGGACGAAGCGCTATGTGACATGCGAAAGGATACACAGCTTGTGGTTGTGGATATCCCCGGCATCAACGAAGCTGACATGAGCAAAAAGTACAAAAACTACGTTGAGAGTCACTGGAATACCTTTGATTGTGTAGTGGTGGTTATGGATGGTCGCCAAGGCGTCAACACGGAAGAGCAAGTCTCCTTGCTCCGCTTCGTAAAGAGCAACTTAGAATCCAAGAAGGACGTGCCCATTGTGATCTTGTGCAACAAGATTGATGATCAAGACGATGAAGAACAAGAGGAACTAGTCCTGGAGGCGCAGCGTGAAGTCGAAAAGATCTTTGGAGTACCAGATCGACAGAAAAGTCTTCAAGAGATCCTCAAAAAATGTGTCTCCTCCAAACAGTCTGCAGACAGTACCGAGAAACAAGAGCCAACAGATGATCATTCCAAACCTTCCGACCAGGTCTCGCCTGTATTCATTCCGATATCTGGAATTACGGCATTCATCTTCCAGACTTGCTCCAACATGCCTCTAGAACGATTCCATCAGTTTGATCAGAAGCTGATTGCCAAGCTTGGACGCGATCGTATTGGAAAGTCTCGATGGAAGAAATTGTCCAAAGATGAAAGGATCAAAGAGGCCCACGAGGCGGTTTCAGATCCGGAAGGATATCAAGAAGGCATGGCGGATAGCAACTTTGACAAGTTCTTGACGGTTCTATCGTTTCTTGTTGGCGGGAAGGGCAATCAACAGAAGATGATTCAAGAGCAAATTCGAGTATCACTTTCAACGATTTCATCTGGTCCTGGCATTGTAGAGAAGCTTGAAACTATTTACAAGACAGCAAAGGCTTTGCCGTTGGGTGACGCTGGTGTAAATCCGTACTTGGCAGAGATCAAGACAACCTTTTGGCGACTGTGCAAGGGAATGGAGCAGACCTGCTTTGTGAAGAATACAGCCTCGAAATATTTGGATTCGTTTCTTACTCTTACAGACGAGTTGAAAAAGTATCGAGACTTTGCGTCGAAAGTTGGTTGGGATATCGAGGCCGATGCATCGGTTGCCTTTCTCAGGCGTGTAGTTGGTCGCTTCTTGCAAAATATGGATAGTACTCCTGGTTTTGCTAAGGAACTGAAGGCCGTCCACTGCGCAATGAAAGACGTGTCCTCGGGGTCAGGAGATTCACTTACAGACGAAACCTTGAAGCAAACCTTTGAAAGACTTTTTCACAAGCTGTCAGAAGAAAAGTTCGCTGCGTTTGCTTCCGCCGATGCCGTCGGCAACCTCTCTGTCTTGGGGGATGAACTTGTCGTCTACAGCAAGCTTGCAACGGAGGCCGGCTGGACAAGCGAAAAATTGAAAGTCGCAGCAAAGTTCAAACAGTTGGTGCTCAGGCAGATTGGCTCCCTATGCGAACTAGCTTCCAATGGACCGTCGCAACAAGTTTTTGGGTACCCCGATTCCTCCAGACCGGCTTCTTTTGCTGCCTTTACGTGGCTTGATTGGACGCTTGTTCTGCGCTCGATCTTGTTGCTTCGATATGATCGTCACTTTTGTCTGGAATTTGGCCGCGAAATGGTTTTGATGGAATGTTTGCTTGAAAGTGAGCCAGCATGTAGTGCGGAAGAAATTGACGAGCAGTGCACTCGATGTAAGTCGAAGTTGACTTTCAACAGAATATGCACTCGATGCAGGACTCCTGTCTTTGCGAAGTTGGAATTCAGGCCAAGATGTTTCAAAAAAAACTGCCCTGGCACGACTCGTCTACAAGACAACAACGGGCTCTTGCATCGCTGTTCAAGACAACATTGTGGCTCATGCACTCAGTACAATACGTCCGTAAACCTCGAGCGCGAAAAGAAGCACATGTGCCCTAGCTGTGTAGGCCAGGTGTTGGACTACAATCGTCGTTGTGGAAATTGCCATGTCTTTTATCATCCTCACAGTGAACATGCGACCTTTTCTGTTTGTCCAATCGATAGGTGTGCACTTGATGCATCAACTGGAAATTGCGGCAACTGTGGATGTATCTGGAAACCATTTCCGAATTCTCAAGAAGGCATTGTGAAACTTCGATATGATGGCAATGGAGTCGTGCTATTTGGGAGCCAGCATGCTGTCAATGTTCCATCGTCGTTGTCCGATCCAAATCATTTTGGCCACTTGGCTTGGCAGTACTGTGAATTCAAGGCAACGGGGGGAGTTGAACGGGAGCCAGACAGCACCGGGGATAACGTTGGTAAGCCAACGGAACGATCTGGTGGGATTGCAGCATGCCCGGCCCCGTTCCAAGCGAGCGGTATGACATTGAAAAAATCGTCTACTTATACTTTTCATGTTGGTGGTGGTGGTGGTGGTTCCGGTACAACATTGCCAAAATCGCCATCGAATCCATTTGTCGTTGGTGGTGCTGCTGCTGGCACGCCATTGTCAAAATCGCCCACGAAGCCGTTTACATTTACTTTTGGTAGTGGTAGCACAACATCGCCAGAACAGCTTGCCTTTGGTGGTGGTGGTTCTGCTGCTGCTGCTGACAATGAAAGCGAGCCCAAGTGGTGCTGATTGCATATATCTTAGGTAGCAACTGTAAACCCATCTAGCGAAACGTCTTTCTGCAATCGATGGGGAGACACTCGATCCATAGACCAGATAAAGCTCGATGGTTTGTATCCATTTTCGCTTCAGATGCTAGACACAGATCAAATTCCTATGAGAAGCAATTTTTCTCTTCCGCAGGATGAACTGGCCAATATGGGATTGGAGTCCAATGGGGTAGAGTCGAAAAGAAGGATCCCTCTTACCATGCTTAGGGAGCTCCATGACGTATATCGAATCATAAGATCCATTTCGATATTGCCTTGATGTCGAATCTATAGCTCGATGCACGTCTCCAACCTTCCATATATTTTCGCCGTCCCTTTTGTTTACGTCTTGAACGTGTTTGCGTCTTGAACGAAAGAGTTGACGAAGGTTCTATCACAGTCTTCACGGCTAAAATCCTTTCGTCCTCGTTCTCTGCAAGATCACTCTCTGCGCATTCGCTATTTCTTCACATCCAAGTCTCTCTCTCGTCTCTCTCTCGAGCGCCTAAAAGTTCGGGTCTAGTAGCATTTCACGGAGTGAAGCACTGATGTCATGGTCAGGTTTCAAGCGCTGGAATTGGGCCGCGGCGCTTCACGACCGAGCTGCATCTATCTGTTTGAATTTGTGACGGAAAAAGCACCAATTCAAACAAGCTCCCCCATTTTATCGATTCATCGAGAAAAGAGATCGATTGAAAAAACTCTGCACAAGTCTAACTGGTTTCTTCTCAAGTGAGAAGGGCCAAGTATAATACCGTAATAATATGGTAACATGGGCCGCCATGCAACGATTTTCAAAAAATACCATGTACGCGAGTACATTTTTCTTCAGAACGGACAAATTCGAAAATGTCCGTTAGTTGAAAGACAACAGACAACTGTGTCAATAATTCCGCATGCAATATTGCGTTTCTTATTCCTTTGGTCATCTTCTTCACAATGATGCAGCAGCAGACGTCATGTATGTTGATGTGGGCTTCAATTCCTTTTACTGTACCATTTGAAGCAGAGAAAGTACACAATAATAGCTGCAAGTCGACCGCTGGAAACAAAACACGGCACCTTCATGTACATGGTGGTAGAAACGATTTCAACGATTAGAATTTGCAGGTGATGCCAGCAGGAAAAATTGACAATGAATATGGGCAAGCCCAGAGGGGCACGCGGGCTTCGAGCTGGTATGATACAATTTCTATAACAAGATTTCCTTCTCCTGTCGTCAGCCGGAATGTAACGGTAGGTTGCACGAAAACTTGAGCGGAAGCTACCGCAAGTACTGATGCAACACGGATACTGAAAATTTCATTACCCAATCAAGATGGCCTCCTGGGCGGCGGGGGGTCAGTCGACCTCATATTTCCGAATAGTTTTGTACTCCAAAAACAGTCCCAAAGAAGATCACAATCAATTCAGAGCCAAAGGTACATCTGCAAATGTCCAAAGAAGATCCTCCTCCTATGAAGAGTCCTCCCACCTTTCAAATTAAGGTTGCCCTCATCGGCAATGTCTCGGCCGGTAAGACTACTGTTGTTAATGCGCTCTTTCGCGACAAGTTTGGGGAAGTCTCCATGAAACGGACCACTGCAGGCATTAATGAGTTTGCCATTTCCAGCCGCAACGAATGGGCATTGGTATCCGATGCGCCTCGGGACTCTCATTCGGTCTTGAAGGAAATCACCCAAGACAATCTTGAGCTACGAACAAGTGAAGAAGTCAAGACCAAGCGCTTTGAAATCGAGTTGGACGAAGCGCTTTGTGACATGCGAAAGGATACACAGCTTGTGGTTGTGGATATCCCCGGCATCAACGAAGCTGACATGAGCAAAAAGTACAAAAACTACGTTGAGAGTCACTGGAATACCTTTGATTGTGTAGTGGTGGTTATGGATGGTCGCCAAGGCGTCAACACGGAAGAGCAAGTCTCCTTGCTCCGCTTCGTAAAGAGCAACTTGGAATCCAAGAAGGACGTGCCCATTGTGATCTTGTGCAACAAGATTGATGATCAAGACGATGAAGAACAAGAGGAACTAGTCCTGGAGGCGCAGCGTGAGGTGGAGAAGATCTTTGGAGTACCGGATCGTCAGAAAAGTCTTCAGGAGGTCCTTCAAGCAACCACCGCGTCTAAGGAGACAACAAACGGCACCAAGAAGCATAAGTGGAAGAAGAAGAATACAAAACCTTCCGACCAAGTCTCGCCTGTATTCATTCCGATATCTGGAGTCACGGCATTCATCTTCCAGACTTGCTCCAACATGCCTCTAGAACGATTCCGCGAGTTCGATCAGAAGCTGATTGCCAAACTTGGACGTGATCGCATTGGAAAGTTTCGATGGAAGAAGTTATCCAAGGAGGATAGGATCAAAGAGGCCCACGAGGCGGTTTCAGATCCGGAAGGATATCAGGCAGGTGTTGCAGATAGCAACTTTGACAAGTTCTTGATGGTTCTATCATCCCTGGTTGGTGGGAAGACTGCCCAAGAGAAGATGATCCAAAATCAAATCCAAGTATCGCTTTCAACGATTTCATCTGGTCCTGGTATTGTGGAAAAACTTGAAACTATTTACAGCACAGTGTTGGCTTTGTCGTTGGGCGATTCTGAAGCAAAAAATGCGCACTTGTCAGAGATCAAGTCAACCTTTTGGCGACTGTACAAAGGAATGGAGCAATCTTGCTTTGCGAAGGAGAAATCGTCGACAACTTTGAATTCGTTTGGTCCTCTTGCTGACGAGTTGAAAAAGTATAGAGACTTTGCAACGGCAGTTGGTTGGAATTCCGAGGCCGATTTGTCGGTTGTCTTTCTAAAAAATGCCGTTCGCCGCTTCTTGAAAAGTATGAAGAGTACTCCTGGTTTTGTCAAGGATCTGAAGGTCGTTTACTGTGCTATCAAAGAAATGTCCTTGGAGGCAGAAGATTCGCCTATAGTTGAAGCCCTAAAGGAAAGCTTTGATCGACTTTTTCACAAGCTGACAGAAGAAAAGTTCGCTGCGTTTGCTTCCGCCGATGCGGTCGGCAACCTCTCTGTCTTGGGGGATGAACTTGTCGTCTACAGCAAGCTTGCAACGGAGGCCGGCTGGACAAACGAGCACTTGAAAGTCGCCGCAAAGTTCAAACAGTTGGTACTCGCGCAGATTGGCTCCCTATGCGAGCTAGCTTCCAATGGACCGTCGCAACAAGTTTTCGGGTACCCCGATTCCTCCAGACCGACTTCTTTTGCTGCTTTGTCGTGGCTTGACTGGAAGCTTGTTCTACGCTCGATCTTGTTAGTTCGGTATTACGATCGTCAATTTTGCCTGGATTTTGGCCGTGAAATCATTTTGATGGAATGTTTGCTTGAAAGTGAACCAGAAGTTAGGGCCGAAAAGAATGACGAGCAGTGCACTCGATGCCAGTCGGTTTTGACTTTCAACAGAATATGTACTCGTTGCAGCAGGACTCAGCACAATACATCCGTAAATCTCGAGCGCGAAAAGAAGTACATGTGCCCTAGCTGTGTAGGCCAGGAGTTGGACTGCAATCGTCGGTGTGGGAATTGCCATGTCTTTTATCATCCTCACAGTGAACACGCGACTTTCTCTGTTTGTCCAATCGATGGCTATTCGCTTGATCTATATACTGGAAAATGCCACAGCTGTTGTAAAGTATGGAAACAATTTCCGAATTTGCCGGTTGTGAAAATACGACATGACGGAAATGGACTCGCGCTATCAGGGAGCCAGCATGTTGTTAATATCCCCTCGTTACTATCCGATCCAAATCATTTTGGCCACTTGGCATGGCGATACTGTGAATTAATGGCAACGGGAGTTGGACAGCACAGTGGACATCAATAGCACTTGTGAGCCACCGAGAAGCCGCTGGTGTCCGATTAATGCAGCAAGCCTGACTCATGATGCGGACTTTACATAAATAAATTCTAGGTAATAAAACTACATCAAACGAAACATGTTTCTGCAATTGACAAGGAGCCATCCTTTTTATCTACTAGTTCCACGGTAATACTTCGTATCGTATTCTACTTCCAATGCTACAAGCAGATTGATCCGATATGAGAAAGAAGCTTTTCTTTTCCACGGGATGTTCTGACCAAAACGGAATTTGACTCCATAGTGGTAGCTTCGACAAGAAGGATCCAAGCATGTGCTTGGGGCTCTCCATTGCAGATATTGAATGAGAAGAACATTTTAGTGGCGTCGATTCTATAGTTTGATTCGTTTCTCCAGTCTGCCACCTTTTTTTCACACTCCCATTTGTTTGCGTTTGGAGCGAAAGAGTTGACGAATGGTCAACTCGCACTTTTCAAAGCTACTCTCTTCCCACCCACGGCTGTCCTTTCTCTGCTCAAGGAATCGGGTCCCATTTGCTTTCAAACGAGTGGCCACGCTGATCGAAACATTACGTCGCTGGTTCCGAGGGGTTCGATCATACTCATCTTGATAGGAATCGACTATTTCGCGAAATCGAATGTTGCCTGGATGATTCTGAATGCTTCGGCCCCGTCCAAGCAGCACATCATTTTCAGTTGGCTTAAGAACCAAAGATTGGGATGTCATGGAAGCAATGTGCTCATATACGCTAGCTTCTTGTTCTTGTGGAAGGTCGTCAATCTCTTCATCGTCTTCCGTCGACGAATCCAGATCGGCAAGGTATGGGTTGGGCTCTGTTTCTTCCCTCGCGAGGTGCACATGGAACCAAACGTTCAGAAGGTGCTTCCGTAGGTTGCCATCAGTGTCGATTGGAAATCTTGTTGGGAGACCATGGATCTGAAGCTCAGACTGAAGCTCCGCATGACTTCCATAGTGCACACGAGTTCTGGCCCTCGAATACCTCGGCATTGCCTTTACCGATAACCCGAGAAAGAGGTTGTTGAGAGCAAGCCCTCTTGCATCATCTGTCCTGAGGCAATAGTGCATGGCGGAATAGCGAACGGGGACCGTAGAAGCAAAATCTAAGAGTTCTGGCAAGACTCTTGATTCGGGCACGGGGACATTCTGTCCTGGTTTCGTGGAGTCATAATAACACCAGACCGCCCCTTTCATTTGTACCTCTGGCTTCGGAAGCAGAATGTTCCACCAAAGGTAGTAGGTCACTCGAATCTGAAAACAGTAAAATGCAGTGAGTGGTGAGTTGCGCACACCTTGTAAACATTGAGGGTCAACAACTGAGAAATTAGCTCACCAACGTATTAGCCTTGTATCTGCCGAACAGGGTACTGAAGAAATAGACGACAACTCTTCCCGCGCGGTCTTTGTCTTCTTGGACGTGGTAAGGGCCCGAGAGAATAGCCTTAATCTCCTCTTCATTCAAATCCTCAAGTGTAATGTCCCGGGCAAGCTTGTCTGCGCCAAAGTAGGCTGCTTTTTTATGCAAGAAGCTCAGCATCTGATGAACTGCTTTTTTGGCATTGTAAAAATTTGCCCGCAAAAAGATCAGCCGGAATGATATATCCTCGACATACAATCTGTTCTGGTTGTGAGCCAGTTCGTAAATTGGATTGCGTATCGTTTGGAGGGTTGCATCAAAGTCCACAAGTGCTTGTTGAGCGAGTGCTCGATGCTCGTTCAATCCCCCACCCACACAGTAAAGATCATCGATAGCGTCTGCTTGATCTTTGAGTGATAGCTGTTTCACTTCAGATGCAAGGAAACCCTCGACTATTTTTATTTGTTGGGCGTCAGATAAAAGAGGGTTGTTCATTCTTGCAGCGCTTTGCCGTTTGTATAATGATGGTACCTACTATTCGACAACAACATGCCGTTTCAGCGCTCGATAATTTTGGCACACTGACCTGGCCGTAGTGATGGCTCGTACCGACCGATATAATGGGACCTGCTGGAATCCTCTCCAGGGGAGATGAATTCGTTTTTCGTGGGAACACTCTTCTCCATCTTCACCCACATTTTCAAATCGCCACGCAATTTTGTATTTGTTTTGAAACGATCAAGAGTCATATATAACACAGTACCTTTTAAATAAGTAATCCACTAGATCATCGAAGATACATATGGCTTCGACTACCCACAATTTTGGTCTAGGGTCTTTTTTTTATTTTTTTAAATCTTTCCCACGTCGCTGGCGACGCTCGAGAGCGAGAAACGGGAACACATTTTTGCAATCATGTGCATTTTATTTAAAAGCAAATATTCTGATGTGACATTTCGAACCTGATCCCGAAGAAGAAATAGGATCAACGAGCCTGCCAGCAACACAGCAATATATCATGCAACCAATATCATAATCGTCGTTTCCCCTCTGTCGCACAATATGAAATAATACCGCACAGTATGCGATGTAATCTGCGAAGATTTTTGTTGAGAAGAATGACAATGCCTCACATGACATAATACCCTGTAGAGGAAACTGTTGAAACAATCCGAGAGAGATGGTGGACTGAAGGTGTGACTATTACCAAGGGCTTCAACTACTAAATAATTACGATTTGTCATCAGGCAGAGCCAAACCAACAAGAATTGACTACATACAGTATTTTGTTCGGTTGCTTCCTGCCATTTAGCACATATATGACTAGAACTGCATTTCAGACCCATGCTTTGCCATCATGGATTGAAACCATCCCGCCGCCTCGGAAGATTGATCCGCCAAAATGAGCGAGCAAATGGATTTCCCCGTATCGTCATTGATCATCCGCAAAATCCTTAGAGTCTTAATGTCCGAAACTTTCTTTTCTACGATGGCAACCTTTGAGACTTGTCCAATTTTGACATGGAATTCAAACGAGGCGTCTTCGGAGGCGAACGTTACGAGATGTTGCCCTGGAGTGGCTGGGGATTCGGAAACTTTCATGTTTGGTCCGAGAGGGGCCGTGGTCTCCAAAATGGCACCATTGCCCACGACGACGATTCGAAAGTCAAAATCAGAATTGTGCAACTCCTCCAAGAAATTGTAGACGTTTTGTTCAGATTCGGATAGCTTCAATTCTGGGGTAGTGGTGTCGGTACCGGTAGATTCGGGATGGTGCTTCAACGTTGAAGATCCACGATCATCATTCTTTGTCGTCGTTTGGCGATTTAGGGAGACTGCTGGTTGGGGACCGATAGTAAAGCACAAACATGATTGCACTAATTGAAATATGGTGAAGAGTTTTAGCAGAAAGTTCATTGTGTAATAGATTGAAAAATAACGGAGTAACTATTGAGTCTCGTATGTTTTGAAAGGTTTGATTGATGCAGTGTGCGGCGAGTGATGACAAAACCAATCGACGGAGTCAACTGGGACCATTTTTCTTTGATTTGATGCGTGCGCCGCGCCTGACATCCGTTCCATGTGTGGCACTCTCGCCAAAACTCAAAACTCCATCTTGAGGTGCACGTTGATGACTGAATCGCAAAGACCGACCACCACCATTGGAAAACGAAAGCAGGGCTCGTTGAAAAGCAGGACGGCGGTCGGAACAAGTGGTTGATATCACACAAAGTAATAGCTTATATTCCTGTCATCTTCCAGTCGGTCAGACAAACTACAACAGCATTTCTTCGGAATCGTTTTCCGGTGACTTCAATCACACCTACAATTCAACGATATGACACAAGTCGATTCGGGCCCAGGAGCAGCCCCTGAACTCAAGGATGAACACAAAAGCAAAAGTCCAGTATCTGTAGGTCAAGCACCGTCGCCAGAAGAGGGAGAAGGAGATTCAGCGACAGATGGTTTTGAAGCCGACACCAATGAGAACAGTGTTGATGTGACACCAGGTCATGACACCAATGACCCACCTCCATCCGCAACCGAGGAGTCAAAAAGTGAATCCGCTGTACCGCTAGCATTTGGTTCTGAAACGTCTACGAAAAACCCAAAGACATTCTGCCGCAACTCCAGCTCGTTTCTCCGAGTATCCGATCTCGACCTTCCGAGTCCTGATGAAACCACCACTACGCCTTATTCCAAAGAAACCCCCACTGGGTCCGCCGACGGTGATGAAGAAGAAGAAGAAGACCAACTGTCTCACTTTCATCATCCCTCCGCCGATCCTCCACCTGGTATGGATAAGGATGACAAGGAAAAGTTTATTGCCATTGGATCCCACGATGGTGTCCCCACACCAATTGCACCAATCGCAATGCAAAAACTAGCTGCCTTTGGACTGGAAACAGCCTTGAATCAAGACATGTGGAACCCTGACCGCAAAACGCAAAAACTGATTAAAAAAGCAGACCCAGAACAAGATTGGATACCTCATACTTTTAGTCCCGGTCCTTTGTCAGTGGGTGAATCTTGTAATTTCCACGACAAGGAAGTCTTTGTATGGACTGGTACCTTTTCACATGATTATTATGGGTGCGAATTGCCAGCGATTCGAGTGTCGGGTACTGTCAACATGTCGGCCGAATATTTGGTCAATCTCCTGCTAGACAGCTCCCGCGTCAAGGAATACAATCGACTCATGATTGAACGCACAGATGTTCACGTGTTTGTGAACGATTTGTACAATGAAAGCAACAACAGCGAAAGCAATCCCTTTGGTCCTTGCGTTACCAAATTTACTCGAGCAACTTCGAAACCACCCCTTGTGAATCGTCTCATGATATTCAACAATCTCTGCCATGCCAAAAAGTTACCCGACGACAGTGGCTACCTTGTTTGCAATCGTGCCATCTACAATAGCAAGCAGCCAGAAGTGGAACCGGTCAATGTAATCAACAGTGAAGTATTGTTGGGCGTCAATCTCATTCGGCACCTGAGGGATAAAGAAGGTCAAATTTTGACAAACAAATGCGTCATGACCAATGTCAATCACATGCGATCGCCCAAGATCCCAATGATGATAGCCAAAAAGATAGGAACAAATGCAGCGACTGGGTATCTAAATGACTTTCGAGGAGCAGCAGAGCGATTGGCGGCACAAAAAGGTTGAAGGGTGATTGGCATTCATTCATTCGTTCGTTCGTTCATTCACTCAATCATTCCATGAATGTGGAATCTGTGGTAGAAGACATACTTTTTTTATTCGACACCAAGGGATCCAACAAGGATGACGACAGTAGAAGTTAAAATTCAGAGCAACAGTTGTCATTCGCACTAAAACTCCCTGTACTTCCTGCACTGACAGTGTTTGAATTCGTGCCCCTTTTCTCCGATGATTGCGATTCATTCATTCATTTATTTATCCATTCCCAATCCTTGTCGAATGAGTCGAAAGATACCATCCCTGCTTCAACCATCGAAGATTTCTTCCCAAAAAGCTGACGTGTTGCAAGCCGATAATCTGCACTTTCAGGTGTCAAGACATCAACTGTCTGTCCATTCTTGTGCAGTGGTGATATCGGCCAAGACACCGTTCGATCGTCTACGCTAGAAGGAATTCTCGTATAGCTTTATTTGCTTATCTTTTCGAACGAAAAACGACGACAAAACAAAATGATGGTTCCTACTAGGGGATTCCCGGTTGACAGACTATTTCGATTGGCAGTTGCGAAAGTTCCAAAAGGATCCGTGTCATCTTTGGGATCCATGCTATCGATGAACGCGCAAAGTCCCAATAACAGCAATGGTCAAGTTCGTTCTGCATCCTCCAATATTCGCGAACCAAAGTACTGGGCTAATCCAGATCTCAGGCAATACAAATTCTGGAATCGCGACAACGAATCGTTTGCCAAAGAAAAGTATTCCTACTTGCTGGAAATTTCACCCGAATCCTTGAAACGAGAAGCCCGCATTATCAGTCTGAATGCCCCTGACGACTCCGAATCTTCAGCTTTGTTCAAGAAGGGCGCTCTGTTACCCTCGGGCGCTCACTTTCTCGGGCAGGGACAAACGTTGGACGACTTTGCCAGTTTGAAGGCTTTGCCATCCACACAGCATCCAACCACACTGTTTGTGTCCCCTTCTTGTCCGAATGCTCGCAAGCAATTGCCGGTAAGATTGCCTCTTGCTTGCTGTTTGAATTGTCTTTGAATTGGTTGGTTGTATTCTAACTTGAGAAAATTGACAGGAGGTCTTGGCGGCATTCCCATCTATTCAGTGGGTCCACGTCCGTTCGGCGGGTATTGACTTTCTGATCAGTGACGAACTGACAGAATTTCAAGAATCGGTCTACTTCACTAATGCCAAGGGTCAATTTTCTTCCAGTTTGGCGGAATACGTGATGATGGCATGTTCCTACTTTGCTAAAGACCTGCCCCGCCTCATGAAGAATCAAAACAAACAGAACTGGGATCCATATGAAATTGAAGAACTCCGTGGCAAGACGCTCGGAATTGTCGGCTATGGTGATATCGGACGGGCTTGTGCCAAATTGGCTTCGGTGTATGGGATGCGAATTGTTGCTCTGCGTCGTCACCCCTACTTGTCACGTGACGACCCGTACTGTGATATTGTCTATGGACGCGATGCTGACAGTTTGCACACACTAATGGGAGAATCTGACTACATTGTGTGTTCTGCACCTTCCACGGTCGAAACAAGAGGTATGGTCAACGCCGAAGCCTTTGACCATGTCAAACAAGATGCCGTTCTGATCAATTTGGGACGGGGTCCTGTCATTGATCAGGCCGCCATGACCAAAGCCCTGCAAACTCGTAAACTCAAAGGAGCGGCCTTGGACGTCTTTGATCAAGAGCCGCTTCCCAAGGATGACGCATTGTGGAAACTTGACAATGTCTTGCTGAGTCCGCATAATATGGATCAAACAGCTACCTTCATGACGGAGGCAACAGATTTCTTCTTGCAAGAGAACCTGCCACGGTTCTTGTGCGGCGAAGATTTGCTGAATCCGGTTGATGTCCATGCAGGCTATTAAAAAACGCAGCATATTATGTTGTTCTGGCAGCATTGAACGAAATCGACGAGACAACTGAGGAATTTCAAGCTTTTTCTATTCGCATCGTTAGCTGTACGTGTACCGGTAGATCCAACAAAATGCAGAGAGAGAGATACCTATTAGTTTGCTTTTCGATATTTGGCATTTAACGAACGAGAGTCGCAATGGTGTTTTTTTTAAAGAATTACCGTTGCTTAATAAGCAGGAATTATCCAAGAGTTTTGAGCTACCGTACCTATAGGGTGAAATAGATTTCAAATTTAAATTCCTAATGATTCATTCTTGTTGACATGTTTTTTTTTTGTATTGGTACATATTATTGACATGCATCCTACCTCCATATTCTCCTCCCTGACATACCAAAATGATGCTCCTCCAACGTGATTGCAAAGAAGAAATCTCGACAGAAGAGCGCAACAAGCTATGCGCGCTCACAAAGCACCCCAATATATACGATACTGTCATAGCATCTATCAAGGATAGCTCCCTCTCCAGAAACTGGGAGGGAGAAAGACGGAGGACTTCGTCAAAGAAGATGCGACACTATGACTTGCCCCATTCTTCGACTACGACCCATTCCTTCGTCCGACCTCGTGGAGACCAATTCTAGTTATCTCTTCCATAATTGATTACAGATGTAGCCAAAAGAATGTTGCGCAAGTCCGATACGCCACGGCTACTGTGAGTTCCGTCGATAATATCTCCTATCCTCTCGGTTCCTTCCGCTGGAGCGCCTTTCGTACTCAGCGAGTTCAATTGGTGGGTTTCAGATAGCATCTCACGCATTTTCATGCCCATCTTTCGAACTTCTTCCGGTCTGACAAGGTTCTCATAATATGACTTGGTTTCCTTCAATTCATCCTCCATTACGGTGATGCCTTGTTGCAACTGTGCGACCATGATAAGCTTATCGTCCAAGGATTGCTGCAGAGCTTGAACCTTCTCCTCGTGCTCTTTCACCTTTTCCATGGCCATTTCTACCTCCTTTCCGGCATTTGCATTCTGCTGATTCGTAGATCTCTGCAGTTGACAAATTGTTTCTTCCTTTCGTTGCATCAACGCCTCGTGAACATATCCCTCGTCTGTCATCTGCTTTTGTAGAGTCGCAACCTCTTCCTCCTTTGCCGACAACAAAGTTTCCCTCTTCTCAAGCTTTGCGGAAAGTTCTCTGATTTCATTTTCGAAGGCAGAATGCTCCTCATTGCTCTTCTGGAATTGCTCTGCCAGAGTCTTGAATTTCTCTTCTTCCATATTCAGTGTGGATTCTAGATCTGTGATTGTCTTCTCCTTCTGAGAAATAATCGAGTCTCTTGACTGCAAGCTATCTTCCAGCTCCTTGATGGCAGCTTCCTTCTGTTCCTTCACACGCTTCAATTCTTGGTGTTCCTCTTCAAGCGCCGAGTGTTTTTCCTTGTGTTGGTTAAACGACTCCTCGATCACTCTGATTTCTTCTTGCTTCTTCTTTACTTCGACATTTTCAGTCGCCATTCGCTTGAGTTCGATCATTTGAGCCTGTTGTTGTGAAATGGTGACTGTTAGCTGATCCTGATCAAGAATTTGTTCTTCAAGTGAATCAAGTTTCTTTTCTTTCTCCTTAAGGGTTTCTCCCAATGCTGCCGATTCCTTCTTCACTGAATCGAGCTCAGCACCAAGAATGTCTAGCTGTCCTTGAAGTTCTCTGGAAACCTTCTTTTCCGTCTCAATGTTGGCTTTCGCCACTGCGATTTCCATTTTATTTTCCTTGATGATGGCCTCCTTCTCGTCGATTATGGATACCTTGTCGCTTACCGCTGATTCAATGCTCTTCTTCTTCGCTGCGAGGATTGCTTCTTGTCTTTCAACCAATTTTTGAATTTCTTTCTTGCGCTCATCGTTGATTGATTCCAGTTCCCTTTCCCTTGCCGCAAGACGTTTCTTTGATTCTTCTACCATGACGGCGTGTTCTTGAAGTTTGGTATCGAACTCTTGTTGCTTTTGCTTCACCATAGAATTCATCTGTTCAAGAGAAGCCTGTACAGCAGCCTCGCTACCTTGAATCATAGATTCTTTCTCTTGGATTGTCGCTTCAAGTTCCTCATGCTTCTTCTCTTGTTCAGAAAGCGTCTCTTTCAAGCTGCTAATCTCGCATTCAAGATCTGCTGCCTTTTCATTTGCTACTTCCAATTTCTTTTCGGTCTCAGCAAGGGAATTTTCGAGAAGTTCTACTGACTCCTTCTCGTACTTCAGAAGGTTCTCCTTTTCGGCAACGTCCCTCTCAAGATTTGCAACCTTCGAGGTGTACTCCTCGGTTTGCCTATGCTCCACCGAAAGACTTTTGTCCTTCTGCTCAACAAGGCGTTCAAAGGATTGAATTCTTGCCTTTTCAGCTTCGAGAAGTGAAGAGAGCTTCTTCTTCTGGATTTCAAGACCTGCTGACTTGGTACGCTCTGACTCCAGCGCTGCTTTCATTCGCGTGTGTTCCGCAGAGTTGCTAGCCGCTCGTTTCTGTTCCGCCACAAGCTCTCGTCGCTTGTCAGTGAGTTCGGCTTCAAGTCTGCTGACCCTTGCAGTTGCATCTTCCAATTCGTTTCTCATCTCCACATGCTTGATGTGAAGTGATCTACTACTCTCTCCTTCAGCATCCTTTTTTCGTTTTAGCATGTCGCATTCATCAGTAAGTAGGCTGATCTTCTTCTTTGCTGCCTCAATCTCAAGATCCTTCTCTCGTACAGTCTTCTCCAAAGTTAAGATTCGAGATTGATCATTATTACTTGAAGCACGAAGGCGATCTTGCTCTTCCATGTTGCTTTCCATTTGAGATCGGTGCCTAGCGAGAAGACTTTCTCGTTCTTCTTCGGCGTCCTTGAGTTTCTTGTTGGTGTATTCAAGCGTAGATGTCGTATCACGAAGGCGTCGCTCGACCATTTCGACCTCCGATTCCTTGGTTCGAACATGGTCGTTCAGCGCCTTACTCTCATTTTCGAGATCACGACACCTGTTGCGTTCGGACTGCAGATTGCTTTGCATCTCGGTACGATCGTTTTCCAGTGTCCTGATTCGATTTTCCAAGGAAGAAACAGACGCCTCGTGTGAGTTAAGAGCTCTGTCCCTGTTCGAAGTCCTACTCCTTTCATCATGAAGCATCTTCTGCAATGACAGGCGTTCTTCCTCCAGAGCAGTTCGTTTGGCTTCCTCAACTGCCAAGTTTGACTTGACGACATTATAAAGATTTTCCTTGTCCTCGGCTCGCTGACGCTCTTGTTGAATGATCTTTTGTTTCTCCTTCAGAGTCTCCTCAAGATCTTTCACCTTCTGCGAAGTTTGCTCAAGATTACGTCTGAAGCTCAAAGCCTTGGTTTCGACAGCAGTGATTTCGTTACTGTGATGACTGCTCTTGACAATGACGTCGGATATTTTCTTTTTCTCCTCAGTAATGGCATTTTCAAGTTCAGCAATCCTTGACTTCTGCGCCGCGATGATCTTCTCGTTCTCATGAAGTCGGGGCTCAAAAGTTTTGAATTTTGCTCGCTCCGAGTGCAGAACATCTTCGGAGGATTCGATCTTCTTCTGAAACGAAAGGGCTTTTTCTTGTTCTTTTTTCAGCTTTTCCAAAGCTTCCTTGTATGACTTCTGCAGGTTGAGAACCTTTTGCTTTTCCGCCTTCAAGAACGTTTTTGTCGCTTCGTTTGCATGTTGCGCCTTGGAGAGTTCCCTCTTCATCTTTGAGCCACTGGAATCACCATTGAGTTGCGCAGTCTCCAACGATCGGGCTTTCTTCATTTCCTTCTCATGAAGTTCTGAGACTCGTGCGAGCTCCTTTTCAATTTTTGAAGCGCGTTCTTTCTCAAGTTTCCAAAGCTTTTGCGACTTTAGTTGACGCAGTCGAGCATGCTGAGTAATCTTCTCCAAGTTCTCAATTTCTTGGTTCTTCTTGAAAATAATTTCTTCTTTTGGTGCTCGCGATTCTTCCCACGAAAGGCTTCCTGCTTCTCTTCGTGTAACACTTCGTTCCTTCTCGTACTTGGCGATCTTTGCACGCTCTTGATTCAAAAGATCATCCAATTCAGCTTGAGTCTCTTGAAGTGTCTCGATTCTTTCGTTTTGAATGTCGAAGAGCTCCTTCATGCCGCCGTCTTGGCCTGCTGATTTCTGAGCAGTGGTTTGCAGCTCAAGAATTCTTTGCTGCGCCTCATCAAGTGATTTTTGAAGTTCATTTTCCGACTGCTCCAGTTGGGAGACCTTCTTTTGTTCAATCTCCAGCTGTGCTTGTTTATCATAGAGCTGATGAAGAGTAGAACCTTGGGAGTCAGCAGTTTCCATTGCTTTCTTCTTTTCATGGTCTAATGTTCCATTCATCTTCTCAATCACATCTTTCGATCGTAGATTCTTGCGCTTCTCGCCTTCATATGCTTGGGCAACTTCAGCCAGCTTTTGATTCTGAACCTCAAGCGCCTTCTTCATCTTGTTGTGCTGTTCCATTGCACCTTCCAGTTTACCGTTCAAGAATTCCACAATTTCTTCATGCTGACTAAACGGAATCTTCTTGATGGCACCACGGTTTAGGTTCTGCTTGTTTTGACTTGTGAATGACAGAACCGAAACGTCGTCTGCATCATGACCACCAACCCGCCTTGACACACTGACAGATCTCGGTCGGTGACCATTAACAGCAGCAGTGCGTGCGTTAATATCAGCAGAACGAGATCGTCGTTGGCGCAATGAATTTTGTGGAGCAAATGGATTATGTGAATATACAGAACCCACAGATTGATCATCTGCCGCAGCCATTGCCGCTTCATTATCAACATCAGTCTTTTGTTTCGCTCGAAAAGCTGCAAGTGCTGATCTGGGGACGCTTCGCGAACGTTTCTTTTGTTTGATATCATTGACTTTCCACTCAACAAGATGCCACAGGGTCACTCCGGCAACTGGCAGCTCAAAGCCGCCAGTGTACCATCTACCTGCGGCCAGGACGAAGGCAACGGTTTTCGCCCTGTTAGACGTATCCATGGTGGAGATTGTTGGAATTGGTGTCTCTTGTGTTTACTCTCGGCGGTCTCCTTTTCACTTTCGAGTTTCTTGCGATTGGTTTTGGTGACGGTAGTCTTCGCTCAATCGTCTATTTGTGTTTTGTGAAGGCGATCGCCAACAATGTTTTGAAATTGAATACTTGTCTACTATATACGTGCACGAAGGATTTTGAATAAGCCCGACGGGCGCACGCGCATGTCGACCGGGTCTTATCAGGCCGGACGGACAAATGGCTTAATGGCGAAAAGGAGAATTGGCAAAGGGACAATCAGGCAACTAAAGAGGATATTCACACAAGTATTCCATGGGTTTATGAAATTATGACAGTGTTTCATTATCAAAAGTACCACGAAATGATAGTGTTTGGACCATACAGCAGTTCTCACACAATTGAAAACTTTTATCTCACAACTTTGTTCCATCCAGAGGAGGCGAACTGTCGATCATTCTTTTTTATTGATACACGACCATCAGCTTTATTTTTGTGATTTGCTTCCGCTTCGTCCTCCAACTTTTTCCGACTTTCCTGCTTTCGCATCCAGGATTCTCGCTTTCTTCGTGCCCGTTCTTCTGCCTCTGTCTCGGCAGTCCGTTCCTGTTCTTTTCGTTCTCGTTCGGCCAGTTCTTCTTCCTTTCTCAGTTGAGCCAATCGTTCTTGCTCTAATCTCTTTTTTTCTTCTTCCAACTCGGCAAGTCTTTGTGCTTCTTCTTCCCTTAGACGTGCAGCATGGGCCTCGGAATCTGCTGCCAGAATCTCTGCCTCTCGCTTCAGGCGGACTTCTTCTTCTCTCTTTTGACGCTCAAAATCCTTGCGCTCGCGTTCGAATCGCTCACGTTCTTCTTTGAACTGTTTGGTTTCTGTACTCGCCTGCAAGCGCTCTTGTTCTTCCGCTTTGATCCGGGCTTGTTCTGCGGCTATACGAGCTTCTTCGGCAGTCTTTCGTTCTGATTCTTCCAGTTTGCGTTGCTTTTCAGCTTCCTTTTCTTCCTTAGCGATGCGTTCTCGTTCCTCTTTCTCGGCCTTGATGCGGGCCTTTTCAGCTTCCTTTTCTGCCTTAATTCTAGCCTTTTCAATTTCTTTTTCGGCCTTGATGCGTGCCTTCTCGGCATCCTTCTCGGCCTTGATTCTGGCCTTTTCTTCTTTTAATAGACGTTCGCGTTCTTGCTTTTCAGACTTCTGTCGAGCCTTTTCTTCCTGGGCCAAGCGTTGCTTTTCTAGTTTTTCATTCATCAGTCGGGCCTTCTCTGCTTCCTTCTCGGCCTTAATAATATCCTTATCTTCTCTCAATTGACGGGCTTGGTCTTCCTTGTCCCTCTTGAGTTGCTCTTCCTCCTCCTTTCGGCGACGTTCTAGGTCGGCACGTTCCTGGGCCAATCGTTTCTCTTCTTCTTCCCTTTGTCGTTGAAGCTCGGCTCGTTCCTTTTCCAGTCGGTTTTGTTCAGCCTGTCTCAGACGAGCAAGTTCTGCTTTTTCTTGCACTAGCAATTCCTGTTGTTCCTTGAGACGTTCACGTTCGGCTTCTAGTTCGGCATTGCGTTTGGCTTCTTCTTCAGCACGTAGTCGCTCCGCGTCTTCTGCCTTTTGTTTTGCTTCTTCGTCAGCACGCAGTCGTTCTTCTTCAGCAGCCTGCCGTTTTGCTTCTTCTTCTTGGAGTTGCAATTTGATGGCAGCAGCTTCTTCTTCTGCCTTGCGTCTGGCTTCTTCCTGCTCCTTAAGTTTGGCGGCAGCGGCCACTTCTTCTGCCTTTAATTTTGCCAATTCCTCCTGATTGGCTTTGGCAGAAAGTGTGAGTGCTTCGAATTCTGCCATAGATATTCTTGCCCTTTGTGTTTTGGGTGTCTTGGGTGTCTTGGGTGTCTTGGGTGATTTGGGTGTTTTCGGAACCTTGAGATCGCTGCCTTTTTTGGATCCTTCCTTCTTAATGCTAGCTTTCTTGGGCGTTTTGGGTGATTTGAGACTCTTGATGACTGGTTCACTGGCACGTTGCTTTGCCTTCTTCTTGGAAGACGGCTTCTTTTTCTTGCTTTTGGAACTTTTGGCGTCATCCGCTTCCAGTCCCTCAAAGCCAAACTCAATTCCAAAAGCATTGTAAATATCGTCATCCGTAATTTCTTCCTCCAAACCAACCGGACTGATAGGCAATTCAGAAGGCAGCACTGGTGTGGACTGTCTTCGTTGCATCTTAGGATTGGTCATTGATTGATTGATTTATTGCCAGTCTGATGCGATGTGACTTTGGATCGCACAAACTGGAGGTCACCTTTGATCTTGCGTCAGTCGCTGGGTCCAGCAAGAAGTTGAAAGTCTCTTACTGGTACCGTGGATGAGAACTAACGTGACAATTTTCAACTCTTGGTGGCAGAGCCCGGCGCGTAGTCGGGCTTAGTTATTTAATTGCAAACGTGATTTTGGTTGCTCCGGTCAAGCTTTTTTGTTTTGCGCGACTCGGAAGAGACAGTTTCTGCGACATTGAACCCTCTTCACCTCCAAATCTCAAAATCCGAAACCTTTTTCACACTATCAGAGACCAAACACAACATCATGGCAAGAAGCTACTTTCAATTTGTTTTCATATATCTGCTAGTCTTAAAAACTACGATTCTACACATTTCCCTTCTATGAACAAGTCACGGTCAAAGTCTCTCAAAGAGCCTCGATGGCAGGAGGTTGCTGGCCAGCACGACCACCACGAAGACCAGCAGCAGACCATCGGCGCTCCATCTTGGGTGGAGTAGCAATCACCTTGCTCCATTGATTGCTAAATCGTCGATCGTTGGAAACGACGCGACGATATCCATCAATGGTTCCAAGTGAGTACTTGGTGGGAGACAAGGATTGACTGCGGCGCGTAGCTTCAGCAAAGACTCGGATTCGTTCTTCTTCGTGGGCTCCACTCCTGCGTTTGGGTGGCATCTCAGCAGTTTCGGCGGCGTTTTCTGATTCAAGCTTGAATTTTGCCTGGCGAAGGGTCTCTTCGAATTCTGCCTTGAGCGCCTCTGTCTCTGCGTCGAAGGTAGAATCAAGGCCCAGATTAGTCACCGATTTGCTTCTTGGCTTTCTGGTTCTTCGTTTGCGAGGGCCCTTGGAAAGAGAACGCTCCGAGCTGGACTTTTTGAGCTTCTTGTCGTCGTCATTGGTAAGGCAAGGACTGGAATTAGACTTTTGGAGGCTCTTGCGTGATGACCTTTTGGAACTGGGAGAAGAACGTTCGTTAGATTTCGACCTTCGGGTCTTCTTGTTTTTGGACGACGAGCGTCGTGACGACCTTTTGGAAGTAAGGGAACGGTCAGAGCTCGATTTTCGCAGGGTCTTGGATCGTGACCGTGGTGACTTTTTGGAAGTCAGGGAACGATCAGAGCTTGACTTTTTGAGCTTCTTGTCGGCTTTGTTGTCCCCTTCCTTGGAGCAGGCCAGGGTGAGGTCAGTGAACGACCGATCGTATTCCTCGTCGTCCTCAACGAGAATGGACGGTAGCGAATTGGACTTTTTGAGTTTTCTGGAGCTTCTCTTTTTGCTGCTTGATTTCTTTTTCTTTTTTGAGCTTCGGATACTCGATGTAATTTCCGAAATGTCGTCGTCGTCGCCCATGGCTGGCTGAAGAATTTCGCGGATGCGTTCCTGTTCTGCCTTGGAAATAGTTTGGGAGTAGCCTCCCGAAGATTCCCTTGGAGACATAAGAATGTCGAAAATCGGTGGAACTTGATTCATCTTTGGTAGTCGTTCGGACATTCGACCAGTGCTACGTGGTACAACTAGTTTCTTCTTTGTTTCAGTGTGCGGCGTCAGTGGAATGGTAATATTGAATTCCGGGGCGACATACTTCTTGACAACCTCAGAGTATATACTGTCTTCTTCGTCGACTTGAATTTTTTGGACTGCTTTGACAATTCCCCAAACGGAAGGATTTGGGGTATCAAACTTTACATGTAAATTAGGTGCACTCTGCATCTTTTTCAGCGTCGCTGGAGGTCTCCTTCTTGGCTTGTTTGGCGTGGAAGGATTTGCTTCAGGGGGGCTCGAGGGGGCGTTGGAGCCGTAAACTCGGATATCCTCCACTGTTGTCTTTTGAGGCTCGCACATGGCTACAGTATGCTTGTGTGATTGATTCCGATGTGATGAAGGATAATGTGAACCAATGTTGGGACTTCTAGAAGTTTGCATTTGTGTTGCTCGGTCATTCGGCTTTTCCCAAAGTGATATCAAAGTGGTGTTTTTCCGGTAGGGCATAAGAAATACAATGACTGAATGTCGTTAGTTTCTCCGACTGTGAAAAGAATTCGGCCAATAATGAAGGGAGAGGAATTTACAGAAACAGGGATAGATTTTGGGGCAACGGATCAGGAACAAAGTTTTCGTCAGCGCGCATCGGCTTCAAACCAAAGTATATCGACCATGGGGCGTAAGAAGAAGTCAAAGCCATCAAAGCCGTCAAAGCAATCAAATCAATCAAAGGCATCGTTGCTCAAGGTCACCAAAACAGACCCGGATAAGGTGACACTCTTCGAAAAGGTTGCTGGGGGGATCTGTCTTCTATTATTCATAGTTGTATGGTTACTGTCAGCATCATCACCGATCGTGTTCGGGATTGCCATATACCATGAAGCATACCGTTTAGCACTCGGGATTGTGGTTGTCACAGCTTTATCGTATGCACCATGGAAAAAGGGGTATATTGCAAACTCATTTCAGCAATTTTATGCCTATTATTCCCATCGGTACATGAGAAAGACTACCATTGTTTGTGAAGGAAGCAAACCAAGTCCACAGGACCAGCAAACCTTTTTTGCAGTGCATCCACATGGTGAGTGAATCGTGTGTATGTTCAAGATGTTCAAACTTCGACCTTTGTTCTAATCTGGTATTTTCACACATCTTGTAGGCGCATTTTGCATCGGCTGGTCCTTCCTATACTGTCATGGCATGATGCAGCACATTCGATTCTGTTTTTCTCCAGTTCTTTTCATGTCACCCTTTTTTCGCCTTTTCAGTCGAGGTGTGGGAAATCCTGGATCGGCATCGAAGGATTCTATGATTAGCTATATGCGTTCTGGTCACTCCTTGGCCTTGCCACCTGGAGGCTTTGAAGAAGCAACACTGACTTCCACAAAGCACGACCGAGTATTCATCAAGAAGCGGACCGGGTTTGTCCGGCTCTGTTTGCAACAAGGGATTGCGATACGGCCAGTATATGTCTTTGGGGAAAGAAGTTGTTATTGGAACATTCAAGGGGCTTTCAAAAGTCGACTGGCGCTGAATCGGCATGGGATACCCACCATTTTTGCATGGGGAAACCTGTTGGTACCATGGCTTCCAAACCCTCAAGCCGAAGTACACATTGTCATTGGGAACCCAATTAAACTCCCAAAGATCGAAAAGCCGACCAAAGAAGAGGTCGTGATATGGCACACCAAATACGTCACAGAATTGACACAGCTCTTCGAAAATCACAAACAAGCTGCATATGGGCCAAGCTCGAAAGCAATGAAGCTCGAATTGTGGTGAAGGTCAAGGCTACGGTATCTAGGATTTAATGGAAACTAGAAAGTAGGAAGGCTCGTATTCCATGTGTCGACGAATGTAGTTAGGTTCTCATTTTGGAACGGTCCAGTGGTGGAGGAGACATCAACGATGTATGAACAAGCGAAAAAGGTGCGAAGAACAGGAGCAGGTTCGTCAAAAATGCATTTTAGGTGTCGAGCACTTCCAACAGAGACCGAGTGCCTGTTACCTTGATTGTACAAAGTCTAGGATACATCGGCTTCTTGTGCCATTTTTAAAATATTCAGTTGCATTGATATTATGACGTTTCTAAGAACACTCTGGATCAGTCGTCGAGTACAAACTCTAGTCCTTGGTGTTCCCGAAATCGATGTGGAAGAAGGGACGATTCCTCTTCTCTGCTGTGTGAAAATAGAAAAACTCGTCATCATCATTGTCTAGGTAGCAATGAGAACGTCTTCTGCCTGTAGTACTGTACGATATCTAGTAGTAGTTTTGGATAAGGCCCAAGAAGATATGCAAGGTACAGTACAGGCATGTTGTTCGAAACCGAATCGCGCATTCGCATCATTCATTCAATTTTCGCTTGGACTCACTCACTCCGCTCCTCCACTAGAGCCTATCAAAATACAAGGGTATTTTGTTTAATTAATACCGTGGTTCTTTTACAGAAAGTGATTGTCCTTTGCCATAAAGTTCGTTCTAGACGGTCGCGTGATTGCGTTATTTAAGGGTGTTCGCTCTTTAGAAACCACAGCGAAGGAACATCGCTGAACTTGAACTGTCCCGTCCATACCGGCACGGTAGTGGCAAATGGTACTCACAGAGAGGATTTATCGGTTTACCAGACCGAATCCGAGTTCGTTTCCAAAGTCGTTTTGTTCCGAAAAGCGAAACGACCGCGTAGATAGTCAAGTCTCCTTTGCTCTGGGCAAGGCTCTTGGCTTGGAGCAGGGACAGGTGCAATTCATACAGTACAATGTATAGTACAATACTGAAATGACCTCGCGGAAGTCGTTCTGGGCAGGGGCTCGTACTTGGAGTAGTTGCAATGCAGATATTGTACAAGAGTAATAGTTTCTTAAAATATATATCTATACCTCGCTTAGTTTATCTTCTGGCTTATATCTTCTGAATCCACATGGTATGATCCCCTTTGTTCCAGTCAAAATTGTCCAAACTCATCGCAAGACACCTCTTGGATGGCTGTTAGAAAATATACAATCAAAATTGATGGCCCACCCTTCCTACTACTACTTGGAGGAGGAAGAAGAGGATGAGGCTCCCACACCACGATTCACAATGGTAGTGGGAGCATTGGTGACCAAGAGAGCCAAACCAAGTTGCATCTTGATACGGTCCAAATCTATCATGGAAGAAGATGGAAGACCGGCCAAAGAAACCGCCTGTGCTTGTTGCTGTTGCTTCTGAGCCAGTTGATTCAACAGCAACGAGTTGAGCGCAGAAGGAGATGGTGTTGTCAACTTGTTCGTTACCGTGGGAGCGGACGACATGTTGAACAAGGAGCTCAGGTGGTGAGACCGAGCCTGCAAGTTGGGCAATAGAGCCAAGTTATGTGCCCAGTTTTGGCGCTGGAGTTGCAGTTGCAGTTGTTGGCTCTGCTGCTCATTTTCTTGTTGTTGTTGTTGTTGTTGTTGTTGCTGCTGTTGTTGTTGATGTTGTGCCAAGAACATCAATTGAGCTGCATTCAGAGCACTCATTCCATGGGATGACATGGAAGACACAGCAGCCTTGACATCATTGAAACGATGAGAAGGCGACGGAAGAGTCGTGGGAGGCGCCGAAGCCCGGAGCTCTGCCAGGCTTGCTCTTTTGGAGTCCTTCTTGACCTTGATCCTCTTCATCAAGTGGCATCGATCTGGATTGCAACGAAGAAAGTAAGGGTGAAAGATGGCACCCTTATTTGGTTCCTTGGTGAGTGTTTGAAAGCACCATAGATTGAGGTTGCGCTGAAAGGACTTGTACTTGTTCGAGTGGAAGTATTTGGGCATTACCAATTCGGCAAACCCAACCTTGTCGTGAACCTTGAAGGCATTGCCCGAAGGCAACCAGGAGATGACATGGCTGTATCCGTTGCGTTCCGCTTCATCGAGAAGCACATGAAGCTTCCACGGGAATTGAACATTGCTGGACTCGTCGAACATGATTTTCGTATTTCGTTTTCGTATTCCCAAAATGGAATTTGTGAGCTACTGTATTCTTGTTCTTCCTCGTTCTGTTTTGTGTATTACCAGGTACGGTACAGTATGCGAAGAGGAGCTTACTGATCTATCAGCGCTTTTCGAGTTTCTGTGTTGGTTTGGATGGGTCTGAATGTTCACAGTTCTTTCTGTTCAAACTTTCGGGGTTTCAAAATTCGGTTTTTTGAGGTATCGTGAACCAGGATTGAAACGTCTAACAAAAGGGCTTAGTTGGATCAGACGGCCACGGGATCTTGTTAAAGACGCGTCGTAGAAAGACGCTAAAGACGCAAGCAGAAGTTCGCTTCACTAAGTATCGGAGCGCCATGAACGAACCCCTTGTTGAAGAGCTTTTTCCATCATTAAAAGTACAAGAAAGAGGTCCCAGTTCTATCCGATCGGAATACTGATCTATTTCACCGATGACGTCTAAGTAGGGCGAAGCGATTGATTCGCTCCGATCGCAAGAACGGTAGGTGGTGGCGGTACGATGTGTGGAACGATACAGTACCTAAAACATGATGCACTGCCGGTATCGCTCCTTTTGACAGTTGGGGCAGGGGCAGGGGCAGTGTTTCGGGGGCAACTATTCATTTCAAACCCCAGATGTCTTTCATTCGGGAATGACCCCGTTCGTTTTCAGTCACGAGGAGACAACCACATACCACATAAAATCCATTCATTCGTACCGGTACGATAGTACACACACTATCATTAACGCACCCATTGCAACCACCAAGTTTGCCAATACCTCCTATGGGATTATCAATAACCTTGCTCTTTTTAGCTACAACAGTTGTCTTTGCTGATGATAATGATAATAACAATCGCCTGAAAATTGGATTTGGATCTTGCCACAAGAACAAACGAGCAGGGAAACCACCTATTTGGGACTCCATTCAAAAGGAAGCCTTGGACGTTTGGGTCTGGACGGGAGATGCTGTATATACTTCCGGGAGGGATGCTGAAACTGGTAAGAAACATTACCGACCGGCAGAGCCTTCGGAACTACAATTGGAATTTGATCAACTAAAAGAGAATGCCACCATTGGATACAAGGAATTTCTGACCCACAAAGAGGACCTTCAGATCTACGGAGTCTGGGACGATCATGACTTTGGAGGCAATGACATTGGCATACACATGCCCGACAAACGAGAGCGACAACAACTCTTTTGGAACTTTCTTGGATATAAACCCCACACACATGATGGTGTATATCATTCTGTGGATCTTCAAAATGGAAAAGTCAAGTTGATCATGCTCGATACCAGATGGTTCCGGGACGACCATTGCATACCATCATTTGCTTCTTATATCCCGTTTGGTAATTTGATTGCGTGTGTCACTCGATGGCTGACGGCAGGATTGTATCTCCACAAGTTTGCTTGGATGTGGAATATGGACAAATGTGAACAAGGAGAAGTCTTGGGCCAAGACCAATGGGATTGGCTGGAAGCCACACTTGCGGTAGCTCGGGCCAATCCAGAAACCGAAGCTGTCTTGATTGTAAGTAGTATTCAAGTACTCACTACTGGTCCGAGCATGGAGAGTTGGGGTCAATTTCCCAAGGAACAAGAACGTCTCTGGAACCTCCTACAACATCATTATTCCAGCCCGTTGACTGCAAACCCGCCTATCTTTTTCCTGAGCGGAGACGTCCATCATGCCGAAATGTCCGGTCAGAAAGGATACATGGAAATCACCAGTAGTGGAATGACACATCACTGTGCACAACCAAAATTGTATGGTCACATGTGCAAGCCCCTGCTGCAGACGTTCCACAAGCATCGGCACTCCTACGATGATTACTTTATTGGTCTAAACTACGGAATGATTGACTTTGACTGGACATCCCGACTCATGACAACTCACATCAAGGATAATACTGGAAGGATAGTACTATCCTATTCGCAGTCCTTGGACGATCGAGTCACGGGGCTTGGGCCTTATGCTGATCTTCCTCATACCTGGGATGGTCATTTGATACCACTGCTTCTCTTGGTTCTGACATTGGCGGCATTTGGTATACGAGCATGGCGACGTATACAACAGGATTCCCATCCGAGCAAATTCAAAGGAGAGTAGTCCTAGGCGCACTCTTATATTCTCAACATCAGGTTTTGTATTGTCACACAAAAAATGCCACGTGTTTAGGAAGCAGCTACGGAATTTTCCCTTTCCTTCCGTATCATCATTTCCTCCTTAGTCATGGCGTTGATCGTCCCTTGTGCCTTATGAAAGGTCTGGTGAAAGAATAGGTTATGCTTGTATATTGTTTCGAGGCGTGGGTGTTCCACTGGATTCAAATTCACACACTTTTGTAGTACATCTTCAAATATCTTGAGACTAGAGTCGATATGGTTCTTGATCATGATGCATGTTTCCAGATGATACTGCTGTCTCAAGTAGCCTTTGGTTTCCTTGTCTTTGTCAACATGTGCCCTGTAGAACTTTTCCTGCAACTCTGGAACCTGTTCCAAAATGGAATACAATGTAACATCAAAGATCGCGTCGGCAATGGTGCCATCACGAGTATCAAACAGCATCTTGTCTGTGTCATAGCCAATCTCCACATGCTTTTTGGTAGGATTAGTTACCAGCATTTGACAGAATATTTCAGTTTGTGATTCATCCACAAACCCGAAAATACTCAGGAATTTGGAAGGCACTCTGGAATGGCCGTAACTCAATTTTAATGGAGTCGATGGGTCAGCGTCTTCTTTCAGAATGATATGACATTCATCCGTATCTTCATCGTAATCAATAAAGGTATTTGGAGGGTCGCCATGATTGAACATGTCCCCCATCGGTACCAGGTCGTGCCTGTTCTTGTCATCAAAATCTTCTTTTCCCCAACACCGAGTGAAAACGACATTGAACGCCCACAGAAGCACTTCCTTGTCCGCTTTTGTTTCGTCACTAAGAACGCCCTCTGCAATCATTTTAATGGCTTCAAGGAAGGCTTCGTGATGTAAGCGTACCATCTTTGCCAGTGACCAAGCAAACGGTGGCAAGCACTCCAATTCTTCTTCGTCCATGGAAACTGCCGAATTGAAGGTCCTCGGTAAGGATTTCATCCATCCATGCCACTTTGATGCCTCTCCTTTCTCATATTCTTGCAAAATCCGTATCCATAGGTAAAATTGATGGCTTTGCTCGTCAAGTTTTTTGGATTGCAAGTATTCTACGGCCTTCCCCACATCGGATCCCAGCTCATCACGGATTGTCGTGGACGATAACCTCAGCTCCTTGGGTATCGTCATTAGAACCTGTGCTTCATTTATTGGCTTAGATAGACTGATGAACCAGTCTCCATCGGGTGATGATGACAAGTCTAATCCGTCGGCAAGAAGTACCCCATTCTCCTTGGTCCATGATTTGAAGGAATCCAGATCTCTGGAAATTGTGGGATCCATAATCGTGTCTCGTATTGACTGTTGGCATTTTCCCAGAGCTTGACCATGATAGCACAATGGATTATTTCGTTTCACTTGAAATGCAACTGCACTTACGGAGCAGAGAGCAAGTGTAGAAAGTAGCCTATATATCATCATGACTTATCCTGTGATTTTGTTGGACGGTTTTCTGTGTTTTATCTTCGTTCGTTATTTATTCCACGCGGAACCTCAGCGACTACTTCGACTCAAGGAAAAAAGGCAACGAGAAAAAGCGCTCCTATACTTATCTATATAAAGCATATACAAGAAAAGGACAAACTGTAAATCTTACAAGGAGAAGGTGTGCTATGTATGTGGATCGGCGCCTTGAGTTCTTGGTTCGGTCAGGAGCGAAAATGAATGAATCAATTCAAGCGGTTGAGCCAGTTCCTCCATGAACAAATCATGCTTCGGCAAAATCCTGATCAAAGGTGCCACTCCGAATCAGTATCGAAAGTATTGAAATAGAAACGAGCCGATGTGCAATCCGATGGTATCAAGGCTATGCAATTGATACTGCGATTGGAGCAGTGTTTCTTCTCTTTTCCTCTCCGACTTTAATGACCATTCTTTGTTTGTGGAAGCAGAGAGGAGTTTGTATGGCTTTGTTTGTAGTAATCCTCTGGCCCCAATTGCTCCACTGAGTTAATGTCACCAGCATTGCTCCGGTAATTCCTCGTATCGCTCTTGCCTCGCTGCTGTAGTGGTATCAGGGCTACGAGTTTCCTTCCTCCACTAGTTCGAATGCCTTTGTTACTGAATCCACAGTTGCATTGTTTACTTCTCTAGCACTCACTGCACTACTGAATTGCTCCGTTCTTGCTTCTTCTTCTTCTTCATCATCATCATCTCCTTCATGGATTCCAAGAAAGCTGTCGGATCTGAAGTTATCCAGGCTACCAAGCTTTCCAGTATTTTCCGGTGCAGTCGTATCTGGTGTGTCTCCCTTAAATGAAATCAATCGTCTACATGCATCCCAAACATCTGGTTTCACCAAGCACACGGCAGCCGAGGCGGCACCCTGGAGATGGGCCCAAGCACCTCCAGTGAATCCCCACCAAGAAGAAAGCCAATTGCTGCCCACAAATGTGATGAGAATGGCTGGCAACCAAAACACGCTACAACAAAAAATGGCTTGTCTGGTTAGAACATTGAAATTGGACCAAATCCCGTACACATTGTGTTCCTGGCTACTCACAAGTAAATGAGAACCAGTCGGAAGAAGATCATTAGAGTCTTTCGTTGCTTCAGTGGCGGAAGCAACCGATGGCGCAACGTATCAAAAGTAATGTAGCTGATATAAAGTAGCGGAATGACAAAGACGCAAGGGGCAAAAACCGAGTAGAAAAAGATCACACTTGTCTGATCATAGGGCATTGGAAGGCAGAGGACTCCGCTGTAGAGTCCATTTCGTATTGGCCACCAATCAGCTCCCCAAGCAGCCCACGACGCCACAAATCCTGACCAAGCGTAGACGCTGAGAGACTGAACGGACACCCTGAACCTTGTAGGCGGATGATATCGGATCGCTCTGTTCGAGCAGTAGAGCATCTTGTGTAGTTGCCATGCCAATATTGCGTTCAGCCATGAACTTGAAGCAATGGCAAAAACGCAATAGAAGGATTGGTACGTGCAGGATGCGTCCGAATAGAAGGCACCCGTCGACACGTTCAGGCTGCACGTGATTATGCACGATGCTGTAAAGGCCAGATCGGGAGCTGTTAGGTACAGCAAGTACGTGTTGAAGGAGTTGCGTCGGCACTTCTTGTCCAGCAAAATGGCACAAAAGACAGAGGCCATGAACACTGCTGCGATTGCGAGAAGTGTAATGTACAACATCCACTGAATGTGAAGAATTTCATCTGATGGTGCTGCCTTGAGATTGTCAAACACTGTATTGTTTGGTCCAAGCTCCCATTCTCGCACTTGAATGTCTAGAAGTTCATCGTCCGAAGACATGATGGATTTTGTGTGCACCAAGGTGTAATCTTAGGACAGAAACTGAACTGTGCCAGGTATTGCAGAACAAAAATGAATGGTCATTTTGGCATTCGCCATCATTCGACCTTCTTTTTCTGCTCAAAATATGATCGCGCGTGGACTCATTAAAATAAGTTTTTAAAAGCTAGTTTTGGACGGAGGCGAACCAATTCGAAAACATGAAAATAGTACTGACTGACTCAGCTTTTAAAAGAATCAATCCCAGGCTGGAACAAGGATTGCCTGCTGGAACACAAATTGTCAATCGGGGGTAAAATAATGGCTTTTATACTATGCTGGTGCAACTATTTATACTAAATCCCCCGGGGAAAAATAAGGGGGAAGAGGAAGAAAAAGGAAAGAAAAGAAAACGAAGAGGAAAGAAAAGAAAAGAGGAGAAAGCAACAGGATTGCAATAAAGTGTCTTTACAACACAGCACTGGCCTCATGCATACCGTCGCAAGAATATATGCTCTATGACCCTGGCTCTAGCCAGGATTTTGACGGATTTTGAACAAGGTAACAATGATTGTTTGATGTATGTTGACCGATGCCTCTGAAACTTTTGAAATGACGTTCGAGCACCTCTAATAACATCATCTGTGCCTTCATATCGCAGATCCAATCAGAAATCGGAGATTTATCGCACTCTGAATTTGAGGTCACGAACATTTCAAGATATGCAGCGTAGAAGTTGATGTCATTGATGATGGTAGTCAGATTTTGCGTCGTCAATGGACTCAATATTTTGGGAATCAAGCAAGGTGAGGAAGGACCAAATCCAGGCTCAAGCTCGCCGCCAAAGAGCCTACAATAATCAACCGTTTTTTGAGTAAGATGCAAAGGCGAAAACAGAGGCAAACTCTTGCTGGGTTCCTTGATGGCCAAGTTTCCACCATAAGGCCGCGCTACGACAGTTTACTACCGTATGGTCACAGGGGATGGGTTTATTCTGACGAGAAAACAATCAACAAGGCCTTGGTGCACGGAATTGAGACAATGATTAGATTCCAAAGGTAAAGTGACACCTACTACTAGCAACTATGGCAGTTGTTATCAGTTTCTTACAGGGGCATGCTACCATAAGTGACACTGAAACGATAGAAATTAATCTATAATATAAATAGAAGATTGAAAACGAAGTTTCTACAGATGGGCGTATCCGTCACCTCATGCTGTAGCGCTTGTCAATTCGGTTTGGTGGCTGCCACACCCGTTCTTCAGAGCAGCTAGAAGTGATCATAGGGTAACTGTATCGCTAGCTCGTAATCCAGTGGTAAGGTGAGTCATTAAAACAAGGTGCGACAGTGCTTTATAATACAATGGCAGAGTGGCAGGGCCGTATCTAGCCTGGGCCTACGGTACCAGGTACCAGGTACTATCCCCCTATAATCATCATTTGCAAGTAATGACGAGTACTAACTTAGTGGAGATTGTCTATTTTTAGTGAATAGCCCGCTGTGATTGGTTCAGACCACTAAAAATGGGTTGATTTTTAGTGATTTGACTAACTCTCATTGGCTGAAAACCCACTAAAAATTGCACCTGCATAATGTAAGAGCCAAAATAATGGTGTCCTCCCCAAAAATGCACTATTGAAAAAGTATCGGTATTTGAAGTGATTTGACTAACTCTCATTGGCTGAAAACCCACTAAAAATTGCACCTGCATAATGTAAGAGCCAAAATAGGCTTTTATACTATGCTGGTGCAACTATTTATACTAAATCCCCCGGGGAAAAATAAGGGGGAAGAGGAAGAAAAAGGAAAGAAAAGAAAACGAAGAGGAAAGAAAAGAAAAGAGGAGAAAGCAACAGGATTGCAATAAAGTGTCTTTACAACACAGCACTGGCCTCATGCATACCGTCGCAAGAATATATGCTCTATGATCCCAGGATTTTGACGGATTTTGAACAAGGTAACAATGATTGTTTGATGTATGTTGACCGATGCCTCTGAAACTTTTGAAATGACGTTCGATCACCTCTAATAACATCATCTGTGCCTTCATATCGCAGATCCAATCAGAAATCGGAGATTTATCGCACTCTGAATTTGAGGTCACGAACATTTCAAGATATGCAGCGTAGAAGTTGACGTCATTGATGATGGTAGTCAGATTTTGCGTCGTCAATGGACTCAATATTTTGGGAATCAAGCAAGGTGAGGAAGGACCAAATCCAGGCTCAAGCTCGCCGCCAAAGAGACTACATGTGTATTACATGATTGAAGAAATGCAATAATCAACCGTTTTTTGAGTAAGATGCAAAGGCGAAAACAGAGGCAAACTCTTGCTGGGTTCCTTGATGGCCAAGTTTCCACCATAAGGCCGCGCTACGACAGTTTACTACCGTATGGTCACAGGGGATGGGTTTATTCTGACGAGAAAACAATCAACAAGGCCTTGGTGCACGGAATTGAGACAATGATTAGATTCCAAAGGTAAAGTGACACCTACTACTAGCAACTATGGCAGTTGTTATCAGTTTCTTACAGGGGCATGCTCTACCATAAGTGACACTGAAACGATAGAAATTAATCTATAATATAAATAGAAGATTGAAAACGAAGGTTCTACAGATGGGCGTATCCGTCACCTCATGCTGTAGCGCTTGTCAATTCGGTTTGGTGGCTGCCACACCCGTTCTTCAGAGCAGCTAGAAGTGATCATAGGGTAACTGTATCGCTAGCTCGTAATCCAGTGGTAAGGTGAGTCATTAAAACAAGGTGCGACAGTGCTTTATAATACAATGGCAGAGTGGCAGGGCCGTATCTAGCCTGGGCCTACGGTACCAGGTACCAGGTACTATCCCCCTATAATCATCATTTGCAAGTAATGACGAGTACTAACTTAGTGGAGATTGTCTATTTTTAGTGAATAGCCCGCTGTGATTGGTTCAGACCACTAAAAATGGGTTGATTTTTAGTGATTTGACTAACTCTCATTGGCTGAAAACCCACTAAAAATTGCACCTGCATAATGTAAGAGCCAAAATAATGGTGTCCTCCCCAAAAATGCACTATTGAAAAAGTATCGGTATTTGAAGTGATTTGACTAACTCTCATTGGCTGAAAACCCACTAAAAATTGCACCTGCATAATGTAAGAGCCAAAATAATGGTGTCCTCCCCAAAAATGCACTATTGAAAAAGTATCGGTATTTGATATTGTACTGACTCAGCGTTCATAAGTCGTAGTTTTCGAAGGAACGATGCATCGTATTATTCACAACAATAGTCACTTTGCACCATGAGAACTACCAGTTGCATCTTCCTCTTTACAACTCTTGCTCAAGTAGCTCAAGGTTTTTCCAGCTCACATGATAATGCTTCTATTCGTAGTAGTACCAGCGCCACCTCTGCAACTCCAGCTGCTGTGATGGACGAAGCCGAAGCATTTTCCAAGTCAACCTTTCCCATTGCCCCTGAAAATCTCATTGCCCGGGCGAAAGAGGTCCTTGGGCCTGAAATCGGTATTGGAACACAGGATGGCGGCGAATGCCTGGCCAATGATTTTCAATTCTGTGCCGCTGTTGTCGGGCCCATTCCCAAGGACGAATATCTGGGTGCCTTGGGAACCTTCAAGCTGGAGGATTCCTTCGAGATTCAACAGAACCTTTTTGGATTCACTGTCGATCCAATGCAACCAAATAGAGTATGGTTTTTTGACCGACAGACGGCAAAGCATGTGAATACGTTTAATGGGGTCGAAGCCACTGGAAAACAACTTGAAATGCCTCCTCAGCTATATCACGTGGATTTCAACGACGATGGAAAAGTAACGGAATTTGGATTCTACACCGTCGACAGACAACAAGGAAATACTGGAGGTCTTGGAGGTGCTTTTGGATACTTCTATGGTGTAGGAAAGCCCCTTCCTATTCGTGAAGCACAACCTTTCAAGCCCTCTTTCCGATACCGTGTTTTGATGGGACTGGGTAATTTGGCGAAGAAACTACAAAAGAAGAAGGAAGATTGAATTCAGATCTGCATGCATTGTGTTCGGAGATTAACAACAAGCTAACACGGTCAAAGCATAACATAAAGAGCCCTGAAATAAAATATATCTAGATCATTACATGTGTTTCAATAGGAGTAGTCTTCTTGACATTCGCATCGATACCGCTCTTACGGTAAAAATGCCTCCGAGTTTACATCGAAGCACAAGTCTGATACTCCTCCAGACTCATTTTCAATGAAGATCCACTCGCAAAGGTTTGTGGTGTCCACGTTGAAGTCTCCATAGTTTCCTTGGAAGGTTGCGTTCAAGACGCTGCTAACGGATATCTTTCCTGTTGCTCCTTCCGCTGACGAATCGTTGTCGTAGAACCAAGATTCTAAAAGTGTGAATTGCACTGAACCTCTTCCGAGCAAAGCAAAGCCGCCGCCTCCTTCTGTCGCCGAGTTGCCTTCGAAAGTTGTCCCAACAATCCGAACTCTCATGTCTGAGTTTTCCTCATTGCTCAGGAAGAAGAATCCGCCTCCTTCGAATCTCGCCGAGTTGTCCACAATTTCACTCTCTTCTATAGATACTACAGTTGTATCAACGAATGCGGCCGCACCGCCACCAATCGCCATTCCTGAATTGAATTGGCTGTGTGTGATAGATACAGAATTGGCATTGCCAACGTACAAGCTACCGCCATATGATTCGGAGAAACCGCTGGAGAATTCGCAAAACTGGATCGAATGGTATCCCGGAGCGTCAATTATGAGATTGCCCCCGTTTTCAACATTCATTCCGCTCTGGAAGCGAAGTCCAACGGCTGTGAAATTGCCACCTTGAGTAACCGACATGATCGGTGCAGTCAAATTTGTGCCAGACAGCGTACATCTTGGATATGCTTCACAGCAAATAGTAATGTTGGGTTGTGAGACTTGAAGCGTTTCAGATACGTATACCATCCCACCACAAAGTGATATGACCTCATTTGGCTGGGCATTCAAAAGCATGGAGTTGAGGTCGCCCTCTGTCTCCGCACAAACAGGAAGACTCCTAGTACATGTAGGTACTGCACCTGGGTTTCCGGTGGGAATCCCAGTTTGGTCTGGTGGGAAATCATCATCGGATATCAGAATACTCTCTTCAGTACCAAAGCATAGTCCACCGTCATAGTCAGTGTTCTCATCAAAGTAGAAGCCTTGGCAGGTAGACGAAGCATCAGAGTTTCCTACCCCAGAATTTCTTCGAATCGTAGCTACAGTTGAATTTGTACCAGTGACGGATAGGGCCCCCCCAACAATTGATGCAACATTGAAGGCGAACACTGTGTCCAGTACTGTCATATTGATTGAATCAACATCTTGAACCGCCAAACCACCTCCAATTTCTGCTGAGTTTTCTTCAAATCTGGAATTTTCAATATACAGCTGCTGTGTCGTTGAATCGGCGAGCATAGAATCGAAGGTATGATGCACCAATACACCACCCCCGGCACCTTGCCCAAAATTATTTCGAAACTGTGAATTTCTGATTTCTGCGGACCAAGTGTTTTCAAATGCGACTCCACTCCCGCCAAGTGGCGAAACGCCGACATCAAAGTTGCTATCTGAAATAGAAATCGAGTCGCCATTAGCAACAAATAGATTTCCGCCAAACATGAATGAGGTTTGTCCTCCGACAAATTGACAGTTTCTGATATTGTGGTGCCCAGGCGCATCAATAGCCAAGTTCCCACCGTTTTGATTGGAGAACCCATTCTGGAAGTGGATACCAGTCACAGTGAAGTCCGCACCCGATACTGACATGATCTGTGTTTCATATGCGCCATCTAGTGCGCACCAGGAAGATTCTCGGAGGCAGCACAGAGTCATGTTGGACTTCACCACGCTGATCGTTCGCAAGATTCCCATGTCACCACAGAGCGCAATGGTGGCTCCTTCACGAGCTTCGTTCAGTTCTCTGGTCAGCGCTGACTCTGTCGACACACAAGCACCAGATGTTGGCATACATCTTGGGGCAGGAGCATCCGTTGGCGAAAGCGTCGGTAGCGATATCGGAGGCAATGTTGGGCCCGGCTGCGTTGTGCCGGTAGCTGTAGTCACATAGAATGATTGGCACAATCCGGTAGGCCACACGCCATCCTCAGTGAAACCACCAAACGAAAACACTTCTTCGCCCCACGCTGGTTCTTCTATGTTGAATCGACGATCAAAGACACCGGCAAAAATTGAAATTTCATACGATTCCGCCATGCCAAAACATATTTCAATAGTGCCGTTTTCATAGAACAAAGCCTGTGCATTGATGCGACTGGAAGGAAACGAGAACACCGAGACATTTTCCCAAGAGATGACATAAAGGACATTTGGATCAAGCAACGCAGGTTTGGCCTCTAGCTGCGTAGCATCTAAGAACCACACATCACCACTGGTTGATGGATCCAGATCTGCAGAAGCTACTGCAATTTCCCCACATTCTGAACTCTCGGTGGGACACCCATCAACACGAATCATTCCGTTGCTAGTGACAAGTAAGCGATCGGTGAAGGTATCTTGCACCCAACGAATAGGCACATCGAGTTCAACAATCTGCTCGTTGTCGTCAAATGTCGATACCACTTCCAACCTTTCAGATCCTGAAATGGCAGACAGATACATGAACTCATTGGAGTACAATGCTGAGACAGTTTGTCCCTTATCGCCTTTATGCAAGCACGTCAAATGAGGATGAAACGGGTTGTTAGGATGTTGCTTGAATCAACGAATCTATTCAGACTATGATCTTCTTACCGACAAGTGTTTGACAAGTATTCTGGGGAGCACTCGTTCCATTTGATTGACCAAACGAATCAAAATTTGGACCGGTTGCATAAAAGTTTCGTCCGTCTACATACCCATAAATGTTGGAGTCGAAGTCTAAAAATTCGTTTTCCAGAAACATCTCACCCCAGCATATGTCGATTCGTCCTTCGGGATGTATTAGAACCTGCCCATTAAGGCGAGAGTTGTCAGTATTGGAAGGGTCAAAAATTTTCATGTTTTCCCATGAAACAAAAGTCACGCCAGATGGCTCCCTTCGGAAGTATCGAACGTTGCTTTCATTGTCACGGCTGGTATCTAGGTCCATTGAAATGACATTAATCCTCACGTATTCTGTCAATCCGTCACTTCCAACCAGTGCAAGGAAGCCGTTGCTGGAAATCGAGAGGGACGACACTGGATACTTTCCGTCCCACATATACTCAGTCGGAAGCTCGATGCTCTCTGAACAATCGTCGCAGTTTGATACACTTGTGAGCGGGATTGCATCTTCTATCGATGCCAAGGGCACAAAAACGCCAAATGTTGGATTGGTTGGAGCCATAGTTGTTGGGAAAGGTGTATTGCCGGGAATCTCAGTAGACGACGGTGTCGGATACATTGTCAATGCGTCGATGTCATCGTCGTCGCTGTCCTCGAACTCGAAGCATTGGTTGGTTGGATATCGATCTGCAACCGGAAGATCGTCAGCGGAGAATGGATCGCCGTCTGGGTACTGGGCGGAAGTGCCCTGAGTAATATTCAGAAATGAGGCAACGAGGAAGCCTCCATGAATATTCCCTTCTCCATAACATATTTCGATCTTTCCTTCTGATAATATAGCCTGTGCACTGACTTGGAATTCTTTTTCAGTGGCAAACTCGGCGGAAAGTTGTAAATTCTCCCAAGATACCGTCAATTTTGGCAACCTTGCGCTTGGAGCTTGCCGAGTTGTACTAATGTCATCGTTCTCTATTTCTGGTAAAACGAAAATTTCCCCATGAACAGATGTATCAACATTCATTCCGAGTGAGTACCCAAGGGTTTCAATGATTCCGCATGGAGCAGATAAATCGCATTCCAGTATTATGTTTCCGTTGCTCGATATTGACATGAGCCTTACAAATTCTGAGTCACTCCAGCGAAAGTCAAAGGCAGCAGGAACAGCAAAAGATTCGGTGCAAACCTCACTGCATTCAGAAATGAGCTCTAGTCGAACTGCTCTGGGATCATTGGCTATAGACCGAAAGCCTGTTTCTGAATTTGGCGCCATTGTTGGAGTCACTGTCGGTGCTTTAGTCGGCGGGATTTCGGCAGTAGGAGAATTGGTTGGACTAGATCCAATGCCTCGATCGTTCGTAGTCATGGGACTGTCATCGTCATTTCGATTGGACAGGATACCAATCGTAATGCCTTGCGCCACAATGATAAGGAAGAAGCATACCGAAAGGCCGATCACGGTCCCTCTCCACGAAGAAAAATCACTGTCCGGAGAAGGAGCAGATCGACTTTTGTTTCCAGTGTGCACAAGCGAAGATTCATTGTTGATAGCCTGCTCTTGCCGGGATGCATCTCTGCCTCCTTCCATCGTGTTCTTATCACCATCAACGCTTCCATTGTTCGAAGGGCTCTCCAAATTGTCTTTGCTTTCCTGCAAATCGTTTGCTTGGTTTTCGTGCAGGTATCCATTCTGATCAGTGTCACCAGTGACATCGATAGCGCCGTCGCCTTCTTCCAAGTCGAGATCCGATGTTGCAAAATTGGATTCGTTGACGACTCCTCCCTTGTCAGATGTGGTATCTATTATATCATCCAATACTATGTGCACCGATGATTCTTCCTTCTCGTTTTCTGCTTCAGGCTGCAATGGTTCAGCATTATGAATGATGGGCTCGTCGTGATCATCATGTTCTTCATTATCGCTATCGATCTCTGCGCCAATTGCTGCTTCTCTATCCTCGGTAGTGGAAGTTATTTCTTCAACCTTGTCGTCCAGTTCTGGTGCTGCTTCTTGAGTTTCGGCACGATCTGATGCGGATGCTGCTTCGGTGCTCTCCTCAAAGGTCGGCTCTGAAGGATCGTCGACGTTTTCAGGCTGGTCGGCCACAGAGGTGGATTCCGAGTCTCCCTTGTCATTTGACGCCTCAGACGATTCTACTTCCTTGTCCATATTGTTGGACTGTATCGCGTCGGCTGTGTCTGCTCCCGTAAATGCTGCCGAAGAGGGTGCTTGGTTTTCGGTTGATGCCAAGTGGTTTTCCAGAACATTCTCGTCATTCTTGCTAGGCAGTCGTGCATCTTCTTTTTCTGTACAATCCAATGGTTTAGATTCATCATAATCTGCTGATTTCGGTTCATTTTCAGGTCCATCGTCTTCCGCAATAGATGAACCATTGTCGGGTTCATTATCCTCGCCGATAGGCTGAATGGCATCATCTTTCACTTTGGCCATCACTTCGTCTGTTGTATCATCGGTCCCTTCAAAACTCGCAGTATACAGAATTCCATCATATTCACTCTCAATAGCGGCATCGTCCATTCCTTTGACGTCGTTAAGGATTCCAGTGTCGCTGCTAACGTTGACATGCCCATCCTCGTCGGTACTTTGCTCAATTTCGTCCACATATGTGTCGGACATGGGAAGATGATAGCTATTGGGCTCGTTCTCCTCGTTTTGGGAAACCTCTGTTGCTGGTGCGTCTTCTTTGTCCACGCTGGCCGGGGATGGTATCAGCGTTTCTTCCGAAGAAGGAGGAGTGATAGGCTCATTGGCGGCTGTGTCAGTATCCCCAACATCACCATCATCATCATCATCCCCATCATCATCGGAAACGCTATCACTTGGCTTAGATCCAATATCTGCCAAGGCGTCAGTGACATCAGGTTCCAGGTTTTCTGTCATATTGGGCATATTGCTATTGTGATGTGCCCTCTCCCTTGGACTGTTTGATAGTTGCTGTTGCGTATTGCTGGTGGTTGGAACGCTCTTGCATTGACTTTAATAGATCTTCCTCAACAATTTTGTGATTTTGGCGGACAAAAAAATGGCGGACCTCGCGCAGAGAAAACCCCGCGCTCTCGATTCCCAAGAGGTTCAACCGACAAAACTTAGAAACACAAGGGTAATTCAAAATGAGAGTATGTGGGTAATTTCAAAAATACAGCAGAGTATGTGACTTAATCAATCCTTATTTTGAATCCAGACAGGATGTAATGCATTATCCTTATTAGGCGACATGCCTCGTAAAGCAACTTGATCACAATTATCATCCAACCGCCGCTAGCTATCATCGAAAGTAAGTATAGTGTGAGGCTTCAGATCCATTGATTTTGCCGTATAACCAAAATCTCTGTTATCGTAGACCTAGCTGCTACCATTCTTCGCAGCACATGCCAGGATCATATCGCGTATCGTTTCATTCTTGGTGTCTTGAGCTGGCGTTCTCCCTTTCCGGTCCAAACTTCGAGGGTTGGCACCACTTTCCAATAGTATGGTGACAGCGTCTTTCTTTTCCTTGAAGGCGGCAAAGTGCAATGGGTACTGTAATTTGTCATTCGGCGTATCCATGTCGGCTCCGGCTTTTATCAGCGCCTTTAGAATATAGCAGTGACCTAAACGAGAGGCTCTCGTAATGGCTGTTGCTCCCAAGTAGCCTTTGTGGTCCTTTGCAACTACATCGGCAAATGTTGAGAGGATCCATTCCACAACTTCCGACTGGTTGTTTTCCGTTGCCCATATCAGAGCCGTATTCTTGGACTCGTCCACAGCATTAATGTCAAATCCATCACTCTTGGCTAGTTCTCGGATGGTATCCATATCTCCGTTCGCGGCAGCTTTGGTAAGATCAGTCGATGGTTCAGGACGAGGATATTTCTCCAAGGTTCTAGCTGCCGTGCCAAGCGGACTCTCAATATCATAGTTGGTCCACAAGTGGCGCGCCAAATCTGTCAATTCGGACATTACAAAATCTGCCCCGGATTCACTATGTATCTTCTCTGTATCTAATAGTGCAGTAGCAACTCCTGCATTCTTCCCAAACACAATATCGTTTTCTACTGAATCCCCGACCATGAAGATTCCATCGTTTGGCAACTCCATCGACCACTGCTTGGCAATGGCTTGCATGGCTTCGGGTGATGGTTTGGGTGCATAACCTTGTTCATCATCTCGTGTAATCGCAACGTCTAGGTTGACATTAGGTGGTAACACTCGATCGGTCAATACCTTGGCCGATTTGCGAGTATTCCGCGTGACCAGTGCCATTGGTATTTGATGATGGGCCAACCAGCAAGTCAGTTCGGCGGCTCCTGGCATGAGCTGAAGGGTCCGTCGACCTTCTTCTTCCAACTCATCAATCGCCGCAAACGCAATCTGTTGGTCCTCTTTGGAGCGGCTTGCAATCTCTTCCAAAATGTCCTTGGATTGGTCCACTCCGCAGCGTCGGTACATTTCTACAAAGTCCAGGTTTGGAATGGTCAGAGTACCGTCCATGTCAAAGACGACTCCTCTTAGTACGGGCAGCCTCTTGTTGGCCGCACTCGTTGTTATTGAATTTGATGTTGTTACTGTCATGCTAGAAGCAAGTGTGATGCGGTGCGCAAGGGAAACTAAGGATGCCACCAACCAAGTCTTTTTCATTTTACTGACGGTGGATGATGTGTTTGACTTCAGAGATTTCGTGATGACGAGGCAAAAAAGTGAGGGAACAGTAGAGAAGGGCAGACGCTGCGCACGTGGAATTCAGAATCAGAATGTGTAATTCGCACTCGGACCAGTCAAACAACATTGATACGTGTTGATGTCCATGATGCAAGTCAGATTACGTCAGTTGTGCAGACAAAACAACCTCTGAGACTGCAACTCCATCCATCACTTTGGATCCCTCATCTCAAGACTTTTGTTCACTTTCTGGTTCAAGGAGTAAATCTTGCTCTTATCCGAAACGAACCAATCATCTGAAAGACATTGAGAAATCTTCTTTGTAGACCGTTCATTCACCTCGAATTCACTCTACAAATCCACCACCACCACTTTTTCACCTCAAGAACATGAAGATTTCACTTCCTCAGAGTATGCTTGTCCTTTCTACAATCCTAGGAAGAACCTCTGCATTCGTCAAGCCAGCCTACAATCCTGCCCGACAATCTGCGTTCTTGCGAATGGCTTCCACCTCGACCGAAGTTGCCACGGAACAACCTCCCAAGCCCAAGAATATTCGAGCGGAACGTATCTTGTCTGGAGTCCAACCTACTGGAAGCCTGCATTTGGGAAACTATTTGGGAGCTATCCGACAGTGGGTCGACTTTCAAAATAAAGAGCAAACTGATGAAGAGGGAAATGTGGTTCCAGTCGAGAATTTCTTTTGTGTTGTCGATCTTCATGCCATCACCATGCCTCATGACCCCATGGAATTGCAAGAAAGTACTCTCTCCAGTGCTGCCTTGTACCTTGCTGCAGGTATGTAGAATTTGTACGCTTTCGATGAATGAATGATCCATTTCGATGCTGTATTCCATATCTCATCCTATTTTTCAAATCTTGCATTTTCGCCACGCCTACGTTTTTCCCGACTAACTACTCTTCTTTCCAGGTATCGACCCTGTCAAATCCAAAGTTTTTATACAATCCCATGTTCCAGCTCACTCCGAGCTTACCTGGTTGTTGAACTGTATCACTCCCATGAACTGGCTGGAACGCATGATCCAATTTAAAGAAAAATCCAAGAAACAAGGAGAATCGGTCGGTGTCGGTTTGCTTGACTATCCTGTTCTCATGGCTGCCGACATCATTTTGTATCAATCGACCAAGGTTCCTGTTGGAGAGGATCAACGTCAGCATTTGGAAATAACAAGAGATATCGTTCGCCGTTTCAACGATCTCTTTTGCAAAGGAAACAAATACAAGAAGCGCTGCAAGGCTGCCGGTGTCGCTTCACGACCCGTCTTTATCGAACCCAACCCCATCATCATGAAGGAAGGTGCCCGTGTCATGAGTTTGACTGATGGAACCAACAAGATGTCCAAGAGTGACGCCAATGACAACTCCCGAATCAATGTCTTGGATCCTCCAGAAACCATTCGCAACAAGATCAAGAGATGTAAGACCGACGACATTCAAGGAATTGAATGGGACAACCCAGAGCGACCAGAGGCAAAGAACTTGTTGAATATCTACTCTGCTGTCCAACCAGACCGAACCAAGGAGGACATTATCGAGGAAGTCAAGGACTTAACTTGGGGTGATTTCAAGCCCTTGTTGGCTGATGCCATTATCAATCATTTGGAACCCATCCAAAACAGATACCACGAAATCCGGGAAGATAAGGATAGACTGAATGAAATTTTGAAGGAGGGTGCGGATGCTGCCAACACTGTGGCAAAGCAAACTCTATTCAACACAAAGGTAGCCATGGGATTCGTCACTCCAGATGAAGCATAAAATTTAATTTCACAATGAGCTACATTTGTCGAATTCAATCGTCATTCAGGTTGTCTCCATCCATCGCCATTCCGGTTGTATAAATTGTCATTACATTCTACAAAATGATATTCATTTTACATTAGAGATTTGTAGAACAGAGTTTTCGTTCCGCAATTCCTTGTGAAAAGTGATTATTCAATCTACATTATTGGATGTTTTGTATCCATCCATTGGCATTCAGGTTGTTCCAATTGTCATTACATTCTACAAAGTGAGGTTTGTTGTCCATTAGAGACTTGTAGAATAAACTTTTTCGTTCGACAAGAACCCGAAATCGCTATCGTTTCAATTCATTGTGAAAAGTGATTATTCAATATACATTATTGGATGTTTTGTTTAATATCCACCGACGGGATCTAGCAAGATTCCTGCAGCGACAGCGGCAATTGCGAAAACAGAGATACCAACAGCGGCGATGACAGCACCTCTTTGCTCTTCTTCCGTTTGAACATCAACCAAGGCCTGGCAGATATCGTTTGTGGCTCCGCTGTTTTCACATTCAGTGACGCGGTATACCCAACCTCCAGGAGTCGTAGTGCTATCCAAATATCTGTAAGATCCACCTTGTGGTCCCTTGGATGCCAAAGGTCCCCAGTCCTCCCATGATGCAAGAACCTCAAACTCCTCCGTACGGGCGGCACGACGCTTGATAATGAATCCCTTAGTGGCTGCTTCGGAGCTGGTAGTCCATTCCAATTCAACGTCACCATTGATAACCTTAGTTTGAAGACCTCCACCGCTCAATTCTTGAGCTTGACTGTCCATGATCAAAGCACCAGAGGCAGATGCTTCTTCCAATTGACGTTTGCGTCTAGCTTCGGCCTTAGACTTCATGACTTTTCTAATTTCGTCTTCCTCATCGGCAGACATGTTCATCCATGGGGCATATTCAACACCTCCGGCAGTCTTAAACTTGGAAGCCTTCTTCAGCTTGCGGATTTCTTCTTGTGCCAGCTCCTCAACTTCATCTTCAAAGCTTGATTCTCCAGCAGTGGGAGCAGGAGCTTCGGCAGCAGCAGGAGCTTCGGCAGGAGCTTCAGCGACTTGTTCGGTGTCTTCGCTGTCAGCAAAGAATGGCTTGTTCATGGCAAGAGGGCCTATAAAGGATGAAAATGGATTAGTAAATCATAGTCTAATCATCAAGCTGGTCGTTGGTGACGGGAAGAACTATACGTACCGGTAACCACAGCTCTTGGTGCAAAGGGGACGAAAGCATTGGATGTTTCAACGACACCGGCGACGACTAGAAGGAGAGCAGAGAACTTCATTTTGTTTGGACTTTTGTGTGTTGTGATAGCAGCAAAGGTGTGGAGAAGAGGTTATAGAAAACGTTCAAGTCTTATTTTGCAATACGGTAGACTGTGTCAGACGACACATCAGGGCAGGTGACGTGTGTGAACTGAAACCGATTGACTGACATGACTCCACTACCACTGAGTTGAGAGTGATCGATGAGAGACACCTAGTGACTCGACTCATTTGAACACCAATATACGACTGAAATTCAAAAAACAACTTCTGGGTGGGTTCGTACACTTGAAAACTGATACTATTGTACATCACAATTACAGTACTCTAACATATCCAACAACACTTCTCATTGGTATCCAACGTTGTGTCTGTGCTTTCATGTGAAAAGTACATATTACGAAATCCTTGACAAAGACACCAGAACTTGGAACATCCGCAGCAGAACCCTACAAAGATACCACAGCATCCACTGTCTTCTCTGACATCCAACGAGGCGTCTTTGGCAGTGTCCCGATCGCAAATGTTCAATCTTGTGTATATCTTCTTGAAATCCTTGAAATCCATCCAAAAGGCTCCGTCATCGTCGTTGACGAAATTGCATTGTTTGGCGATACTGGGGTATCTTGTCCACATGTTGCTCTTGTCACTCCACTTTCCCTTCCATTCAAAGGATCCCCAAGGGTTTCGAATCTTTAGCAATTTAAAGGACTCTCCATTCGGCTTTGGTAGACCTCCTGGAAGTGTCTCTGAGAGCTCCATGGCAGAAATGACCGAATAGGCGTGACCGGCCACCAGTCCTTCCTTTTCTAACATTTGCTCCCCCGCAGGTCCATCATTTTCACGGTACTCCACCTTTCCAATACTAGCACTGATCAGTGCCTTTTGTTTGTCATACTTCTTGAGTAGAGTCCATACTTCATCGTTGCTGTACTGTTCCTTGGTCGTCTTGAAGCCACAGTCACGCTTGTCTTTTGCGTTTTGCCGTGCCACCATGTCTTCTCGCGTCCAACTCTTGCCCGTTTTCTTGTTGATGGACAATTGAAAGACATTGTCTCCCGTCATGGACAACCATCCCCAAAGAACAAAGCCACCTGAAAAGGAGAGAAAATGAAAATGAAAGTAGTAAAGAACAATGATATCAAAATGAGAGAACGGCAAGAAGAACCATGCAGTGCCTATTCCTTTCGGTCACAAGTCACATCTATTACCTTCAATCGCCGCATAGCTGCCACTGTGCTTCGCATACGCTTTTTCCAATAAAATAGCCCAAAGTTCATTTCCATTTGGCTTCATGAAGCGTGGTCGGTTGCTTCCCTTTTCACAAGGAATCCGATCATCGACGGTCACAGTCACCCATTTCTTGAGCTGCGGATCGTAGATACGGATCTCGTATTTACCACGTGGGTTGTATTCCTTCGTGAGAAACATGTGCCGAATCATGTCCGGAAATTCCGAAGCACACGCAAAGGCAGCCACCAACCAGCAATCTCCGACGGCGCCTTGGCACAAATCGGATGGTTCAATCTCGCCTTCAAAGAGTTGGGGACGTTTGCCTTTGAATTGGTACAAATCTTGTGCCCGAACCCAGTCTGTATTCTTTTGCATACTTTTCCCACTTTGACTTGGAAAGCTGCCCAAGGCATCCGCTCCATAAAAGGAGTCATCTTCATAGGGCCAGCCAAAACAGCAACATAGATACCTCCAGCAAAATCCCACCATTAGTCTTTGCATCAAAATTGATCCACAAGGAAAGACAAAGGTGTGAATGGACCGCCAGACAAGGCCAAAAGTTCCGAAGATGGGGCAGCACAAGGCTGTAGAGTTGACAGAAAGACACGATATGTGAGAAATGAGAACACCAGCTGCTGAAGCCGCCAGCCAAAAGACACTCGTTTTGTCCAGTTCAGCGTACCATTCCAGAAGAGGCCAGCTCTACCATGATACAATTGCTTTACTGTCGGCATGTTGTCGTCGTTGGTGTTGCTCTTGTCGCCGACAATATGAATGAATGCAGTTGATGCTGGGTCAAGGATAATAGGTTCGGCGAAAATGGAAGCGAGGTGTGATTCAAAATTATTCACTTGATCTGTCGCTGGTCCAACCAGTCATGCAAGTCTTCGCCCGTCTGTTAGTGACTGCGATATTGCTTTGATTCCATCGACCACTCCCATCATCTCCGAACCCATCATTCGTTCTCCATCAAAGATTTTAAGCTTCTCCTTTCATCGCTCTCAGAGAATTTACCATCAACATGAATCAGTACAATCCCCATTCATGTCGGAGACCGCAAAGAGCCGTCTTCATTTTCTCTCTTTGCTATTGCACTCTGATAGCGTCAATAGTGCACCATGTCCAGGCCTTTGCTCCGCATCAGTACAGCAGCAGCAGTGTTCAAACGAGAACCATGATTGGTGGTCGTAATAGTATGAAACCAGAACTGATGCCAATCTCTCCTCTTTTATCGACAGCTGCAAAAGGTGAAACTACCACCACTTCGCCCACCGGTAAAAGCAAGAAGAAACGAAAGCCACGATCCAAGAATAACAAACGACGACAATCGAAGATGCCAGACTTGGTGGAGACTTGGAGAGTCTATGGACTCAAAGTCCACCCCGACGATTTGACCCAAGATGATGACGAAAACAAGAGTGTTTTCGATCAAAAGCGAGATGCTGCAGATGGAGAACCCAAGGCACCCATTCCCAAGGCCCTTGAAGACATTCTACTGAAAAAGTTAAAAGTGTCCGAACTCCCACCGAATACCAACCTCGTACGACGATCCCTGGACGCCCGCAAAAAGTTGGAACATCCCACCTTTCAATATGTTGTCGACGTGCCACTGACACGACAAGATTCGTACAAGTTGGGATGGAAGAACCGACCTGGCCGTACCGAAATTTTGGAAATCCAAGCTAAGAATGAGACCGCGAGCACAAGTGACGAATCGTCGTCAGCATCCAATGAGAAGAAGCAAGTCATTGTCGTAGGCACAGGTCCTTGTGGACTCTTTTGTGCCCTCCAACTGGCATTGGAAGGAGTTAAGCCTATTTTGATCGATCGTGGAGAGCCGGTGGAACGACGAGGACGAGACATTGGTGCCCTCATCCATCGACGAAACATGAATCCTGAAAGCAACTTTGCCTTTGGAGAAGGAGGTGCAGGCACCTGGAGTGATGGCAAACTGACCACAAGGACTGGTCGAAACTCGGAAAGTGTGCGATGGATTTTGGAGAAGCTGGTGGAATATGGAGCGCCGTCCAACATTCTGTGGGAGGGAGCTCCCCATTTGGGAACCGATAATCTTGTCAAGTTGCTGAGAAAGATGCGAGAGCATTTGAAGGAACTGGGCGGAGAAATTCACTTCGGTACACGCATGTCCAATCTGATTCTCGAGGATGGTGTGGTCAAAGGAGTACAAGTCGAAGACGAACAAGGATCCAGAACCATCTTTGCAGATGCCACTGTCTTGGCCACGGGTCACTCTGCGCGCGATGTGTACGAATCGCTGAACTCATGCGGTGTGCAACTCGAAGCAAAGGGATTTGCTGTCGGCTTTCGCATTGAACATCCACAAAAGTTTATCAACAAGATTCAGTATGGCAACGAGTGGGGCCTTGCTGTGAAGACGGGCAAGTCCACAACTGACGAAGTCAACCTGGAACATTTTGGAGGAACGCCCTCCGAACACGAAGGCAAGCTACCGGTTCCCAGTTACCGTTTGGCAACTGATAAGGCTGAAGATGGGACTGGCAACTACCGCGGGGTCTACAGTTTCTGCATGTGTCCGGGAGGACAAATTGTCCCGGCCTCCACCAATTCCAGCGAAGTTTGTGTCAATGGCATGAGTTTCAGTCGACGGGATTCCTTGTGGGCCAATAGTGCTTTGGTGGTGACAGTTGCTCCAGATGATCCCGTTTTGGAACCATACCGAGAGCAATACGGTGTCTTGGCAGGACTGGAATTTCAACGAGACATGGAACGTCGGGCAGCAATCTTGGGAGGGGGAAACTTGACGGTCCCTGTCCAACGAGTGACAGACTTTTGCGAGGGACAAGTGTCCGAAACCATCCCTTCCTCTTCCTATCGATTGGGAGTCCAATCGGCACCATGCCACGAACTTTATCCCGAGCCCATTACCAGAGCACTGACCAATGCATTGACCAATCAATTCTCCGACAGCATGCCGGGTTACTTCCATCCAGACGGATTGTTGCATGCAGTGGAAACTAGAACATCCAGTCCCATGAGAATATCTCGAGATGCAGAAACCTTACAAGCAATCGGGTGTGACGGACTCTTTCCTGCTGGAGAAGGGGCTGGATTCGCTGGTGGCATTGTTTCTGCGGCGGTTGATGGGGTGAATGTAGCCGGAGCGGTCATGGACAAGCTTGAAGGTACATCTTCCAGAACGGGACAACGATCAAAGTCAGTGGGCTTTTCCTACTAGAAACAGCAATATAGCATGCACCATTTCTCAAATAGAACAATACAACTATATTCTTAGCGTCTATTCTTCTTTTTGTATTTTACATCTTCAAATTACTATTGCACATGACTCGGCTTTCATTTACAATTCTTCCACATACTCGCCCATGACTTGATCCACATTTTCTACAGGAAATTGGTGCATGGCAGACATTTGATCCACATCCAGCATGCCTTCGGCCGAAGCATCCATAGAATCCGTTGCTTGTGCTGCTGCTAGCAAGACATCATCCAGCGGAGACCCATCATCAGAACGAGAGAGTCTTTGGACCCATGAAAAACCGAGGGACTCGAGTGCACGCATGCGATCTTCGTTCATGTTGCTCGTGGTGAGATTGCCGGATTCTCGACCCTTCATGTACAAGCGATATTGAGTACGTTGGGTGCCAACCCAAATCCCTAGTTCTGGGTTCTCCGCGTACTTGGATGGAACATTGCAGTGACCATGGATTCGTTTGAATTCCTTGAGGTCCTCATATCGTTGATTCCAAGACTCGCCAAAGGTATCACGAGAACGAATGGTCCAGGTAAAACTCAAATCATTGAGCAGTCCAATTCTCTCTGGAGTCAACGAAGTTGACCGGCGGCCCTTGTTGGCATCGGGCAACTGGCGCACCATCTTATATTGTTGGCGCTGGGCGCTGACCCAAATTCCTAAACGTCGGTTCTTCTCGTATCGGGCTGGTACGTTACAATGGCCGTGTTGAGCTTTGTAATCTGTGATTTATCGAACAATCAAACAAAAAGGGAGAAACGTGAGGGCACCAATTCATTGTAGTCATTGATAAATCCAAACAATGAAAATAAAAACATGTACATACCTTTGAGTTCTTCGTAGTGCTTTTGCCAGTCATCTCGCAAGGACCAGACAAAACCCAAATCCTCCAGTCGTCGAATGCGGTCATTTGTCAGACGACCTACCAGTGGCTTGCCCACATCTCCCGCCGGAATCGGGGATTCCCGATCTTCGCTGCCGCCGATGCTGCCATTTTGTGTTGTTTGGGAAGCCAATATCTTTTGAAGCTTTTTATATTGGACACGTTGGGTATCGACCCAAGTGCCTAGCTTTGGATTGTCCTTGTAGCGCTTTGGCACCAAGCAGTTGCCAGTCTTGTCCTTGTACTCACGAAGCTTCTCAAACATAATGTCCCATTGGTCGTCGTATGTGTTGCGGACACCTCTAGAGATATCGGCACCCTTTTCACCATCTCGTGCGGACCAGACAAAGCCCATGTCTTCCAATCGCTTGCGTCGATCTTCCGTGAGGCGATAGTTGATTTTGTCTTGGGCACAGGACCGGAGGGCAGCGTTTTCCTCCGGCGTCAAAGATGAACTTTGACCCGCCAAGAGTTTGGCAACCTCTTCTTCGGTGATAGGAGGACCATTCTTGCCAGCAAGTAGCTTGCGATTTTGAATTCGCTGCGTGTGGACCCAAGTACCGAGCTTGGTGTCAGCTTGATAGCGCTTGGGAACACGACAGTGTCCATTCGCTTCCTTGAATTGCAATAGACGTTGAAACATTTGATCCCATTGTTTGTCGTAATATCGCTTCATCTTGTTCTTGACCTTCCACTCAAAACCGACCGACTCGAGTCGGCGGAGACGATCTTCGGTCAAGCGAGGATTGGCCACCTTTGGTTTGGAATCGTCCGATACCGACTCGACATCTTGGTCTGCTGGCTTGGGTGCTGCGGCAACAGAAGCATTTGGATTTTGATTTTGCTTCTGCTTTTGCATCTTGGAGTACTCGTATCGTTGTGTCTCGACCCACTAAGAATTAATTAGGAAAACTTTTTTGTGAGACATTTTTGCAAGTGACAACATGTGTTTAAATCTTTTTCTCTGGTTGTTTTCTTACCTTTCCCAACCTGAGATTGGATTCAAATCGCGAAGGCACCAGGCAATCCCCATGAACCTTTTTGTAGTCCAACAATTGACGAAACATTTCATCCCAATGATCCTCAATGCGTTTGTTCCTCAAGGACCAAACAAATCCCAAGGCATCCAATCGTTGTTTGCGCGAGGGTGTCAATCGCTTGAGTTGGGCATCCTCTTCTACTGGAGCAACAGCACTCTTTGCTTCCTTGTTCCAAAGGACTCGTTGGGTCTCGACCCAAGTGGCAAGTTTGGGATCTCCTTCAAACTTGCGAGGGACGAGGCAATCGCCATATTGCTGTTTGTATTGCACCAAGCGATGGTACATTTCTTCCCATTGAACTTCATTCAAATGCTGTTTGCGCTGTTGTTGCAAATTGACGGGTTCCGAACTATTAGTGCTATTCGAGTCGTCATCCTTGTTTTTGGAGGAAGTCGACTTTTTGACAAACTTGGCCACCCAGGCGAATCCTACCGATTCTAGTTTGTTCAAGCGTTCGGAAGTCAAACGCTTGTTTGGAAGGACAATCAATCGGCCACTTTCATCTTGACTGCGAACGAGTCTCTTGTATTGGACTCTCTGTTAATGAATGAATGCAAAAAGTAGTGGATGAGGTGAGCGAGCGAGTGAGTATCATATACTAATAACGGCAGTCTAGTACACAACTTCCTAATACAAAAGGGTACAATACATACCTGTGTTTCCACCCAAGTTCCTAGTTTGGGATCATCGGCAAAGCGTTTGGGAACCAGACAATTGCCATATGCCTGCTTGTAACCTTTTAGTCGTTCAAACATGGCGTCCCATTGGTCATTATGGACCTTTTTGGTATTAGCAGAAGCTGCCCCTGGATTGGATGGCATGGGCAACTGCAATAGTCCACCATTACTATTATGATCCATGTTATTGTTATTATCCATATGCAAGAGCATGCTATCTTCCATTCGCAAACGTTTGGCATTGGGCGAATCATCCAACGCATTGGCGTCTTGAGCTGGACGCTTCTCGTTATGAAGGTGATGATGATGGTGATGGTGCTGTTGAAACTCCAAAGGAACATCCATGTCATCTGTGTCTAGCGGATCGGCATCCAGGTTGTACGATTCCGTAGAATCATGATGCTGAAGATGGTGGTGAGGATGATGATGCAGCTGTGGATCCTCTTCCTCTCCGAAGCCTCCTTCTGGGGCCCACTCCGAAAAATTTGATTTGTTGTTCATGATAACAGAAACCGCTTCATGGCTGTAAGCACCGGGATATAATTGTGCTAGAGCAGCGTCGGGTGTGTGAGTTGGTTGTGTTGGTGTAGGTTTGGCAAGAACGACTCCAGTATTACTCATCACCGTGCTTTCTTTGGGATAGAGGTAACCCTCGAATTCTGTGTGAATCCGAGATCGAAATTGAGGTCGTGAGCAAAATCGCCTCAAGTCGAAAGAAATACGATTTTTCGATCGATTTTTGGGGATCTGCGAGATTTCTACGGATATCGCGTTGACTCTGGTAGGTTTTCGAGAACCATGGACTAGTAGAACACGGGTAAACTCTGGTACGACCCATACGGTACCATCTGACCGTTCACACGAAAAACTCGGACTAAAAAATCAGGATGACGGCACAGATTTGACATCCACACATTTGGTGGCACGGATGACTGGCTCCCTTATTAGATTGATAATTTTTACGTCATCCAGCTGTTGAAGCTTACTTATGGCAGAGATACCGAAATTACTAACATTCACTGGAAGGAGTTCTCTCTTACTAATGAAATTGAAATTCCACGTTTTACTTGGTGTTGAAAATTCTGCTTGGAGAGGCGTAAGGTGTAAGGTTTCCGATCAAGAAAGAATTCTGAATGCGACTGTCTGCCTTCTTCCCCGTTGAGTACAAGACCTCCAGTAGGTAATGAATGAACATACCATTGAAACATAATAATCATCACTAATCTGAAATCGCCTATTGGAATAAGCTTGTTATATATGCCGCCTACTGCACTGGGAGAATCGACATCTTTCCCGTACGAGGTACCACACGACCGCCATCAGTCAAATGAAATAAGGTGAACCCAATAACTAAATGGAATGGCATCTTATAGTTTTTTCTTCAATTGTAAGTGTAGTGGTCGCATAGTGTAGTAGTGTAATGGAATATAATATAATATAATATAATATAATATAATGTAGTTTAGTGCAGCTACCATCCAGGGGGTCGATTCGGAATCGAGCAAATCGTATGCTCTTCCCGCCGAACCCTAGTACCTTCCGCTATGATCACAGTACCCAAGAATGCTCTGCTCTACTTTTCTATTCCCCAGTGAGCCCAGTGAGTATTCAAGTCTATTAGTAGTAATCAGTTCCCCAGTGTGCGTTGACGTTTGAACGTGTGTGTTTAGGCATAACTCATTCGATGTCCCGTCATTTTGCTTCCCTTTGTTGGGCGTTTCGGAAACCAGCTTTCCGCATCAATCACATCGCGGAATTCACCGGGTTGACACGCATCGGCACAAAGTCCACATCCTTGTCCCACCAGCAAGCGTTGGGTATATTCCGTGATGGAAGGCAAACGGGCCAATTGAAAGTTGACTTCGCCCATTAGTTCATGCGTCGTTTGCAAATCGCGGCTCGTTGGGGCACTCTCAATTTGAGCTTGCGTACTCAAAACGTCCTCCAACTTGCGGAGGTTGTCAAAGGCAGATTCAAAATCAAAGTCTCGGAGTTGACAATATATCAAACTCTTGATGGAAGCATTCCATCCTCGTTTGGCATGTGCTACGTAAGATTCTTGTTGGAGTTTGGCGACATCCATGTAAACATTCTTGGCGTTTGCGTATTTGGACTGCAGGCAGTAGACGTAGGCAATGTTTTGCATGGTCGTCAGAATTAGTTTGTTGTCTGCCTCTAACAATACTTTTTGAATTTCCAACGAGTCATTCAAAAAGGCAATGGCTCTATCATGATTGCCACGCTCCAGTTCAATGTAAGCCAAATTGCAAATGGTCGATGCCATGGTCAAGAATCCCGGTTTCGTCGAGTCGCTTTTGCTGTTCAAGTTGTTTCCATTCCATTCTCCAAAGGCAGCCTTTTGATGCTCCAGTGCTTTGTTGTAAGTTTCCTGTGCGGCATCTAATTGATCCAGCTCCGTGTAGACGCAACCCAGATTGTGCAAGACCTTGGCCATGTAGAGTTGTGCCTTGTGCCGTTCTTGGCACTCTTTGGCATTGGTCATTCCCTCTTCCCGGACTTCCAGTGCCTCCAAAAAAACTTTTAATGCCCGATCATTCTCTTTCAGTGCCATGAGAATAATACCAAATTCCACCAACGAGTCTCCGACTTTTGGATGCATGGCACCCAAGGCAGCCTTTCGTATTCGAAAAGCTTCCTCAATAGCATCCTTGGCATCGCTCAATTCGTTCGCCCGTAAATTGGCCACTGCAATATTGTGAAGCGCCGTTCCAATCCGTTCATGGTTCATATCATAACGAGTCAATAAATCCGCCAGAATACCTTCAAAGGATTGAATCGCCAATCTGTATTTTCCATTCTAGTAGTAATAATATATCAAATGAATTTTACGTAAGCAACAGCAGTAAATATCATAGACCAAGAAATCAGTTGATACACCAGCCAATTTTCTTACATCCATTTCCTTGCAAGCAGTTCGATGCCTCGACTTTAAATCCTTCTCGAATCGCTTGTTTTCCGCTTGTGACGACTCCGGTGACTTGGCACTGCTGCTGTTGTCAGTAATCCGTGAAAAGTGATCATAGTCATCTCCACTCTTGGTTGAGAACGTATCGGTGAAAGAGTTCACACTCCGGTGCTGACTGAATCCGTCTGCTACCATATGGGCCACCCGGGAGCTGCGTTCTTCTCTTTATAGTGCAACACTAAAAACAGGCTCTGTCTGTGTTGCGCAACACAGAATGCTACTGTAGCTGATGAGCGCTGAGAGAGCGGGAGTCTCTCCGTTCGTGGAAAAAATGAGCATGGGCGAAGCCCGGCGAGCGCGCGCGTGATTTTAATTTACATCTTCATACATGAGGATACTTGGACACGGATCGAATTATGTAGCGACCAAGACGTAACGTCAACTTTAGGTATTGCGTTGCCCGTGGGCGATAGTCGGACTGGCGCGCTTTTGAAATCGAAGTTTTGGCGGTCGATTCCAAATCTTGAAATCGCCGCTCATATTATTTCCTGATCGTCAAAATCTCTGTCAAGTCGTTATCAAACATCAAAATGAAGTAAGCAACTGCTAGCCGTGTATCCTCGTGTACATCATATCAAATTGACTAGTCTCTAACATGTACACTGTATCTTTCAATCATTACAGGATCTCCAAGAAGAACCAAACCTCCACCACCGAAAAGGCACCCAAGAAGGGACTTCTTGGCAAGCTTGGCTTGAAGAAGAACAAGAAGGCGAAGGAAGGGGAAAAGCCAGTCGAGGAAGAAAAGCCGGTCGAGGAAGAAAAGCCAGTCGATCCTGAACCAGTCAAGGAGGACGCTCGTGAGCTTGAAAAGCCCGTCCAATCGGTTGACACTGAAGCAACAAAGGACGACACTGAGCGTGAGCAACCCGAGAACAAGCCACCCACCAGTCCTTTGTTCTGTGGATGCCTCTAAGTTGGCTGCTGCCTCCAATCGTGTCATCGGAAGTGTTTTTCGTGGCATGTTCCAAATTGGGACGAATCGATCCATCGTTCCTATGTATCACTACTACTATCTAGAACGTAAGAAATGCAAAGGATCAAAATTAGACGAAAGAAATCAATGGAATTTTCCTATTACGATTAAAATAATAGCATTGCTTTGACATTGCCACTAGAAAATATGTAGTACCACACAAAACTTGAGAATCTTGTTGCCGGAAGGGGCGGTGCAAAGAGGTATGACGAAACAGTATTGTACTAGAATACCAATCAACTGACGCACATGGTCGAATATCAATTTTAATCCATATGTACGGACACATTTTATTTTCAAAAGATAAAAGTCTTCGACATTCTATTGCCACAAGGACTAGTATCACACAAAACTTGAGAATGTTCTTACGGGTCGGCGGAGTGCAAAGAGGCAAGCGCCGAGGAAAAGGGGTATCATATAGAATACCAATCAACGGACGACACAGTAGGATTACCCATTTCACATGCTAGGACCATAGTTTACAGTTATTATAGTTTATTCCATCCATGTAATATCCCCCAAGAGCAAGGTTTGCGAGGGCAGTGATCCAGCGCACGGTGACAAGAGGTGCAAGGAATCCGTCTCGGAATGGATGCGTTCCACCGCACAAAATCCCGCCACTCCCGCACAGACCAGATCCCGGGCCCGTCCACTGGCTTGCCACTTGGCGACCGACGACGGATGACAAACGGCCAGTAGGGCGTGTTGCAAGGATTCGGCTTCCGTGTCCAAGTCGACCCTGGAAATTTGGACGGCATCGGTAGTCTGTTGTTGGGCGACGGGCAACAAACTACTGGACAAGGCCATGCTGGAGAGGCGGTAGATTTCCACATCGGTAAACTTGAGTTGGAGCAAAAAGGGAGTCAATTGTGGTACTTTTGACGTGGTCGCAGTCGTATCCGCCGTTTTGGGTGGATCAACAAAGTCTCCATAAAAGTATCGCTTGACGGATCTGGATCTCGAGTATTGAAGAAAGGTATCTGGCCGGCTGACCACACCACCGGAGCGGGGCAATTTGAGTACTTTGGGGACGGTCGCAGTAGGATTCTTTTGAAGAATCTTTTTGTAGTGGCTGTTCATCATGCTGTACAATCGGTCGTGTCCCAGAATTAAAATGACTGATATATCCATGGCCTCGGCTACGTGCATTAGCAATTTATAACCATCATCTTGAATCCATCCATTGGTATTGACAATAATTCCAGAGGACCGGGCATTTTCGTCTTGTGCCAGTCGTTGATTAATATTTTCCGCTAGACGATCCACTTGGGCCCGAAACAAGTCGGGATGAATTTTGGAATTGGAACCATGATACATGGCCAAGGGATGAACGGTATTGGGTGGAATGCCGCAGGTGGCATAGCTTTCCACCGTGACCGCAGAAGCAATCATGGGAGCCACACTCAAGGATCCCGAGACACTAATGGAATTGTCGACTGGATCCAAATCGACCCACAGAGGGGTGCGGCCCACTTTGGTGGCATAAGCAACAAGCGTCTTGCAAAGACTGGTTTTTCCAGATTCCGCAGGACCCACCACCATGACACGAGGCCCTTGGACAAGTTTGGGGCCAGCGTCATTATTATTGTTCTTCATGGAGTCTTGCTGTTGCTGTTGTTGTTGCGTTTGATCTTGCTGTTGTTGTTCTTGGTAAGCTTCATCCCGTAGAGCTTCCAATTGAGCATGCGTATTGACATAGGCCACATTGGAAGTCGTCTCATCTGAAGTATAGGAGATCTCCACGTCTGCATCCACGTCAACGACACAGCCATGCCAAGTAAACAAGGCTAACTTCAACCCACCAGTGGCAATTGCGTAAGGCTTTCCCAAGGCCAATTCGCATCCCCACAATTCACAGCTTCCCTTTTGCAATATGAAACTGGCCGGGTTGGTTTGGGTCCCGAAGGGGACTTCCACGCGCAATTCTTCCAGCGGTTGCATGATGTGTCGTTCTCCCACGACTTCGGGGAGGTTAGAAGTGTCGATATCCACTGTCATGGCGGTGGTTTTGGAGGTGTAGAAGGTGCTTGGAATGACACAAGAGAGCTGTTTTGGCACGCTATCTGTGTGGTTGATGATGATGTGTTGATTGGAAGCATGGTTGAGTAGGGTCAAAGAAGTCGAACGCCGACTGTCCTTCCTTCCGTTCCTTCGCTCGCTTATCGCTCTTCGCGCTTTTCGTTCAAAATTTTGAAAAAAAGACGAATAAAATTCACGATTGAAGCGATGACAGAAGGATTCTGACTACCGGTACAGTATATTATATTGAATATGTTCAAGATGATCATTTCTCTTCATCTTTCAGCTCCCACCAATCCGTTCTTGTCTACAGCTATGGAGACTCCATGCGTCAATGTCACAAAAACCTAACAAGTGGGTGATATTACCGGTATATTGCCATGGACGGAAGATCCACGAATATGAACATGTGTGTAATCGAGACAACTCGCCACTATCCACGGAGAACACACGGCCATGCTTGGATGATTTGGCGGCAATTCTTCTCAAAACTATTTTGATTGTTCGAAAATGTGGAAACGAATGGGGATTGCTGCCCACCTTTTGATGTCCATGATGACGAAACCATTCTGCACGGCGGCGGCGGCGGCAGCGACACGAGAACGATTTGCGACAGCACCAACCTCGGACGAAGCGTCTTGCGTACAACGTCCTCCCGTTGGCTTGGACTACTATCCAAGCATCCAGGCGCACTGCCCTCATCCTCCGGTGATTGACCAAGACCAGTGGGTTGCCGACACTTTGGTGTCCTGGTTTTTGACGAATACGACTCAAACACCAGATGGATTCTATTGGCATTCCAATTTGACAATTCATAGGAGAAAGAAGAAGAAGAACGCTTTATCACCATTTGGGTCGTCGTCGCTAGGTATCTTTGCGACCGGTAGCATCGCCAGAGGCGAGCGTCTGGTTGCGTTTCCACCACTAGATACGGACAATATTGAGATGTCAACAATAACTCTACTCATGGACCTGCTCTGCTACAACTGTCCCTCCCATGATGATCATCGTAACCCAGTCCATATCAAAGAGAGCAGCACAACCACCATTCTTGCGGATCATGGCACGGAGGCTAGCGCTGCAAAGGATCTACAACAAGGCGACGAGCTTTCCTTTGGCGAATCAAGTCTCTTATTGCCATGGTGCAATCATTGGTTATTGAAAAGATGACGCTATGATATTACAATTCAATATATACATATCTTTATGAAGATACGAATTATTATAAATTTACAAATAATAATATATTATGAAATACGCAATATTCATTTCCGAAAGTGCCCTGCCATAAATGCAATAGGAACAAACGACACTATGAATTATTTTTAAGCGGCTCAAAGTCGTCCGTTGGTGCTGGGAACATTTCCGAAGATTTCTCTGGCTGTTTCAGCTCCTCATACGTTTGTTGGTAAAGCTCCTCGTCTGCCTCATCTCTAAATAAAGAAAAAGAGAGTAGAAAGGATGAGAATCAATCAGTCACAAGGAGGAGCACAACAGAAAGATTCTCCTTCATTGTGACACTTACATGGAGGAAGCAATTGAAGAGAAACCTCCTGAAGAGAATTGGAGATTTTTCTTCTCAGTGAAACTTTCTTTACGCTTTCTCTCTCTGCTCGTCGGAGTTCCAGGAATAAGGCTCCTTATCTTCCGCCTTACCGTGCCGTCCATGCTAATCGACGAGGATGATGGACGTCTGCCCTTTTTTATTCGTCTCTTACCACTCTTGGATGGGGTCGGCGACGATACTTGCCCCACTAGGGAGCTTCTCGCTTCGGCTCCTTCCTTCTTGAAAGTGACAGCGGGCTCCGATGAGCGTTGGGACCTGTCAAAGCCGTCCGAGCGTTTGGATTCGTCAAGAGTTTGACCTCCAATCCAGTAGGTAGTCATGCTACCTTTACCCTTCACTGCAATTTTGCCTCTTCTCCTGATTGGAAATTCGGGTGCTTGTTCCCTGAGAAGTTTCGCTGAGACGTTCGAACAATGGATTCGGTCACTTGCCGAATTACTTTCCATTCTTGATGCGGTATTCATTGTGTCTCCAAAGAGTCCATACCTTGGATTCAGTGATCCGATCACATTACTGACTACATTACCAGAATGAAAGCCTACACGGATGTGCACACAACCAAGACCTGGCTCATCCTCGTCGATCCAGACTTCACCAGCCGCTATTACGGCATCAACTGCAAAGTCTGCAATTCGCCTCACATGGGAATCATCTTGATTCCCTTCCACTGCAATGCAAAGACAATCAGCAATCATCGGAAATGAATCGTGAGTCATATCCCAAGTAAAACCATCTCGACTGCAAAGTTCATCCTAGTCTACTCACAGTTTGTAACCCCGACCCATGCATCACCAATTGTTTCAACCTTGAAGACCTCATGCTTGTTGGCTAGAGCATCAAATGCAATGTACAATCGATCCAACATGCTGCATACTTTCACAGGCGACAACTGCCTGGAAATGTCTGTGAACCCAACAATGTCGCTGAAGAATACCGTGACCATCTCATGGCTCTCACTGCGGAATAGAAAATGGTAAGCCAGAATATGTGGAAACAAGTAAGACAAAAAGAAACGGCTCCAATGTACACGTACGGCTCCACCTTTTTGCCAACCTTGATCTGGTCGGCCACCTTCCTTGGAAATACCTTGTACAACATGTCGCCAGACGCAACCTCTGTTCTTATACGCGTATTGCCCTCTTCGATCAGAGGTTCCACATCGTTGCTAGACATATCTGCAAAAAGCATATCCAGGTCTTCGGCTGCTGGCCGAATCGCAGACTTTCCGTTCCAGCACTTCTTCATGATCTCTCGCATCTTGTCTGGACAGGTTGCTGGTATCGCTGGGCGATGATTGACTCTTGGATCACACACTTTTCGCAAAATCTTGCGCGGATTCTCGCCATCGTATGGAGACTTGCGGCTGTAGATCTCATACAAAATCATACCGAATGAATAGATGTCACAAGCAGGATTGTAGGCAACCTTTTGCAGTAAGTATTCGGGCGCCATCCTGGAAACGATTCGAAAAGCGATATGCTGTTAGTGAAGAGAAGATATAAAATCAGAGAAAAGTATCTTCGCAAATCAAACCTACCAAAAAGGTGTCCCCGATAATCCTCTCTGGTTCTTCGTCTTGGCTGCAAGACCGAAATCGGCGACCTTGGCTCGGAACCTGGAATCGATGAGGATATTTTTTGCTTTCAGGTCACGGTGAAGAATGGGAGGCTTCGATGCATGGAGAAAGCGCAAACCTTGGGCGACATCTCGCACAATCTGAATGATGATATCACCTCCCGTGTACACTGTTTCGTTTCGCAAAAGGTCGTACCTGAAGAAACAATGAACGAGTCAGAATAGAAACAATCGGTAGCCGCACCGTAACACATAAATGTAGTACTTACAACGAACCATTCTCCATATATTCCATTACCTGAAGCAAGAGGCACAAGTAAACGATGAGTTTGGTCAAATACCAGGTGACCCAACACGGTCGTAAACCTGACTTACCATGGTTGGTTCTCTCCCAGTCATAACTGCACCCATGACTGTTGTGATACCTGAGACACGCAAAGCAAAGCAAGGTAAGAACCACGAACCAACTAGATGGAAAATACACCCGATACTTACAAGGATGCCGAAGCCTAGACAACATTCTCATCTCCGTAACGAATTCAGACCGACGGTGACGTGCCTCGTCACATGCTGGACAAAAGAGTTCGAACATCGATCGTTTTGCGGAGACTGAACCTTCTGCTTGTGAAAACATGCCGAGGATTCTTAAAGTATGCCGAGACGAAGCGTTGGTGCTACTCCTGTCCCTGAATGGGAGGAATCGTTGCAAGGCCGATTTCTGCTCTGCTCGAGTCAAGTCGTCCAGGACTCGGAGGCCATCCGAAGCAGAAGATGCCGAGTCATCATCAACTACTGCGGTCACATCTATAGACCCAGAACGATTTCCACTTTCAAGATCTCCCAAATTTCCACCTGAAGCCCCATATCGTTTCCCGGAACCGGATCCAAAACTAACAACGGATCCTGACATCCTGTTTCTTCGATCACTGCTCGGAATGACTCTTTTGATTGCTACCTTGGTTCCTCGGTAATGCGCCAGCAGGACCACTCCGAAGGCGCCCTGACCGATCACTTCCACGGGATTGCCAAACTCCAGGTCTTCGTCATTGACATGCCACACTTCATCATTCTTCTTTCGCCTATGATTTAGCAGAAGAGACCCCAAAACGAATGCAACGACAAGACTAACTGATGATATAATAATAGCCATAGTGCCGTTGGGCAAGCAACGACTTCCAAGGTCATAGGTATCGTCAGAACATTGACAATCGCCAATTGCATTCTGCGAAAGGAAGAAACAACAGGCATAAGAGACTGGATGATGCGAAACTGGCTTCTGAAGTTGAAACTCACCGGTGCCATTCCTTTCCCTGGGAAATCGGCTTCGCAGTTGCGAGATACGATTTGGACTCGGACTGGCGACTCTGGTATTTGAACTTCGTCGAAAAATACTTCCAAGATCACTATCCCAACTTGGTTGTATGAAAAACGGAACTCGTACAAGAATGGTTCTACCAACAGTCCGTTCAACTCGATGAGGTCTTCGCCAATATGAAGTAATGCTAGTACTGTAGCATTGGCTCGTTGCCTGTTGTCGTAGGCTCGAAAGACGAGCTCATCTCCTTGTTCGGCACCTGCCCCACAAAGTGACATTTTTGCGCATCCAGAGTCACGATTGGTACTGTTTGTGTTATGATCAGTCAATTGATACAAACTCACTTCAAAGGCCTTGATGCAGGGTCCGCAGTAACAGTTATAGCCTTCCGGACACGGCGACCCAATCAGGTCACATTGTTTGTCAAAATCGCTCTCTGGCACCTTGTAGTGTCCTCCAGGACAGAAAATGCCATCGTAAAGTGTATCAGCTCGTTCGCAACGCCAATCGCCTATTTTGTTCGAGCTGTGAGTTTCCAACATCGTGGGGTACCTGGATAGCCTCCATAGCGATCTACGTACCATTGTCATCTCCAACAATGAAGCCAGCGTCTTGCTGCATCGTCCGAACAGAAAAATGCGACTTGGCTGAACGAAATCCAGCATGAAATCCGGCTGTGCCTGCCTTCAGTGCGAGCTCCGCCAAGTCTCGAGTAGTGTCACATCTCGCCCTAGGATCAAAATATACCGGAGGCTGGGTTTCACATAAGTCTCTCTCGCGGTCGTTACCGGCAGCCTTTCGGCAAGTATCAATACTCTTTCCAACTTGGTAGTGTTTCCGGAAACTGAGTATGGCCAACATCACTTCCTCCGACACGTCTGCATTGACGGTTTTCTTTGCAGAGAACGGCCACTCGGGAAATGCAGGTGTCGAGTGGAGGAATGGAAACAGGTCACCGTTGTCCATGACATGGATATGCGGCGAGATCACCTTCAGCAGTGCAGGATCAATTATTTTACCCGTGCTGGGATCAATGGTCCGTTCCACTTGTCCGGTCCGAACAAATCCAACATCCCAACGACCATCTAGCACGCCGAGGATCGTATCCTCATTGTTTTCAGTAAAGATGACCTGTTTCGGATCCGTTTTGAAATCGACATTGTTTCGAACCATAGAGTAGAACTGGGCTTGGGCACCAGCAAAATCCGAAAAGGCTTGAGCTCCGATGATCTTGCCTTTGAGATCAGCAATCGTCTCAATCTCATGATTACTTGCCAGTACCGTCATAGTTCCTAATTTATGGAATCAAAAGAAACCTGAGATCCATCATAGAAGCAACAGCATTTCGTTCCGTCCCTATCTCCATTCTTACCTGCAAATTCATCTAACTCATGTTCCTTCCCTCTGGCCGACAATCGAGCTACCGTTGTTCCTAGTGGCTTTGCCCCAACCTCTGTCGCAACGCACGAGTAGATCCCCGTGTCAGAATACATGAAATCCACTTCCTCTCGTTTATCAATCCAGTCGGTAAGTGGATCGTCGGTGACGGCCATTTTGAATTCAATCGGCGGATCCCATCGTTTCCCTACGACTTCGTTCAGATAGACCTCAAAGGTCAAGTTGAATTCCCTCCAGGCAGTCTGAATGCCAGCTGGGGCGTGAACTCCAACTACATATGTCTGTTTCTGCCCTTCTTGGAGTTTGTAGGTTCCAGAGGTACAGTTGACTTCCCCTGTTGGCCAGTGCTCTTCTGCAGTCCAGTTTGGTGGTAATGTGTGTCCCCAGAACTCTTGTGCTTGACAGCATACTGACAGAAGCAACAAGATGCTAGAGCCAAGCAAGGAACGCATGATGTTGTTTTGTGCTGATCGGACTGCGTTCCTCACCATTTTACGTTTTTTTTTGGATCGAGCTTCCGTAGTATTCTTTTGTCGTTTGATATCAACCTTCGGGACCACAGTTGTTTTGTTATATAAATTTGAAAGAATGATGATTCGAATTGACATTTTCAAGTGGTAAATTAGCCTTCGTTTGTCACAAGAGCTATAAAATCCCTATTTTTCTCCCTTTTTATATGTATGTGGGGGTGTTGGAAAAGACTGTGTGCAAAGAATGCAACTGCACGCGAAGAATTTTTAATTTTTTAATTCATCAACAATATCGGGTACCGGTACCTGGTATGGTAGAAGACTTCTGTTTACGGCCAACGAGTTACCTGGGTGGCTCTGTCATGGATTTCGATTGTTTCAGAATTCTCCGAAAGAAAACCCAGAAACTTGCTTCCAGTGACATGAATAGGTTTCATGTTTGCTCCATAGAACTCTCGTGCTTGTTGTTTAATATCTCTAGTAGACGTTAGTCTTTCAATTTCAGTACTCCGAATTTGTTTAGAAATCGCAAGCCTCATTCGTTGGTGGTGTTATGCATACATTAAAAGAGCACGATGCATCGAGTCAACCATCCTTGTAATCGTTGCTTCGTTTTTTTTTTAAAGTCCTTTTCAATCGTCTCCGAACACAGCTTCTGACTAGTTGGCTCGTGATCCATTCGCAGCAACAAGACATCCCATTTATTGTTAAGATGGACGATGGTGACGATGCTAATGATGATGGTCCATTTAAAAAAAAGGGGAAACTGAATATTAATTATTTGAATAATATGGGGTCATTTCTGAAGATTCCACTAGCTTCAGATCCTCAAACTTTTGCTCGGAATGCTCATCGTCGATATCCAATTTAAGACAGAAACTTCCTGATCCTATTCTGTCTCTGCCAATCGAGTTTTTTAGAGAGCCTATGCTCTTTATCGTCTTTGTCACTGCACCATCCATGCCAATCGACGAGGATGATAGACGTTGGTCCTTTCTTGCTCGTCTCTTACCATCCCTTGGAGAGCGATGTCTGTCGACTGATCGGGCCGGTGATGCTTGCCTGAGTAGAGGGCTTTTCGCTTCGACTCCTTCCTTCTTGAAAGTGACAGCGGGCTTGCTGTCAATATCTGTGCGATGAGAATCGTCCAGGGATTGACCCCCGATCCAATAGGTAGTCATACTACCTTTACCCTTCACAGTGATCTTGCCTCTCCTTGTGATTGGGAATTCGGGTGCTTGTTCTCTGAGAAGTTTCGCCGAGACGTTCGAGCAATGGATTCGGTCACTATCCGAATTGCTTTCCATTCTTGCCGCGGTATTCATCGTGTCTCCAAAGAGTCCATACCTTGGATTCAGTGATCCGATCACATTACTCACAACATTACCAGAATGAAAGCCTACACGGATGTGCACACAACCAAGACCTGGCTCATCCTCGTCGATCATAACATTCCCAGCTGCTGCCACGGCATCAACTGCAAATTCTGCAATTCGCCTCACATGGGAATCATCTTGATTCCCTTCCACTGCAATGCAAAGACAATCAGCAATCATCGGAAATGAATCGTGAGTCATATCCCAAGTCAAAGCATGTCGGCTTCAAAACTCATCCTAGTCTACTCACAGTTTGTAACCCCGACCCATGCATCACCAATTGTTTCAACCTTGAAGACCTCATGCTTGTTGGCTAGAGCATCAAATGCAATGTACAATCGATCCAACATGCTGCATACTTTCACAGGCGACAACTGCCTGGAAATGTCTGTGAACCCAACAATGTCGCTGAAGAATACCGTGACCATCTCATGGCTCTCACTGCGGAATAGAAAATGGTAAGCCAGAATATGTGGAAACAAGTAAGACAAAAAGAAACGGCTCCAATGTACACGTACGGCTCCACCTTTTTGCCAACCTTGATCTGGTCGGCCACCTTCCTTGGAAATACCTTGTACAACATGTCGCCAGACGCAACCTCTGTTCTTATACGCGTATTGCCCTCTTCGATCAGAGGTTCCACATCGTTGCTAGACATATCTGCAAAAAGCATATCCAGGTCTTCGGCTGCTGGCCGAATCGCAGACTTTCCGTTCCAGCACTTCTTCATGATCTCTCGCATCTTGTCTGGACAGGTTGCTGGTATCGCTGGGCGATGATTGACTCTTGGATCACACACTTTTCGCAAAATCTTGCGCGGATTCTCGCCATCGTATGGAGACTTGCGGCTGTAGATCTCATACAAAATCATACCGAATGAATAGATGTCACAAGCAGGATTGTAGGCAACCTTTTGCAGTAAGTATTCGGGCGCCATCCTGGAAACGATTCGAAAAGCGATATGCTGTTAGTGAAGAGAAGATATAAAATCAGAGAAAAGTATCTTCGCAAATCAAACCTACCAAAAAGGTGTCCCCGATAATCCTCTCTGGTTCTTCGTCTTGGCTGCAAGACCGAAATCGGCGACCTTGGCTCGGAACCTGGAATCGATGAGGATATTTTTTGCTTTCAGGTCACGGTGAAGAATGGGAGGCTTCGATGCATGGAGAAAGCGCAAACCTTGGGCGACATCTCGCACAATCTGAATGATGATATCACCTCCCGTGTACACTGTTTCGTTTCGCAAAAGGTCGTACCTGAAGAAACAATGAACGAGTCAGAATAGAAACAATCGGTAGCCGCACCGTAACACATAAATGTAGTACTTACAACGAACCATTCTCCATATATTCCATTACCTGAAGCAAGAGGCACAAGTAAACGATGAGTTTGGTCAAATACCAGGTGACCCAACACGGTCGTAAACCTGACTTACCATGGTTGGTTCTCTCCCAGTCATAACTGCACCCATGACTGTTGTGATACCTGAGACACGCAAAGCAAAGCAAGGTAAGAACCACGAACCAACTAGATGGAAAATACACCCGATACTTACAAGGATGCCGAAGCCTAGACAACATTCTCATCTCCGTAACGAATTCAGACCGACGGTGATGTGCCTCGTCACATGCTGGACAAAAGAGTTCGAACATCGATCGTTTTGCGGAGACTGAACCTTCCGATTGTGAAAACATGCCGAGAATTCTCGAGTTGTTACGAGACGAAGTTTTGGTGCTGCTCCTGAATGGGAGGAATCGTTGGAGTACCGTCTTCGGCTCTATTTGAGTCAAATCGTCAAGAACTCGGAGGCCATCCGACACGGAAGATGCTGAATCATCGTAACTCGCCGGAGCTATTTGTTCTATAGACCCAGAACGATTTCCACTTTCAAGATCTCCCAAGTCCTTTTTCGCGGAGCTGGATCCAAAACTAACAACGGATCCTGACATCCTGTTTCTTCGATCACTGCTCGAAATGACTCTCTTGATTGCTACCTTGGTTCCTCGGTAATGCGCCAGCAGGACCACTCCGAAGGCGCCCTGACCGATCACTTCTACAGGATGGCTAAACTCCAGGTCTTCCTCGTTGACATGCCACACTTCATCATTCTTCTTTCGCCTATGATTTAGCAGAAGAGACCCCAAAACGAATGCAACGACAAGACTAACTGATGATATAATAATAGCCATAGTGCCGTTGGGCAAGCAACGACTTCCAAGGTCATAGGTATCGTCAGAACATTGACAATCGCCAATTGCATTCTGCGAAAGGAAGAAACAACAGGCATAAGAGACTGGATGATGCGAAACTGGCTTCTGAAGTTGAAACTCACCGGTGCCATTCCTTTCCCTGGGAAATCGGCTTCGCAGTTGCGAGATACGATTTGGACTCGGACTGGCGACTCTGGTATTTGAACTTCGTCGAAAAATACTTCCAAGATCACTATCCCAACTTGGTTGTATGAAAAACGGAACTCGTACAAGAATGGTTCTACCAACAGTCCGTTCAACTCGATGAGGTCTTCGCCAATATGAAGTAATGCTAGTACTGTAGCATTGGCTCGTTGCCTGTTGTCGTAGGCTCGAAAGACGAGCTCATCTCCTTGTTCGGCACCTGCCCCACAAAGTGACATTTTTGCGCATCCAGAGTCACGATTGGTACTGTTTGTGTTATGATCAGTCAATTGATACAAACTCACTTCAAAGGCCTTGATGCAGGGTCCGCAGTAACAGTTATAGCCTTCCGGACACGGCGACCCAATCAGGTCACATTGTTTGTCAAAATCGCTCTCTGGCACCTTGTAGTGTCCTCCAGGACAGAAAATGCCATCGTAAAGTGTATCAGCTCGTTCGCAACGCCAATCGCCTATTTTGTTCGAGCTGTGAGTTTCCAACATCGTGGGGTACCTGGATAGCCTCCATAGCGATCTACGTACCATTGTCATCTCCAACAATGAAGCCAGCGTCTTGCTGCATCGTCCGAACAGAAAAATGCGACTTGGCTGAACGAAATCCAGCATGAAATCCGGCTGTGCCTGCCTTCAGTGCGAGCTCCGCCAAGTCTCGAGTAGTGTCACATCTCGCCCTAGGATCAAAATATACCGGAGGCTGGGTTTCACATAAGTCTCTCTCGCGGTCGTTACCGGCAGCCTTTCGGCAAGTATCAATACTCTTTCCAACTTGGTAGTGTTTCCGGAAACTGAGTATGGCCAACATCACTTCCTCCGACACGTCTGCATTGACGGTTTTCTTTGCAGAGAACGGCCACTCGGGAAATGCAGGTGTCGAGTGGAGGAATGGAAACAGGTCACCGTTGTCCATGACATGGATATGCGGCGAGATCACCTTCAGCAGTGCAGGATCAATTATTTTACCCGTGCTGGGATCAATGGTCCGTTCCACTTGTCCGGTCCGAACAAATCCAACATCCCAACGACCATCTAGCACGCCGAGGATCGTATCCTCATTGTTTTCAGTAAAGATGACCTGTTTCGGATCCGTTTTGAAATCGACATTGTTTCGAACCATAGAGTAGAACTGGGCTTGGGCACCAGCAAAATCCGAAAAGGCTTGAGCTCCGATGATCTTGCCTTTGAGATCAGCAATCGTCTCAATCTCATGATTACTTGCCAGTACCGTCATAGTTCCTAATTTATGGAATCAAAAGAAACCTGAGATCCATCATAGAAGCAACAGCATTTCGTTCCGTCCCTATCTCCATTCTTACCTGCAAATTCATCTAACTCATGTTCCTTCCCTCTGGCCGACAATCGAGCTACCGTTGTTCCTAGTGGCTTTGCCCCAACCTCTGTCGCAACGCACGAGTAGATCCCCGTGTCAGAATACATGAAATCCACTTCCTCTCGTTTATCAATCCAGTCGGTAAGTGGATCGTCGGTGACGGCCATTTTGAATTCAATCGGCGGATCCCATCGTTTCCCTACGACTTCGTTCAGATAGACCTCAAAGGTCAAGTTGAATTCCCTCCAGGCAGTCTGAATGCCAGCTGGGGCGTGAACTCCAACTACATATGTCTGTTTCTGCCCTTCTTGGAGTTTGTAGGTTCCAGAGGTACAGTTGACTTCCCCTGTTGGCCAGTGCTCTTCTGCAGTCCAGTTTGGTGGTAATGTGTGTCCCCAGAACTCTTGTGCTTGACAGCATACTGACAGAAGCAACAAGATGCTAGAGCAAAGCAAGGAACGCATGTTGGTTGTTGGTGTTATTTTTTTTGTGAGCGAGATTTCCATTAGGACCGAAAATCTCCTCCAAACTTTCTACCGCGACTTCCAGACGTTTGGTGCACGAGCGCCTTTTTACATTGACATTTATGCAACTTTTAATATATTTACAAGATTTGTTATGATGTTTTTAAAAAAAATTCTTTGCATTCCATTCAACACGTGAACCAACCAATTTATATAAAGTAATATATTTCGGATTAAAAGTCCCGTGTTGAAAAAAACACCGGAGTGAGCTTTTAGTTCATCACTGTGACTCCTCCTGGGACCTACAGTTTCAGTGAACGTCACTATCCCGCCGGTGGTATCGTGTACTGTACAGTGTATTATATATTTGCAAACTACAGTAAGTGGTACAAAAACTCTTTTTGGATGACTCAAGTCAATGATATAAAAAAGTTACATATGTATCTTTTGTTGTTGTTGAACTACCTGTACGATACGAGTACCATACGTGTACCCTGGTACTGGTAGTACCTATGAAGATGAACAGAAGCAGTCGATTGAATCTAAGGGAGTTTGTTTATTGGGTACGAACAGATGACAACGACTAAAGTTGTTGACATAGAACTATTGCACAACACAGAACTATCACACAACACAGTACCGTACTGTATCATGGAGGCTTTCCTGTTATTACACCCTCACAATCGCACCGTTTCTTTTTCTTCGGTGCATCCACATGATGAGCCATACTACATGTATAACTTTCGCCTAACGAAGCAAAATGTAATCTGTTCTCGTGGTGAAAATGCTCTTTTGCCCGAACAACATTTGCTTGATGGTTGATCTTTATTCCAATCAGCACCGGGACATGAAGAAAAACATACAGTATCATCGTGCTTCCCAACTACTACCATCTCGTCCATACAAGGGGGGAAATAGTCCGCACCTCGATGCTGCTTACGCCACTCCTCTTACTCCAACTATGGTAGTACAACCATCGAAACCTTGTTGCATGTAAATCGTGGCAAAGGATATCAGCATTTCACGTCCTTTGGGTAGTGATATTTTAAAAAATACTGTAGAGGGTGCGGCACTCTACAGTATTTTCTAAAAAATAATAGTGGTTCATCAAAGTAGTCGACTTCACCTCATACAGTACCCGCGGTAGGTACTCGTTGATATGATGATATAATATATCCCCCCTCGCCCGCCACACATTCTTCTCTCTGCAGAAATGAAAGATACGACACAATGGAAAAAAATGATTGCACTCAATAATGAAGGTTTGGTTGGTTGGTTGGTTGGTTCGTTCGTTCGTTGTGATACGGTTTTACATGGACTTTGAAGCGTCTCATGACCCGTCGGAGTGAGTCGTTCAATCATTTGTTTATTCATTCATTCATTCATTCCTCTACTACTATCAGATCCTTACGTTCATGGTCGGAATATGAATGGTCGTGGTCCATCTCCATACTCACATGGAGAGTACGAGTAAAGTGGCAGTCGGAAACCTGGATTTTCCGCTCAATCTGTCACTTGTTTTTCGCCATTTTCTCGGGGACAGTGCTTTGTTATCTTCTTGTTTGTTATAGCGGCATCCACGCCGATAGGCAAAGACTGCCGTTGTCGGTATGGGACAAGTTCCACAAGGACGTACTTGTTCCGAAGGAGACGGTTGAACGAATAATCAATCCCTCTCTCTCTCTCTTTTTGTACCGGTGCTGTATGGTTACTGCAGAAAAAGGACAATAGCAATGTGAAGATGAATGTGAATGGATGATCGTTTCACAATCATTCATGATTTCCTTTCAGCAGCTTTTGAGTGTACTCGTATACGACAAAAATGAATCCATGTCCTGGTGCTGCCCGCATCACCGTCACTCCCCATCCACGGTACAAGCCTCGAATTCCTTGTTGCTTGTAAATGGTGGCAAAGGTTTTGAGCATTCCACTACTTTCTGTGCCATTTTTCCCTGTACTGGTAGTAGTAGTTTGAATCATGGACTTGACCGTGTCGGCTGGATAAAATGCCGTCCAGTATCCCGCTCCGGCCATGGCACCTCCCAACCAATGGGCTGCGGGGCTGAGATCCGCCTTGGTCCCCCCCTCTGGGATCATGGAATGACAAATCGTCTCGTACGTTCCAAACCAGACAAAGTTGCCGGGGACTTCCCTGGCCAAAGTTGATACGTTGCCCCGGTAGAGTCCCCGGAAGAGACCTTCATTTTTGATGGTTTGGACCATGACATCAATCGGGCCCTTGTACTGTGTAAATCGTGGTGGTCCAGCTGCTGATGCTGCAGCGGCTCCACCCACGGCGGCAACGGCGGCTGCTTCGGCGGCAATTTGCACTTGCAATCGACACTTGATCAATTCCACAGGCGTATTCACCAAGGGTACCAAGACTCCAGCGCCACCTCCCGCCAAGGCCAATTCGAATATGCTCAATTGTTTGCCATCCGAGGACGAGGAGGACGAGGAGGACTCGCCCAAGAATGCCTTGCAATGACTGTATCCCCAAAAGCAGATTGCATTTTCTGCCATGCTGCCCAAGAGCGGTGACGAAATGCCTCTGTACAAGGACATGAAACCAGCTTCCGAACGGGCCGTGGATTCCAAACAATGCCAGGCATTTCGGTAGGTGGGGGATTCCGTGGATTGGGTTTGCAACAGGACTTTGACGGTATCAAAAGGATGATCCAATACTTTGACCACAAATCCAGCAGTAGTTCCAGCAATAAAGTCCTTGGTTGGTTCGGACAGATTGTAAAGATAGTTCATCATGTTTGGAATGAAAGGCGTATGTGCACAGGTGTTGACGTTGACGTTGACGTTGACGTTGACGTTGACGTTGACGTTGGCACAGGGAATGATTAAATTGATTAACTGACTGATTGGTTAACTGATTGATTGATCGTTTGTGGTATGAAGAGTGCAACACAACTTTTCACTAGCTTGAATGCCCCTTTGTGATTGTTCTCGGTGAGAATATATTTATAAACAAAAGATACTTTTGTCAGTCACACTAGTAAGAAGGTAAATGAGTTGGTTCAGGTCAATCTTGTCTTTAGTGAGATGCTGATGTCATCGTCATTCGCTATCATCTTTTTTCTTCCTTTTTGTTCTATTTTCAAATTCCGATCGTCTGGTCGACGACTCCTGCGACTTCAGCAATGCATCTCGCTCGTTCATCAGTCAGTCCTTCCTTCACCAGTCGTTTTGCTGACCAAAGAAAAAACAAATGCGCTCTTGCACGCGGCACACGTTTGAAGCGTAAAACGTACGAACGTTTCGCTGGAAAAGAAAGCAAACATCATTCATTCATTCATTCATTCATCCACTATATATTAGGTACAGTAACATTTAAAACAAGAAAGAAAACAATGGGACGCAAAAAGAGAGGAGGCAAAAAGGGCCGGAACGACGATTGGTCGGACGATGAGGCGGACGATAAACCTGCTGCTGCTGCTGCTGCAGGAAAAGCCGAACCACAACAGCCACAACAATCCCGCAAAGCCAAGCGTGCCGCCAAACAACAAGCCAAAAAAGCAAATAAAAAACAACAAGATTCGGACGACGAAGAAGAAGATGACATTGCCCTCTTATTGGGAGGGGGAGCTGCAGCTGCTGTTGATAGTGATGAGGATGACAGTGATGACGACGACGATGAAATGATGATGCCACCGGTTGGTGGTAAAGGAGGACGCGGTGGTGGAAAAGGAGGAGGAGTTCGCAATAATAATAAGAAGAATAAGAATAACAAGCCGGCTCCTATGGACGACGACGACGACGACTCGGAAGAAGAAGAGGTCCCACAAGCTGCCAAAAAGCAACAGAATGCTTTTGCCTTGGCGGCGGCGGACGATGACGACAGTGACGAGGATCTTGATAACTTTGACGAGGAAGAAGAAGATGATGATGATGAATCCGAAGTGGAACAAATCACATTCAAGATTATAGACGAGCCAAAGAAAAAGAACAAAAAGGAAAAGAAGGAGAAGAAAGAAAAGAAAGAGAAAAAGGAAAAGAAGGCCAAGAAGGATAAGAAGAACAAAAAGGACAAGGGCGACGTGTCCCCTGACGATTCCGAGGAGGAAAAGGCGGAAGAACCAAAGCCTGAAGAACCAAAGAAAAAGTCCAAATTCGAGTTGCAAATGGAGGCTGCCATGAAAAAGAAGGAAGAAGAAGAAGCGGCCGAGAAAGCATCAGGTGCTGCTGCCGAAAAGAAGAAGGAACCTATACCAGAGACTCCTAATCAACTTGCTGAAGAAATGGATGACATGAACATTGAAGATAATGTGACTGAGGCTGACAGTGATATCATGTATGGACATGGAGATGATGTTTGGACCGATAAGAGTCACGCCATGAAGGAATCCGAAAACCAACAAGATGATGGTATCGACAATGTAAGAATATGTGTGCGCCATAACACAACTCTAATGTTGGAAAGATGATGACAGTGAATGGCACGGAATATACGTCTCTTACTTTTTGGGTTCATTCTCTTTACCTTTCTCTTACTTGTAGATGATGTATGGACCAAACGGAAAGAAATTGAGTAACAAGGAACGCAAGCGGCTCAAGAAGGAACAGGAAGCTGCCGCTCGTGCCGCGGAATACGAAGCAGTCGCCGCCAAGAATTCCCGGGAAGGGGCCCAATTTGCCTGTTCCCAAACCGCCGTCAATGAAAAGGATCCCCAATGGGAAAACTCCTTGGATATCAATATTCCAAATTTTTCCATTTCGGCTGCCGGAAAGATTCTTTTCAAGGATGCTGCTTTGACCATTGGTCATGGACGACGATATGGGCTGGTGGGAGCCAATGGAAGAGGAAAGTCCACACTATTGAAAATGATTCATTCCAAAGACTTGATGCTACCACCCCGAATCGATTTCTTGTACGTTGAACAGGAAGTTGTCGCCGATAATACTCCTGCTGTAGATGCCGTCCTCAAGGCAGACAAGCGTCGTTGGGACCTCATGGAGGAAGAAAGGCAATTGATGAAAAAGGTTGACGCTGGCGATGAATCCAATGCCGTGATTGAACGATTGGGTGTAGTCGTGGAAGAATTGACCAACATGGGGGCGGATTCCATGGAAGCCAAGGCCCGAAGGATTCTTTACGGTTTGGGATTCACAGTGGATATGCAAACCAAGCCAACCAAGATGTTTAGTGGCGGTTGGAGAATGAGAATTTCGTTGGCTCGTGCTCTCTTTGTGGAACCAACCTTGCTCATGTTGGATGAACCTACAAATCACTTGGTAAGTGTGGAATCTGTGCTATTAGGATGGGACTCTGTTGTTGCTCTCTTATAAATAACATCTCACTGACATTGGCTCTTTGGTTTGTATGACATTGACTCTTTGGTTTGTATAGGATTTGAATGCCGTCATTTGGTTGGATGAATACCTACAGACCTGGAAGAAGACACTATTGGTTGTTTCCCACGATCAAGATTTCTTGAACAGCGTGTGTCAAGAGATCCTTCACATTGAAGACTTGAAGCTCATTTCCTACAAGGGCAACTACGATAGTTTCAAGAAGGCAGAGAAGGAGCGTCTGAAGCAACAAGTCAAGGCTTGGGAAAAGCAAGAGAAGCGACTACGAGAACTCAAGCGTTCCGGACAAAGTAAGGCCAAGGCCCAAGAAACAGTCAAGAAGAACGCCAAGCGTGAATCTGGTGCCAGGAGTCAAAAGAAAAAGAACCAAGCAATTGCTGCTGGAACTGAGGCTGCTGAAATTACCGAACTGATCAAGCGACCCAAGGAATACACAGTCAAGCTTGAGTTCTCGGAAGTTCCTGAAATTGGTCGCCCGGTCATGGAAGTCAACAATGTGCATTTCCGATATTCACCAAAACACCCCGTCATTTTCGAAAAGGTTGACTTTGGAATCGATATGGACAGCCGAATTTGTGTGGTTGGGCCCAATGGAGCTGGTAAATCGACACTGCTGAAGCTGTTGACGGGCGAAGTCAATGCTACCAATGGAGATGTCAGGCGAAATCCCAGATTGAGAATGGGCATTTACAACCAGCACTTTGTTGACCGTCTTCCAATGGGCAAGACTCCAGTGGAACACTTGCGTGATCGATTCGAAGACTTGGATTACCAAACTACCCGAAACCGATTGGGAAAGTATGGATTGGAAGGACATGCTCATGAAGTTGTCATGAGAGATTTATCTGGTGGGCAAAAGGCTCGTGTTGTATTTGTGGAATTGAGTTTGCAAATGCCACACATTTTGCTTTTGGATGAACCGACCAATAACTTGGATATCGAGACGATTGATGCGCTGTGTGATGCCATCAATGAGTTCAACGGAGGTATTGTTGTTGTAACGCACGATCAGCGGCTGATCGAAGAATGTGACTGTACGCTTTGGGTTGTCGAGAAGCAAGGAGTTACTCCATGGGAGGCAGGTTTCGATGATTACAAGGAGACAATCTTGCGGCAGTTGGAGGAAGAAGTCGAGAAGGAGGCACAAGCCCGACAAAAGAAGCTGGCAGCAGCTGCTGAAGTCAAGGCGGAGAAACTTGCCAGACTCAAGAAGCTTAAGAAGAAGTAAAAACTTGTTTATAAAACGATTAAAAGTGGCATCCTGGGATCACTGATTGCCAGTTGGTTTCCCTTATTTTCGGGCATTATGTACCTATTATTCTGTATGTTGTTCCTGTTGTATTTTCGATTCGGCAGGCGTGACTGATCGTGACGTCATTGATGATGGCCTGGTTGACGCATTCGACCAAAAGTGTCAACGCCATTGACACCAATCTTCTCGATGCGTTGTGCATATCCATCAACTTTGAGAAGTGCTGGAGGATATTAGAAAACCAAGGCCACAAAATTCCAGAACCCATCGCCGAAACATTCCAATACAATACCATGTTATCCAAGACTAACCTCGTCTCAAACTCACTACGCCGTCGCTTCCTCCAAATTCGCAGTGGAAGCAGCAGGACGGCAATGCTTTCATGGTATCCTCATGAAAGCAACGGGGACGACTTTGATGGATTTACCAAAGAGCAGATTCAAGAGACTATGTTGATGATGCTTCAGAAGCCTGAAACGTCGACAGGGTTTGTCCCGTCGGCCGAAATGCATTTGTCCAACACTAGGAGCATTATAGCTGATGACGAAAACAAGATGGACGACTTTGATGGATTCACCAAAGAACAAATACAAGAGGCAATGCTTATGATGCTTCAGAAGCCCGAAACGTTGACCGGATTTGTTCCGTCGGCCGAAATGTTATCATCCAACAATGATAACGCAATTCCTGACGAGGAAAGCAACATCGACTTCGGATTTACCAAAGAACAAATCCAAGAGGCTAGTATGCTGCTAATGCTACAGAAGCCCGAAACTTCGACCGGATTTGTTCCGTCGGCCGAAATGTTATCATCCAACAATGATAACGCAATTCCTGACGAGGAAAGCAACATCGACTTCGGATTTACCAAAGAACAAATCCAAGAGGCTAGTATGCTGCTAATACTACAGAAGCCCGAAACGTCGACCGGATTTGTTCCGTCGGCCGAAATGCTATCGTGTAACGCTAGTAACGCTACTGGTGACGTTGATATCGCGACAGCTAACCAAACCACATCTGACCTCCTTGCCATGCTTTCGCTCGCGTCCAGCCCAGAATCGGCAATTGGTGTCAACCACTGTTCTGAGTACTTGAATGCCGAAATGAAGAAGCAAATGAGCACTCAATACGAGAATTCATTGCCCAAGACCCTATCTGAAGCCTTGAGCGATCCCAGGCCGATTGTTGTTACTTCGGCGGCTTCACCTTTTGAAGTTGTTGACGTCAATGAAGCATGGGTGGGACTCTGTGGATTTTCCAGAGAAGAAGCCAAGAATCGAAATTTGGGACAATTGCTGAATGGACCCGAGACAGATGTATCGTTGGCACGAGAAATGGTGGCCAACTTACGCCGCGAACACTACAGTCGTGCGATCCTTTCCAACTACACTAAGACAGGACGCAGGTTCGAGAATCGTGTACAAGTCGGAACCCTGTCATCCGACAACGGTGAGAGTATTGAATACTTTGTTGGATTGCTGGAAGAGATCCCTCAAGCACAGCAATCCATGTAATTGGGAGGGCGAAAGCATACGAGGAACATAGATACACTTAGAGCAGCACACACGGTAACACATAAATTACATCCATTTAGATCACTATGAATGAGTATTCAAACATATTTTCAATCATTCCCCCCACAACTTTTAACCAATGTTATCATTCTGCGCCAGCATCTGAATCGTTTCCATGGACTTTAGTTCAGAGTCAGCATTCTCAACGTCACGTTGTGCAGCCATCTTTTCTTCGACCAAGGCTTCCATGATAAATTGCAAACTGCTCTGTTCCTCCTCTTTCGATTGTATTTGATCTTGAGTGTAAACCGAACTCATGTTCTCGGAGCCAGAACCGGCGCTTTCTAATCTCTTAACATCTTTTTCTGCCCTTCTCAGCTCTGCCTGAAGCTCGGCAATCTTTTCCTTTAACCGATGCACCTTCTCTCGCTTTTCGGACAATTTGCGTTCGTTCGTAGGCGGTGCACTTGAACCACCCTGCATTCGATCATGCATCGCCTTCACTTCTTCCTTATTGTCCTCAATTTGATTTTTCATTTGCGCAATCTCGTTATCCTTTGTCTCGACAGCACGCTTCTTGCGTTCCAAGTCGTCGCGCAATGCTCGAATTTCCCCATCCATTCCAGCCGAGAGGCTCTGATTGGATGGACGTCCTTGAGAACTTGCAGTGCTAGTTCGTTCTACCATACTCGCAGAGGTAGTTGGTGGGGCTGGAGCTACAGTGCCGGTGTGATCTACCATACTTGAGGTGGTAACTGGTGCGGACGGTTCGACCATTTGCACTGGCGATCCGTGAACAATTGGTGGACTCACGTTTGGCATTGGCATCGGGCTACGAGATCGAGAAGGGGAATTGGTAGTTGCTGGACTGACACTCCTTGATGGGTTGAAGCCCGCAGTGGACCTTGGTGCCATGAACTCTTCGCTCGAATCGGAAACTACTAAGGACTGAGTCGCCATCTTGGTGTCATTTGAGACACCCCCATCTGAGCGACTTTCCCTGTACTTCTTCGAGTCTCGACGAGAGTCATTTTTACTGCTTCGCCCAGTGGTTCTTCTTCCTCTCAACGATCCCTCCTTTTCACCAGCATCCGTGCTTCTCCTTCCTCGTGATGACCCCTCCTTCTCGCCATCCGTGCTTCTCCTTCCCCGTGACGCTCCTTCGCTGTACTTTCCTGGACTCTTCGCTCTTGTCGATCCTCTAGATGAGTGCTTTCCAGGACTTTTTGGCACTTCTGTGGTACTGCTGGAGTACTTTCCTAGACTCGAAGACCGCATTTTGAACTTTCCAGGACTTGCGGGCGCTTCATCTGTGCTGCCAGAGTACTTTCCTGGACTCGAAGACCGCATCTTATACTTTCCTGGACTTGACCCTCGTAATTTTGTCCTGCTCTTAAGCGCACCAAATACGCTCACGGATGATCTCTTTCGCTGCAATGCGGCTACAATTTCCACTTTTGAAGGATTGGTGCTGTCATTTGCCAATTCGATCGGGGTCTTTTGGGCGGAATCCTTCATCATGGCAGCACGCCGTTCCACCTCCATCAGCACATGGACCTGATCAGCGTCCTCGGCAATAATGGCAAGGTAGTGCAACGGTGTTCTACCAAACTTCCTGTCTTGATGCCGGCAGGACGCAGTATTGGCGTGGGTCACAGCTTCAAGAACGGCAGGGGAAGCATTCGCAATACATGCCCAGTGCAGAGCAGTCCGATCACCCTGGCGATCAGTATTGGATGCACCTGCAGGGAAAGCTTTTATCATTTTTTCCACCACCTCCAACTGTAGGCATAAAAGAGAGATAGAGATAGAGCCAAGGAGAGTCGTCAGCGACATCAAAGCAGTGAAATCAGCAAAGCACGAAAACGTAGATGCTGCCTTACCGGTGGATCTTTAATAACCACCAGGTGAAGTGGATTACTTTCAGTCGTTTGTCCTTTCAAAGACACTTGAGCATTTTTGCTAGCCACCTTTGGGTCTTGATCGAGGATCTTCAGAACGGCAGCCCAATCATTGTAATTAATGGCCGCTACAAGATCATTCACGGAGAACCGCTTTCGCGAGGAGGATGTGCTTGGCGACGTTCGGGCACTAGGTATATTTGGCGAAATGCTCATTCTGATACCGCTGGGAGGCGCTGGCGGTGGAATGCCCATGCCCGGAAGAGCCATGTCTGGGGTGCCTGTAGCAGAACTCTTTGGTTTGAACCACATTGCATCGTCGTCATCACTCATGTTTGGTGCGTCTGGAAGGTCGTCATCGCCACCCTTTCTGTCTTTTTTCTTTCGAAACATTGACAATTGTTAGACTTTCTTGGGATGCCAAGTAGTGCTGGTTCTATTGTAAATCAACTCGTCTCGTAAGACGTGAAATGTCGTTGGTGCAGTTCTGCGCTATTGCAAGGTAATACTGACGTATGTGTGAGTCGGTAGTCCTCTTGTCAGGTGATACTACGATGCAGTTATCTTGCCAATTGATGCTATTCTGTTATGAAAGGATACTGTTTCGATGAGTCCTGTTTCAACCTGACATGTCTGTCTCATCTGAGAGAACCCTGGATTTTTTATCGCAAAACAAATGTAGCGAGCGAAACATGTCGTAGTTATGTCGCTACCAGGACTTCCATTTATCGGCTTTTTGTTTTCAGACTTGATTAATAAAATTTCATATGTACATTTGGACGCCCTGGTGCCTGCAAATTGGTGAACGGAAACATCGTCGGAACTCGGAACCTCAAATATTGATTACAACATGAAGCGTTTCAGATCACCAACAAGATATCGTTTGCTAATGCAACGTCCTAGCAATGGGCCGAGGGTACCGGTAGTGTTGAATCGAAGATTAATTCTTGCATCATCTATTTTGCTATCATTCGTCTTTGGATTATCTCGCTTTCAATCAGGAGAAAAAACAATGGGCCAACACCTGGTGACTCCACCAGGGATGGCCTGTGATCCTCCTCATGTCGAGTACCGATTGGATTCTAACATCTCAAGTTCTAGCAATGGGGTGCTGCGATATGCCGCTTACCACAAAGTGATGCAAAACGATCAAAGTGATCCGTCCATGGTGCCTCTGACAATAGAAGGCTGGACAAACTACATGATGGGGGACCATGCAAACAAGCTGTCCATGGAACTGACGAATTTGATCAAGGCATGTCATTGATGTCGGCGTATGATATTTGGACTATCATGATCAAGCTTATCGTATACATTTTCGCTCTCTTACACTTGTCCAACCGCAGGCTTGTTCATTTCCGGCGTTCCGTTTTGAAACCAAAGGGACAACTGAAGGGAATATAAACAGCGTTCATTTTGAGTTTGCTCTTGTCAATGATAATAGCCTATACAACTTTGCTTCTGTCGCCGATCCATATACCTTTGCCGATCAGCTTGTACGCTGTCCCGAGGATCCTCATACCTGTGTCTTCACCAATCTTGGCGGTGACGCTAAGTTGGTGTCGCCCAAAAATGAGGGAAATGGAGACAAGGATCGTTATGGCCACATTGCTGCTTTTCTCCGCAAGGCTCCAACAGAACAAATTCAATCGGTGTGGAAAACAGTGGCGGAAACCTACAGGGATCAGCTGCGAGCTCAATCACCCCAACCTGTTTGGTTCTCTGCAGCCGGTGGTGGGGTAGCATGGCTGCATTTTAGATTCGATCGACGGCCCAAATACTACCATTACACACCCTTCAAGCAGACATTCTGAAAGACAATTTCCTGGTCAGTACTACAGAACAATTGTAGGAACGAGAAGGCCGCACGTGTTGTCAAGAACGAAGATGCAGCACTAGAATGGAGCAAATGTACCAAACGAGGCGGACTGCCAATATGTATTTTCTGGTGAAAGATGACGGAATGGTCATCTCGAACGGTCAAGAAGTTGCTAAAGAACAGCACGGCCGAAAAATGAGAGTGCCCATTTTCAGGCGAGAAGGAACAAGATTGATCTGAGAAGCAGAAAAAATGAAGACTCTGGTGATTGTCACGCAGTTCGACACGCTGATTGTTGTGTCTTGCAATGATCGATACTCCTAATTTCTTTCTTTTCCACCGGATGAATTGCAGCCCTTGGACACCACAATTGCTTTGGATTGCTTCCTCGTTCACACTATCTTGGAAGTTACCTATTCCTATTCCAAGCAACACCGTCGCGCCTCGACCACCACCAGGAACTTGCGCTTTCTTCCACCCACAAAAATCAACGACTGGCTCAGTCACACTATTCTGAAAGTTCGGTAACTTCTCGCCTATTTACAGTATGAAGACTCTGCTTCGATTAGCATACTGGTACCGGATACAGATTTAATCGGGTGAAAATTTGTATTGGGGACGTACCTATTTATGCTCTTCAGTCTGCCACATCAGCGACTATTTATGGAGCTGACGTGGATCTCCAGGAAGATTCATCTCGACTTATATAGAATCATTTTGGAGATTCATTCGCGACCGCAATTTCTCTATGACGAGGTCCACATCAGTCTTGCAAAAAATTGGAATTGCTTTCCCCCACCGTCCCACATTTTAAACAAATTCCAGTTTTTCAAATCTAATCATGGTGAGTAATCCTTCTCTGAAAACCTTGAGATGATTGGATCTCCTCTCACAGCGTTCTCGACATGATACATGGCAGTCTGAGGAGAAGCCTGTGACTAGCCGCAAGGACCGCCCAACAGGCTCCATGCACGTTGGTGACGCTGACTTTGATGTCAACGATCCAGCATACGAGATGGATGCTACTTGGGGAGAAGTCTGCACTGCTTGCTGTGTCAAGACGCCTACCGAGTGGGCATTTGGTCTCCTCGGGATCGCTGCTGTGTTCTTCTTCCTCTACTTCTTCCTTCTTGGATTGGATCTTCTTGGCGAAGGTGCAAAAGTCATGGGTGGGTGTGCCGCAGGTGCTCTATTCGGCGATGACATGAACCCCATTGCCGGACTCATGGTTGGTATTGTTGCCACCGTCCTTCTTCAATCTTCTTCCACCACCACTTCCATTGTTGTCTCCCTTGTTGGAGCCGACACCGTCACTGTCAAGCAAGGAATCTTCATGATCATGGGTTCTAACATTGGTACTTCTGTCACCAACACTATCGTCGCCATGGGACACATGGGAGACGGTGATCAACTCGAGCGTGCCTTTGCCGGAGCCACGGTCCACGACATGTTTAACTTTTTGTCCGTGGCGATCTTGCTTCCCGTCGAAGCCGCTACCGGATACCTCTTCCACCTCACCGAGGCTCTCACCACGAATTTTAAGGCCCAGGACGGAGAAAAGTGGGAGGGACCAGTCAAAAAGCTTGTTTCTCCCCTTGCAAGCCGCATCATCATGGTCAACAAGAAGGTTGCTGGCGACATCGCATCCGGAAAGGCCACTTGTGATACCTACTATCCCAACAACGGAACTATTTCTTGCGAGGATTACAGTGATCCTCTTACCTGCAAATCCGGACTCTTGGCTTGTGACACGAAGGCTGATGTTCCATTCTGCCCTGCTTTCTTTGACCCCGAAGCAACTGAATCCGTTGACCGAACATCTGGAGTCTGCGCTTTCATCATTGGTTTGATCCTTCTGTTCATCTGCCTCTTTGCTTTGGTTAAGATCTTGCAACGCATTATGATGGGTGCTTCCACCCGCGTCCTCTACAAGGCCACCAACATTAACGGATACCTTGCCATTCTCATCGGAGCTGGTATTACTATTTTGGTTCAATCTTCTTCCATCACCACCTCCGTCTTGACTCCTTTGGTCGGCGTCGGTGCCCTTCGTCTTGAACAGATGCTTCCTTTGACTCTTGGAGCCAATATTGGTACCACCGTCACTGGTTTTTTGGCTGCGCTTCTTGGTAACAAAAACGGAATGCAAGTGGCTCTTGCACACTTGTTCTTCAACATTACTGGCATCGTCATCTGGTACCCAGTTCCTTTCATGCGTAACATTCCTTTGAACGCTGCCCGTGCTCTTGGACGTTCCACCCGCCTCTTCCGCGGATTCCCTCTCATCTACATTGCTGTTGCATTCATCGCCATGCCTTTGGTCTTTTTGGGTATCTCTTACCTCTTTTCCGATGGAAACTCTGGACTTACCGCTCTTGGTTCCATCATTGTTATCATCTTGGCTCTTGCCATCATCTACACTGGATACTTCTGCAAGTACCAAGGTGGTTCCGAGAAGTGCACCGAGTGCTTGGTTACCCGCGAAAAGCGCAACAACGCCGTCAGTAACCTTCCTGATGACATGGAATGGTTGAAGGCCAAGGTTCGTGAGCTCTCTGAGCACACAGGACTTTCTGTTGATGAAGAAGCCGGAGCCGATGAGGCTTCCGATGAAACCGAGCCCCCAAAGGAAGAGGATGCCTAAACACAATGAGGCTCTTCTCACCATTGCGCGGAACGGCCTCGCCTTTAGGATATATGTTTAGCCATGCAACCGTGGATTATAGTGCAAACTCTGCCATACCTCTTAGTGGGAAACGAGATAAATTAGATTAGATCGACGCAGATGTATTCATTCATTCATTCGAGACGGAGCGATCGCATCGCAAACTATACGTCAACGGGCATGACCAGTTACGCGTACTCCTGTACATAGCGTGTCACATCATATATATATTTTATTTTATAAAAATAAAATATACAGTATTAAAATACACGCATTAAAATGCATACGTGTACCGTACACGTGTACCAGCATGAAAAGTACAGTATTTCTCCGCGTGGTTTGGACAACAAATTCGAAAATATTAAAAAAATTGCCGCTATTATTACCACATGCAGAGTGATGCAAAACGATCAATGTGATCCATCCATGGTGCCTCTGACAATAGAAGCCTGGACAAACTACATGATGGGGGACCATGCAAACAAGCTGTCCATGGAACTGACGAATTTGATCAAGGCATGTCATTGATGTCGACGTATGATATTTGGACTATCATGATCAAGCTTATCGTATACATTTTCGCTTTCTTTCACTTGTCCAACCGCAGGCTTGTTCATTTCCGGCGTTCCGTTTTGAAACCAAAGGGACAACTGAAGGGAATATAAACAGCGTTCATTTTGAGTTTGCTCTTGTCAATGATAATAGCCTATACAACTTTGCTTCTGTCGCCGATCCATATACCTTTGCCGATCAGCTTGTACGCTGTCCCGAGGATCCTCATACCTGTGTCTTCACCAATCTTGGCGGTGACGCTAAGTTGGTGTCGCCCAAAAATGAGGGAAATGGGGATAAGGACCGTTATGGCCACATTGCTGCTTTTCTGCGCAAGGCTCCAACAGAACAAATTCAATCGGTGTGGAAAACAGTGGCGGAAACCTACAGGGATCAGCTGCGAGCTCAATCACCCCAACCTGTTTGGTTCTCTGCAGCCGGTGGTGGGGTAGCATGGCTGCATTTTAGATTCGATCGACGGCCCAAATACTACCATTACACACCCTTCAAGCAGACATTCTGAAAGACAATTTCCTGGTCAGTACTACAGAACAATTGTAGGAACGAGAAGGCCGCACGTGTTGTCAAGAACGAAGATGCAGCACTAGAATGGAGCAAATGTACCAAACGAGGCGGACTGCCAATATGTATTTTCTGGTGAAAGATGACGGAATGGTCATCTCGAACGGTCAAGAAGTTGCTAAAGAACAGCACGGCCGAAAAATGAGAGTGCCCATTTTCAGGCGAGAAGGAACAAGATTGATCTGAGAAGCAGAAAAAATGAAGACTCTGGTGATTGTCACGCAGTTCGACACGCTGATTGTTGTGTCTTGCAATGATCGATACTCCTAATTTCTTTCTTTTCCACCGGATGAATTGCAGCCCTTGGACACCACAATTGCTTTGGATTGCTTCCTCGTTCACACTATCTTGGAAGTTACCTATTCCTATTCCAAGCAACACCGTCGCGCCTCGACCACCACCAGGAACTTGCGCTTTCTTCCACCCACAAAAATCAACGACTGGCTCAGTCACACTATTCTGAAAGTTCGGTAACTTCTCGCCTATTTACAGTATGAAGACTCTGCTTCGATTAGCATACTGGTACCGGATACAGATTTAATCGGGTGAAAATTTGTATTGGGGACGTACCTATTTATGCTCTTCAGTCTGCCACATCAGCGACTATTTATGGAGCTGACGTGGATCTCCAGGAAGATTCATCTCGACTTATATAGAATCATTTTGGAGATTCATTCGCGACCGCAATTTCTCTATGACGAGGTCCACATCAGTCTTGCAAAAAATTGGAATTGCTTTCCCCCACCGTCCCACATTTTAAACAAATTCCAGTTTTTCAAATCTAATCATGGTGAGTAATCCTTCTCTGAAAACCTTGAGATGATTGGATCTCCTCTCACAGCGTTCTCGACATGATACATGGCAGTCTGAGGAGAAGCCTGTGACTAGCCGCAAGGACCGCCCAACAGGCTCCATGCACGTTGGTGACGCTGACTTTGATGTCAACGATCCAGCATACGAGATGGATGCTACTTGGGGAGAAGTCTGCACTGCTTGCTGTGTCAAGACGCCTACCGAGTGGGCATTTGGTCTCCTCGGGATCGCTGCTGTGTTCTTCTTCCTCTACTTCTTCCTTCTTGGATTGGATCTTCTTGGCGAAGGTGCAAAAGTCATGGGTGGGTGTGCCGCAGGTGCTCTATTCGGCGATGACATGAACCCCATTGCCGGACTCATGGTTGGTATTGTTGCCACCGTCCTTCTTCAATCTTCTTCCACCACCACTTCCATTGTTGTCTCCCTTGTTGGAGCCGACACCGTCACTGTCAAGCAAGGAATCTTCATGATCATGGGTTCTAACATTGGTACTTCTGTCACCAACACTATCGTCGCCATGGGACACATGGGAGACGGTGATCAACTCGAGCGTGCCTTTGCCGGAGCCACGGTCCACGACATGTTTAACTTTTTGTCCGTGGCGATCTTGCTTCCCGTCGAAGCCGCTACCGGATACCTCTTCCACCTCACCGAGGCTCTCACCACGAATTTTAAGGCCCAGGACGGAGAAAAGTGGGAGGGACCAGTCAAAAAGCTTGTTTCTCCCCTTGCAAGCCGCATCATCATGGTCAACAAGAAGGTTGCTGGCGACATCGCATCCGGAAAGGCCACTTGTGATACCTACTATCCCAACAACGGAACTATTTCTTGCGAGGATTACAGTGATCCTCTTACCTGCAAATCCGGACTCTTGGCTTGTGACACGAAGGCTGATGTTCCATTCTGCCCTGCTTTCTTTGACCCCGAAGCAACTGAATCCGTTGACCGAACATCTGGAGTCTGCGCTTTCATCATTGGTTTGATCCTTCTGTTCATCTGCCTCTTTGCTTTGGTTAAGATCTTGCAACGCATTATGATGGGTGCTTCCACCCGCGTCCTCTACAAGGCCACCAACATTAACGGATACCTTGCCATTCTCATCGGAGCTGGTATTACTATTTTGGTTCAATCTTCTTCCATCACCACCTCCGTCTTGACTCCTTTGGTCGGCGTCGGTGCCCTTCGTCTTGAACAGATGCTTCCTTTGACTCTTGGAGCCAATATTGGTACCACCGTCACTGGTTTTTTGGCTGCGCTTCTTGGTAACAAAAACGGAATGCAAGTGGCTCTTGCACACTTGTTCTTCAACATTACTGGCATCGTCATCTGGTACCCAGTTCCTTTCATGCGTAACATTCCTTTGAACGCTGCCCGTGCTCTTGGACGTTCCACCCGCCTCTTCCGCGGATTCCCTCTCATCTACATTGCTGTTGCATTCATCGCCATGCCTTTGGTCTTTTTGGGTATCTCTTACCTCTTTTCCGATGGAAACTCTGGACTTACCGCTCTTGGTTCCATCATTGTTATCATCTTGGCTCTTGCCATCATCTACACTGGATACTTCTGCAAGTACCAAGGTGGTTCCGAGAAGTGCACCGAGTGCTTGGTTACCCGCGAAAAGCGCAACAACGCCGTCAGTAACCTTCCTGATGACATGGAATGGTTGAAGGCCAAGGTTCGTGAGCTCTCTGAGCACACAGGACTTTCTGTTGATGAAGAAGCCGGAGCCGATGAGGCTTCCGATGAAACCGAGCCCCCAAAGGAAGAGGATGCCTAAACACAATGAGGCTCTTCTCACCATTGCGCGGAACGGCCTCGCCTTTAGGATATATGTTTAGCCATGCAACCGTGGATTATAGTGCAAACTCTGCCATACCTCTTAGTGGGAAACGAGATAAATTAGATTAGATCGACGCAGATGTATTCATTCATTCATTCGAGACGGAGCGATCGCATCGCAAACTATACGTCAACGGGCATGACCAGTTACGCGTACTCCTGTACATAGCGTGTCACATCATATATATATTTTATTTTATAAAAATAAAATATACAGTATTAAAATACACGCATTAAAATGCATACGTGTACCGTACCAGCATGAAAAGTACAGTATTTCTCCGCGTGGTTTGGACAACAAATTCGAAAATATTAAAAAAATTGCCGCTATTATTACCACATGCAGAGTGATGCAAAACGATCAATGTGATCCATCCATGGTGCCTCTGACAATAGAAGCCTGGACAAACTACATGATGGGGGACCATGCAAACAAGCTGTCCATGGAACTGACGAATTTGATCAAGGCATGTCATTGATGTCGACGTATGATATTTGGACTATCATGATCAAGCTTATCGTATACATTTTCGCTTTCTTTCACTTGTCCAACCGCAGGCTTGTTCATTTCCGGCGTTCCGTTTTGAAACCAAAGGGACAACTGAAGGGAATATAAACAGCGTTCATTTTGAGTTTGCTCTTGTCAATGATAATAGCCTATACAACTTTGCTTCTGTCGCCGATCCATATACCTTTGCCGATCAGCTTGTACGCTGTCCCGAGGATCCTCATACCTGTGTCTTCACCAATCTTGGCGGTGACGCTAAGTTGGTGTCGCCCAAAAATGAGGGAAATGGGGATAAGGACCGTTATGGCCACATTGCTGCTTTTCTGCGCAAGGCTCCAACAGAACAAATTCAATCGGTGTGGAAAACAGTGGCGGAAACCTACAGGCATCAGCTGCGAGCCCAGTCACCCCAACCTGTTTGGTTCTCTGCAGCCGGTGGTGGGGTAGCATGGCTTCATTTTAGATTCGATCGACGGCCCAAATACTACCATTACACACCCTTCAAGCAGACATTCTGAAAGACAATTTCCTGCTAACAACTACAGCGCAATTCTGGAAACGACAAGGCCGCAAGTATTGTCGAGGACGAAGCCACAGAGACTACAATGAAGCAAATGTAGCAAATGAGACGGACTGCCAATATGTATTTTCTGGTGAAAGATGACGTGATGGTTATCTCGCACAGTTAAACCGCACGGCAGAAAAATGAGAGTGCCCATTTTCAGGCCAGAAGGAACAAGCATATAAATGTAATCGTTACATTATTACGAGAGTGTTGACTTACGAAGTAGTAGATATTAAAGATAGTAATGTAGATCAAATCGTATTCTTAAAAAGAGTGTTGTTCTCGTCGTTTCATCGACAGGCTTCCGCGAAGGCCGATCTCGTTCACTTACGGACACGAACCATTGCATGCGTGTGCAATAGCACGGTAGCCTTCATTTGGTCCCCTCGAATTGGGTTCCAACGATGGGATCCAGTTCGATAACTTGTCTAGTACGTCCATTCCCCAAATAGTCGCCCTCTCCTTTCTAGTGTCAATCGTTTCATGAAGGCATCAGCGAGGTTCAACATTCCTGCAATCCACGATACGTTGACGACTCTTGCAGCCACGTTCCACCTAGTGTAATGATAAGCAATCGAATTATGCTTCTTGTTCAAAGTGGATTCGACCATTGTTGAATTCGTCACCACGCTCTCATTGTCGCAGAATACCTGCGATGGTCCTTCTTCCAAAGGTATTCCGAACATCCTCCATTTGAATCTCAAATGCGTGATGGCTTCGATGCATGACTTCAAAGCAATGAATTCGGAACCAAAAGTACTCGCTTCTACCGTATTCTGTCGCTTGCTGTGCCATAAGATAGGTGCCCGATTGAGGAAAATTATGTACCCCGTATGTGATTTCCGCGTTTTCTTATTGGCACCATGTGAAGCATCTACACATGCAGTACTTCCTACACTTTCGTGTGTTTTCATGCGCCTGAGCAATTTGGCTGCATCAACTACAGGAAATGGCACTGTGGCAGGGTCTTGTCCCATGCGGATCTTGTCTCTGCACCATTGGATGAATCACCATTGGATGAATGCGCGGATGTTCTTCTTGATGGCTGGCATCAAGCGTATCTGTCCTTGCGCGTTCGTCAATCCTGCGAGGGTTTTAGTTCGCCAATGGTGCTATCCATCGTTGTGGTGAAATCGTCCAAGAATATATCATAAGCAATTCTCTCGGCTTGCTTGCGTCCTTGGAAAAGGGTGATATTGTTAATGCCACAGATGACCATGTCGACATGTACAGTGAAACGAGGAGGAACGGCGGCCATGTTGCTTGTATCAATATCATACATCATATTATTGGTTCACATTTCTTTCATTCCTAGCAGTTTTTGTTGGTGTTGTTCAGCACGATTCGTAACAGTTTTTGTTGGTGTTGTTCAGCACGATTCGTAACAGTTTTCGTTGGTGTTGTTCAGCACAATTCATGACAGTTTTCGTTGGTGTTGCTCAGCACCATTCGTGGTAGTTTTCATTGGTGTTGCTCAGCACCGCTCGTGGCAGTTTTCGTTGGTGTTGCTCAGCACGTTCATTAGAATGTTCATAACATTTGATGTCACTACGTTTCAATACATTTCAATACGTTTCAATACATTTCAATACGTTTCATTTTCGTTCCGTTCGTCGGATAACTTCTGACAGTTATTGCTGGATCTGATAAACCATATAAATGTAATTGTTACATTATTACGAGAGTGTTGACTTACAAAGTAGTAGATGTTATAGATAGGAACGTAGATCAAATCGTATTCTTAAAAAGAGTGTTGTTATCGTCGTTTCATCGACGGGCTTCCGCGAAGGCCGATCCCGTTCACTTACGGAAACGAACGATTGCATGCGTGTACCATAGCACGGTAGCCTTCATTTGATCAAGAACAAATCTGATCGGACGAAAATTTTGAATGCGGATGTATTTGGTATTTAGGCACTTCCGTCTGCCACATCAGTTGCTGTTTATGGAACTGACGTGATCTGCTGGAAGATTCATCACTACTTATAGAATCATTGGGTGATTCGCGACCAATTGCTCTATGACGAGGTCCACGAAAAATAAAAATTGGATTTTGAAATTGCTTTCCATCCATTTTTATGATCTCACAGTTTCAAAAAAATCCAGTTTTCGAATCGAATCATGGTGAGTAATCTTTCTCTGAAAACCTTGAGATGATTGAATCGTCTCTAACATTCGCTCTCGACACTCTCCACGACAGTCTGAGGAAAAGCCTGTGACTAGCCGCAAGGACCGCCCAACAGGCTCCATGCACGTTGGTGACGCTGACTTTGATGTCAACGATCCAGCATACGAGATGGATGCTACTTGGGGAGAAGTCTGCACTGCTTGCTGTGTCAGGACTCCTGTTGAGTGGGCATTTGGCCTCTTCGGAATCGCTGCTGTGTTATTCTTCCTCTACTTCTTCCTTCTTGGATTGGATCTTCTTGGAAATGGTGCCAAGGTGATGGGTGGGTGTGCCGCCGGTGCTCTTTTTGGTGATGACATGAACCCCATTGCCGGACTCATGGTTGGTATTGTTGCCACCGTCCTTCTTCAATCTTCTTCCACCACCACTTCCATTGTTGTCTCCCTTGTTGGAGCCGACACTGTCACTGTTAAGCAAGGAATCTTCATGATCATGGGTGCTAACATTGGTACTTCTGTCACCAACACTATCGTCGCCATGGGACACATGGGAGACGGTGATCAACTCGAGCGTGCCTTTGCCGGAGCCACGGTCCACGACATGTTTAACTTTTTGTCCGTAGCTATCCTGCTTCCTGTCGAAGCCGCTACCGGATACCTCTTCCACCTCACCGAGGCTCTCACCACCAATTTCAAGGCCCAGGACGGAGAAAAGTGGGAGGGACCAGTCGTGAAGCTTGTTTCTCCTCTTGCAAGCCGCATCATCATGGTCAACAAGAAGGTTGCTGGCGACATTGCATCCGGAAAGTCCACCTGCGATACCTACTATCCTAACAACGGAACTATTTCTTGCGAGGATTACAGTGATCCTCTTACCTGCAAATCCGGACTCTTGGCTTGTGACACGAAGGCTGATGTTCCATTCTGCCCTGCTTTCTTTGACCCCGAAGCAACTGAATCCGTTGACCGAACATCTGGAGTCTGCGCTTTCATCATTGGTTTGATCCTTCTGTTCATCTGCCTCTTTGCTTTGGTTAAGATCTTGCAACGCATTATGATGGGTGCTTCCACCCGCGTCCTCTACAAGGCCACCAACATTAACGGATACCTTGCCATTCTCATCGGAGCTGGTATTACTATTTTGGTTCAATCTTCTTCCATCACCACCTCCGTCTTGACTCCTTTGGTCGGCGTCGGTGCCCTTCGTCTTGAACAGATGCTTCCTTTGACTCTTGGAGCCAATATTGGTACCACCGTCACTGGTTTTTTGGCTGCGCTTCTTGGTAACAAAAACGGAATGCAAGTGGCTCTTGCACACTTGTTCTTCAACATTACTGGCATCGTCATCTGGTACCCAGTTCCTTTCATGCGTAACATTCCTTTGAACGCTGCCCGTGCTCTTGGACGTTCCACCCGCCTCTTCCGCGGATTCCCTCTCATCTACATTGCTGTTGCATTCATCGCCATGCCTTTGGTCTTTTTGGGTATCTCTTACCTCTTTTCCGATGGAAACTCTGGACTTACCGCTCTTGGTTCCATCATTGTTATCATCTTGGCTCTTGCCATCATCTACACTGGATACTTCTGCAAGTACCAAGGTGGTTCCGAGAAGTGCACCGAGTGCTTGGTTACCCGCGAAAAGCGCAACAACGCCGTCAGTAACCTTCCTGATGACATGGAATGGTTGAAGGCCAAGGTTCGTGAGCTCTCTGAGCACACAGGACTTTCTGTTGATGAAGAAGCCGGAGCAGATGAGGCTTCCGATGAAACCGAGCCCCCCAAGGAAGAGGATGCCTAAACACAATAAGGCTCTTCTCACCATTGCGCGGAACGGCCTCGCGTTTAGGATATATGTTTAGCCATGCAACCGTGGATTATAGTGCAAACTTTGCCATACCTCTTAGTGGGAAAAGAGATAAATTAGATGAATAGATTGGAGACAACGCCGATGTATTCATGACTGATTCATTCATTCATTCGTTCGTTCGTTCGTTCGTTCGTTCGTTCGTTCGTTCGTTCGTTCGTTCGTTCGTTCGTTCGAATGAACTACAGTACAGTACGTACCGGTATGTTCGTACACGTACGTATGTCACATCATACAGTACGTGTACGAGTCCAGCAGTCCGCATAGTTTGGATAAAAAATGTGAACAAGCGAAGCGAGCAATTTTTTTAATTATGGTATTTCGCTCGCTGATTGCGCCGGGACACACTGGCCGTGAATTCGTCTCACATCGTTGTTCAAATCCTCGTGTCATTGTCCAACAACAAAAAAGATTTCACACACATCCTTAACCTTCGAGTCCAATGTTGGAGTTCGACGGGCTCCTCACCGAGCACCCCTTCGTGTGCTCGGTGGTTGCTATTGTGATAGGCGTTTTCTACCATCACATCAGCGAGCTGATTGAGCTTCAGAAACTACAAAGACAGCAAGATGAGTACATTGTTGGGAATCAACGAAATAAGATGAGCAGGAAAGGAAGCTTCACTTTGTCATCGAATTCCTTCCAGCAGCCAGAGGAAGTCACGGTGTCCTCTACATTTTCTTCTACTCTAAGTTCTCGCGATCTTCAAGCGAAACTCGCTGCTTGTGAAAGAGTCATTCAGTCGCTTCAGAATGAGCTCCAGACTACCAAATGCGATAACTCCAAGTTGAGAGCTTCCCTGGGGACCGCCCACAACAAGGCTGCCATTCTCGAGCAAGAAGGGACCGACATGAAGGAACTTCTTGAGAAGGAGCAAACCAAGGTCCTGAACCTTCAGAGTAAACAAATTCCCACTCCAACTCAAATGTACGAACTGGAATGGGACAAGGCCGATGCCATGATTTCGTTGGTGAATGTTCAGAAGGAAATCTACGAATTGGAATCATCCATTTCGATGCATCGTTTTGAATTGGTTCAGAAACAAAATCTCCTAGAAGTCGAGATGCAACGAGTTTCCTTGGAAGAAGTGCTTGGAGCTCGAGAACACTCAGAAGCGTTCTTGCAGGCCGAACAAGAAAAGCTGCGAAGCATTCATGATGGATTGGAAGAATCGATTGCAAGAATCGAAGCCAACCAAGAGAGACTCCTCAGTGAACAATTCAGCTCTCACGACGAGCTCGCTGCCTCGCAGAAGCAAGAGCAAGTGCTCTTGACTAAGATTGAAGAAAAGGAAGGCGCCATTGCCATTCAAAAGCAGCAAATGGCTCAACTCGAGCGACTTGTGGAAATGGAGAAAGAAAAGGCCCGAAACCAAGTGGAAGGATGCAAGATCAAGTATGAATCGGCGGAACGCAAGCTGGAGAATATTATGCAAGAATCGGTATACAATCAAAAGCGAGTGGACGACCTGGAACAAATGCTAAAGGCAGAAACCAAGCGATCCGAAGAGTCGAAGGGTGACAGTCACAAGAACGAGGTGATTCTTCGCACCAAGGATACGCAGATTGAAGCTTTAAAGTCAAGCGTTGCTGCTCTCAAAGAGAAGGAAGAAGAGCAACAGGTCGTCGTAGAGAAGCTTCGCAAGCTCCATGAACAAGAGAGAGAACGAGTAGACCAGATGAAGATACAAGCCGAGAAACTCGCCAAGGAAAAACTGATGTGCGAAGATGCTTTGGAGAAGGTGAACATGAAGATGGAAGCCAAACTCGAAGCCATTATGAAGCAGAAGCATGTATTAAAGCAATTCGAAGAAGCGCAAGCCCAAGAACAGCAAAAGTCTGCAAAGATCAACGAGCAACTACCACAGTTATACAATCTAATCAAGGTTGAAGAAACCAAGGGGACCAAACTGAAAGAAGAGTTGGACCAAAAGAACGGTCAGCTTTTGAAGGAGAAACTGAAAGTTCAGCAGCTCCAAAAAGAGCTTTCCAACATGTCAGCCTTGTTGATGACTCAACAAAAAGACGACAAGGCGACAGCCGAAGCCATTGCGACAGCGGGAGGGGATCGAAAAGCATGGTTTTGGAAGCAACAGTCATAGCGAATTGTTGTTATTGTAGCCGCTTAGGAAAGAAATCGGTTGCAGTTGTTGTTGTTGTTTCAGGAACCGTGGGTTCTTGGAAACAGCAGATATAAGCAACAGCAGCCGATTTCCCCGGGATCTGTACCATTTTTACTACCATACGTGCATGGCAGACTTGCTGAGGATTTTCGTTCCTTTTCACAGGATGACAGGGACATCTTGGTTCCTGGAGGTTATGGGTAGGGTCGATGAACCACAGCCGTCGTTGCCGACCCTAACTTCCATATAGTATACACACAAAGAAAATCAAACAGAGGCATCTGCCCCGTATGGTTTTGAAATAGAGCAGACGAGCTTAACAATAACCATATCACATATATACCTATGTTAGACGAAATCATCACACAGTCAATCAGTCAATCAATTTATTAGTAAGCAAAGCACCAATTTGAAATTCTAGAGTAGTGTGGTAAAATCGAAGGGGTCAAATACTTTTTATGCGCCACGTCAGCAGCGCAAAAGTTCGCAGGTTGCGAAATTCTGATGCTTTTGTTGTTGCTTGAAAAACAACAACAGATGGCCAAAAAGGCTGAACATAAAAACAGGAAGATCCACGGTGAGACTTCTTCTGGTGACGTTTATTATGAAGGTTTACAACTTCTGAAAGTGGTAGCAATTTGACGGTACACACAAGAAAGGAGGAGAAGACTATGAATGCGAAGAAAAGGATGACTTCCCATGAGCAATCACTGCTTCTGGCGATATCATGTCTACTCTTGTTGTCGCCACTATGTGAAGGATGGTCATCACTCCCATCGCCACGGACCACCAGGCCTAGGGAGCGTACTGTGGCCTTCTCTAAATCAGCTGTTATTGGGAAGAACAAGCTCAACAGGCCATCCTCATGTTTTCCATTGCAATGCCAATATCATCAGGATGACGACAATGACGATGATTCCAAAATAGCCCGCCAAGACAACTTGCTTCTATCACTCGACAAGATAATGCGGAAACACATTTGTATTCCTGGATTGATGCTGGTTGCTTCGTTTGCGCTATGCTTCTCACATCCCCAAGGAGCGACCGCCAGCACATCGGACATGGCCGTTGGACAGAAATATTGGTCCATCATGTCCGGTTCCTCCAAAGAAGATCGGATTCGAGCCAATGAGGCTTTGTTGGACTACGCTGTGGGTACCATTGACACCCAATATTATGACAATAGCGGAGGGTATAGATTTACTCCCGCTGATTTTTATCGTCATTGGCGGTCCTTTCGACGAATTGCCCTCAGTGGTTCCGAATCGGCAGATACCTATCGACCGAAACTTTTACAAGCGGCCAATGCTGCACAACCAGCATTGACACCAGCAACAATTCCCAGAGGTGTCTCTTTGGACAATCGAGAAGGTGCCGTACGAGGACTTCGATGGCTCGTCAGTAACTTGAATGATCCCTTTAGCAAGTATCTGACGAGAGAAGAGCTCAAGGACGAACTTAGTGTCTCTAGAGATCATGGATTTCTAGGCACTGGGGCCATTGTGGAAGCTCCAGTGGTGTTAGTGGATTCCATTACAGCAACACAGCGAGGAGCTAGCAGTCGAGTGGAGTCTACTACAAATCCGCTACTTGCCCGTGCCACACAAGGTTGGAGGTTTGTGAATGCTGCTGGTGCTCGGACCACCAATCAATTGCAAGCATCCAAGAAGAATCTTTCAACTGACAAGGTTTCTAACCTACCAGTGATTACAGCGATTGAACCGGATTCTCCTGCTGAAAGAGTGGGCTTGGTGGTAGGGGATCGAATTGTCTCGGTAGGAACAAAGAGTTTCTTGGGCCGAACAAAACTGGATGTCCGTCGGGCCCTCACTACTACAAGCAATAAGTACCAAGCTTCTCAACGCACTGTCACAGAGGATTCTACAACCTCCGTCGACTCACTTGTAGCCGACTTGGTTGTTGCCAAACCCGTTTATGCCTTTCCGGACTCTTCCATGAGGGACATCGTAGTGGGATACCGCCAGTCACACGTCCGAGTGCCCACCACGCCAATGGACCAGAATCCTACCTTTGAAGGAGGGGATAGTATGGTACATTATCAACTCTTGTCCTCTTTGTCTGGTTCCATATTCGAGGATACCAGTGGTGGCTCTTCCACCAAGATTGGTTACGTGCGGTTGACAAGATTCTCCAAGGCTTCCACCAATGCGTACCTTAAGGCAATCGAACACTTGGAAGCCGCTGGAGCTCAATCCTACATTTTCGATTTACGAAACAATTACGGTGGAAAGTTTCAAGATGCTTTGCTATTGGCTTCCTCCTTGATTCGTGATCCACACGCAATTTTGTGTAAGTTTCTTTCATTTTGCGGATCAGCAACCACTTGGGACCACTAGTTGGTATCTTCAAGTCTCATCTACTAACCAACTGTCTTTTATTCTGGATGCTTTTAGGTTACACGATGAACGCTCGAGGAGCTTTCACACCGCATGAAGTAGAAGAATACGCAGTGGACAAACGGTACCCCGGATACCTACTTTCGCGAGAGGCAAGTAGCGTCACCTTGGATCAATTGCACTGGGAAAAACCCAAAATGTTCCTACCGAATGGTCAAGTAGATTGGGATGTAAGTTTCGCTGTGTCGTTTTGGGAGGAATAGATCTGATCACAATCATTATTGACTCACGGATGCTGCTCACAATTCCTTTTGCCTTTTCCTTGCAGCCACCAAGTAGCTATGCATCCGTTCACGAACAGGTCGCCAAACGAGGGATTCATCGAGTATCCTATTACGAAAATATGAATCCCACTACTAAGAATCAACTAAAGGCTCAAAAGAACCTTGTCTTGTTGATCAATGAAGGCACGGCATCGTCAGCCGAAGTCTTTGCCGCTGCCCTTCGAGACAATTACCGAACCGTGGCACTGGTCGGTACCAAGACCTACGGCAAGGGTTTGATTCAGCACACCTTTCCAACTCCCGACGGTGGTGGTCTCCGATTGACCATTGCCGAATACCTCACTCCGAACCTGCAACATGTAACCCACGTGGGTGGGGCCAAGTACGATCGTGATACGGGTGAATTCTTGGGTGGAGGATTGAAACCTGACATTCTCTGCGAATCGCGACAAGGGATTCCTGGAAATAAACGTGGTGATTTGTGCATTGGCATTGCATTGGATGTATTGGAAGAAGCAGCCGCCAATACTAATACTGATAATGGTTGGCCCAGTAATACAAATGATGGAAAGCAAGGCAAAGAAATGTCAAATGACGAGTTTTGGTGGTAAACAAGACACTACTAATTTCGGTTCCACATAAACAACAACTAACAACAGAAAAAAGGAGATATTGCAACAGGAAACACGCCATTCCAATTCTATCTTTAGTCTATTCAATATTTATTTCAGAAATTCATAGAATGCACCTTGGAAGACTTGTTTTGGTTGGGGGCGTTTGGATTACATCTCCCAGTTACGGACAACAGCACCACGCCTGCTTGGGCTGATTTGGACACTGTAAAAAGAGAGAAAGGAAAAGACGAGGTTAGACTACTGTGGAATCGTTTGGTGGTAGATAGAAGAAAGAGGCACGTACTCGGGGTTGAACAAGATGCAACTGACACCAACACCAGCGACCAAAGCAGCGGCTCCGCCCATGATTGCAATCATTGGGAAAGTGGATGGATCGGAGAGCCATGCCTTTTGGAAGGTATATTCCTGCTTCTTGGCCAAGAAGGTGGTGGAAACCGTGCTGGATTGGTAGCGACGTTGAGCGACGCTGTGGGAAAAAACAATGATGATCAATTGGTTGATTGATTGATTGAATCATATTGAAGAACGACAGAAATCAAGTTAGCAATGACGATGACGGAACCTTTTTTTAAATTCAATCTGGCATGAAAGTTACATACCGAGCAGTTTGTCTAAGAGCAGAGTTTATCATGATGGCGAAGAAGATTAATAGAGTGAGTGTATCAAAAAACAGTCGTTGAGTGCTTGCTTTCGAAGATTTATGATGGCGAGACTTCAAAATGGTATCCTTGGTATCTTTTGCGTAAGAAAAGTACCAATATCCTTCCTCGTAGACGTCGTAGGTGTTTCTACGAAGGGAACAAGGGTGTCAACTCGAACGATTTTTTAGTTCTGTCTTCTCATGTCTGTGCATGTGTTCGTCGGTTTCGTATCGTAGTGTAGTGTCTGTCTGTCGACCAGGCAGTCTGTCATGCAAAATCATGTCATGTCTACAAAAGCTACTGTAGCGGTACGATACAGTATCTGTTGGCCACACCGTACATAGCATACAGTAGTTTACAGAGCGGATCAAGTCCTCACAAACTTCCTGATGACGACGGAATTTTGTGTGTGTGTTTCGCTGGGCCTCCAAACTGTTTGATTCTGATGTTTGATTCTGCTGTTTTCCATAGACTTACTAGTACTACCACTAGCAGTCATTTTTTAGAAGGCTCAGCAGTTTTGGGAATCATCATTCAACACCGTAGCAGATTCCTCGAATTCAGGGTCCCGTAGCAAGTCCTCCTGATGCGGCGGGATTGTTTGGGCTTCTTTGATCCAAGATTCTCCTTTGATCCAAGTTAGATAGTGCCGGCAGTAGAGATCCTGTTTTTCGCAATAATATTTCCAACCACTTCCTTGGGATCAAAGAAGACCCGCACGCTAATGCGTCACAAAATTCCAAACTAAATTCGCTGGTTTACATTCGCCACTATAGAATTGCTAAATGATCAACCTGTCCCGCATTGTTCATGGTCAACAGCCAATCAGAGAGAAGATTTCGATCAGAGTCGTTTTTTTGCTTCTTGAGTTGGAAGTCTATAATTGAAACTAGAATAAGCCACGTCATACCAATAATTCGAACTTCTTGAAACGCTTTATAATATCAATTAACACTGTCAGTCAACGTCAGCTGTATTTGTTAAAAGGAAAGCTGAACATGTTCTCCAACTGGAATCAATTACAAAACAGCAATAAGTGATTTTGTAACTTCTGATCAAACGGTTTGGCCAGCCGACACACAATGTGGTTGCAATCATTAGGTGAAGCGCTACTGTACCACTAGGTACTGCACCACACGACACGAAAACACAACATCTGTTCATGCCAGCAATAACATACGAAATACTGCGGTAGATTGCATTACAGGAGCTCGTTTTTAATGGACATTTGATTCATGAAATGCCTGGCAACAAGCGGGTCAACAAGATTGACGACAGGAACATGGAGGCTAGTACGACCATCAATGGTAAGCATAGCAATGTTCATGGTTCAACATCGGACATCACAGCTTTTTTCGTTTGTCTCACAACCATTCGTTCACACACTCTCGTTTGTGCAGGTAATGACCCGAGACACCAGTCTGGCAAATCATCATCGTCGTTGCTGGAGGGTGCTGGAGTACAGCGAGTGCCATTGCATTCATCAGGTAGGTGCAATGTTTGGTCGGCAATTGTTTATTTCCGCTCCAATGGACTGATCCTTACCAATATATTTATTATGTATATTCAGCAACAACTGCAGGATCACCAATCGCAGCATCACAAATCGACCAAACAATCATGAGAGAGATGATAAACCAATTGCTTGCTGGAGGGCAGCATAGCGTTCCACAGGTTGATCTTGATGCAAATGCTCTACTATCCTCTTTGATTGAAGCTCAACGTCAAGCAGCAATACCGCAAATACTGCAGGTACCACAGATACCGCAATTAGGGGCAGCCGCATCGCTGAATCCTGTACTGTTGTCCCAACAATCAGAGCACGCTTTGTCTTCTTCGTTGCAAACGGCTTACCTACAGAACTACTTGTCCAACATGGGCCAATCAACGTTGATGAATAGTATTTTCGAGCAGATCTTAATGGGACAGCTGGGAAACACAATGCCTAGCTATTATCCTTCTGCAATTCCTGGTGCTGCTGGTCCTACCTCGAATAGCCCATTTACTACTTTTGGTGCAATGACAACTGATCCATCATTGCAAGGTCTCATTATGGCTCAAAACCCCCAACAAGTATTGCATACTGTGAGCGCAGGAAGTGCCTCACAGGAAAGGCCGCGAAAGCGACAGAGGCTGGGATCTGACTCCCCTCCCTCAAGGGTTTTGGCATTGCCGGAGGACCATGAAATCCTTTCGGAGCATCAGATTTTTCTGCGCTCTCAAATTGAAGCCTTTTGTGCCACCAGTGACGATATATCGACGCACACTCGAGGAAGAAACAAGCCAGTGTCCCTTGGACAGGTTGGAATTCGATGTCGACACTGTGCACATGTTCCAGTGAAGCAAAGACAAAAGGGATCGACCTATTTCCCAGCGTCTTTGCTGGGGCTGTATCAAGCAGCACAAAACATGTGCTCGACACACATGCAAAGTGGTCTCTGCGATCAAATGCCACATGAAGTCCGACATCAGTTTGCTCAACTTTTAACCTCCAAGGTGTCGGGATCTGGTGCTGGCCGGCCATACTGGGCCCGGGCGGCAACGAAACTCGGTTTGGTAGACACAGAGGACGGGATTCGACTTTCTTCCCACGATCATCTCAATAGGAGCAATGGTTCCTAGTCAGCATCCACGCAGCGTTGAGTGAGGTCGTCGTCGTGGTAGGTAGAGATAGAATTAGACGAATAATCAGTTAGGAACTTTTTGTCTTCGAGCCCTAAACATCAAAACAACAAACAGAATTTATCAGAATGGGGTTGTCGGTCGTCAGTGTGCATGGGATACTCCAGACACTCCACGAGACACGCTGTCGATTGCAGACGACTGACGACTGATCATACCGGTAGCGTCATGCGATCGATTGGCAACTCGTGACTGCTGTGGAAAAAACGGAATGAATGAATCAATAAAATCAAAATCAATAAAATCCAAAATCGAAGCGCCAATATGCCGGCCAATAGCTAGATTTTGAAGAGTAGACTAAATAGCGAAGTCAATAACTATCTCGTAGAAAGTACCATCTCTTCTAGTTGGATGGCTTTAGCTGACCATCTAGTAAAATATTTTCCATGGTGAACAATGGAGTGGGTGAGTCATATGCATGTGATTGAAACGCAATCTTACTTCTTGTCCCACTCATCAATATTCAAATATTGACGTTTCATCTTTGAAACTCGTTTTCGTCCTTCCAAGTTTGCATCCTTCCTATTCCCGGTGTATGATTGATTGTTGTATATATGAACTTGCCCACTGCAACTAAATTTCATATTTGTGCCGTTCACAGAACGTTATGCGTACAGGCTATGCAAAGCTCCCAGATGCTCCATTCACACTCCAACTATACTTTCATATACGCGTTGTAGCAGAGGCCCCATCACCGGTGGCACTCTTTTAAGGATCAGCATCTTTCACGGAACGTTTGCACATGCTTGTTGAGGCCAGTATGTTTGCCTTCACATACACAGTCAAAAACAAACGACAGCTCCCATGGAGCTAAAGCGGACCGGAGAGATAGCTCAATGCCAGTTATGCTCTCTCTTTGGGATATCGCTTACGGGGTTCCCCCAGCCAGAGAACTATGTGTTCTGGATTTGAGAAGCACCGCCATTTCCATGGGGTTGCTCTCTTTAGAACGATCATCATCGTTCAAGGAAAGTTTGCACATCATACTCCCACGTGGACCGAAGAGTTAGATAATTCTCTCTCTTTGGAAATCGCTTAGTACGGGGTTCCCCCAGCCAAAGAAGTACGTGTGTTGTGTATTCGTGTTCAGACGACTTACAAGCTCACCTGCTGCAGGCCAAAACTCTCAGCAGTACTCTTGCATGTCAGCCCCAAAAGGCCTTTATTGCAATCGGAACACGGTAGTGGTTGAATGAACATTTGAGTAGCTCTCCTTTGGAGTAGCTCTCGTGACAAAACAAAGCCTCTGCTTTGATTTTGTGAGCATTTGGAATGTGAAAAAGTGAAAGTGAAGAAACCAATTTAGAGACAGCCAAGACTAGATCAGCGAAGGTTTGAGCACGTTTTCGGCAGGTTCTCAATCGTTCTCCGTGACTGTTTGCAGCTCCTCGTTGTCGTCCGAAAGGATTTACCTGGAATTTCAGAGTGAAATCAACTTAAATCGGTGGTATTCTTGGATCAGATATTGCTAAAGCTTGAAGGCTTGAAGGTGCAAAGCCTCCACAATGAAATGGACGCAAGGGTTTCATCATCATTGGCAACTACTGTATGCCACGGTTTGTCATCTCATTTCGTCCTGCCTTATATTGTTGATTGCGATGATATTCATTTGATGCATGAGCATATGCGGACATTTATTGATTGATTGATTCATTCGATCGAATATGAGCGAGCGAGCGTGCACATGTCACATGCACAAAGACAAGAAAAAAAGGAATAACAACAATAATGACGGACAGTGATGATGAGCCCACAAACATGCATGCTCAATGCGATGGATGCTCAAATTTGGAACGAATCTCGGAACGGCGGTGCCAATATCCACTTTGTTGCGCAAAGGTGGATGCAATTTTATATTCGAAAGGTGGCCTTTGAAGCAACCTGCTCTGATGCGTTTTGGGAAGACAGGTGCTAGTTGCTCTGCCTGATAGATACGCAAGACCACTCTGAAAATCATTTGTTGATTCCTAGGTATGCTCGATACTGAAACTTAGTTAATTTATTGCTATGTCTGGAGTGCGGCTGCTTTATGCTTCTTCTTCAACAAACTCTTCCTCCGTTTCAGCCAGCCCAAGCACGGCACCAAAACTATCAAACAGTGCGCCAATCGGAATGGCGTAGAGTCCGATACCACATACGCACAAGAACAAGCAAACAATACGGCCAGGCCAAGTGAAATCAATAACCCCCCATTCCCCTCCTAGGAAAACTGCAGTCAAGTATAGAGTGTTTGGCATGTTCGTAAACACCTTTTGTTCGCAGAGGCCAGGATAAAATTCGTTGCATTCGGCAGTCGATTTGAAATCATAACACCCCGGGATCGTATGATTTGATGTGGGCGGCACAGAGTCGTCGCACTGTCGCCAGTTTGGATTATTCTCCTCAACAATGAAGAAGAGAGCCGCGCATCCCACCCATATGATGAGAGCCATCAGACCAGTTGCCTTAAGAATATCCTTCGATGCTCGGAAAACATTGTCGAGCTTGCTGAAGGCAACGAAGAAATCCTCCAATTGCAAGATTCTTCAAACGAAACAATAAGCCACCATGAGATGACCAAGAAAGAAAGACGAACCAACAATAAAAGCAAAGATCTCACGAACATACCGGAAAATCCTGAAGATACGGAAAATCATTGCTATATCATCACCTGGTTTCAGCACACCTGATGCCAACAGTCCTTGCTCAATAAACCAAGGTGCTGTGGAGAGAAAGTCGACGATTCCGAAAAAAGTAGTCGCATAGACGGCACTTGAATAGAGTGCCTCACGATTCTTTGGAGCACAAAAGAGCCGTGCAGCATATTCAGCCTGAAACGAAGAAAGGTGGCGGTAAGAATGATGAAATCGCTGCAAGAATTCTACAAACAGACAGCTGTTTTGAGACTTACAGCAAACACCATGACAGAAACGAACTCGAAGACATCAAAGAGGTTGCCCTTTTGATTCCCGACACGGCTGTCGATAGTCGGTATACTCTCCAATAGCACGGCAACAATATTCAAGATGATTACTGTGAAGATAAATGCTCTTGACGCTGATGCAAGTGATGTGAATTGTACATTTCCACTTTCGTCCTCCTTTCCATTCAGGAACTCATTCACCATTACTTGATATTTGTCCACTGTAGGGCCAAATTTGCTCGGCGGTGGCTCGACACCCTCAAGCTGACGATAGGCCACTTCATACCAATCATCTCCAGCAATTCCCGCAATTGCAGTGTTCGTTGTTCCTTGATTTCGAGCGTTCTTGGTTTTGATCTTGCTTTGTACGATTTCAACGAAACCAGTAGCAATTAATGCTGAAGGAATCGATACTACACCAACTGCAGCGATTACCTTTTGTCGTCAAGCAAAGTTGAGCCAGTATCTAGGATCCATTTGAAAAAGACTCTTCAAACTACTTACAATCAAGAATTGGATGAAACGTGATGGCCAAGTATACTCGGTGATCGGAAAGTCTCCTGTCAAGTGGACCCCAGTGTACACCATGCTGTCGAAAAAGTTTTGAAATCGGTCTGACATAGTACAGTCCTCTGTACATCCATATGCTGGCACGGGGTCGATGCCGTTGAATGTATCGCTGCTCTCGAAGACGTAGATGAGTGCAGCAAAGAGGATCCAAAGGGACAGCGACGCAAATAGTGCTACCCGAAGGGCGTTGAATTTTAGTCGCACAACATCATCGATCAAACTGATACTTGGAACATATTTATCGAGCTTCAAAAGACGTAAAATACGACACATTCTGAGATATTCATCGTAGTCGTCCACGATCGATCCTGGAAGTGCCAAAGCAAGATAAAATGGCACGAAACTGAGTAGATCGACAATGGAATAAAAGCTGAAGACGTAGCGAACACGGGACTTAAACCCGTCTCTAGATTCAAGCATGAACTCTGGATTAGCACCTGCCCCAATGAACCGCAGAATATACTCCAGAGTGAACACAACCACGATAACAGCTTCAATCTCGCTCAAATCATCCTTGTGTCCTGCCACAGTTTGTAGGACACCAATGGCTACGCCAGCAAAAATAAGAAAGAAAATGGTACCTTCAAACGCTCGTGCGACCGCCGACCCAATGCCTTCAGTCAACTTGTAGCACTCGTCTTCTATGCGTGATGCGGCGATGCTTACTGCGTTTTGAGTAGCAGCGTGAAGATCGGCTTGTTGAAGCTCTTGATTGTTGTCTTCGTGTTCTTCTGCCAGAATGTTCTCAAAGCCAGCGCCAAGAACACTGCAGCACCAGCATAGAGTAAGTAAGGTCTCTAGGGAGCAAAGTGGACTGTTGATAACCAATCGCAAGACTTACCCAATTGGAATGCCGAAAATGGCTGTGGCAAATAAACCAAGAATTCCTATAGCAACTTTGCCCGGAATAGAATACTGACACAGTGGTGCCTCTCCAGAAAGATTCAAAAGTGTCATCCACTGAAAGCAATGATGAGAAGCAGTTCAACAGGAGGTTCATAACAATCTTAGAAACCCAACATACCATTGAATTTGGAACGGTACTATAGTTGGAAGACATCTCTTCGTCGGGATTGTCTCGTTCAGTCAGGTACAAGAATGCGGCAAAGAAAACCCTAAAGAGCCAAACTGAAGTCAGTATCCGAATGGAGGGAACTCAAAAGGACAGCGGAAATGACACTCACCAAAGTAGAATTGCAGTAAATGCAGTCACAGACAAAATGTCCTTGTTTCGGTACAAGATGTCGTCGAAACTGCTAAAAGCATTAGTGTACTTTTCGAAACGAAAGATACGGAGCAAGCGTAGCGCCTTCACCAAGTTACTCTGGACTGCAATACTTCCAACGAGCACGACTTCAATCCAATATGGCAGCACACTCAACAGATCGACCATGGGAAGGAAACTTGAAATGTAGATCAAGATTCCTGTTGTTCCATTTGCAAATTTGGGGTCTTCATTGCAGCAGTAGAGCTTTGCTACATATTCGGTAGTGAAGATAATCACTGCGAGGAATTCGAAAATGTCCATGAGTCCACCCAATGTGACAGACGATATTTCCAGAGTATCGACGCAGAAGGTGATACCTGTACCAACGATAAGAAAATTGATAAAGTAATCAAATGTAACAGCTCCAGGCGAAACTTGTGCGTGCAAGAAGTTGTACAGACGTCCGCGAAGTGCAGTCGAATTAGATTGATGGTCAGGCGTCAACAATCCTCGGTCGGGAGGAAGGTCGGGAGCATTGTCACCAACTCGCTTTTCGATTTCATTCTCAAAGCCAGATGCCACAATAGATGCTGGAAGAGCGAAGACAGCAACCGCCACGATGGCCGTGAAGGTCCCCACAATCATGCCACCGACACTGTGCTGGTCGACCAACGGGAACTCTCCAAATAGATTCAGCAAGGAGTAGAAGCTAGCCATTGGAATACTCTGAAACATGTTGTAGCATGGTTCGGGGTATCCTTCACTAGGAGGACAGTCCGCCTTGCTACAATCGGCAATCCCCCAAGAGTCAATAGTACACAGTGATGTATCCACCTCCTCCGGGCAATAGTCAGGAGCAGCGCCACAGTAGATCATGTCGAGCGACTTTCGCTCTACGACATAGTACAAAGTCGATACACTAATCCAAGTAGTACATCCAATGAAAATGGCAGTGCCTAGAATGTCCTTCTGAGCCGCATAGACATCATCGACCACTGAAGCACGAAATGGCATGGATCAGCAACGGCATGATAAAGTGTTTGAATCAAGAGGTGTCGGAAAACTTACTTGTCAAGGCAGTATCATAGCGCCCTTCGACTCGCATCATGCGAAGCAGTCGAAACATTCTCAAAAAGGCAGATCCGGCAACATCCCTATCGACAAGGATGGCATCGACAAAAAAGGGAAGGGTCGAAGCCAAATCAACAATGGAAAAGAAGCTAAAGATGTATCGGAAGCGACCGGAAGCTCCCTTATATTTGGAATCTTCTAGGTCACAAATGAAAAGTCGCATGATGTATTCAATGGAAAAGACGACGACCGTGACAATTTCCAGAATGGAAGTAGTGCCGAGGTGCAAACGCTCCAATCCATTGTCCGCATAATTTCCAAAGAACAGGCTGTCACATAGATTCTGACAAATGCCCGAATCGCGACTTGCCCAGCTCGCATCATTGTATTCTTCGAGGAATAGACTGCCAAGGATGAAGGAAAGCACATTAATGGCAATGAGACCAATAATGACAGCCTCGTATTTGCGCCCTGATGGTGTCTTGGCTTCCAAGAAATCAAACAGATCCTCGCGTGATGACGAAGTGCCGGTGTTTCCAGTATCAGCAGCTCCATTATCGGCTAGAAGTGGCGTGTTTTCACCCGTTGTGTCTGGATAGGGCACCATGGTACAGGATTGATTGACCTGATGTGATGTGATCTCTGTTGGCTGACATCAATGTAGAAACTGTCTGTCCTGAGCTTGAGATCCGGGATCAGATATCTTTGGCATCATTGTCGGATGGGCGACCAGACGACTGGTATTGACTGGACCCCCTAGGAAAATGGGAATGGGCGGGCGTGACCTGGGCGTGACCTGGGCATCCCCGCATTATTATTGAAGAGCTCTTGCAAGTACCATCATCAAAACACCGCTTGAAACTGCGTTCATCTTTTGCCTTGTCACCATCATCCGGCTTCACCATGATCTCACAGACCATTACTTGCGATTAAAGAATCAATTTAGCTATTATTTCCATTCATGTTTACAAAAAAAGAATCATAGGTACGCAAATTGAGGAGAGGTGCTGGTTGTCTTTTGCAAGAATTCAACTTCAATCCCATCATCAGAACATGCTGCGTGGTGGATTGATGAATGCATAATAGCGGGCCCGGCAGACATGAAGGGATGCAATGAAGGGCTAACATTACACAATCCCGTTTCATACGGTATTGACAAACCTTGCAATACGAAAAGAACTCGTCTGAAAATGATGCCTGGTAGTTCCTCCTTCCGAAGGATGCACAGAACCAATTCATTGTTTAATTAGGTTCAAACGTCGAACTATATTGCCAGCGTGCATACGCTACTCCCCACGCACTCCCCAAGGCTGAAAAGTCCTGAACGAAGATGGCTTGAGGATGGCTAGGCAAGCGTCGAGAGATACGCTTCGAACTCGAACGGCCAATAGATCTACCGAACTGCCTTTTCAGGGTGCAAATGGCACGGCCAGACACATAGGGACTGCAATTGTCATTTTTTGTTTGATATTCTGTTTTGCATAAATGTTCTTAATCAACCAATCAAATCTACTTCAAACTCCCAATCTTCCCATGAATAACGTGAACTTGTTCACAGTTTCGTTTGGGACTCATTCGTTTATGGGAACTATAAATTTTCTTAATTTCCGCGGACGCCTCAATTTCCTTTTAACTTGATCATTAAAAATCGAAAGTGTAATACAAAAACGACGTTATTGGCCCTGCAAGGTTCTGATCATGAAAGTGAAAAGTAAGACAGCATATTGAATATTTTGTTGAAGCGGTCAAGGGTGCAGTCTCCATTCTGTCCCACACGGTGCAGGTAATGGACAACCGGCGTGTGCTGGGATCTGATGGGGACGCGGAGAAGACGAGAATTGTGTTGCCGACGTCTTTGGAATCACGAAATGAAGTTGTTCATGATCGGCATGGAAAGCAGTCGTTTCAAGAAGACCATCGACAGGGGAAAAAGAGGAAGATAGAAAGCACTGCTGTTGACAATGCCAGAGGCTTGATGGAACGTAAGTACCGATGAATGAACGATGATGAGATTTAAAATTCCCATGAATTTGAAGCATTGGGGATTCAGAGAGTTCGATTGAAATACAACCCGAGAGCGAGACAGATGCCTGGAAACCATATCTTACACTCATCTTTCGCACCTGTGTCTCTCCATAATCCCCTCGAAGCTCGAAATGTCTCTGCCGCAAGAACCAATCCCTTGAATCAGCAACAAGCTGACATGAACCGACTGAACGATCTTCTCAGACTGCAGCAAGGGTACCAGCAACAAGATTCAGCGCAATCTAGCCCTCAGCTACAGCTACAGATGCAGCTATCGCATCAACAATCGCTACAGCAACAAGGAGCCACCGATCGGAAGTCCCAAACTCTCGTTCGTATGTCTCCAAGTGGTGGTTATCAGGTGTATACGGGTACTTTTGGTGGAGCAACGAACAGCGCATCTCCACTCCCTCAGCCTCGACCGTTGCGTCCGATGACCGAGAGACCCTTACTGGCTACAAGTTGTGGCAGTCCTCAGTCTTTCCTCCAAGACTCGAATCAGAGGGACGCTAGCAGTCCACAAGAGCAGAAGGAATTGCAAGATCCTTTGCCGTCACAAATTAGCGGTTTGCAAGATTTGCGGCGGCAACAGGCGGCGGCCTCCTTGTTGCCGACTCCAATACTGCCGCAAGACTTTCAGCTTCAACTTTCTGCTTTGAATAATCAATTGCCAAACTCGCTACTCAATCATGGATTTCAGCAAAATCCACCATTCGATGCTCCCTTGTCAAGCAGAAACTATGCCGCAGCAATGGATGCATTCAGCTCGGCGGCTCTGTTACCTATTCCTATGAGAGAGCCGCCAATGGGATCCTCGAGTCACCCTGGAAAGAAGCCAGTCACATTGTACATACCTTGCGATGACGAGTCACTTTCACCTTACCAGTGCTTGGTTCGAAAAAACATTGAACTATTTGAAGCAGATATGCACGACGTAGAAGGAAATGCGAAAGGGAGAAACAAGCCGATCGTATTAGGTCAAGTTGGTATCCGATGTAAACACTGTTCCGCCATCCCTTCCAAAAATAGGGGTAGGGGGTCCAAGTACTATCCCGCCAAATTGAGCGGTCTCTATCAGGCAGCTCAAGGCATGGCCAGTGGTCACCTTTGTTCTTTTTGTAATCAAATTCCTTCTGCCCTCCGAAACGAGTTGATGATACTACGAGAGAAGAAGTCTTCGGCTGGCGGTGGTAAGAAGTATTGGGCGGATGGTGTTCGAGTGTTGGGCGTCATTGAAGACGAACATGGGTTGAGATTCAAGAAAAACTGATCAATTTTGTATCTTTCGAAAGATTTTCAAAGAGTGCAGCAAACACTGGGGTTACTTGCCTGGTACTCTTTTGATTTTGTGGGGTTGATTTTAGAAGCTAATTTTAATGAAGCTGTTCTGATTTTAACCGAATAATGACGTAAGAACGCACATCATGGCCTTGTCGAAGAATAAGAGTACTCGTCGATATTCTTTCGGTCTGACCCAGTCGATATTCCCGAGCATCCACATATTTTCTTATATGGACGATGACATGCTCGTACTCGTAGTTGAAGTGCGTAGGGAGATTGAGAATGAATGAATGAATCAATCGTTCTAATCGATGATTGCATGATTTTCCCGCCCCCAAATTTTCCAACTATACCCGCCTTTCCTCCTCGTGAATGAATGAACCAGCAGGATGGCCAACCGAAACCCGGATATGTCTGCAGCTTGGATATATCTCATCAGCTTGCTCGTGTCAAACATGAAGAGGAGTCTTCTTGGCAATGTTGAATGAGGGTACGAAGCCAATGCGGTGATGAATCAACTTCAAAGAAAAGAAACCGCAGAAATATCGAGACCAACCGACGCTGCTGATACCAACCTGCAAAGAAGGAAACGTTCTAGGTCGGAACAGGCAGACGCCAAAATGGAGCCTCCGTCTGAACCAAACGATGAATCATCCGAGAATACATCTCTTGAAAGAATGAAAAGAATGATGCCGGAGTTCCTCGCAAGTAGAATTGATGAAATCCTCTTGGAAAGGATCTATAAACTCTACAATACATCCCGCAACGAAGCGACTCGGGTTACCAATGCACTCAAGGACCAAGCATTTGTCGCGTACAATGTGTCAAGATCACATTCACAAAGCCTTTTGACCTCCCTGGATCATCATACCATCAATTCCACATGGCCAAAATCAATAGGTCAGGCACCATGGAACAACCATTCGGAATGGTTCCGTCTTTCTGCAGGAAACACCTCCGATTGGTTGAGTTTTCCAACATCAGGAAACAATTTGACGGCAACCCTAGCAGAAGCCTTCAATACTTCACTTTATAGGTCTGCTTACCAAGCATGTATAACTTCTCGAGATGGACTGCAGTACTATGTGAACAAGACCGCTCACTGGTCTCAGGAGTTGGATACATCTCAGGATTCCATCATTGCAGGGCTTGGTTTCTTGGCAGTCGTCATCATTTGTCTCGTTGTATTTGGGTGGCGAAAGGTGACGAAAAGGCAAAACCTCCAGTTTGATGACTCGGCCAAAGACTGCGATCGTTCATTTGAAGGTATGAGGGTATTGCGGAATACCAGGGATCGGTCGTCTACAAATGACTTTTTTGGGATGCATCTTCGCGAGCGGGGAAATAGCTCGGGTGATTTCAGCCGCGGTAGTGGGCGTAGAGGAACATCGATAGATGCGCCTCCTCCAATTAGGCGAGAGAGGGTCGGAAGCATGGATATCTTTTACTCCAGAAGAAATTCAGCTGAAATTTCGAATCGTCGCTTGAATACAAATATGAGCACCGGCTCCAGAAACGTTCGATCGCCCGTGTCACCTCAGGAGTACGTTCGTTCACAATTGACATCAGAAGAGAACGAAGACGAAGGCTTCCTTTATGATGAATTCGGTCTCGTTACAATGGTAAGTAGCATGCTTTACGTTGACCGTACTGCAATGATTGATGGAGGTTGCTCATTCCACGGATTCTGAAGTCCTTTGAAGTGGTCTATTACGGTCCGGGGCATACTGCGTTAAAGTACTCAGCTTTGTCGCCTCCAAAAGACTGGGCTGAAGCATCGCGGCAGATCATTCCACATGAGATCGGAACAGTGCTTCGTCGGAACATATTCCTCGACGTTAGTAAAGCAAATATTGCTGTAAAAGAACCAACATCGGAAGGTCATTGGGAATACGAGCTCCCAATCAATGATTCTTCGGTATATGTTGTACCCCCTGCTGGAGGAGGAGTTATCAATCTTTATGAACGGGGTACACCCAAAGAAAAATGGAAAGAGTATACTTTTCAGTCTTGCAATGTGGCTGCTCAATTTCAGCTGGATGTACTAGCGTACCAAGTCCTTGGTCAAACCTTGCGGAGTATATTTGAAGTGCTCTCGATTGTACATCAAGGGTCAATGGCTTCAGATTATACCGATTATGTGCTTCATGCGAGTCAAGTTGTAGAGGAGAACGATGAAGCCGCAAAATCAGATAATCAGGTCGAGAACGGGGGCTGCATTGCTTGGGATGACGCCATGCGTGCATTGAGCAGCATTCCGACTATTCGAATTGCCCTCGAACGAGTTTGGCTGAATCATCGATCACCTGTCAGAGTGAGCATTGACGCGAAGGGCAAGCGGAAAGATGTACCTGCTGCAGCGGGTGACGATAGCAGATACATCAACGATGCTTATCTTAACAGACGTGTTTTACTTGGTCCCGTGGACTTCTTCCGGCTGTTTGTTCCAGCGCTTCCCCAAACAGCCATTCCGCAAATCGAGTCAAATGCTGTTCGAATGGAGCAACTGCTAAGCTGGAGGAAACGCGCGGCGCGAGCTGCAGTTCTTGTCCGAGCATATGCGATATCTCGACGTGTTGTAAACCAAGGATGGACATTGCCGCTATCAGATGGAGATGAAAACGAGGCCCTGACGCGACGGCTTGCTTATGACGACAACGACGATAACAACAAGAGAGACTCGAGAGTCAAGAACGAATACTACGAGGCATCTGTATCTCGAGATGTATTGTGCCATGTGCGCCCATTCGACTTTTTCAGCAAGGGTGGTGTCGGTAGCTTTGAAAAGTCGCTTGTATTGAGTCCGTATCAAGCTTACTCCTTAGTTGGGATGCAACTTTTCAATTTGCCGGAAGGACAGAGTGACGATGCCGTATTCAGTGCAACGCGAGATCCGGTTGAAATGTTCCCATCGCTGGCAACGCTGATCTCTGGAAACCCCGAGCTAGATTTTTTCGTCACATCTCATTTCAACATGATGAAAAGACGCCTTTTTGTTGGCTGTTTTGTGCGTTCCCTTCCAAAAGGAATCGACCCTCAATTCGATACTGTGGTACGTATTATCCGCGCCCTATTTCTCTTGTTTCAAGAAAGCTGCTGACGATGGGCAAAACGATTCCAGATGAAACGCTTCTCTGAGGGTTCAAAGGAAATTCGGGACCGAAAACTTCACATGATGGTCCAACTTGGCCAACGATCCAATATTTCTTACGGAGGCCGATTGGCACTTCGGTTTTTGGCATTGACTTTGAGGTTCAGGAGGGGTATCAGTTCTTCGCTTAGCCTCGAGGCTACGAAAGATCGTTCCCCATTGCCTTCGTTGCGACTGTCTGATTATACGGAAACGCATCACTTTGGGGGTGCACTACAGCAGAATCCTGACTTACCAAAGAACTACGTATCCATGACAGCAAAGGTCGATAATAGGTTCCTTCCAAGTTCCATCTCTTCGCTTCTTTTCCAGATTGTGGACGAGAGGCTGAACGCCAGGGCCATGGATTTCACAGTAGTCCTCGAAGGCGATCATGATGATGAACTCCCAGAACGAGCTCTTTGTTCAATGAGGATAGTCCATTTGAGCTCGGAGACAGTTGGGAAGACTCTGTCCCCGAAAGATGTCGCGGAGATAAGGCTCGCTAAACCAGATTCTGATATTATCGAGCCAAGTCTTAAACGATGGGCTAGGCATTCGCTTCACAACGCTATGCTAATGTTCTCTCCGTCCGGGGACAAAAAGAAAAAAAGATCTGGACTCAATGGTGCATCTTCTAAGTCCAGATCAATTGATCGTCTGAGGATAGAAGATTGCGACAACCCATTGGATCTTGCTGCGAATGATGTCGTAGATATATTGCTTGATCTTGACATTCCAATTCAAAATGGAAAACGGAACACCACAGCACAATGGACTAGTCGATCGGATGTTTCGACTGTATCGGTTCTTAGCTACTTCGACCGACATGATATCCATAGGTTTCTTCGTTCGACAGAAATGGATGTGAGAGACACTGCGCTCCGGCTGATTGACACAGCATCATGGCGCGGGAAAACCTTTCCGATCGACAAGAGAAGCTGCAGGATTGAGCTGCAAAGCGGCCAAATATTCGAACAAGGACTGGATGTCCGCGGCAATCCCGTAGTCTACTTTAGAAATCTTTGCCTGGGACCATGGAGAGGCGATGTAGATGCCACAGTTACTGCCATGATCCATCGCATGGATGAAACTTTATCGGCCGTTCATGACAAGAACCCAAGCGCAAAAATAACATTGGTGATTCTCATGGGCAGGCCAGTCGAGGCCTCGGAATATGACGACTCCTCATCGGAAAGCAGTGACGATGATGTGGACGAAAGTGGAGGTAATGAGAACCCCTCGCAAGAGAGCGCGGACGAAGTACACCCAACCGAGGTGACTGTTGGGGATGTCAATCCACGTGTAGCAGCAAACGAAACGTTCCAGCTACACACAAGCAAACAGGTTTACCAGAAATTCTTTAGCCTATTTGCGGCCCATTATCCTGGGCGCTTGGGTGTAGCAGTGATGGTACCTGGCAAGGGCAAGAATTACTATTATTCCACCACGTTGCGGCGAAAGACTATACTGAAGAAGCTCGTCCCTCCCAAAGCGCTGCGAATGAAATTTCAATTTGTTGATACTTTTGCGGAACTAACACAATTTGTCCCAAGAGACGAGTTGGTCTCAATTGTGGGAGGCCCGGTCCCGATCAAAGCCAGTGCTTTTGGCTGTTAATCTTACAAATTTTGTAAGCTCCTAGTTCCCCTAGTCCTACAGTATTATTCCCCAATTGATTCATTATTATTAGAATTTGCAAGTCATATACTTTGTATTTGGAACACACAAATTGAAAAGCTGTGAAAGTATCCACCGTGAATCCAGTCACCATAGTACCTGCGAAATACCGAACAAAAGCAATAATGTGAGATCCAAGAATCAAGCAAATAAAATGGTGGAAATACTGCTGCGGCGATCTTACCATGAAGCTACTGGTAGGTGAAGGAGCACAAGCAAATGAGCCAGTATTGGCCGGGGAAGATTGTTGTAAAACCACTGGAATAGGGCAAGCTTTCCGAGTGGTCTCTGAAGCAAAAGCAATACCCCAGTATAAAAGAAGAATCCAGTCACTCTGCCAAACTGAATCTCATGACAGTCTTCGCAACCACCTTCTAGCAGATGCTTTTGATTATAGAAGGTACACATCCAGACATATTCGTGGTAGAGTCCTGAAACGATAAAGGTCAGAAGCACCGAGAGCTTTGGACCCGAAATCTGTCGAAGGGGGAGAAAGACTCCAGTCTACACGTACAAACATGCGTGAGTCCATAGTAGCTGCGTCATTGGCCAGACAGCCACGAGTATCTTTTTCGACTTACCTTCAATAGATTCCGCGTCATCAGGTTCCATCGCTCGGTCCAGAACTCGTTCGGGGTACGGCTCTTGAGGAAGGGTGAATCGAATATTCTCATGACATCAGCTCCCTTGATCATCTCATTCAATGCATTTAGATTGAATCCGGTGCTCAGTACGAGATATACCGCGAGGGCATGAAAGTAGGCGTTACCAAGATGTTGCAAGGACAACAAATCCCAGCCAAAGTGAAACTTGTCATACTGGGTGATCTCCCCTCCAAATGGACGATAATCATAATGCTTCAAGAAAGAGACGACAACCGATGCTGACAGAAAGTAGAATAGAACTTCACCGGCAAACGATGCCATTTTTGAATATTCGACCGGCTTTCGGCATTGTTTCTTGTCATCCCAAACAAAGCTCACTGGCGACGAATAGTACGCCACATAGTTGAGCAAGGAAGATTCCACAACCGCAGGAGATGTATTGTACATGGCTTCGATGCATCTGAAAGTGACGCATGTCATGAGCGTAGAAGCCGGCAAACACATCATTCGGTTTCGAATGTCCAAGAATTCCAACAGAGCAAATGGCAGATAAAAGGACAGTGGAATGCAAAGTCCCCAACCAAGAATGTACGCCGAGGCAGTTCGACGATTGGGCACAATGAATTGGTAGATAAAAGCAGCAAATATACTCTGAATCACGGCTTGGACCACGACAAAGAGCAATATTTGAAGCCATGGTTCAATTCTTGGCGCGAGGATTCCCCATTCGGTGTCGTCAGAGAAGAAATAATATGGCAACTTGAAGGTAAACACCGGCTCTCGGTCGTCGACAATGAACTTTTGCTCAAAGGCTCTCTGTAATAGTTTGAACGCCATCTCTTTAAAAGTGCTGCGATCAAATTATGGATCCAGCATCAACGAGAAACAAGGAAACCAAGTAAAGGGTGATTGTGATATTATTGGCGTCAACCAGCAGTTTGGATTCATCGGCGATGACAAAAGAATAAAACGAAATTATCTGCTTGCATGCATTTTTCGAAATAAAAAGTGTGACTGACTGACTGACTGACTGACTGACTCGTTGCAGAAAATTGGTGACGTCACTTCTTCTGTGATAGTTGCGCTGATACGATGGAAAATCGATATTGAACAATCTGATCAAGAGTCAAATAATGTGAGAAATATAACTCCGAAATGACACATAAAAACCGATTTGACTATTACAGTACATATAAAATACCGGTATATTACACACCCACAGAAACAAGATGGTGATGTGTGGTAAACAAGCGATACTACTTGTAGTGGCCTTTCATGGGGTTACAGATGCATTCGTGCAATCCAGTAGTAGGCAGAGGATAGTTGGTCAAATCAAGCCTCTTTTCTCTATGGAAATTATTTCAACTCCAGAAGAAGCTGATACTGATGATGATGAGGAAGGCCTGACGACAGTGGAAAACCCAACCCCCGGCTTTGACACTGATACAGCTCTATTTTGTGCAGGTTTGGCCTTTGATGCTTATGTTGAGCCTCCTGCTGATTCTTCAAGATGGGAACGCGGTGTAAGTTGCCCATTCACTCTTTTCATTTGTTGATTCAGTCACGGCCATGTTCATTTTTGTGTCGTGCACATCAAAGGCGTCTGGCTCACACACATCTCGTGTCACATTACTGTATGGTTCTCAATTTCATATATCGATACGCCATCCTAACTATTATGCGAATGGTCGATTCAGTCAAAGGGAATGAACGTCGCCTTCAGTTCATCGGCCTTCACAAAGAACTTGTATCAAGGAATGGTGGAAGTGACTCCAGTCAAATGTTCCGGATTGCCAGACGAAGACGACAATGTCGAGGCGGCACTTTCGGGGCGTGGAGTGGATGCCAAAATCATGGTTGCGGCAGTCGAGGGGAAATGGAAGGAAGATGTGGAGTTGCTCAAGAAAGAGTATCACGAGGGAATATCCGACTTGACGGGGGCCGCTCATATTGGTCAGAGCAGTACGGCATGGTCCAATGTCAATGAACGAAAATCAAATAACGCCAAGAAGGAATCCGGAAAGGCTCTGCCGTATCACATTCCAAAGAGCTGGGGGAAAGATGCACAGGCTGTCTGGCCTGACCCAGAACCGTTTTATGTCTACGTGCAAGATCCTGCGAATTGTCTATTGCTGTTCACCTTGTTTGATGACGACGTGATTGGCGAAGGGTCTGCCCTTGGATCCACCTACATTGCTCTCAAAGAGGTCCTCCCACAAGTCAAAATGACCAAAGAAGAAGTTGTCAACAAACTCAAGACCAGTGTTTTGAAACGGATACAAAGCGGGGAGATTTCGGCGGATCAAATTGACGAGGAGATCAGTCGGGCCGTCAATCGCGATATCGAACCATGGCAAGGTGAATTGAAGTTGACCTCCAAGCCAAGGATAAAGAACAAGAATGGTCAAATCACCATGGGAGCTGCAGCAGGCGGCATGGTGGCTGGACCAGTGGGAGCAGCTGTCGGAGCTGCCTTGGGAAGCTTGTACGAAGGTCAAGTGAAGGGTCGTATTGAAGCAAAACTGCGATATTTGCCAATTCCTCAAGGGTCCATGGCACGAAACACATATGAAGTCCTCGGAGGTATGCCTGGAATCAACTGGGGAGAACTATACGAGAAGCATCTGGCGCGACGAATTGGAGAAGATAAAGCACAAAATGCCCTGCATGCTGGAAAGGATTTGGAGTTATGCTTCTTTATCAACCACGACGAGACTGGAGGGTGCTGCAGTGTCTATAGATCGCTGGAGAAAAACCTCATTGTTGTCAGCTTCCGAGGGACTTGTGAAATAGTCGATCTGATAACTGACACATCCATTGCACAGAATCCATGGGTGCAGGGCGAGGACCCAGAAGATGAGACCACATCCAAGGTCCATGTCGGATTCCGCAAGTCCATGAACTCCATTTCAAGGCGTCTGAAGGAATTGGTATTGGCGACAGTACCCAGGGGTGAAAATATGGCTGACTATGACATGCTGGTGACGGGTCATTCCTTGGGTGGTGCTCTTGCTACTCTGTTTACCGCAGACATTGGAGAGTTTGGAATAGATGCCGGACGGGCATTACCACAGACCGAGGCATCGGACGATTGGTGGAAAGCAATTACTAGTCGCTTTGGTGACAAGGGTGAAGAAATCGTTGCTCCGCCAAAGTCACCACCTCGCCCCAAGTCGTTGCGATGCTACACTTTTGGAAGTCCACGAGTCGGGAACAGGGCCTTTACCAAGCGCTTTGATGAAATCATGAAGCAAGGAAATATTGACGAGGCCTATCGCATTGTAAACAATAAGGATATTGTGGCCCGGGTGCCCAGGAGTATGGTGACCCTGAACGTCGATTATGATCATTGTGGCAAGACAGTGTTGGTCGAGCAACCAACTGAAGAGAATGAGCTAAGCAGAACCCTTTGGGTCGAGGGAGAGACAGACGACACTTTATGTGAAGTACGAGATTCTGAAAATAGAATGTCCAATCCTACTTCGGAAGGGGGTTTGATATACGATCTAATGTCTCTGACGAAGGGTGACGAAGATTCGTCAGTGGAAGCCGAACAATCACTGAACAAGATCGGAAGTCTAGCGGCCAAATTGCAGGAGCGTCTTTCCAAGGTGACAGTTTCGGACGTTGCGAGTGTTATTGGTATTGATAAGAATTTTTCCGAGCGAGAAGTCAAAATTGTGCAATCCCTAGTCGAGGGTGATGGTTTGGCAAATCACATGGAAGACTCCTATTATGCCGCCATGGGCCGAGCTGTCGGATTTCGGGCAAGCGTCGATGAAGAAATTGTTGAAACTGAGAAACTAGCTTAGACATTCATGGTGAAGTAACCGGTTACCAATTCTTATGTGCCATAACATGGGACACGATCAATCCAAAGTCTATAGCATAGTCGAGTGGGTCTGGATCTGAAAATGAATCACCGCATTCACTTCCCCCGTCTCCCCTTCCTTTTTTCTACTCCCTTTCAGTTTCAGCTTTGACTTGGGAGTCTTCCACCTTCTCTTTGGGCTTGGTGATCCAACCAAGAAGCTCAAACATTCTCAGCACGTGGATGTTTCGCAAGCAATGCCAATCACGTTATTTTAAAATAAGCATCCCTTGTTGCGTTTCAAATCAAACTTTCAACCCCACACCAAGCATAGCATGCATTCCCTCTGGCCGCGACGAGAAAGTTGACTGCTTCAAGAACAATGTAGCCACTCTTCTTGCGATTACCCTTGCATGAGTGGCATGTGCCTGCAACGAGCTCGACCATCGATTTGAACGGACCATCATGGATGGGTACCACATAAGCTTGCCTCTTGCCCGTTGGAACAAATCTGTTGGTGAACTCTATCTGGAATATCTTTAGCTTTCCCCACCCTTGTTCTCATCAGTAAATGGTTTTTGTTGACTGCAGACAAGAGCAAAAAATTCCAATGACTTCTTTGGCTGCTCTTGCTTCAGTGCATGTGGTTTCTTCGTGCTCCGAGCAACTGCGGCTTGATAGGAGAACCCATTTGGAAGAACCGATTTTCGTTTTGGCCTTGCTAGTTTTGGCCTTGCTAGTTTTGGGCTTGTCATCATAGCTGGTTTCTCAATTGTAGAGGAATTCTCGTCAAAGGAGGCACAAAGGTCATTCCCAACAGTATTCCCATGATTATTGTCATCTTCTGTCCCAACAGACGGACCAGCTGGATTAGTCCCGGCACATGCAATAGGACCAGGAACCTTGAGGGCGCTTGTCTTTGCTCTGTTTCTATCTTTTGAAGCTCTGAGTGCTTTCTTGACAAAAGAAAGGGCTTTGAAGTAATTGATTTTGTTCTTGTGGCGGTCAAGAAAGACACCACCCATTTCCATCCACTTCTGAGTGCAATCGTTTATGACAAGCTTAAAAGCACTGCTTTTGCCACATCCAAAGCCATTGAGCCTAGATAGTTCTTCATTGTAGCGCTCAAGATGCTTTTCCCACCGTGGATTTTTGCACCAAGGATAGACTTGAAGATCCATTGCCAATAAGCTGGTGTTGAGATCTCATCATATATACCGGTATGATAGCTTCATTGCATTTTCCTCCGACGTCACAGTAAAATGACCAGAACAGACCCGGAAGTATAAATTGCTTCCAGACCAATTTCGATTGGTTGGTGCCTGTCATAGCGGTAGGTAGGTAGGTACACGAGTACATGGTACGCACCCCTGGCTCGTACCGGGTACAAGTACCGGTAGAAAGGGACCGCTAATCTTTTTGAAATACGGTATCAGTACCGGTACTGTAGGCAGGTTGGCTCCAGATTTGGTGGGAACTTTATTAGTGTTCAATCCTGCGGAACAGAGTGAGGGCATCGCTCTCATCATCGCATCTTCGGAACGCATCATCGCATGTACAAATTCTCGAGTCATCGGCAATGCCCTTATTGCCTTTGTAACGAAAAGAAGCTGTAGCGTCGAGTTCGGAATGGCTACATTTCCTCCTCTCAAAGAACTAGCTGTCATCTTGCTTTGTTTACTATTGCGACCTTCGACTGCATTCAACAAACCAAAGAATCCAAAGAATTCCGAAATGAAAGCTTGGACGTGTCATGGACGGAATCAAAAGGAATTGGTGGAACGATTATGCCAAGCCTCCATCATCAAGACACCAGCGGTGAAGAAAACAATGGAGATGGTAGATCGAAGTTGTTATATTCCTACGAATCCATACAGAGATGCCCCTCAAGCGATTGGACACGGTCAAACAATCAGTGCTCCTCACATGCATGCTCACGCGCTGGAGGAAATCTATCCCTACCTAGTCGGGAAGAAAGAATTGAAGGTATTGGACGTGGGATGTGGCTCTGGGTATCTTACAACGGCTTTGGGCCGATGTCTTCAGTTGTTGAAAGAGCAAAAGGAACAGCCTGAAACCCAAAAATGCGAATCGGCAAGTATTCTGGGCATTGATGTGCATCAGTACTTGATTGATTTGACGCGTGAGAACATGAATAAAGCAGATAGTGACCTATTGGAATCCGGGACAGTGAGGATTGCGCTAAGGGATGGTTGGAAAGGATGGGAGGAAGAAGCTCCATTTGATGCCATTCACGTTGGAGCAGCAGCTGATTCCTTGCCCGAACAGCTCCTCAATCAGCTCAAAGTCGGAGGTGTCATGATTATTCCAATTGGACCACAGTCACAAATTCAAAATCTGTACAAGATAGAACGATTGAATCAGACTGAAGAGGGCAGTGAGAGGTACCACTCCGAAGACTTTCGCACGACTCCTCTGTTGGGTGTTCGCTATGTACCTTTGATTCGCCCGTAGGTAAGGGATGATAGAACATAGTCATGCTGTATTTTTCAGTACTTGGAACAACTACGACGCTCGGTGGTCCCTGGAGTTTCGCTATACTTTTAAAAAGTACAGCCATAATCTGCCTGCCTTTGTGATTGAAATAAATTGTCTTATTAGATGATTTCATTCGACAAGTCGCTTTGGATTGGCTCTCGTATTGTCTTACACACTAGTCCTATCTGCCAAGTTCAAACAATTCAACCGCTCGTTTGTACTAATCGCCCTTGGCAAGCTGCTTTGTGAATAGCATATTGGAACCACCAAGCAGCAAAAACAATTCTGTAGATTATCCTGAAACTTCTTATATATTATGATGTATTATCGTTCTAAAATTCTCTCAACTAGAATCATTCTCTCGCACAAACACTCTCAATTGTCCATTCTATTGCGACAAGGATCGTTGAAACGTGATTGCGGGCCTTGCTTGTACAATCGGCGATTTTTGTACTTCGGTCGGTTTGTGAACTTTTAATGCTGTTGGGATTTCTCGTGTATACTTGGTGGCTCCCGTCATGGTGGTGTGCCGAGAAGGATGGTTCATTGCAATCTCGTCGTGGTGCTTTGATGTCACCACCGCTGGACTGCGGAAAACTTTACTAGCATTTGGCGGTGGGGATGTCATGATTTGTGGCTTCTCGTCAAAGTTCACCAATGGACGTGGTTCATCAAAATGACCGGCGACAACTGGTGCATTCTCTCCCTTGCCCACCCAGTGAGTGACCATGCTACCCTTCCCCTTGACTGCAACTTTGCCACGCTTAAAGAGAGGCAATCCTGGAGCTTGTTCCTTCAAAAGCTTGGCTGCGGCATCGGAACATTGAATGCGACCACTCACAGACAGAGATTCCATCCTGGAGGCGGTATTCACAGTGTCTCCAAAGAGACCGTACCTCGGATTCAATGATCCAATCACATTACTCACGACTGGACCACTGTGGAAACCGACGCGAATGTGGATATAGCCAGCAGAAGGTTCGTCTTCGTCAATCAAAACATTTCCAGCCGCTTGCACAGCGTCGATCGCAAACTCGGCAATGCGCTTAGCATGAGAACCTTCTTGGTTTCCTTCCACTGTAGAATAGACAAAGAGATTTGAGAGTGTATCTCCCAAATTGAATCAACAGAAAACAGCACAACGACTTACAGTTTGTTACGCCCATCCAGGCGTCTCCAATCGTCTCCACCTTGAACACTCCATGCTTCGTTGACAACTCATCAAATGCCATGTACAGTCGGTCTAACATATTGCACACCTTGACTGCAGACAAAGCACGAGAAATATCGGTGAACCGAACAATATCACTGAAGAAGATAGTGACGTTGTCGTGATTTTCACTGTAATTCGTAGAAGCAACCGAAAAAGGTGTCAGTATTGGACGTGCCAAAGCACAAAAGTTTCAACAACTTACGGTTCCACCTTCTCGCCATGTCGAAGCTTGTCAGCAACCTTCTTGGGGAAAACCTTGTAAAGCATATCACCAGTCGCCACTTCGGTCCTCACGCGAGTATTAGCCTCCTCCAAGAGCGGGTCAGCTTCACGGGAACTCATTTCGCCAAAGATCATATCCAAGTCCTTTGCTTGATGACGGTAGGAGGCATCGCTACTCCAGCACCGGGTCATGACTTCGGACATGCGCTTGGGACAAGTTCCGGGGACAGCTGGACGGTAATTGATGCGGGGGTCGCATACCTTGCGTAGGACCTTACGGAGTGGCTCTCCCTCATATGGTGTCTTGCGGCTGTAAATCTCATAAAGAATCATTCCAACCGAGTAGATGTCGCAGGTTTCATTGTATTCTGATCTTCTTCGCAAATATTCTGGTGCCAGCCTGTTTTCAATGATGTCAATCAATCAAAGTTGTTAGCTCTTGTCGTACCAATCGTTTCACAGATCCATTACATAAGCTTACCAGTAGAGAGTTCCAGACAGATCGTTCCTGCCCTTCGTAGCCAGTCCAAAGTCGCAAACCTTTGCACGGAACCTTGAGTCGATAAGAATATTCTTTGCCTTCAAGTCACCATGCAGAATTGCAGGCTTCGAAGAATGCAAGAAACGTAGACCCTGCGCAATGTCGCGAACAACTTGCAAGATGATTTCTCCACCCATGAAGAAAGACTCGTTGCGTAGGAGGTCATACAAGGACCCATTTTCCATATATTCCATTACCATCATCTGAAAGTATCAGAAAGGCAATGGTAAGTCAAACCGAACGAAGTGGGAGCACACATAGCGCACACAAACATGACATCCAACTTACGGGTTCGATTCCATTCATCACGGCTCCCATCACAGTTGTAATACAAGGGTGTCGAAGTCTTGACAGAAGTCTCATCTCTTCCTTGAACTGCTCGTGACGACGAGCAGTTTCATTGCACGATGGGAAAAGCCAAGTGGCGAGTCCTTGCGATATTGAACTTTTAGCTGAAAAGGACCCAAGGATGCTCAAATTGTACTTCGAAGTATCATCCTTGAGGCGTCCTCCCAACCAGCGACTGATTCGCCCCTTCTTCCTTCCATTGAAGCTGAAGCCACCCAGGAAGTCAAGGCCGCCAAAGCCTGAAGTCGTCCCACTAGTCGTGCCAGCAGCTTCACCGGTCTCGATGTCTTCGTGCTCGTCCTCTTCGCTTACAACTGGGGCACCGATGCTTCCCATGCTTGCGACGGACCCACTTCTCTTCGTCTTATCCTTTTGTGGCAAGACTCGCTTGATTGCCACTTTTGTACCACGGAATTCAGCAAGTAAGACAACACCAAAGGCACCTTGCCCAACGATTTCGACAGGGTGACTAAAGTGCAATTCTTCTACGCTCACATGCCAAACTTCGTCGTTCTTCTTCTTCTTGTACGCAATGTAGAACAGCGCAACAACAAAGCCAATCATAACGCAAATGCCTGAGACAATTCCAGCAAAAACTCCTTCCGAAACACATTCACCAAAGATGTCGATCGCGCTGGATGAACATTCACAAACACCATCGTCGCTCTGCGATCGAAAGGGAATTGTGAGTACGAAATCAATAATGATAAAACAATGACAATGGCGTACTCACCGCTACCATTCCCCGTATTGGGCATTCCTTGTCAAAGACTTGTATTCGGAAAGGTGATTCTGGGATTTGGACTCCATCAAAGAAGACTTCCAAAATGGCCACACCCCTATTTCTATGCGAAAACGTGAATTCGTACTGATTGAATCCACCCGCATTATGTCTCACTTCAAGATACCTCGATTCTTGGCCAAGGTGCACCAAAGCTGTCACTGTTGCATTCGTACGCTCCAAGTTATCGTAGGCGTGGAAGACAACATCTTCGTTTTGTTCCCCCTCGCCGCAAAGACTCATCTGTGAAGACATATTATTAGATGGAATCTGTCGCTGAAAAAGTAAATACAGCAAAATCACTCACCTTTTCACATCTTTCATGATCTTCGGTCACAGCACCATCGACAGAAATGTCCCATGGAAAGACATCAACCTCATATGCCTCTACGCAAGGCCGGCAATAGCAGGTGGCCCCTTCCGGGCAAGGCAAACCTTTCTTGTCACAGTGGCTGTCAAATTGGTCCTCCGCGATCTTGTAGTGGCCTTCTGGGCACGTGACACCGTGATAAGTTCTTGAGGCTCGTTCACAGTGCCAGTCGTCTGAATGAAAACGCCCGAGAGTCATGAGTATTCCCATAATGTTTGACGATGAGAACACAGGCATCAAATACGTACCGTTGAGGTCCTCTCGGATAATGAAACCTGCGTCTTGTTGCATTGTTCTCACTTGGAAGTGAGATTTTGCCGGTCGCATACCAGAGTGATGACCAGCAGTGCCAGCCTGATAAGCTAGCTCTGCCAGCTCTCGTGTAGTGTCACAGCGCGCAGCAGGGTCAAAATATACTGGAGGCATCGTGTTACAGAGTTCTAGTTCCGCGGGAGTTTCAGCGTCCGTCATACATTGATGGATTGCTGTCCCAACATTCTTGTGTGCCCTAAATTCCATCATAGCAATTGCCACTTTTTCGGAGACAATACTGTCAACCTCTTTCTTTGCAAACAAGGGCCACTCTGGAAAGACGGGCGTCGAATGGAGGAATGGGAACAAGTCGCCATTATTCATGATAGCAATCTTCGGCTCGATCACCTTGAATAGACTAGAGTCAATGTATTTACCAGTCTCTTCGTCGACAGTGAGTTCAGCTCTTCCAGATGGAACGAAGCCAACATCCCACTTTCCGCTGAGGACTCCATTCACTGTTTCGTCGTGATTACCTGTAAAGATAACCTGCTTTGGATCCATGATGTAATCAAGTCCAGCCTTGTGCATGACATAGAACTGTGATTGTCCAGCAGCAAACACAGAGAAGGCCTGTCCTGCAATCACCTTGTCTTTCAGATCTTCGATAGTGCTGACAGCAGTGTTGCTTGCTAAAGCCAAGATTGTACCGCCATATGAGTCTAGTTCGTATTCGCGTCCCCTTGATTCTAGACTCGCAATGGTTGTGGCAAGTGGCTGGGCTCCAATCTCTGTTCCGATGCAAGAGTATAGACCAGTGTCAGAATACATAAAGTCCACATCTTCAGCATTATCAATCCAGTCAAGTAAAGGCCACTCTGATGGCTTCATCTGAAATTCGATGGGAGGATCAAAACGCTTTCCAACGACTTCCGTCAAGTATGTCTCGAACGTCATGTTGAATTCGTTCCATGCTTTGTCAATGCCTGCTGGAGCGTGGACTCCGACTGTGTAGACTCGTTTTTGTGTATGTTTATTGAACTCGAGAAGTCCATGGGTGCAGTTGATGTCTCCAACAGCCCAGTGCTTGTCGGCTGTCCATCCTTCCATATCCAAATACTCGCTGCTGGCTCTTTGGAGAGAGCACAATGCTATGAGTACCATGTACAGTGATGGCAATAGTTCTTTCATTTCCTGATCAGTGCAATATGAGCGAACGAGGCAATGTGAGCATGAGTCGCTTTGATGAGGCAGTCAGTTGAAACATCAGTGTTCGTGATCCTACTTACGCTTTTGTTGTTGCGTTTGTTGTTTTTATGAGCTTGGGTGTTTCTGAGATCAATGTACCGGTACTGGTGTGAAGAACAGTGATCCGAATTTTTTCATTGCGTGATATCTTCTTTCCTGGTAGCGCCGAATGAATCATGAAACGAGGGTTCGTTTCTAATAAACTTCATTTAGTGCGAAAGTAATTTCGAAAGCTTCTCTGCTGATCCTACATGGATTTTCGGGTTGCATATATATTATGGAAAAACCGTTTGGTCCTTCTCAATCCTGCGAAATAGGAGCAGGATTCGCTTTTGATAGCACTGTGGAACCTGAAGCTTTTTTCGACATATAGAAAACACTGTCCCGTTCTGATCTGGTCTGGTTCTCTGTACCGGTACAGTGGGGCTAACTAGCTCTTTTGCCGGAGTATATATATGCTTTTTATAAAAAAATCGTTGAGCCACCGATATATCATAAACTCCGTTGAGCCACCGCTACACCACAAACTCCGTTGAGCCATACCGGTACCACCATAGAATTGAAAACTTGCCTGTCAAGTCCTTGAAGAATCTCTTGATAACTCGTCCTGATGAAGCTTTGGTGATGAATGAATGCTGCTCCTATGATAAAGTTGTATTTGGCTATGACTGCCATGCTCATCACGTCACCATAGGATGAATACTTGCACATGTAAGATACTTTGGTTGCGAATGCTGCTCCAAATCTTCTAGTGCTAGCAGGCTCCGGGTCTTGCGCTCATTGTCCACAATCTGCCATATATCCAGAGAGTAATACTGCCTAATCCCTGCTCATCTCTTTTGGTACCAATCTTGGCAGCTTGTTGATGCCCCCGTCAAACCACATGGCCCAATCATTCCTTTTCAGGCTGAAAAGTAAGTCGTTCAAATGAATCCAACATGATCGCTATAGCATTGCAATGCAATGTGATCTATCACACGGAATACCAATATCTTCTACGGGTCATCGTTGTCATTCTTCGTGCAGGGAGCTTGAAGGGCAAACACCATTTTCTTTTCGAACGAAAATCTCGAAATCCTCATTAGGAACAACATTGTTGTAGAGCTTGAAACCATCATGCAATCCACATGCAGGCCACCAATGAATAGACCCACCCAGACAAAACATGCTCAATGGCTGCCCCAACACATCAGGATTACACATGTGTGAAAGGACATCATAATAGATTCAACAGCTTCGATAAAGGCGTCACAGCCGATCATCTTAATTGGAGCTTGACCTACATTCTGGCTTCTGGTGTCGATGAAAAGTGGCACAGTCAGCGGTATATATATAGAGTGAGTTGTCGTCGACGTAAAACTCTGCTGGCCGTTGGCCCACCAGATATCAAGCTTTATGCAAAACATCAAGAAGAGCATCGATGAATGATTGCATCCCAGGAGATCGATACTATAGTGTTTGTATCTTAAGTCTTGCAAAGTATACCAGCAAGGCAAGCCGGAATCATAATAAGCCCCACATATATTGCAATCGTCGAGGACATATCGTCTGCGTTTTGAACTGTACAAATTTGGACGGCAAGACTTCCCGGTTTGATGTTTCCTCCTTGTTGAATCGTCACCCGCTCTGTATAGAAGAAAGGTTTGGTGGCTGCTGGTAAAACCGCATTTGTATCGTGCCCCCCTTTTATTCTTGAAGTGATCCTCACATATTCTATACTATAGGCATGTATATTCAATATATACCGATATGGTTGAATGGCACCGTTGCGATTATTGCTTTTTAAAAAAATTGGTTTGTTTTAATGTTGACGGTCGGCGGACGACCGTCAATAACACACGAAAGCAATTATTTTCAATCTTATTGCTCATCCAACGTAGACCGCAGGCAAACTGTTCGATCTCTTTGACTACATTGTGTTACAGACGGACAAAGGCCGAACGGCCTTCGACCGTCAAAAGTTGTTGTCGATGCGCCGACGCAATGATGCCCAGTTTATCGACTGATATTGAATTCACCCACTTGTGTCGTGGTAATTCAATTTTTCTCTCCCAAACCTCACCCGCCCTGTTGGGCACCGCCTCCATTTTACCATATCGGCGGTGCCTGGTAGGAAAGCAGATCTCAGTAATACCGCACACGGGATTTCTGAGATTGGTCGAACGAATCGAGTCTATTACTCGATCAGTTCGACCCGCTTCACACCACAACCCACCAGCTACACACCAAGCAAAATACTACGAACGCACACACGGAGGATGACAGCCGCCTCCGGCAGTTGGCAATTGTGATGTGTTTCGCTTCTTGTAATCCAACGAGGCGAAGTCACATTGGCGAGCCTTGTTACCCAATCGGAGCCATCAAATGATGAAGAATACAAGATTGGATATACATCTTTCTTACAATCAACCGCCGTGGGGGCTGAAACGAACGAGCTGGATACTACTGGAGTCAGTGTTGCGCGCAAGTGGAACAATATTGTTTTGCCATCTCCTTGCTCGCTGGCTTCGAAGATCGGCATGAGCGCTGTCTCCCACTGTGCAGACTGAAAGAAAATAGAACATCTGAGATTTCAAGGCGACGAAGCGGATGGAGGCAAACTCTTGACAGCAAATGGAATGAGGTTGTTTTATCAATCTTCTAGCTGGCTTGCAAATCAGCATGGGCGCTGTCGTCAAGTCGGCAGAGTGAAAGAAGCGAGAACTGGGTAGCTTTAAGGCGAATTGTATGAGATATTTAGGAGGTGCAGCATATGAAGGCAATTGCGACTGTACCTGATTACAAAAAGGTTTCAGCGGCAGGAGCAGCAGCAATTGGTTGGCGAGGGACAGGGTCAATTCTCCGATGATTGACACACCTCTAAACCAGCATGCCTCCCCCAAAGAGCGCTATAAAAGGATACGTGGAAGAGGAATGTGACTGATTGTACCACAAGTCGCCTGGCAAATCAAAGATGACGAAAATCTACAGATCATGGCTGAATGGTTGTGGCTCCATCAGGAGTAAGAATGAGCTGGTTTCCAGTTGTATCTAGGCAACGACTTTCTCCCATAACATCCCATAACTAGGTAAGATACAATATGTTAACATCCGATCACAAAATTCAATATAATTCTAAGCCAGTGTACAGTTTGATTGTCATGGTGGAGGTTTTGGTGTTTGACGATCGACGTCTGCACTGCGTTCCCGGTTTGATATTGTCTCCTTGCTAAATCGTCACTCGCTGTATAGAAAGGATTGGAGGATGGTATAGCTGCACTTGTAGCCAGCCATGGATAGAAGAGATCCAGCCTCAGGGTCTTTTTTCTCATACAAGTAGACACCACTGTGATTATTATTCTGTTGAGTGATTGGTTCAGCGTTTTGCGCAACAAAATCAATAATCTCTTGACGATTTTCCTCAGTAAGAAAACCGAGAATGTGTTGATCTATCCAAAGGTGGTCGTTCTTCTCTTCTGAAATCATTGGCTTGCAAAAGTGTGTCGCCTCGAGCAATTCCTTGATGTCGTAGAACTTGCAATTGATTTGATTAGATTTGGTTCCGATCCTGGAAGAGACCAGGATAGCGATCGTGGTTCGAGTGTTGGTGGTGGTGGTAGTTCGTTCACATGGACGTTGATTGCTGCGGGATGAGGCAAATTAGTTTCCGCCAAAGATCGTTGATTTGTTCTTGAAGGACTTGCTGTGATTCCACTACTACATCTATTCCTCCATCCAATATAAACGCAACCTCCTTGGCGCGAGCGATGATGTCGAATGTATCATGTGATTCGAGTCGAGTCGACTTCACGAGTCGGTCATCGCATCCTATGCATATTCAATATCATCACCAATCGATTGAATGAAGAATCAATCAAGATCGCAATCTTGATCTTGCCTTGCCATCAAGCATCGCATCATACATGCAGGCAGTTGAGGCATGCATCAGTTCAAATAAATCCCACCAGTATATCTATATGCGTATTTCAGGGGTATCCATCTATCTGATTCGTAGCCACGATGAATCATCATCATGATTGTAATGTTGTTGTTGTTGTGTAAGGATAAGGTCAAAGCATGCCAAGCAGACGCCATTGAAACGATGAACGCACGTGTGAAGGACATTCCAATCACACGTATGAATGACAGATGGGTGACGAAGGACGGACGCCCGAAACTCGGGCAGCCAAAACAATAAAGGGTATATAATAAGCAACAAACTTACACCCAACACAAGCAAATGTCGAATTAGCTCAGTTAGGTAGAGCGCCCGGCTTTTAACCGTGTGGTCGCGGGTTCGATCCCCGCATTCGGTATGCTTTCACTTTTGTTTTTGGAGATTTGGCATGTGCCATGGTGCAGCAGTTGCTGTGGTTGGCACGATGCCATTATTATTTTGAATTTAAATATAATAAAAGATTCCTCAAACATTTTGCAATGCCCAAACCAAAGTTTTGTTATCATTCATATATATATGATATGGTCATTGGTCATTACACACAAGTTGGATCTATGATATACTTGTATGTTATCGAAAGTCTAGTTGGACTGAGACTGGCTGACTGACTGTGACTGACTCGTTTGACTAATAAAAAAGGAAAAATCTGGTTTTATTCTAAATACTGTACTGTAATCCTCAAATCGAGCCAGTTATCATTTGTCATTCATGGATTATCATTTATTATCTATGATTTATTAATATTATTTCTAACCCAGTAATTGCTCACCATTACTACTCCCAACCAGACTGCCAGTGGTTGCTTGCATTCTTTTCATCAATGTCAGATCTTGACAATCCAGCGCCAGAAAGTAGTTCTCGCGCCAAGTCATCACCAGTAGCTTTCGTAAAACCCGCAATCCATTCTCGAATCTCATCATCCGATCCACCTTGTTCGGATTCAGCTCGAGACAACCAAATATCACGCCGTCTCAGAGTTCCTTTCCTTGCATCATCTCGAAAGGAATAAGACTCCCAACTTCCCAGGTAATGGTGGATGCCAAGGGGAAAACTTCCATAATCGCGCCATGGCGTTTCTGCAGCGCATACTTCTTTCAGCGGTCTGTGTGTGGTTCCTCCTTCATCAATGTCCTCTTTTGTCAATCGAGAAACATCAATAATAGCCTTGCCAAGGCCATCGCGGCCACCTCGTTCCGTCAACCGATGACGATATCTCAAGGTGTCCAGCTGATATTGATATTTATCTTGATGATTCGCATCCTGCAACAGCCAGTCTGGCACACCCTTGTTCCGCTTTTCAGTTTGACTTTCCACCGCACTGTATAGGGCACGTGGAACATGGATGCAGGTCTGTGCCAAATCCTCATGTGGCGTATCTGTGGTGGTGGTGGTGGTCTCCTTTTTCTTCTTCTTCTTCTTGTTCTGCTTCTTGTCATCGTTGTATTCATTCAAAAGCGTCAAAATGTGCCCTGGTTGCCTCCTAAATTCTGCACTTGCATGATGAATATACTTTTGACTCTGACTTTGACGTTTCTGCTTTTGCTTTTGCTGCTGCTTGACATAATATTCTTCACTGATTGTCAAGTACTCGTCACTATCGTGAAAGGTCGTGTAGGTTCGGTTCAGGTTTTTCAAATGTCGGCAGCATGCTTGATAGAATTGTGACTGCCGCTGACGATGTTTGCCTTTCAAGTCGTTCTTGGTATCTCCTGGTTTTCGCGTCAGATCCGTGACTGTATAATCCGAATCCTGCCAAATGGTAATGTGCATCTTGTTTTGCCAATGTGACGAAATGCTGACTTGGGTTGAAGAGTGCGGATCCACAGCTAGAATCACGTGACGTAGGGGGAGCGCAAAATAATGATAGGCGAACCATTCGGGCAAGCGATGATTGTCATCCATCCACAGTAGGCAAGCTGAGAAACTTTGTTGTTGCTGGTGGTGGTGGTCGTTGTTAGCATGGAATGATGCTGACAGCTGTGCATCACGGGTATGTTGAGCATGTTTTGCATGCTGTGCAACATCACTATTCTTATCCAATCGCACGGCAGAAGATTGGTCAAAGGTAGTGCTGCCTGACCACGACGACGACGACGACGAGTCCCCTACCGGTATTATCCAAAATTGTGTCATGTTCCCATGTTGATTTGCGACACTGGCAATGCTGCGGGCAGCAAAGAGGAAGAATAGAATAAAGGCAACGGCTGCCTTGTTGAGCGGTGGTTTCTTGTGTTTGGACTGATATGGCCATGACACTGGAATATCCGTCGGAGGGTGCCCGTGGACGCTCTCTCCACTGCTGTGTTCAGATGCATCCAGTGCCAGTGAGGACATTGGTCGAGTATTAATACCCCCACCAAAGCCTGCACCTTTGGACATGTATTTCTGTTGTTGATGATACTGGTTGGCCAAAAGCAATGACGTTTCATCAATTCCATGGGGATCTTGCTTGCAATGTTTCGCATATAGCTCCAATGCGTTATGGACTTCCATCTCATTCAGAACTTCGTCGAAATGATGATCACCATCCTCTTTCTCTTCTTCGTCGCCATCCATGGCATCGAATGTGACATGCCAACGATCTGGAGGAGCATGTTTCAGTCGTCTCTTTTTGAGTTTGCTCTTTGTGGTCTTGTGGATAGCCTTATCGATAGTTCCAAAGAAAAGCTTCTCTTCGATTTTCCCTCCGACTACTGCCTGAAGTTTTTTGGCTATCCGTCGCTGTAGGTACATCGGTGGAGGGGAAGGGGAGGAACAACGAGCTACTATGTATGCCACTCCACCTGAGGTTTATATGCGATGAAAGTCAGAATTGCAGTCCTCCAAAAGAAGTCGGCTGGGTCGTGTGGAGATTAAGTACGACGGGTGGGTGGGCTGACGATAGATCGGATCCGGGTGACGGGTGCTGTGTGAGCAAAAGACTCTCCTCTTCAAAACAGAACGATTTCTTGTGGTTCAACAACAGACAGCAACCGCAGAACCAACAATCAAAAACCGAAGCAGGAACAACGCTACGTCGTTCGAACCTTCTTTTATATTCAGCAACAGCAACAGTTGAATCAATCAATTCATCAATCAATCCGACAGCATGGCTTCCAAAAAGTACAAGGTGGAACTTCCAGCCGAACTTCGTGACGAAGGTTATCAAGAAATCAAAGTTTCCTTGCTAAGCAAGGCTGGGGATCCCAATGCGGTGGACGTTGCCATCAATGGATTTGTGGATGCCTTGTTTAACGATGACGAATTAAAACCAATCTTTGAAAAGTACAGCAAGCCACATCTAAAGGCGCATCAACAACGACTATTTCTCATGGCAATTACGGATTTGCCAGCTGATTTTGATTACAAGTCCTTCATTATGGAACGCCATTACAAGTTGTTCGACAAGGGTGTCAACGAGAAACATTTCGATTTGATGGTCAAGTATTTGAATGAGGCACTTGCAACACTATCGGTTGATCCAGAGATAGCAGGAGGTATCAATGCCCATTTGGCACCCTTTCGAGATGTTTTTGAGACTACCAGTCCGGACGATGTCAAGGGATACTTGAAGAAGTCGATTGGCAGTCTGCATATGATTCGAATTGCGCAGGCAAAGCGACAGAGAGAACAAGAGATTGAAGAACACAATCGACGTGCGTCCATGGGCTCGACCTTCTCAGAGCAAACCGACATGAAGAGTGAAGAGCTGGGTTAAGAGCTCCATCAAACGGATATGTGTATGCCGTATGCTGTGTTGCTGCGTCGTAGGTAGACAGAGTAACTAATCACGTTAGGGCAAAGATTCATTCATGCTTTCTCTCTTACTCTGCACTGTACTGTAGGTATTACTTGAGGATAAAGTCCAGTAACCGGGGCGCTCGTTTTTTACAAGCGTCACAGAGATGAATGAATGGGACCAGCCCAAGGTCTTTCCATCTCTTAGACATGGTGACACGTGTTTGTGATTTGGCTCATACCACGTAAATCATAAGATTCTCAATGACCCTTTGATGAAGAAACGGCCGAAAGTACCTACAGCAGCTGCAAAACCAAACAGAAGAGCGTCTCCACAGCAGATGCTGGCGCGTAATTAGTTGATAATGTCGCAGATCTCTTGACTTCACTTCTACTGTTCGACGCAAGACAAATCATGGTGTCCTGGCTTCTCACTTTTGTAGGTAAAAGTTCGTTCTAATGAATACTCGTACAATATATATTGTATTTTATATATAAAATACCTTGCGAGTCACTTTCATTTGAAATAACCTACTGCGCTGGAACGCAGGGACCACCTCAGTGTCGAATGACGCAGTCGGTCGATGTGTTCAAGTGACACCTGTGTGTTATATATTTGGACCGGCTAAAAATTGCAATTATTTACAAAAGGCTCTCCCCGATTTATAAAAGCACTTGATGTTGGATAATGTTTTCGCCCTCACAAACCGTCCGGGTCATCCTTCTTGGTCACTACACTGTATGATCAATGCATAAATATTTCCTTCATGGGATATTTGCACGAAGCAAAATTTCAAGTGAAACATACAACAGGTTGTATTCTGTTAGCATAAGCATCGAGCATTTACAGTATTGATCAATCATGACCGCCAGAACCAAACCATCCAAGTACGCTGTCCAACTTCCAAGGGAGATTGAAAAGAAGGAAATCGAGGACTACGATAGAACGCTTCTTTATCGATTAGGTGGTGAGGATGCACTAGAGGCTGTATTGGAAATGTTTTTCAAAGGCCTTCTGCAAGATGACCTCCTGAAGCCGTTCTTCCACAATGCTAATCCAGCACTCATCAAGTATCATCAGAAAAAGTTTCTTGCACTTGCGTTCACAGAAATTCCTGCCGACTTTGACGCAAAGGCATACATCATCGAACGTCATTTTCGTCTATTCGCTAATGGGCTCAACGAAACCCACTTTGATAGAGTGGTCGTGCATTTGGAGGCAGCTCTTTCTGGAATGTGGGTAGACGCAGCGCTGATTGCCGAAACCAAGGAACATGTTGCCCCTCTACGAGCTATCTTTGAAGAGTCGGGTCGAGAACACGTTACAGAATACTTGAAAGAGGCAGTCGGAAGTGACCATTTCAACAACAGAACGATCGAGCCAAAATCAAGACCTACCAAGATTCCAAAATTCTCCATGTTTCGCTTTCCAAGAAAAGTCAAACAAAGCGCTTGATTCGATTATTCATATTATACAATGTAGCTATTATATATACTTATTCCCTCCCTTCTACCTCAATCCTCTCTTCTTCTACTCTAGTAGTATTGCAACTCTCATTCCAAACAGAGAGCAGAGGCTGATATTTGATTGATACACCTTACTTCTTCTCCACCCCTGCTTCTGCAGGTGTTGCCTCCCCACCTCCTTCTTTCAATTCATAGGATCGTGGGTAGGTTCCTGAAAAGAAGTCGTCACCCTTCAACAAATGATCCGGATCTGGGTAGCACAAGGTTGTAAGCCCGATCAAGCATTCGGGCAATTCATCGTCAGTTCGACCCTCAATGACAAATCCAAAAGTGACCACAATTTTCTTCAGGTAGGAATCCTTAATGAAGCAAATTCCTTGCTTGGCAATATAAGGGAAAGGGTACAGTGAAATGTCAAATTCCATGCAAGATTGCTCGGGATGCCGAAACAAGAATCCAGTCTGGCCTGGACGCTTGATCAAAAACGGTTTTCCGTTGTACTTGGAGATCCATCCAGGTACACCAATTTCATCCAAGTTGTGTCCCATTGGAACAACCTTCATTCGCGACATCCACGAATTGTCCGTCGGCGCCAGTCGGCACCATTCTTCAAACAATCGGACGGCATTCACCTTGGATTGCTGAATATTTCCGGGAGTGGCTTCACTATTGGGGTCGTATCCATCCGCAGTGACACGTTTCAGAATGTCTCTTGTTTCTTGAGTCATTGTATAGTACATGGTAATGGTATAGCCACCACCATCTTCTAATGAGGCATACAACTTGGGTGGATCGGTTGGAAGCGACACCGAAATGATGAAACGGTCCGGAGCATTCCACGTTTTGGTGGGTGGATCGCCTGGGAAGGAAACCTCGGGCATCGTGACACGAGATGCCATGTCAGGATACCGTTTTGAGCCTTCAAAAATATCCATCCCCGTGCACTCGTACAATTCTCCCGGTGAGGGAATCTTTGCCTTGGTGGACTTGTATCCATGGGATCGAACTTGAATCCCGTCTGCCTTTCCTGGCATCCAACCAGCAAATACATGACCAACATCATTAACTGCGGGCTCTTCAACGTTGTTGATATGCATTGCAGATGTACCAGCAAGAGGCTTGAAATCTTTTGCAACACTGGTTAAGCTACTTTCCTTCTTGTCCAGCCTCTTTTTCTTTTTGGACTTTTTGGTTTCGGGCTTGTCTTGGACCGTGGGAAGAATCTTCATGCCCATGACACTGGAAAGCCTTCTTGCCATTTTGCTGGTAATGACAGGCTTTTTGACTTCCATTTTGATTCGATCCTTCTTGACAAATACAAACATGGCCATGTTGGTAAAGGCAAAAATGTACCAAAAGGCATCGACCGAGGTTCCAGAAGCTCTTGACAATAAAACGGCCATGTTGACGAGTATACTCAATGGGACCAAAAAGTCCTCTGGCACGCAATACACAGGGATTCCTGATGTTTGGTCCAACATGAGTGACATTGGATTGCTGGTCGGCGACCGATACAAGTTTTCGTCATCGTCCATGTCTTCTTCGTAATCCTTTAGTTCGCCTTCACTGATATTATCCAAATAATCCGGAAAGTTTTCACTCTTGACCTTGTAATGCCCCGTCGCCCACAGCCGATGGCCCCCGACGGTAATCTGTTTCTTCTTTTCGCTCGCCCTTAGTGGAGGTTCGCTCAATTGTCCATGCGACTCGTTGGCATATCGTGGATCGTTCGATTGGACAATGGCGCTGTTGTACGAATCCACAGATGCCTTGACAATGACATCCGTCAAAACGGCCAACCATTGCATCATTTCTGCTTGGGAGTCAAAACAGAATTTCCATTTGGTTTGGGTCAAAATCTTGACCGAAATGCAAAAGGGTGTGGGGGCCCCCGAGTGACCCAAACTGGCACTGATATTGGCATTTTCCTTGACCAAATCCAAATAACCACGGGCATCGTTCGGATTGTTGCTACTGCTGGAATGAGTCATGTTGGCCATGTTGGCGTTGATATTGGTCGACGCAGCCGCCAAGTTGGCCGCCAAATCCGAGGCTTGTTTGAAACTATTCTCCAACCAATTGGTCGACGGTCTCGTAGGAGCACTGTGGGTTTGCGATGTGGTTTGTTTTATAAAGGATTGATCGGGTGGCAGGTTGGTGCTCGGATCCACCGATTCCACCGAGGTATCGTCTGAATCTTCATTGCTCGCATGATTACCCAAATTCTTGTAATAGGCCAATCGATTGCCTTTCAACACAATCCGACGACGTTCCCAGGCGGCCGTCGACGAGTACTTGCCCAAACCGCTGCGTCGTTTCCAAACGATACCGGTGAGTCGAATCTGCGAGTTCTTGCCCTTTGCTTTGGGCAATTCCGACATGACAGAATCATCCTCCTCTTCGGAATCGGTGGATGCCTTGGTATCCAAGGCTGGCATGCTGGATGCCGATTCAATCGCGGGAGTGTTATCCTTGTGGTTGTTCTTGTGCGAGCCAGTGGAAGATCCGCCACTGCTCAAGGTGTTTTTAATGGTAACCGCCACGGATTTGGCCTTGACTGTGGCCTTGACGGTGGCCTTTCGAAAGACTTCCTTTTTGCTACTAGTAGACGTCGTTGACTTTGTTTGCTGTTGCAGTTCCTTGAGTTCCGCAGGCGTCAAGTTTGGATTTTTGGCAATTGCCATGGCCATCTCTTTGGCTAACTTTAGTTCGTAGTCATCACCACCACTACTCGAAGTAGAAGTGTCAGCATCCTGCTGTTGCATGGGATTGCTGGAGGATGATTCCGTGGCCATGCTGTATTCGTATCAGGAATGAATGAATAATAATTCTTGATCGGAATGTTGATGTTGTTATTATTATTATTATTAGAGGAACAGAACGATGCCGGTACTGTACTGTACCTTCTGGAAGAGCGTTTGTTGTAAAGTTCTGAATGCAACAAATGAATCAATCAATCAACAACAATTGTAGTAGTGTAAGAATGATTGAATGAATCCACAGCAACCCTTTCTTCTACAGAATAAAAAAGTGGAACCTACACTGCACGATACGATGCGATACGATACGATACACCTTTGGTTATGTCACCCTTCCAGATTTTTCGTCTTGATCTTTTTTTTCTTTCGAGCCGTTCGTCAGCACACACGGCCAACCTAAAACTGTCGTGGAATACATACGCAAAATAAATAGCAAGCCTTGCCTTCACATGGTGTCTGACGGACAACGGTTTATTACGGATCGGAGGGGTCGAAGATCGTGAAATTCGAAATGTATGAAGACAGCTCTTTTTTCATTGTCACTGCGAACAAGGCAGGTTCTCAGGGCAATGCTTCTTGGCCACTGCCTGTTTTATTTATTACTACTTTTGCTGTCTCATTCTACTACCACCGTCATTGCTCTGTGTAATAATTCCAAAACAAGAACAACCAGAATGCCACCACCACCACCACGTCCTCCAAATACTATCATCAAGGATCTTACTAGTTTGGCCAAGTACATCCAGAGTGATGCCTGCAAGTCGATTGTCGTCTTGACGGGAGCTGGAATTTCGGTCAATTCGGGAATTCCCGACTTCCGAAGTGCCGGTGGCATGTATTCGACTTTGAGAGCGGATTTGTTGACATGTTCGGCCGCCCAACGGCGACTCATGGAACAAGATCCAACCTACGTGGTATCTTGGGATATTTTTCAACGAAATGCCTTTCCTTATTTGGAAGTGAGACGACCCTTCATATTGGGAACCGCCCAACAACAATGGAAGGCCACCTTGTCGCATCACTTTTTGAAACTCTTGGATACCAAGACCAACAAATTGACTCGAGTGTACACCCAAAACATTGATGGATTGGATCATCAATGTTTTCCTGACAATAACAATGATAATAAAATTGTCAGTGTCCATGGCACCATTGCCCAAGTAGCGTGCGAAGGGTGTGGCACAGGCATGGAATTCGACGCATTCTGCCAACAAGTCCAATCCAACATCAAGGACATTTACGATCCATCCTTGAGCGATGACGAAAAGAAACAGCAAACCTCCAAGCCAATCCATTGTCCCAGTTGCCAACAACCCTTGGTCAAACCAAAGACGGTCCTCTTTGGACGATCCTTGCCCGAAGAATTTTTTGTTGCCGTAAAACAAGACATGCCCCAGGCCGATTTGTTGATTGTCGCAGGGACTTCGTTGGTGGTCTCGCCGGCCAATTCCTTGGTGTATCAAGTGAACGACGATTGTGCACGAGTCGTCATTAACCAAGAAGCCGTAGGACAAGAATTGGGCATTGAATATGATTATACTGATGGTAGCGGCGGCAACAAACGTCGAGACTATTTTGCAAAAGGAGACTGCGATCAAGTGTGTTTGGAATTGTGTCAAGCCTTGGGATGGGAACAAGACTTGCTGGCAATCCAAGACTCCTTGCCTGAAATGAGTCGGGCTGTCTTGTTGGCTGCGGCATCCAATAAGCCTCAAATGAGAAATAATTCCAAATGATGATGATGGAATGGCATGGCATGGGGTGGGGTGGATTGCCATCCGGCAAGTGGGCATTGTGAAAGCTGATTGCAGTGAATGAAAAAGTGGATTAATTCATCATTCATTCAACTGGAAGTTGCTGATATATTGCTGTCAACATAAGAGCTGTTTGGAAAGTTGACAGCTCACTTTGGCAGTATATCTACAATGATTGCAAAATCAGAAATCATCATCTCGCTTGTGATAGAGCCATCATTATGCAACACAGGGTCCATTCTTCCTAAAAGTCAGCATGACAACTATGATTACTGACTGCAGAAGATCAATCCAGCTACCAAAATCGTACCAGGTATATTGAGAGAAAAAGGATGCTTGTCCTTATTGATTGTTAGCTGAAGTGCCATGACTTTGATGGTTTCGATTCGCATTATTGTTAGCCTACTATATTATTGTTCTTATTTCTGATTGGCACGCACCAAAGAGTATGGTCATCACATCTACAACAAGAATTGGCTTGGCCGTTTTGTAGAAGTCTTGGCATCCAACAGCGACCCTTTTGATTAGATCCACAACAACTGGTTGGTACTTTTCATAGAAATCCAATACAAGTGGTCAGTACTTCACGTAGAGTTTATTGCACTCCAAAAATATAGCATCAATGAGATCCATGGCTTGAGAGTGAATCCCAAAGTTCAAGTCCAAGGAAGCCGTTCGTGGTGGTGGATACGACACGTTCTTCTTCTTCGAATCATCAAACGGTGAAAGAGGTCCACTTATCTTGATCCAGAGTGAAAGTGGTCATGTTCTTCTTGGAATCCAAAGTAGCCAAATTCATGTTCTTTTGATCCAGGGCGAAACTGGTCAAGCTCTTCTTCGAGTCCATAATAGTTGAAGTCGTGTTCGTATTATTAAAATCAATGGCAGTGGTCGTGACAAAAGAGAGCGCGATTGTTCCCATCTCCACGATGATTCCAACATTATTTGCTGAGATTGGTAGCAATACTACTCAATGGCGCATGAGAAACTTGGATTTCCGCATAATGTCCAATTTGACGACGTTTGTTAGATTGGTGACATTGCTGGTGAGATGATGATTCGTCTTCACCGTTGGTACTGCAGGAGCAGCTTGCTTGTCGGCAAATGACAAAAGACTGATTGCCAATAGTAGCAGCATCGTAGGGAACTGACACGTCTTCGGTGAAAAATCCATAAAATTGCTGGAATTCAGTAGAGATAATGTCAAGCAGATCCAATGCAAGTGGGCGAATGGTTTCGTCAAACAGTTCCCATGCAATTGGTTGGTATTTCTCGTAGGCTCGTGCGAGCTGATCAGATGCAGTGTTGAGTAGATCGATTGCAACTGGCTCGTAAACCTTGTAAATTTGTTGGCATTCAGTGGTAACAGTTTCAAAGAGATCAAGAATGGCTTGAGGGTGAATCTCAAAGCTCAAGTTCAGCGAAACCGATGGCTTGGTTGGCGATGAAACGCCCTCATTGAGAGTAACACCAACAGGAGCCACGGTTGCTTTGAAAGCAAGATTCTCTGGCTGAAGTTTGAAACCCAATAGAAAGGCAGCGTTGGCAGTAAAGAGAAAGGTCAACGTGGTCAACATGGTTGAAATGATGATGATTGGTTGGTTCGTAAGTTGAATGAACGAAATCATGGTGTGAATTATGCAGTGATTGCAAAATTGTGATAATGATTTGGACGCTGTTGTAAACCAGATGTCAGAAGAAACGGCTTGTAGAATGCGCAGACTGTGTAGAAAGCTGGTAGGAAATGAAACTATATGTCTTGTCATGGTTTCCGTTTCGAGGTTCGGCCGTGGTGAAAAAACACGGTTTCGTTTTGAGAGTTGATGCACGACTTGAAAACTGTTTCGCTACTTCCCACCTCACAAGTTGTGATAGGGAAGCATTGTTACCCTGCTTATTATGATTTTACACTTCAACATGCTGGTCTCTTTTGGTACTATTGTGCATCCATCATTGTTGACATTGAATTTTTACAATAATTTCATCTGGTACTTGCTTAGCCTTTATTGCTTTGACAAATGGATTTCCATTTATCGCATACATAATATTATTATTACAAGGGATCGTTTGGGTACCGTTTAGCAATGGTAAGGACGCACAGAATGCACAATCGTTACTACTATGATGATAATTCTCTTGCAAAATTACATTGTTCGATAGGAATAATGCCCAGAAAGTTCAACTCTATGCAAACTTCAACGGCAACAAGAAACTATACGATTCTGAATTCCATTCATATTCCCTTCCCATCCCCCATTCACTACTCCCGCAAGGCAACTGGTAATCATTGTCTAGAAGTATCACGTTTGCATTCTTTTTTATGACCCTTCCAGCCAGGACAATAATAATAAAAGTGACAGTGTTCATGGCACCATTGCCCAAGTATATAGCCTGCGAAGGATGTTGTGAAAAGAGTCGCTCGAGCTGTCTTGTTGGCTGCGGCTTTCAATAACGAATCATTCCAAATAATGATGATGGAATGGAATGGCGTGGCGTGGCGCGGATTGCCATCCGGCAAGTGGGAATTGTGGAAGCTGACTGCAGTGAATGAAATTGGATTCATTGAACTGGAATTTTCAACATAAGATCTGTGTGGAAAGTACCGGTACCAAAAGTTGACAGCTCACTTTGGTTGCATCTATGATTGCAAGATTGCAAAATCAGAAATCATCACCTCGCGTGTGATAGAGCCATTCTACGACGCGGGGTCCATTCTTGACGACGAACCGAGAAGTTTCAAGTATCATCAGTAAAAGAATGCTTTTGCACGACAGCCTGTCTGGGCCTGCGCTGCACTATTATATTGTTCTGTTTTTGTTTGATTCCATTTAAATATTATTATACAAAACTAGAATGAATCGTTGCATGACATTGCCCAAGCCTTGCCATGACGTTCCACCTTGTTTTCACTTTTTAATCTTACACCATCATCGAATAGTTTTGTTGTTGTTGCCAGAGCGGTTAGCAATGGTCGCCGCTTCACCATGGGTGGGCTTCCAAGATACACATAAAATGCGCTTGTTCCAGCCATTAATCGGTTGATTTTGCATGCGTGTATTATTTATACATTCATGATTTGCTTTTGTGCTGGGTGCTTGCCAACGGCTGCCTTGGAATCCCAGTCGAGCTTCCAGTTTTGCTTGGCCTCGGCATTGGTCTTTTCTTCCATGGCCTCGAAATCATTGGGAGATGTGCTCACTCCAACTGCTTGCTTGGCTCTCTTGACAGCCTTTCTGGTGGATTTAGAAACCTTGTTGACCATGGCAACCTTGGCTTCTCTCTTGGCGCAGAGGAAACCCATAACAGCAAGCACGAGAAGGAAGGTAACGGTACCAAAGACTCCGTACAAAACAGCCCGACCAGATGGAGCCTTGGCAAAAGCACCAGAAGAGGTAGTGGTAACATCAAAGGTGCAGTATCCGAGGACAGTAGATCCATTGTCTTCGCCCATGTAGGCAGTGAGTTCTCCTCGTCCATTGAATCCAGAGTATCCCCAATCCTTCAATTGGTTATCAAGCGGAGGCAAGTAGAGAGTTTGCTGGAAACTGTATCGTCCACCAGATGGGCAAGAACCACCGTCAGAGGCTGTCAATGAGTCGCTGCAAAGGGGCATTTGTTGCAGGCTGTAGATGTTGTGGTTGTAGATTGCGGCTCCGTTTTGAGTGAATTTCAAGCTAAAGTCAACATAGGCAGAAGAATCTGCGCTCATGCCGAACTCGTCGACCATTCCGTAGTAATTCACTAAAGTGTAAAGTTGGAATCGAATGTGAGAATAGTAGAAATCCAAAAATTGAAGTTGTTTGCTTCCATCACCACCACTTACAGTATCCTTCGATTGAAGCATTCTCTCCCAAAAGGCAAGTACTTTCTTCGTTACAGATTTTGGACAATGTCAACGACATTGCCTTTTCAGAACATTCGTATCCATTGATTCTCACATACATGGCGCTAGCGCCTTGAAGGAGAAGGAAGAGTGATAGAGTTTTGAACATTTTTATCGATAGTTTGGATGTTGGAAATGTGTGAGACTTGTCATCTCTCGTTGGAAGCTTTCGTTCGTGATTGGCAAGCTCGTCGTCAGAAATGAATATAGAAGATACTACGTACACGTATATCCGTGTTTCGCCAAAGAATTCGCCAAAATACCATTGGTCGAACAAGTCATATGAAAAGGTACTTCATTAGCCTATATAATATACTTTTACAAAAACACAGCAGCTTGGACTGCTGACTCTACTATCTATGCAAGACATGCTCTCTCAAAGGCAGATGGAGGAACTGGATCATCTTCAGGTGGAACATATCGGAATGCAAAAGTGCGATGTTGTTCTTCTTGGGTTTCTTCCTCCAGTCTTCGGAATCTACCTTCGACCTTCTCTTCGGGTGTGAGTGGACGAGGGCGAACGACCTTTTGTACCTCCTGTGCTTCCACATGTTTTCTATTTCGCTGGCGACGGACTAGACAGCAGACTGCAAAAGCAGCGAGCCATAGAAAAACTGCCACGAAAGTGATGACTGCATCATGGACTGGTTTGCCATTTGGTAGATTTCCAAGTCGCGATTGACCTTGCTCGGTTGTGACGTAGAAGGTACAAGAGCCAAGGGGCTCCGAGTCATATTGCTCACTTTGGTAGATACCCAATTTCACCAATCCGTCGTATCCAGTGAACATCCATGTCTGGAACGCATTGTTTGGGTGTGGAAGCTTGATGGAGTTTGTAAATTTGTAAGTGCCAGTGCCAGGGCACTCTGCGTCATCACTATCGGCAATCAAAGTTGCATTGTCACACAAAGGAAGTTCCACAAAGTCAAAGAAGGTACCTTCGTAGATTGGTTTGTGGACACTGAAATTCTTGCTGGCTGCTTCTCGTCCGAAAAGCGACATGTTCAAGTTCAAGTAGACTTTTGAGGACTGGTTCATACCGAACTCTTCGTTGAGATAATGATAGGTCACTGAGCGAGTCAAGGAGAAAAATAATTAGTTATCCACGAAGATGGAAACACTTCGTCATCTCGTCGTTTGCGATCACTTACAACTTCCTACAAGGTTTGCCGCTTTTCCAACTGTACACACACTTTCATTGGTACAGAGTCTATCAAAGTCAACAGTTATTGACTTTTCTTCACAGGTCATGTTCTGAACTCGAATTTGCATTGCAACAGTAGCCTGCGAAAGCAGGAGGAGGGAGATGATAATCTTGAGCATGGTTCGTTTCGTTCAATGTATGTAAATTGTGGAGGACCAATGTCGGAAGCAAATTCGTGTGTTAGAAGTGCCACCAAGAGGGATGTGCTGGCTCGGATTCGGCGGCATTCGTCGTATGTAGATTGGAATCTGGCCGCGTGCCACCCTTTTTGTTAACCCTCATGTCGAATATAACAAATCGCTACTTTTTTCCCAAAAAGCCAGCCAAGGTGGCTTCATCGAGAAATAGAGAACTCGGACAAACAAGCAATCGTGTGCCCAATCTTGTCTCCGATTCATATTCAATGATTCATTCATTGAATGTTTCATTCATTCATTCTTGGGGATATCATAGGTACTAGCGATTTTCTCGTCCAAGTGTATGGAATACCAATATACTTGCTCATCATAGCCTCCTCGCCACCTGATGGCGCTAGAAATCAAGATCAGATTGGCCGTTGCTGATTTGGGACCTGCCAATATAAGGAGAACGAAGAGCACCTGGAGTGAATGAATGAATCAATCAATCAATCGTCAAGTTCTATCTAGTTGGTAGTAGCGTCTAACAAAGTCGTTGCATTCATTCTGAAATTACATTCGTTGTAACTATTCTGATTAGTATTAGTATTGCACAATCTTCTACGGTAACATTTTCTCCAAATATAATGATAGGATCTCCAAGGGCGCCGGTCATTCGTCAACCACTCCATACCATTCGATATTTATTAACAATATCATTTAATTAAACAGCACACTTGTCGTTATCGTTGTTGTTGTTGTTGTTGCTGTTGCTTCTGCTTCACACCACAATGCATAGTTTTCTTCTTCTAAGCAACCTCTACATGATGTTTCATTGGTTTGAAATCCATATCATCTCCATTGTTATCGGCATTGCTCATGGCGTAACCCACAATGCCCAAAAAGGCACAGGCCGCAAAGGTACCCAAAATGATCATGCCCGTCACTCCGGCTTCTGGAATGGCCGACATGACGGTATTCACCAGACTGTTGGTGGATGTTGAATTGCTGTAGGAATCGTCCATGTGGGTCACCACATTGAGTTGACACCGTCCAATCAATTGGTATTTGGAGGAATCCAAATACATGTCGACGGAAATGGACCCCGTCCATCCGGTAGCCACCCAATCGTAAACCTTGTTGGGAACAGTGGGCAATTGCAGGGCCACATTGTCAAAGGAGTAGAGTCCAGAATGGGGGCAGCCACTGCTGCTGCCACTGCTGTAGCCTCCATAGTTGTAGGAAGTTTGTTGTGCCTCTTGTTGACCACCATTGCTGTTGCTGTTGTTGTTGGTTTCATATTCGTCCCCATAAGTTCCATACGAACTTTGCGCAAGCTCTCGGCGTCCCTCATAATCCGTCATATATTGATTGCATAGGTAAATGGGTTGCATTTTGAGGAGGGAAGTTTGATAGGTGGCAATGTGCAATCTGGAATCTAAATATACCATGGTATCCGAGCTGATGCTCCCATCGTTGGTCATGTTGACTGTAATAGTGTAATTATTGTTGTCGTTTATGTGTGTGTTTGTGTGTGTGACAGAGAGGGAGAGAGACGAATGAGCGAATAATAGAACGATAAGCAACAATGTCATCACAACGATGACCAGCTTCATGTCATGCAGCCATTGTTGCTTGATCATCATCATCATCCTCAAGAACCAGCAGCCATAAACAAACGACGAACACTTTTAGATTACTTACGAACTCCTGAAATATATGCCGTTTGTCCAAACGAACAGGTCATGTTATTATCACAGATGTCAGTAAAATCAGCCTTGATGGCTTTGTCTTGACATTCGTAATCCTTGATTTGAATGGTAAAGGCATTGACAGTCGTCAAGAGCACCACCAGGATCGTTGATGCTACTAGCATTCTGTTGGCAAACATGATGATGACACTGCTGTTGTTATTGTTGTTGTTGTTGACAGAGATAAGTGTAGTTGTCTAGTAGTCCTACCAACACACGTACACACACACACACACAAATATAGAGTGACTATGCACTTGCTTTCTCAGAACGAAAAAAGATGCAGAATGATACAGATATCGTCGTCCGGTGTCGTCGTTGAACGCACTTTCAAACTTATTGGAGTTGAAAAAAAGGTATTTGGCGATGAGATCGTCGCCGATCGGATGGACTTCTTCGAATGAATCTTTCACTAGTGTCTGTCCTTCCTCCGGCGCGCCGCTTTTTCTACAGCCAGTTCCATACCAAAATCACGAATGTATTTGTTGGTACAAATTCTACACAGATAATTTCCGTTCGAATGAGTCTTGCCACCAGTATTGTGACAGGCAGCCACGCACAACAACATCTCCATTTCCATCTTTTGCACATACGACTATCTTCTCCCTCCTACAGTATTAGTCCACCACAACACCCTTATTAGCAAAAGACAACAACACAAACAACAACACAAAGAGCCATGTTTTACTCCCAAGTCATTCTGGCGAAAAAGGGCCCACTGGCCAAAGTGTGGCTCGCCGCTCATTGGGGCGACAAGAAATTGGGAAGGCCCCAAATTTTTGCCACCGACATTTCCCAAAGTGTGGAATCTATAGTCAATCCAACCGTCCCATTAGCCTTGAGAGTCAGTGGACATTTGCTACTAGGAGTAGTCCGCATTTACAGCCGCAAAGTCAAGTATGTCTTGAACGATTGCACGGAAGCCATGCTCAAAATGCAAATGGCTTTTTTGCCACGCAAAGACTTGCTGGAACAAACGGACCACAAAGACAGCAAGACTGTCACGACGGTGGCCAACTTTGGAGAATACGATCAGATTCACATTGTCGAAGGCTTTGCTCTGCCATTGCCTGATGAGAACGAATGGATTCTGGCGGAAGACGAAGAGAATGATGAAATGATGCACAAACTCAATCAGCAACACTCGTCTCAATTACAGCAGCAGCAGCGCCAAAACAAATCTCCACAAGACGGCAGCAGCAGAAGCAATTATCAACCACCAGAAGAAGAACATTGGGTTCCCTTTGATCCTGATAATGAAGATGATGATGACAATGAACACGATCAGTCTTTGGTTTCGGAAGTGGAAGTAGTTCGTGCGGCCAATGATGACTCGTTTTTGAGTGCTGATCAGGTGTGTATATACTTGTATATATTTATATATATATATATATTTGTGTATATATTTGTATCGTTGTACTGTATTGCGTTGTACTCACACACTGTAACTTTCTATCTATCTATCCACCCATCCACCCATTCATCTATCTATCTTACTACAGACCCGCCGGGATTCCTCCTTGCTCCTCAACAGCGCCACAAAGGACCAAGTGCCAAAGTCCTCTGCCGACAGTGACAATGAACCTGTCGATTTTGGTGACGTTCCCTTTGGGGACGACGACGATGATGACGACATGGCAGGACCACCCGATACGCCAGTTACTGCTGGTGGTGTTGGTGGTGGCGTAGACGATTCGCTCTTGGCATTGTCGGTCCGTGGCAGCGATGCTCACAACTTGTCGGCCATTTCTGGGTTGGAGGAAACACCAGATAGCAAAAAACGCCCCTCCCAAGTCACGCCTCGCCGCAAGCGCCGCAAACGTCGCAAGGTCGTTATTGACAATGATGAAACCGAACTTTCGACAGATCACATCAAGCACATGATTGCCAATACCAATGACATTGTCAAACGACAAGTGCATCCGGCCGAACCCGAAGATGGAGAAATGGGCAAGCAAAATCATTCCAAGAGCAACAGGATCTCTTTGACACAACCCTTTTTGGCCGACGATGGACATTTGCATCCCGCCCTGCAAAAACTATTTGCCGACAATTTCTATCATGCTCTGGATAACAAATGTCCCTACGAACGGCAAGAAGTGAGCGAGGATGTCGAACAAGTCCGCAAGGATGTTGGTAGTGATTTGGAAGACAATGATGGTGACGAAGAAATGTCTACTACGGCGGCGCGCAAGGCGGCTGCTGCTGCTACCGACAATAACAACAATGACAGCAGCAGTGATAATGAACCAGCTGATTTTGGAAATGACTTTGGGGACATGGATGAAGAGGAGGAGGACCAACCACCACCGGAGGACAATATGGAGGTTCCCGATTTGGATGACAATGACGAAGAAGATGAAGATGATGTCTTGAATCATCAAGGACAAGGTAAGCCTTTTGCCTCGTTTGGAAATATTTTGTGCGTGTCCTTGAATAGAATCATCATCAATGAACCCACTAACCAACTATCTATCTTCTTCTTCTTTTATCTCCTGTCGCCCTCTAGGCCCTCCTGATTCGGCATTGGCAGACTGGGGTCTTGTCAATGAACTCGCTCTGGATTCCGATGCTGATGAAGATGGTGACGATGAAGAGAATCGGGAAGCCATCGGAGATCAAAACTCCAACAGTACTAAATGGCACAAGCATACCGTCCGAGTCTTGCAGCTCCTTCAGTCCAAGATCAAGTCTCCAGGTGATGAAAATCAAGAAGTAGAAGAAGGAGAAGGGACCTCAAAGCAGTCTCATGTCCAATTTGAAGACTTGTCGCATAATTGCACTCGTCGTACCGCCGCGTCGGTCTTTTTCGAATTGCTCCAACTCAAGACTTGGGACTTTGTCGAACTTGAGCAGCCCGTTCCCTATGGAGATTTTGCCGTTTCGGCCGGTGTGCGCTTTTCCGAGCAGCCGCCCAACAAATAACTTATATGTGTATTGTGTACAGTATTGTGTATTGTGTGTGCGATGTCCAAAAAGGCAACGCGCAAGAGGCAGCAAGAAACGAAGGAATCAATCAATCAATCAATGAAGGAATCAATCAAATGAATCAATCAAAAGTATTGTAACTATGGAACAGTCGCAAAAGGTCACAGATAATATCTGTGATGAACGAGAATCATCGTAATGGAAACCATTCGACTGACTCACTCGAGAAAGAACGGGATGAATAGTTCTGAAAGGGATGGAAACCCATTTCGTCACCACCAACCATGGCTGCAACGTTGTGTTTTGTGAATCTGCCGTGATGTCTGTCACCAGGGGGAAATCATATTTTGTGTGTACATATTCGAGCATAGGTTTTCAAATTATACTGTAATCACAGCACATTATAATGGATATGTGTCGTATATATATATTGCAAAAAGGGTCGATATAGTAGGGGGTATATGGTACGGTGCAGCAGTGTCTTTTTAAAATTTACAGGATAATTGGAATACCTCGACTACTGCATTGATGGCATACATCATATCTATGCTCGTCTATATGCTCATCATAATATATCGGTAGCAGCATACGGGTAGCGGCAAAAAAGAAATTGTGGTGCGTATGACTCATTCAACCGGTGTCGCTGAAAACTGTTACGATGGACGCCGAGGCCTTGGCTGAGAAGATGAAAGATGTCTAGAGCCAGCTGGCGTTTTGTAAAAAGGCCCTGAACAACTGCGATAGCAATGAGTACCATACCTGGTACTTTCAAAACAGTTCTGATTATCGATATTTGCACGGCTGAACATTCTGATGCAAAAATACGATAAACATTGAGCAAAGCTTGGACCGCTGGTAACAACGCTTGGACCGAGAACAGCAAATCATATTAGAAGAACTAAAGTCGGCGGTTCTCCACCTTCAACAGATATCCATTTCAGGCGATCATTCTATAGTAGGAAGTAGCGGCCGCTCGAAAGGAACTCCAAACTGCGTTAAATTAGATCAGATGGACGAGACGGTACTCCTCGACTCAGGTGTGAGACAAAAGCAAATGAGGATGTAGCAATCTATGGCGCCTTTTGTGTTGAGTCTTTCATGGGCGTTGAAAGATGTACCCAAGTACCAGAGTATTTGGGAAAGTGCCATGGGAGACGGCTTCGTATTTCTTCAAGACGGTGAAATGGATGATGCAACAAGGGAGAGAGTTATAGATGCGCTAAGATGTACCCAAGTACCAGAGTATTTGGGAAAGTGCCATGGGAGACGGCTTCGTATTTCTTCAAGACGGTGAAATGGATGATGCAACGAGGGAGAGAGTTATAGATGCGCTGCAAATGTTGAGTGGCGCCAGAGAGAAAAAGCTGAACAATGGTACGCCGCAGAACGGTTTCATGCTAGTGCTTGTTTCCATCAAGGAAACATAAGGAGAAATACGAGCAGTCTGTTTCTCTATTCCGCACGATCTACCCACAACTTTGAATCATCATCTTCATGATCATCACAAACCTTCAGTTTGGAATTGTCAGGGACTTGCTCTTGAAGCCATTTTCGAAATCGAACAAAGATTTCATCAACCTGACCCCGTTTGAATGCCTTAAAATCCAATCCGTTGTCTGTTGCGTTTGGTTTGCGTACAAGTGGGAATAAATGCTCCTTGTCGTTGCCCCTGAAAACCTTCAATTGATCCGGCGCTTCATTCCACCGTTGCCGTGACTGAGAATCCAAGTGAGGGTAGTGTACGAGGAAAGCCCCTCCAAGCTGGGACAAAGTGTAACCGCTACGAACCAATTGCATCATCCAGCTCATTTTGTTCTTGCCATATCCAGAAAACGCTTCTTGAAAAGGTGGCAGATCTCGGCAGTAGCGGACCACAATGAATGGTTCATACCTATTCGATTTGAGACATGGAATTTCTAAAAGAGTACCTTCTTCCTGCAATAGCCATTCCTCGTACAACGTCGAACCATGGCCACCTTTGTTTGTGGGATCAAAGATGTGGCCGCGTTTGTTTCTCCGCATATCCAATAACTCATCTAACGAGAACGGCATGGACGGAACATTCCTTTCTCGACAGTCGACCCACAAAGTACATTGGCGAAATAACTGAAAGGCTGGAATAACCAAAGCGATGTCTTTGTTTTCAACGAGCGCACTGGTTACAGTTTTGTTGGTCAGAATGTCATAGAGACCCTCGCTACTCCAGAAATCAACGTCAATGAAGACAATGTGAGTTGTCTCCACTTGCTGCAAAGCCAAGTTCCTCAGGTGATTCACGGGATAGTCATCGAATGCCATATCGCTAGCATCGAGGACCTGCACTCGAACCATGTCCAAGCTGCACTTCAACGAAATAAGTTGGTCCTCAATCTCACGAAGAGACTCGTTTGTCCATACTGCAATGGAAATGGGATGAGGAAACCTTTCACAATGATGCTCCATCATCCATAAACGGTCTTGTGATAATTGTGTGACCATGGTAAATGTTGGCAGATTACTCAACGGCAAACAAAGAGGTGCCTTGGAAGAGAAGACTTGGAATTCTTCCGTAGTGCTGGATTTTCTCAATAATATTGCAGTGAGCGCCAAAACAATGACGACTACCATCGAAAAACGAAGTATAAGCTTCAGTTCATGGCGGGTTGGGCGTTTCTTCATCTTGATATTGTCACCATTCACCATTGCCCTCTGCCGTTTTGAATTTTTGTGTGTTCTTTTGACGCGTTGATCCAAGTTAGTTGCATAGCGTTGATGCATGCTCAGTCAGTTGATAGAGTCGAAAGGTGCTTGCAATCTTCGAACGAAAGTAATTGTTAGAATCTGAATTACGACTAGAGCTGCTTGGATCGTTAATCCTAAGCTGTAGAAGCTCTATCGATGGTAAAGATTGAACTTATAGGCGATGTTTAATCGGTGCTACAATTGGGATTGAATGAATCAACGGAATGAGAGCAAATGCCAAGCACCATCATTCGTTGATCACATGATAAGCTTTTCGGTACTATTGTACACGATTCTTACGGACAACATCTGCCCAAGACATCTTCTTCACTTCGGACGGACTATCATCAGAACTAACATAGTCCTCTCTTTGATCTTGACTTCCAACACGCTCCTGTGATGATGATTCCTCCGTTTGGAAAAGGGAGTCAATGTGTTTGTATCCCAGAACCACATCACGTAATTTTCTGAATAAGTTGCCTTGTAGAGGTTTCGTAAAAAAATCCGCAAACATCTTCTCCGTTGGACAATATTGGACTTCGATACCTTCCGTCTTCAAACGATCTTTGATCCAGAAATATCGATTGTCCATGTGCTTTGTCTTTTGTCCACTTGACATTTTGCAGTTCAGTTCAATTTTGATCGCGCTCTGGTTGTCCTGGTATAGAACATTTTCTAGGAGTTCGTGTCCATGTTCGCCTAGGAACATTCGAGCCCATATCATGTTTGGTAAAAAATCATTTCTCACGTGTCTCCAAATGAGATATCCTTAACAACAGTTGTCTTGCTTGCGTGAGACTTTGATTGTTCGACAACTCTAGATAAGAAATCGTACAGTACTGTATCTTCTAGAGTATTTCGCAAACTCTGTTCCTGTTTCACCAACACGCACTCCTCCGCATCCTCGATGTGCCTTATTCTTCCTTTTAGAAATTCCAATTTCGATTCTTGTTCAAACAGCAACAACTTAATAAAAGTACACTACTTTCTCGATGTCCAAATCTTGATCCAGAGTGCGAACCCGTGTCTGGTGATGTCAGTCACACCCAAATCGCTCTTTTCTTTCCCAGAATAAAAGCATATCAGTCTTCTTGATGCGGACCTCCATCACGCACTTCCCTCGAAGCTGTAGGATTTGCCATCTTCATTTTGCTGTTTAGAGGGCACGTGTTGCTTTTCTGTTGTTTTGGCTCTTTTTTTTTTTGCGATCATTTGAGGTGCATTTCCAACTATAAGATTTGAAATGATGTTTCGTTCACCTGAGATAGTCAAGCGAGGTTACGTGTTGTATCATATAAAAATATCCACCGACCCAATACTTGACATTTGCAACATCCCATGTCTTTTTGCAAGCCTGTAAAGTACCACAGCTTCAAGCTGTTCCAATTTTTTTTCTGCAATGCATGAAATCCCTTGAATCCATTTTCAGTACTTCTCTTCCGAAATGGACTAAGCTACAATGGGAAAACGTTCATAAGCAATTCGCATTGGCTTTCGACGAAACCCAATACAGAATATCAATAGATTTGCTTACCAGGAAGCAAAGGAAACAAATTTGGGCAGCATGGGAGAGATGTTCTATCAGCAATTTTTCCACAGTCTATTCTCCGGTTTGCTGCTATCTGCTTGGGTGGATCCGCCAAAAGACTACAAAGCAGATGCAATGGTCACATCATCACAGCCGTGTCGCTGCATTTGCCGGTGGTACACCGGAGGGGGGGGATAGCAAACGAGACAGCACCTAAAACCTACCATGCTCTACCGGTAGTTCCCACACCAAATTCCTTATTTTCTAGATATATATTCAGTACCGGTTTGCAACTATATTTTTTAAATCCAGCGACATTTACGTCTCCAAACAAAACCCGGCAATACCGGTGAAACGTTTCCGCCGCCATATTTTTACAACAGCCGAATTTTCATAGTAACATTTCTAAAATGGAAAATTAGATAGGACCTACAAAGTACAAAAAAGGGTTCAGACGATCAATTGCATCCCAATTCCAAATCAACACGCCCTTGGCAAGAGACCTATTTGATTTCGGCAAACCTACGGCGGTTGCTCCAAGCGAAATTAGCGGTAGGGGCACAACAAAACTGTTCCCACTTGCGTATTTACTCCGAACCTCAAAATGAAGTTGCAGTCTCGTCAGTTGCTATGCTATCAGTTGCTGCACTCACAAATCCCATCACACAAAATCTAAACAACGCATTACAATATATACAATGATGTACAACGAAAGCAAGTCCCCGCTTGCCGCGCTTACCAGGCAAATCGGCGGAGAGGGGCAAATCATCTCCTTGATTATGACGTTCAGTGAAAGCGTCTTGCAAGATCTTGATATGGAAGCTGCCTTCAAGGGAATGGATGCTGAAGCTCTTGCTGATCACATGACGAACCTCATCACGAGAGTTTTCGGATACACAAAAAAGTCCAGCATGACCAACAGTATCATCCGCTGCCAAATTGTCTTGAGGAGCTACGCTCTCTTCGAACTTGGATTGAGTCGTGGTCAACTGCACAAGTTACAGCTTCACTTTGAATCCGCAATGCGTGATTCCAAGGTCGAAGGAGATGTGTTTGAACACTGCAAGGATCGTTTCACCGACATTTGCATCATGTTCAATTCACGGAGTAGAAGCCTTCAACGGAGCTCTTCTTCCAATTCGATTCATGATCCAGCAGGAATTATGATTCGAGCTGCCTCCAACGACCGTTTAAAAGGAGGCCTTCAACGAAGCTCTTCTTCCAGGTTGATTAATGATCCAGCAAGGACGATGTCCAAGAACCGTTTGATCGGAGGCCTTCAACGCAGCGCTTCTGTCAGGTCGATCCTCAATGATCCAGCAAAGACCACGACGGTGCCTCGACCTTCCTCCAAGAACAGTTTGAAAGGATGCTTTCAACGAAGCTCTTCTTCCAGGTCGATCCGCAATGATCCAGCAAAGATCATCATGGTTCGAAATGCCTCCAACGACCGTTTGAAAGGAGGTCTTCAACGCAGCTCTTCCTCCAGGTCGATCCTCAATGATCAATCAAAGATCGTGATGGCTCGAGCTGCCTCCAGCGACCTCTTCAAAGGCCTTCAACGCAGCTCTTCTTCCAGGTCGGCAATGCTCAGTGATCCAGCAAGGGTCATGATGGTTCAAGCTGCCTCCAACGATGGCTTGAAACAAGGAGGGCTTCAGCGCAGCTCTTCTTCCAGGTCGATCCTCAATGATCCAACAAAGACCAGCTCTTCTTCCAGGGCGATCCTCGATGATCGAGCAAAGATCCTGATGATCCGAGCTGCCTCCAACCGCCGCGAATGCACTATCGTGAATGCACACAGAGCCTCCAACATCCGCTGTTTGCTTCCGAATAAAGCTGCTGCTTGTTGAAAAGTTCTCATGTCCGCAATATCGTGACGATTGCGCACCAAGCTACCAAAAAAGACTCTGCACAATCGAATTTTTATATACATATTGTAATATAACAGATGTGAACTAGGATTGTCATCTATATTTTTAAGTAAGTATGTATTCCACAGAGATGCTACTACATATCACAAATGATTGGGACCCCCCCCAGGCCCCTTTAAGGGGAGTACCCCCATATACCAAGACCTCCCCCAATTCGACAATTCCTGAGAGTATCGTATAGAAGGAGGTATCATCATGTACGCATGTGCAACAATAATATATGGGTACTGCATATTCCATAGTACACCAACAAGCCAAGGCAGTAACGGGAGGAAGTTCCATTGACATTGGCTCCAAAAGGAACAACTCATGCAATCGAACGATTTGGAAGGTTACCACTTTCGAGGCAATGAGGATGAAGAAATCCCAGGAGGAATTCGAAAACTCATTGTTGGTCCTGGAGTTCAAGTATTACCCGATCATTGCATAGAGAGACTATTATTTGTAGGTCTTCAAGAAGTCATCTTATGTGAGGGCTTGATATTGATTGGAGACAAGAGCTTTGTACGTTGTTTTAAATTGCGCTCGATCGACGTTTGCAGCACAGTTGAATCCATTGGAAAACTGGCATTTGAAGGTTGCGTCAATGTTGCGGCAATTCAATTTACATCTTCCCAAGGAACCACTTCCCATGGACTAAAGAAAATTGGCGAAAGCGCTTTCAAGTCTTGTCTCAAACTGCCGAGATTTCATTGCCCCCCGTTGCTTTGAACTCTGTGAAGCCTTAATAGAAGTAAATCTTTCGACGACTTCAGTTGCCACAATTCCCAAAGCCACGTTCGCCCTGTGCTCGAACCTCCAAACTGTCAGCCTTCCAAATACGCTGGAGTGTATCTGCGAAAGCGCGTTTCTCGTCTGCGAGAAGCTGCTCACTGTGGCAATACCCTTTGATTCACACCCCATCCAGATTAGTGGAAAGGCTGTCTTTCACCAGTGCAAATCTCTTGCAAACCTTGCTCTTCCGAAAGACTCGGTTGTGCTTCCGCCAGAACCACCTTGCGCTGAAACATTTTACGAAGCAAGACTGCTAGAAAAATGCTTTGGTCGAGACCAAGTTGACATTGTCGCCGGTTTGATGAACCGTTTCGACGAATATCCTATCCACAAACTGTGCTACCACCATTCCGCTATCACTGCTCAAGAGCTGCGACAATGTATTGATAATCAAGACAAAATTGAATCATCATACGCGGACAAGCTTGGTATGACCCCACTTCATATTCTCTTCTCGACTGTCGAACCAAGCCATGACCTCCTCCATGTTCTTTTGGCTGCGCTCCCATGTGATATTCTTGACTCTAAAGACGCCAATCGTATGCGACCATTGGATTACTTGTTCACCAACTGGAGTGACAAGACGAGATCGTTGCTTCAAACGACATATCAGATTTGGTTGATTGATCCAATCAAAGGATGGGGTCCAAACTCCTCATGGGAGAAAGCGTTGATGAGTAAGGTGGAAGAGATTCTTGCCGAAGATGGTGACACGGAACAACGAGTAGCTTTGTTCGAGAGAGCTTATCGAAGATTCAAAGAATGCAAAGCTATCGAGTCAACGTCGGTATTGGAGATCGCCTTGTGGAAAATGAAGCTGAAGAGTGGGTGGAGTGATGGCTGTCCGAAGCTTACGACAGTAGATCGAGGGGAGTATCGATGTGTCTGCGGATCAAATGTCCTGATTCCGAATGTAATCAAGTTCTTTGATATCCCAAGAGAGTGATACCACAAGTAACTGAGCTTGAATGTCGAGCAATCGACCAATACTGCGTTGATTCCAATGTACGGGCAAGGATTGGATGGAGACGAAAATGTGGTAGGGCATCGGACATGAAAATAACGAACGTTCAGTGTCAATCTATTATACAGCTTGCCTATTGCACAAAAGATGCCATGCTTATACCCCAATCACCACGTTTTTAGCAAGACAGATCGTAGCTCATTTCCACATCATCCTCAAAAGATTTGAAATGTCTTGTCCTTTTCACCATTTTCCCCTTGCAGAACCAATACGATTTTTTCACCCATCGTCTTGTCTCCAGCAGCTGCGGATCCTGACCCAATAGTAGTCAATGGAAGTTCATACTCGTGGGGCTTGTCCGGTGCAGTGAACCAAAACATGAGATCCATGGGAACATCCGAAAAATAGGTCCGGAAGTAGGCAGTAAGCGTCTTGACTTCTTTTTCTTCCAATGGATTGTCCATAAAATCAAAGATTCCTAGTATCCGCCTGGCAAGAACCATCATTTCAGCATACCGATGGACATTGTCATCTTCCTTCCAACCAAGTTCCTTGGTCATTTCCAGTGTGACATCGGAAACCAAATCCTCCCACTCCAGTTCTCTATATACATTGTCCAAAAATGCATTCAAGAATTCTCCGATTGCAACGAGATGGGCGGACATGAACTTGATGTCTTTCCTCATGGATTTGATCGTTTCGGACAACTTAACCTTGTACTCGAACGCTTGGCCCTTGGTAGCACCCTTCATACTCGCAATAATGGCTTCGTCACCACTGCAGTCGTGCAAGACCACCCGTCGAAAACTGTCGAATAGCTGCTCCGCATTCTGTTCCTGGTTTCCTTTCCGAAAGTTGGAGACTGAACCCTTGTAGGGAGAATACTTATCGCCGATCAAGCAGGCACGAATTTCTTCACTCTTACTTTGAGCGTGTTTCAATCCATATCCAGTGGAAACCAAGAAATGCTTGGTGATATTCCCTTGCTCCGCAATCCCACCGCCAGCCCAGATGCCCTTACAGGTGGCAAAGTGTTCATGCAAGTAATCCAAGAACTCCAATTCACCTGGTTTGAGTGCTTCACTCTGGAGCAAGGCATTGTAGAGATGTAATACGAATCGAACTTGGGCAAAGGTATCCACCATCCTGGCTCCATTTTCCATGTTATTAAAATAGGCAGTGTAAAGTTCAAAGTATCCAGCGCAAACAGGATTCCAAGCCGCATTCGCAATTCGAGACTTTCCAACTTCCTTTTCACAACTAATACCGATTCGAGGCCAACGCAGGGAATTAACGTTTCGCATATTGACCAGGAATCTGTTCCAGCTCTTTCGGTTCAAACTTTGGGCCGTGACCTTCTTTTCATTCACCCAGTCCAGTCCATTGTAATACCGTTCCCAACATCTCTCGGCAGTCACTTGAAGATTTGTGTAATCGTTGTCCCCTTGCATTTCATACACCGATGTCAGAATCAGCTGAAAGCAAAATGCCAGTGACAAGGTCACGGGCGGGTGCGGATTCTTACACCATTGCCGCATATGGCAAAATAGTGGATAAATGGCCCAGTCGCGAGGCATCTTGATCGATAACAACCCCTTCCGAACCATTGAAACAAAGACTGGCATGACTTCAATCAACAAAAAGTAATCAAAATCTTCGGTAATCTTTTCCGCTGGATTGTCTTGTTCGTGCCAAGGAGCCCCCAGCATTTCTTCCCCCGCCCCCATGGTGACAAATTCGCCAGACCCAGTCTTAATAATGATATTACTGTACACTTGAACCAATCGCAGCGTCTTGACAATGTTGCGCTTGCCACCCAAGTGCTTCCAGGATTTCAACCAGCGATCCTTTTTCCGCAAGTGGTTCCACTCGTCGTATATTTCCCGTTCCGAGTACACTGGAACCTCCAATCGTACGTACAATCGAATGGTGTGATACAATTTATTGATCGTGTCATTGATGGAATGGTCATTGATTCTCCATTTGGACCGAAATTGGTCGTGCAGCAATTTGGTCTTGTTGTTGGGATCATCGTGATCCCGAAAGGTCGTTTCCATCGTGTCGCCGACAAATTGGACAATTTCCTTCCGAATGTCATATTTCTGGGCCACCGGCGAATGGTCTTGGACCAACTTACTGAAGATTTGAATCATATCCGGGCAGGCCACCACGGCAAGGACTCGATAAATGGTGTTGAGGTGAGGATGATCCACTGCTAGGACGTGTTCGAGCATGCTAACTTGTTGAATGGCAAAGGAGGATCCGACGGCAATTTCCATCAAGTGTGGAATGGCATGTTCGTCTTGGCGGTCGTCAGTGGCATTGGCATTAGCATTGGCGTTAGCAGCAGCAGAAGTAGCCTTTGTAGCATTGGCCCGCAATTGTGCCTTGAGCCCTTGCATTTGATGCACCGCAGTGGCCATGATTTCTTCCACATCGTCAAAAAACAAAATGGCAGCCGATCGATCGTCCCCATACAAGACATCCCGAAAGGTAAGTCGCTTGAAATCTTCGTTTGTGGTCTTTGGTCGAAAGGGTTCCTTATTTGCTTCGGAAGTGGCATCCTCCTTGTTGTCGTCATTCTCCTCTTCTTCGTCTTCATTGAGATCTGGATCCAAACCATCCATGTACAGGGCACCATATCGATTGACATTCGTATTCTCCTTCTTTTCGTCGTCATCATTGTCATCCACAATGCCCCTTTGCTTGATGTATTTTGCCAAGAGAATCTTCCAACAATATTTCAAAACTTCAATGAAAAAGGCATGCCCATCGTCTCCACCACCTCCCATGGACTTGCTGACTCGTTGGCGAACCCTCAACGTTAGTTTCAAATCCTTCATGAAAGAGGCTTCCAATTCAATCTTGTCGTTATTGGCCAAGTATTCGGCAGCGTCCATTAACTGAATGGTACTTCCCTCTCCATAAATATCAACAGGGACCAAATCAATGAGTTTTTCCTTGAATCGATGGGTCGCCTTTTTGTAACGAGCATACAATGTGGAATGTACTTGATCGATCAACGGTTTGGAAGAGGATTTGGAACTGCTATTGTCAGAAGTGATCCAATCTCCAAAGTTGGCTTGGGGTTCTTGCCCTGCTACTCCTCCTAATAAGGACTCAGCATTACCATTACCAACACGTCGTGTTCCTGCAATGGGTCCACGTGGACGGCTCGCACCTTGTTTTCCTTTGCCCTTGTTTTTCTTTTTATTGCCGGCACGGCCTTTTCGGGGAGGCATTATCTGTGATTGTTGTTCTTGTTCTTGTTGTTCTTGTTGTTCTTGTTGTTGCTGTTGTTGTTGCTGTTCGTTGAATATAAAAAAGGGCTGCTATGAAATGATGACAATGATCCACAAGTAAAATGACACACAATCTTTTGTGCAATGCTACTGTAATGCTGAGTTTTATCGATGATGAGAACGTAAGCAGATGGTGACGTTTGAGCCTATGTTAGTACCAAGTACAAATTTCCCGCGCATTCTGCTTGGTCACAAACGGATGCGTGGACAGACAATGGCAACAATGATGCAATCTCAGTAGTCGTGTGATGTACAGTTCCGTATCGTATTTTCATTTGTTGGCATACATCATCAATAATACAGTACCAGTACTTACTAATATACACGCATATGCTTCAGTAACACTCGTTGTGGTTGCTCCATAAGGCCTTTCTCCACTATCTTTTCTTCCTATTGTTGATTGGTCATATCATCGGCAATGCCAGTGTCCTACTATGGTGATTTATCAGGAGAAAGCAGTGATGAGGAAAGTAGTGACGACTCTTCTTCTTGTAACAGTAACAGTGATGATGGTGAATCATTGTCCTGTTTCTTAAAAGGTGGTGAATCAGATGAACGAATAATAACACGCAGCAAGACGACAAAAGGAACAGCAAGGCCCACCATCAACAACAACGGCCAGCACGCATCCAACATCAGTGATGAGCTGGACAACAACAACGCTCACATCAATATCACTAATATTTGGTCCCGATGTATTTTGCATTTGGACATTGATTGTTTCTACTGCCAATGCGAAGAAATTGATCGGAACCTGCGCGCCAATAGCGAAATTCGTCCCTTGGCCATTGGGCAGAAGCACATTATTGTCACGTCCAATTACGAAGCACGAGCCTATGGCGTTCAGAAATTGCAATTGAGGGAAAAGGCTTTGGCGGCATGTCCTCATTTACTCATTGTGGAAGGCAGTGATTTACTACGCTACAAGCGACATTCACGCAAAGTCTACGAAGCCTTTCGGTTGGCATTGGAAGAAATTGCTTCCGAAACGAATGTGGAGATTCCCGCCAAGAAGGGATGCATGGACGAAATGATGGCCGATCTCTCCCAAGTTGTCAATCAAATGCTGGAAACTGGAAACATCCTACTAGACGACGACGACGACGACGATGATGATACAAATGATGATGATGATGATGATGATGATGATTCGAAATCGGGATCAATGAAAAAGTACTATCAGTCAACCTTTGTCTATGGCGATTCGGATGCTCCCATAACTCTAGTGGAGGATCAAACGGGACAGACCACCACCATCACGTCATCCTTTTCATCAACAACAACTACGACAGCGCATCGAAGAGGCCAATCTTCTAGTCCAGATCGCATATTGCCTCCATCAAGACGAAACGTGCATGATCATCATCATCATCATACTACTACTTCCAGCAACAACAGCAACAACAACAACAGCAACATCATGATGGAACAACACTTGTGCAGTCAACGACTTCATGTGGCTGGTAGACTTGTAGCCAGGGTCTGTCGGAAGATTGCCATAAAAACTGGCTTTTTCACCACCGGAGGCGTCTCGGTATCACCCCTCTTGGCCAAACTGGCATCGGATTTGAACAAACCAAAGTCGGTCAATCTATTGTATCCTTGGCGATCGTCCCAATTGCTGTATTCCATGCCTCTGCGAAAATTGCATGGTTTGGGAAGGAGCACCATGAAGGCATTGGAGCCATGCATGGGAACTGCTAGTTCCAAGCAGAGGTCAAAGAACAAGGACGACGGCGATGTCAAGACGGTATTGGATTTGCTGCAAGTTCCCAACGAGACGATTGCCAAAGCTTTGCAAAGTATTCATGCGTACCAGGAATCCGGGTACGTTTGGTGTTGTGTTGTATGCTTTCATCTATGTTTATATATTCCTTGCTCACCCGAGGCACTGATTGCCATTGCTATTGCTGTCATTACTTACTAGGTCAAAGGAGCAATGCGACTTGCTGATACAACGTTGTCGCGGACTCGATGTCGGCGAGATTGTGGACGACCAGGGAGGCTTGCCCAAGACTGTCTCGATTGAGAATTCCTTTCGACGCAACACTAGGAAAACGCAAAAGGCAGTGCAAACTGCATTGGACGATTTGCTCCACCGACTGCCATTCTTGTTGAACGATCGGACCTCGTGGGCGCGGGACCCTGAAAATGCCTATCCGACCACCATTCGAGTCACGGTACGACTGGTCGACCAGAGTCTGTTGCACACAAGGGATGGAACTACCATAACGGAAGCTCAAAGGCGCAGGGGAAGACGGCCGTATGTGACCACGAGTCGACAGTCCTCCATGACCAATGGCAAGACTTTGATATTGGAAAAGGGTAACACGGACCAACAATCTCGAATGCTGCGGAAATGGGTCGAACCACTACTAGAACAGCTTCTGTCCAAGGCAACCAAGACGAATACTATCAATTTGACGAGGCTAAACATTGCACTTGCCAATTTTCAAGATACGGCCACCACCACGACTCCAAACAACAAGAGCTGCGTGCCCTCATCACAAGCCTTTTTCGGTACGAATGAATCCTCATCATCCGGCACCAAACGAGCGAGTACTGGTGAATGGGCTACTGCTACTCCAAACAAGAATGCAAAGATCGAGACATTTGCACAATCCAAAAACAGCAATGCAAACTGGAGGACACCAATCCCTTCTTTGTTGCCCAACGAGCTGTCTCCACCCACACTAAAGTCAAACACTTCATCATCATCAATCCCATCCAAACACTCGTCGAACAAGATGAAAGCAACAAGGATCGACAATTTCTTCTATCGAAAGTCAAAATGATACCAAATAATGTACTATAGTGCTATCAATAGATTGGATTTTTGGAGCTGATACAGTAGGTATAGTTGCGGCTCTTTCTTTTATTACTCTGGCGAATGAATGGCCAATAAAATATCCGCAGTCACAGATTGCTTCGTCACGAAAGGAATCAAATACGCGTTAAAAACTGTATTTCGAGAAGGAATGCTTAGAGAGAGGAAAGTTTCGCAAAAAAGCGCAAAACCATATCTGCGCGTTTCTGGCGAACATATTTTATTGCATCTATGCGTTTCCAACAATTTGCTTTTTTGTTGTTATTTTAATATATAGTCTTCTGCCATAGAAGCATTGGACAATGGACAGGGATAAAGGTAGAAATAGGAGCGACAATAGGACAAGTTTCCGGGGGCATAAGTCATCGTCTTCCAGCAAACATCGCCAGAGTAATAATCGACACACCAAGAGCAGTCGGTCCTCGACCACTTCCGGAGAAAATAAGTCCCAAGAGAAAGAACGCACCTCTCGTCGATCGAAGATTCCCACACCTGGAGCCCATGCAACCGGTGCAGAAGACTCGAGATTAGTACGAAAGTCTGAGCTCAAGGGGAGCGGGCCAAGGCCACGCAGCTCATTCGAATCAGGCGACGACTTCAGCGATGCCAGCGATGGCTCCTTTGATCCAGTTGCTGTAGCGAACCAACGGACCGCGTATTACGCACAGCATCAACAGCAAGAACAATTACGAGCCCCTCGTTCGACAGACACTTTAAGGGGTGACCCAGAGGCACCATCACGTGGGGTTTCCAAAAAATCTAGTGCTGGCAGCACCATGTTGGTCCCACCAATTCACTCCATGCCATCGTCACCCTACGGTTCCAATGAGCCAAATAGCCCCCAAAGTTTTGTCATGATACCATCCGTTGGTGAGGATCAACAAACAGTCATGGCACACGAAGTTGTTCCTTTAGGTTTTGAAGGTTCGAACATCCGTCAACTGGACGGTAGCAAAAATGTTGCCACCATGGATATCGAACGAATGGCCGAGGAGAATCGAGCCTTTCAAGCACGACTACAAGTTGAGAATGAAATAGAACGTCAAAGGTTGCTGGAAGAAAACAACAAGATCCAACGAGAAATACAAGAGAATTTTTTACGACAACAAGAAGAGCAAGAAGCGGCAAAAGCAGCAAAACGACGGAAGCAAGGGCAGTACATGAAAATACTCTTGTGCTTTCTGGTCTTGGCAGCAATTGGTGTCGGAGCCTACTTTGGTACACGATCCAGCTCGTCAGCTCCTTTGCCATCCCAAGTATCTGGAAATTCTGATGTGAGTCCGACTGACGTACCAGAGACACCCAGTGCTCCTTCTTCGTTGCCTACACTTGCATCCAATCCATCACCAGCAGTCACCAAGGCGCCCGCGGATACCTCTTCATACGATCCACCAAATGCACAAGAGTGCGCAAATATGGAAATGGGATTACCTCGTAGTTTGAATGCGGATGACTACCTGAATACTCGACAATTTGATGTCATTTTCAGTTCTAAAGTGTCCCCTGCTGTTTCCTCATCATCGTCGGTGAGTGCTTCCTTGCTTTCGGTATTGGAGCAAGAAATGGAACGATTGCTTCGACCCGAATTGGTAGGATGTTCAACGATCGAAAGACGCAAGCTGCTTGACGGGAATCGTCAACTGAGTGACTTCGATTTTGTGATATATGACTTGGAGGTGTCATTGGCACAAGACACAGAGAGCACCTGTACTACGTTGATAGATGACCAAAGTACTCAGCCCTGCCATGTTCTTGTTGCATCCATGAATGTTTGGTTGCAGGGAGACGAACCCAATCTTTTGATTCGAGGACACATTTCCGAAGTCTTGAATCGTTTGGATCTCCCGGTGAAATTGGAGTTGGAGGGACAATTCGACACTATTATTGTGGAATACGTTCGCGACCAACTTCGAGCACCTGATGTTTTTCCTACGGAAAGTCCGTCTCCAGATCCAACGCCCTCGCCAGTGGAAGGGCCTTCTGATGCGTCCGACCCAACCATATCGCAATCTATTTCCCCAACGACAGCTCCTGTCACAGGACCTAGCGGTACGCCACCGCCCATCTCGGAACCCACTCCCGAACCAACTCCAGGGCCTACTCCAGTACAAAAACCACAACCTACTCCAGGGTCCACTCCTGGACCTACTCCGGTACCAATGCCTCCTCCGACTCCCTTTCCGACGCCAAGACCGACGCCTCCACCACCTCCTCCACAAACGGATGCTCCTGAGAATACGGGCAGCTGTGATCTCTCGGAACATTTCAGGGATGGCTTTTATTACGAGTTCGGTGGTGGGAACAACCCGAAATTTACCGTGGACTGTTCCATGTTTACTGGTACCAGAGGTCTTGCACTGATCGTGGACGAAAGCACCTGCAATTTCAATTGTGTGGGTCGGTTGAAACCTTCTGACGCCGCTCGGTATTGCAATAACCAACCACCAGGGACGACTGTTGATCTTTTGGTCGGCGTAGACAGTACGGGATCCAAAATCTATTTGGGTACAGATGCCTATGGGAAAGAACAGCAATCCTTGGACTGCGACCCACCAATGATACCATCGTAGTAGCTACTAGACTACTTGAATGAATGAATGAATGAATGCATCAATCGATCCAATGAATCGATCAAGGTGACATCCTTTCAGCGGGGCTTCAAGTTATGGTTGCCAATCAATATCTAGAAATGGACGATCAATAACTAAACTGACTTATTTGATTCTGACCATGGCCGACTTTACATACAAAAATCGCTACAGCACCATCTTGTTACAGTTTGTGGAATTTGTTCGTCTTTCACTTTCCAGAAGTAGGTCGAAGAAGTCGAACTGGGAGGGAATTTGGAATCGCTTCAACCTACTTTCCTCAACATAGTGCGTACCTACGTAAATGTTGTTGTACAGCAGCACGGGTTGCGGCACGACGACGATGGCAACGTTGACGTTGTGGAAAAAGTTTGACCGCATACATCAAACGATATTTCTACACGGAAATAATGTCTTGGAAGGCAGGATTATCACGGTATTTGCCAGCAGTGCGATTCTTCGCGTGTCCAAAGAGTCCTGCTTCCAATGGAGTACGGTACGTTGGTTTTGTTCCATTCGAGAAGAATGATCTGATCTGATTGTTGGCTGCTTTCAAAACAACGGGCTTTGTGTTTGCTTTTTGACTGACTTGAATGCAATTCATGCAATTCAATCTAGTTGAATCCAATGTATAATATTACGATTCCGTATGTTCCATCATTCTGACAATCTGCCTGTCTTTCTACTTTATAGAAACTGGTACCTTGCCAACTATGATGAATTGAAGCACTTGAACCCCAATCTTCCATTGTTGCTGCGAACTGCGGACAACGCCATGCCTGCAGTCACTACGGAACTAGACTGGACCATGGATCATTTGCTTCGATTCATGATCCAAACTGGCCGATTCCGCAATGCCAATGGAACCATTGCGGACGATCGCGTGGAAGCAGCCAAGGCCTACCTGGAAACCGATTGGGATGCCTTTGCCGCATCTCGACTGGCGCACAAAGGATTCGATCCAGAAAGACCAAACATTGATGCTATTCACCCCAATTGGAAGGAAGATGCTGCAATTACTAGTAATCTGTCCACTTATCTAGCTATGAAGGAAGACATGGATGCCCAAATGGCAGTGATCCAAAGTGGGGCCAACCAAGAGTACACTCGTGCCGTCAACGCCTTGTTGATGGCCCAACGAGTCGACTTGTGGTGCGCTGGCGAGAAGGAAGTTGAGCTTGCTGTTCAACATTTGTACAAGCTAGGAAGATTGCTCAATGAACGAGAAACCTTCTTCCCAACCTTTGTGAAGGACTTTTACCCAGGAGCCGAAGATATCTAAAATACTAAGTATTACTTTAGCAAAACACCATTCATTCCATGCGTTGAAACACTTTATGTAAATGCCCTTCTAACAAACGATCATCTTGTCTTTCATACTAGCGGATAGTGTAGGATTATGTTGGCAGTGCTGCTACCTGCTACTATTATTAGTACTAGTCGGAGGTAGCAAATGTAAAATACCGCACGTTTGATTATCGATTATGTATTTGCCAATCATGTCGAAGATATACCCAAATATCAGCATTGACTTTCTCATGTAGTACCACATGCCAGTACAGGTAGTGCAGTAATCATCTCGTCTTTTAAGTTCCAAGCCAGAAGAAGATCCGATCGTGACTCAAGGAGTCCCGAATACCCACTCCGACCAGAACCGATCCGAGTGAGGTCGGAAGAAAGTGCAAAATCGAAAGATATCGGCATCTGTTGCCATAATCTGTTGGGAAGCGTCAAATACATCATTCGCTCGCCAATTCCCATAGCATCCATTCTCATCTTACCTCATATTATTAACTCCAACAAATCTACAAGATCAACATGACTACAGAATCAGCACCCAAGTGCGTTATTGACGACGTAATTCTCAACCCCGAGACCTTGAAAGATATGGAAAACATTGCACTTTCCTTCTTCGCCTCGGCCTGTGGAAGGAACCGTGGAGCCTTTGTGTTGCATCCGCCAGATGGCCAAACGTACAGTTGGTAAGAAGATTACATGCGTAGTATGCATGTGTGAGGCTGAGCAGTAGTGACGTTCCGAGTAAAATGACTCACTCATCTAAACTCTCTTTTCCCCCTTCTTCTCTAGCCTCCAACTCCCTGAGAACATTGTCGATCTTTCTGGTGCCGAATCCGTCGACGACAGCGTCAAGATTACAACTTCCAACGACATTCAAAACCAGTACATTGGTGGAAATATTACGGCTTCGGATACCTTGAGTATGCTCAACTTTTTGATTGACAGTGTCTATCAATCGACCCCAGAAGTGGAAGCGACTCCTTTTGCCTGTGAATTCAATGGTCTGGCCAAATTGGAATGCGGCAAGGAGAACATGAAATCCTCCGTATTGCTTGCCAGTGGTGAACCCATTCGATCTGCCACCTTGGCAGGGCTTTTCGTGCCAGCTCCATGGGCCACGGGAGGCAAGACTTTGACATTGAAGCAAGCCGAAAAGTTCTACACCGAGAAGGATTTCATGGATATGAAATCGGCTGGATTGAATACCGTGCAAATTGCGGTTCCTACTGCTGCCTTTGATCCAAAGGATGAACTTGGTCAACCAATCATGAGTTTGCTCGAAACCATTTTGAAAAACGTCAGCGACGCCGGTCTGGTGGCCATTCTCAACATTGTCAGCACGGGTGACGAATTGGACAAGGTCGTCGCAGCGGCTACCTTTTGTGATCAAACCGAAGGAGTCTTGGCCATGACGATTCCCTCGGAAACCATGCTGGATCCAAAGAGTGTCGTCGATTCCATTCGAGTTCTGGCTCCCGACTTTCCCATCTTTTTGCCAGTGAGTCAAGCGGATCTGACCAACCTGCCCGCATGGACCCTGAACGACAAGAATCTATTTGGAGCATTGGAAACCTCCCATATGGGAACCGTAGCCGACATTGCCTCGTCGACTTCCAAAGAGGACCGATCCAAAATGTTCTATCACGAAGCCACCACGTGCATGGCTCGGTCGACCATGGAATTTGCCTCTTGCTTTGGAAACCTACCTCTATTTTTGTCATCTGGATTTGACTTGAGTATTGACGACTGCGTCAATTATTCGTTGCCAGGATTTGCTGACTATGGACAATGCGATCGGTTCGACGAGACCACTGATTCTCCCTTTTGGGAAAGACATCGCATGAGCTTTGCGGCTCGTCAAGTCTTTGCCTACGAACAAGGGATGGGGTGGTCCTTTGCCGCCTGGAAACTTTATGACAATGACGAGGTCGGAACTTTGGATAAGGTCGAAAAATTGATGGCGCTACAAGATGTCATGGGAGCAGGCCTCTTTCCCGAGCTGGATGGCCCAACCGTTGCCACGGAAGCTTGCTTGAATCCTCCAAAGGTTGACTTCATCTTGGGGGACGATACCCTGGCACCTTCGATGGGGCCACCGCCGGATTGTGGAAATGGATGGTGGAACTATGAAACGAGTCAATGCGACTACTGGATCCCACCAACCCCTGCTCCCACGGAAGGTTGTCCGGAATGTGTTGCGACGACTCCAGCAAATGCTACTGGAGCTGCCTTGATTGGAGCCCTCCTTGGTGGTGCAGTGGTTGGAGGAATTGTTTGGAAGCTGTTGGGCAACAAACGAAATGACTATGATACTATTCCAAACTAACGGCCAACTGGGCAAGATTCTTACATCAAAATTATTTCAATTATATCTAAGAATGAAATAGCATGACATGCTCCTTGACAAAAATGTAGTTTCGCATACCGGGTTATGCCTCACCGTGAAAGGGATCGTTCCATTGGGGCTGGTTCTGGGAGTGCCACTGCTTTTGATGATACTGGCTGTGGTTCTACCTCTTCTTTCGACTCCCCAATTAACTTGAGCCCATCCTTGGGGAGCGGACTCATTGCTGAAAGACTGATTTTTTTCTCCACAGCCAACGGCGATGGAGTGACAATGTCTCCAGCAAAGTTCACCATCGGTTTGGTTTTAAACTTGGGAGTCATTCTTACTGGTGAACTTTCTCCAACCCAATACGTGATCATATTGCCCTTGCCTTTCACAGCGACCTTGCCCCTCCTCCGCAATGGTAAATCAGGAGCTTGTTCGTGCAAAATCTTGGCCGCAGGCTCGGAGCATTGAATCCTGTCACTCAGGGACAAAGACTCCATCCTGGATGCTGTATTCACCGTGTCTCCGAAGAGCCCATACCTCGGATTCAACGACCCAATCACATTACTGACTACTGATCCAGAATGAAAACCAACACGAATGTGGACATAACCTCCATTAGGATCATCTTCGTCGATCAAGACCTTGTTCGCGGCCTCGACTGCGTCAATCGCAAACCTGGCAATACGTGTTACATGGGTCTCGTTCTGATCGTTTTCCACTATGCAGTGTAGACCAAGGAAGAGAAGAGGAGATATAGTGTGAGAACAAGGTACAATGACGGAATGCTTCATGGCAAGGATACTTACGGTTTGTCACTCCCATCCAAGCATCACCTATCGTCTCAACCTTGAACACGTCGTGTTTAGTCGCCAAAGCATCAAATGCAACATACAAGCGATCTAGCAAGTCGCAGACCTTCACTGCAGATAGTCGCCTTGAGATATCAGTGAATCGGATAATGTCACTGAAGAAGATGGTCACATTATTATGTGTTTCCCTGTAATGAAGAAGAGACAACCGATATTTTGAGAATCTATTTGATATGGACGAGAATGGACTGAATCCATTACAAGACTTACGGTTCGACCTTTTGCCCCGCCTTGAGCTTGTCAGCAACGGCTCTAGGGAAGACCTTGTACAACATGTCTCCCGTCGCCACTTGTGTCCTTACACGCTTTGTCTTTTTCGTGTCAGCAAGTGGTTCAGTGTCCCTAGCAGTCATTTCGTTGAAGATCATGTCAAGATCCTTCGCGTCTGGACGAAAGACAGGGTCGCTACTCCAGCACTTTTTCATGAGCTCTGACATTCGTTTGGGACATGTAGATGGCACAGCAGGTCTATGATTAATCCGTGGATCACAAACCTTGCGAAGAACGGATCGTGGGTTCTCCCCGGCATAAGGGTTGTTTCTGCTATAGATCTCGTACAAGATGATACCTTCATTAAAATTGGAATAGAGCGAAAAACACAGTTAGCCAATCTGGTCTTGAATTAGGCCATTTGACATTTCGATGTTTTCGTACTTACCAAAGGAGTAAATGTCACAGTGAATATTGTAGTCTGTCTTTTGCAAGAGGTATTCCGGAGCCAGCCTATATTTGAACAAATCGATATAAAAGTGAGGCAATACTATTCGAAGATGACACATGAAAGGTAGATGAAACGATTGAAACGTACCAGAATGGAGTGCCAGATAGTCCGCGATTGTTCTTCAACGCAAGGCCGAAGTCACCAACCTTCGCCCGGAACCTAGAGTCAATCAAGATGTTTTTCGCCTTGAGATCTCCGTGAAGAATAGGGGGCTTAGACGCATGCAAGAAGCGCAGGCCCTGGGCGACGTCGCGGATAATCTGGAGGATGATTTCTCCTCCAGTATATAGCGTTTCGTTACGCAAAAGGTCGTACAGAGAACCATTCTCCATGTATTCCATGACCATCATCGGTTCGTATCCGTTCATGACTGCTCCCATAACAGTGGTGATGCCTAAATTGGATTCAATTGAAATCAACAAATGTTAGTTTTTCATGGCTGCTTGAATCCCCAAGGAGAAGGAGACGGTCGGTAATAGTACTTACACGGATGACGAAGTCTGGACAAAAGTCTCATTTCTTCTTTGAATTCTTTCTGTTTTTGACTTCTGTCGTCACACCATGGAAAGAATCCTCTATATGAACTCGAAGCTGCAGACGCTGTGCCGAGTATACTCATGTTGTATGCAGATACATCCTGAGAGCCAAAGAGCTTTCGCCTAATCGCGGACTGCTTGCGAGTGCGTTGGCCAAGTCCAACGAGGAAACCCAGCTTCGAGTCAGCTGAGCGTGATGTAGTTGCAAGACTGCCGCGTTTGACCCCGAACGATTCCAAGCGTGCTTCGATATCTTGTGATTGGTTGGCATCATTAGATTCGTATTCTTCTCCTACTTCCCCAGACTTGTCGTCCGTAGAGTCTTCGTCGACCTCCTTAGATGTAGCAGAAGATGCTAGCGATGTCGATCCGGACATCTTGGATTTCTCCTTCTCCTTGATCGGCAGTACTCGTTTTATAGCCACGTTTGTACCGCGATACTCGGCTAGTAGCACAACTCCAAATGCACCTTGTCCAATTACTTCAACAGGATGGCTGAAGTGCAATTCATCGACATTGACCTTCCATACCTCATCACTCTTCTCTCTTCGGTAGTTCAGGAATCGCCATAGCACTAGTATCAACAGGAAACCACAAGCACCTGCTACGATACCTGCAAAAGTTCCGTCCGCCATACATTTGCCATTGATTAGCCTGGCGTTGTTCGAACAGACGCATACACCATTTTCATTCTGCAGTATCAAATGTTAGTCCTAGAGAACATTCATGACAACACCATAAGCTTCAATGAACTTACGGCAACCATTTGATTCTCGAAGCAAACGCGTTCAATCACTTCGACTCTCCACGGCGACTCAGGAGCTTGAACACCATCGACAGCGATTTCTAGAATCGCAACCCCTCGCTGGTTCAGTGAGAACACGAAATCATACGCATGATCTTCACCCGGCGTTGGTGTTACTTTCAAAGCATTAGTTTCTTGACCAAAATGTATTAATGCTGTGACATTTGCGTTGTCTCTGTCCAGGTTATCATGAATGTGAAATTGCAACTGTTCTCCCTGTTCTACAGAGCCACACAGCGACATCTGCAATAGGTGTTTCGTATTAGATCGCCCTAGTCTTCGTCTAGCAATACGGAACTAACAGGCTAGACGACTTTACGCACCTTCTCGCAACCGCCCAAGTCGAGTAGATCGGAATCAAGCAGAATGCCCGCCTTCTTATCAAACTCAAAAAGATCCACCTCAAAGGCCCTGATGCAAGGCTTGCAATAGCAGGAGTACCCTTTCTCTGTTGGGCAGGATAGGCCTCGACGTTCACATCGAAGATCGAACAAGTCCTCGGGAACCTTGTAATGGCCCTCTGGACATTTCACGGCTTGGTACAACGACGTCTCGCGAGGACACTGCCATTCACCTATACCGACAAAGATCACCACCAAAACAATCTCAAGAGTGAGTACGTGGTCATCGAATATAGCCCAGCTCAGTCTGTCACAAAGCAACTCAGTGATTCCCTTACCAATATTGTTCTGTTCCACAAATCCAATATCCTGTACGATCGTTCTCAGCTCAAAGTGAGACCTTGCTGGACGGAAGCCGCTGTGACGACCTGCCAGGCCCGCTTGATATGCTAGCTCTGCCATCTCTCGAGTAGTATCACAGCGGGCTTCTTTTACAAAATCTGAAGGTGACATGGTATTGCACAAGTCGGTCTCTGATTTGGTGGCGGCGGCATCCAAACATTCATGAAATGATCGACCCACAAGGTTGTGATAGTGAAAGTTGATGAGAGCAGCCGAGACTTCCTCTGCAACTACTCGATCGAGGTCTTCCTTGGCAAACAGCGGCCACTCCGGAACGACAGGCGTCGAGTGAAGGTACGGAAAGAGTTCACCATCATCCATAATGTAGATTCTAGGAGACACGACCTTGAAAAGCTCTGGATCGATTAACTCCCCAGTTTCAAGATCGGTGGTCTGTTCGACCGCTCCCGTTCGAACGAAACCGACATCCCAGCTCCCATCGAGAACACCTCTCACGACATCTTCTTGGCTATCTGCGTGATTCGGAGCGAACAAGGCAAGGTGAGAGGGTAGCATCATTCCGCGTATGTAACGATACGAGGCTTACTTGTGAATGTAACTTGCTCAGGATCCATGATGTAATCCAATCCGTTCTTCATCATTACCCAAAATTGAGACTGGCCACCAGCAAATTCAGAAATCTTGACGGCGGCGATTCGTTTGTTCTTCAGATTTTCAATGCTATTGATGTCTCTGTTGTCTGCAGCGACAAGCATGGTTCCACCGAGGACATCAAGATCATAATATCGTCCTCTAACCTTGGTGCGTGACAATGTGGTTCCAAGAGGCTGAGCTCCAATCTCGGTACCAGTGCACGAGAAGAAGCCAGAGTCAGCATACATCATATCAACATCTTGATCTTGGTCGATCCACGCAGTCAAAGGATCGCGTGTAGGTACCATCTTGAACTCGATAGGAGGATCCCAGCGTTTTCCAACTGCCTCGTTGAGGTAGGTCTCGAAAGTAAGGTTGAACTCTTGGACGGTAGTCTCGATGCTATCATGGGCATAGATGCCGATGTGGTAGACCTTCTTTTGTGTGAGCTCGTTGAATCGACGATACCCTTGAGCGCAGTCAAGCTCTCCAGTAGGCCACTGCGCAAGTTCCGACATACTGGTATTATATGCGCCTTCTTCTTGGACTTGAGGAGCACTGTCCCAGCCAACTTGAGGTGTGCTTTCGTTGAGCGGTGTAAGCACACCTAGGGGGGGCGCAAGCGTATCATTGTAAAGAGCAACTGCTTGGCTGACGGAAACCATTAGCACCACGAAAGTGCAGGCAATGGGTCCCCATTGTATTGATTTTTTCATTTTTGCTGTAATTTTCGTGTGAGACTATGATTTGTGGAACTTTCTTGGTTTCACATTATTACGTTTCGGAGTGATAATACGCCCTTGCGAACGTGGCGACGTAAAGCTTTATATTATATATTAGTGGACATATTATACATTTAGCCTTCTGCGTATATGTCCGCTGCATATTTAGGATCAAGTGGAATCGAGGTAATAGAACCGCCGCTATATTTCTGCAGAGTAACTTTGTGCACAGCGAACGCATATATGTCACCGGCGTTTGATGCTAATTTAAAATTCTTGTTCAGCAGACAAGACGTATTATTTACATTATCGGATCCATGGAAATACGAAGTCAACACACACACTTAGATTACAAATACTTTATCACGCATCCAATTCCACTTTAATGTGAGGCAACGCTATTCGAGGATGACACATGACAGCTAGATATGAGACGATTGAAACGTACAGAAAGGAGTGCCAAATAGTCCACTATTGTTCTTCAACGCAAGACCGAAATCAATCACCAACCTTTGCCCGGAACCTAGAGTCAATCAAGAGTTTCTTCGCCTTGAGATCTCCATGAAGAATAGGCGGTCCCCAAGCATGCAAGAAGCGAAGACCTTGGGCGACGTCACGGACAATGTAGAGAATGATTTCTCCTCACATAACAGTGGTGATGCCTGTATTGAATTCAATTGAAATCAACAAATGTGAGTTTGGGGTTTTTCATGGCTGCTTGAATGAATCAATCGACAAGAAGGAGACGATCGATCATATTACTTTCATGGATGGCGAAGCCTGGAAAAAAGTCTCATTTCTTCTTTGAACTCCCGTCTGCCTCTGAAGTGTCGCATCACACCACGAAAAGACTTTGGAAACAGTGCCAAATACGTTCATGTTGTATGAAGATGTCTCTTGATACACAAAGAGCATTCGGCTAATCGTGGACTGCTTGCGGTGTCGTTGGCCTAGTCCAACAAGGAACCCCAGTGCCCGTTGTACTCGTTGCAAGTCAACCTCGTTTGACCCCAAATGACTCCAAAGGCGCTTCAAGATCTTTTGAAGGGTCGACATCATACGATTCTTGTTCTTCTGCTCTCTTGTCGTCGGCAGAATCTTCGTCAACCTCGTTGGATGTACCAGCCATCGATCACAGTTGCATTAGCCCGGTCCAAGATATCGTGTACGTGCAATTTCAACTGTTTTCCCTGTTCCACTTCCACATATAGAGACATCTGAAAAGAGTATTCGCATTAGATTAGCTTGCTCCGTCCAGTGAAACGCGAAACAATAGGCACTATCTGTAAGCACCTTGTCACACCCAAGTTGCGCGGCATCTGTCATAGTCTCTTTCTCTTCATCCAATTGAAAGAAAGGTCCACCTCAAATGCCTTCATAGAAGGCTTGCAATTGCACTAGTTCCCCTTCTCTTTTGGGCACGATAGGCCTTTAAAAGTGCGCATTGAGTATCAAACTGTTCCTCGAGAACCTTTTATATTGTAATGGCCCTCGTCTGGACATTTAATGGCGTCATACAACGTCGTTACACGGGGGCATTGATCTTGTTAAATATAACATCCACAATCAACACATATAACCTTCAACGGACTTACGGCAACCATCTGGTTCTCGAAGCAATCGCGTTCGATCACAACACTTCTCCATGGTATGACTCCGGAACTTGATCGCCATTATATTGTCAGCGATTTCGAGAATTGTAACCTCACATTGGTTCGGTGAAAAAAATTGAAAAGTATATGCATGGTCTTCATTCGGTGTCGCTGTGACTGTCAACGACCTTGTTTCTTGGCCAACAGGTATATACCAATGCTGTCAATACAGTTGCATTGTATCTCGGTCCAAAATTATCCTGTATGTGGAATTTCAACTGTCCTGTCTGTTCCACAGAGCCACACAGCGACATCTGAGAAAATAATTCGGGTTAGACTATATAGAGGCTGCGGTCTACGTAATATACGAGGACATAGAATACGACTCCACACACCTTGTCATAACCTTCCAAGTCGAGATGATTGGAGTCAGTAGTCCACCGTCCTCCTCATCGAATTGAAAGAGGACCACATCAAATGCCTTGACGCAAGGCTTTTGCAATAGTAGGAGTGTACCTTTTCTTTGTTGGGCAGAACCGTCCTCGACAGTCATATTGATGTTCAAACAAATTCTCTGGAATATTGTACCAGCCCTCGGGACATTTGATACAGCTTGATGTGTAACGACGACGGCACGCCAAAATGCCTATTCAGACAAAAAAGATCACAACGCGTGAGCAGTAGGTGCTGGGGAGTATATTCGATATATAGCTTGGCTTCAACCCAACGAATGATTTGCAATGATTCACTTACCATTATTGTTGTCCACTTCCACAAAACCAATGATGGATTGAGATATGAGACATGAACATATATATTATATATGACCTTCGGTTGAATTTTGAAATGAGCTGTTTTGATTGTCTAACGTAGACGCAAGCTCGAGAACGAATCATTGGATTCCTTTCATCATACTGACGACGGTCGAACGACCGTCTCAACATCATTGCTAATTGTGATACACATCTATCATAATGTTGGACAAAGCGCAATGCTGATTAGAGGTATTTTAATACAGCATAGCATGATTTTCAGTGCAACCTGATTCGCTGAACAGTGTAACACTGACTGGTCATCATGATCTAAATACTGCACCATGAACGTTTCGCTGTCTGTGCAAGAGTCAGTATTGATGAATATTGTCCGTGGTACAATAAGACACCAATCCATCTTTCTTAAGCTGTTCGGCATCAAACGAAGCAAGTGAATGCTGTGACACCAATTCAAACTAAAGGCAAAAGGAAAGATTATATAATAACGTCAAAATTATTTTCGAATGAATTACAGAAGGAAATCAATCCCCTTGAACAAAAACGTGGTTTCCCACATCGGATTAAGCCTCACCGTGAAAGAGATCGTCCAATGCGAATTGCATGGTATTCTGGGTGAGGCGATTCTTCCACGGGTGATTCAGAGTGGGGTTCTATCTCTTCCTTTGAATCATATTGTCTTGACGACCGAAACATTGCCTTGATTCCATGCTTTTGGACCGGCTTCATTGCCGAACGACTCACTTGATTTTCCACTGGCATTGGCGGTGGAGCCACAATGTCTCCGGCGAAATTCACCATTGGCTGGGTATTGAACTTCGGAGCAGTTCTTACTGGTGCACTTTCTCCCACCCAATACGTGACCATGTTGCCCTTGCCCTTTACTGCAACCTTGCCTCGCTTGCGCAATGGCATGTCTGGAGCTTGCTCTTGCAAAATCTTGGCTGCAGGCTCGGAACATTGGATCCTGTCGCTCACAGACAAAGACTCCATCCTGGATGCTGTATTCACTGTGTCTCCAAACAATCCATATCTAGGATTCAACGATCCAATCACATTACTCACTACGGGACCAGAATGGAAACCAACACGGATGTGGACATATCCAGCTTCGGGATCATCTTCGTCAATCATTACTTTGCTTGCAGCCTGAACGGCGTCGATCGCAAACTCGGCAATGCGCTTTGCGTGGGTTTCGTTCTGATCATTTTCCACTGTATGTACAATAATTCAGATCAAGAAAGAATTGAAGAAACAAATAGTGTGAGAAAAAGCTAGAATGACGAAAGTGTTGGTGCCGAGGATACTTACAATTTGTCACTCCCATCCAAGCATCGCCGATCGTCTCGACCTTGAACACATCGTGCTTAGTAGCCAGTGCATCAAACGCGAGATACAAACGATCCAACATGCCGCAGACCTTCACTGGAGTCAACGCTCGAGAGATATCGGTGAATCGGACGATATCACTAAAGAAGATAGTCACGTTATTGTGCGTTTCCCTGTAATCCCGAGAGATCAGAAAACATTGTGAGATATCTTTCCATGATCGCAAATGGATTGGTAAGACAGAGTAAGACTTACGGTTCGACCTTTTGTCCGGCCTTAAGTTTGTCAGCAACAGCCTTGGGGAAGACCTTGTACAACATGTCTCCCGTCGCCACTTGCGTTCTTACGCGAGTGGTGGGACTGGCATCGGCAAGTGGTTCGGTGTCGTTGGCAGTCATTTCGCCAAAGATCATATCAAGATCCTTCGCGTCTGGACGGAAGAGAGGATCGCTACTCCAGCACTTTTTCATGATCTCTGACATTCTCTTGGGACACGTAGACGGCACAGCGGGTCTGTGGTTGATACGCGGATCACAAACCTTGCGAAGAACGGAGCGAGGGTTCTCTCCTGAGTATGGGTTGTTTCTGCTGTAGATCTCATACAAGATGATACCGAAAGAGTAAATGTCACAGTGGCTGTTGTAGTCTGTTTTTCGCAGGATGTACTCTGGAGCCAGCCTATAATTGAACAATAACAATTACAAATTACATCCCGTGTGAGTGCATATTCATCATTGACATGATAGCTGACGACAGCATTAAGAGAGAAGTGACTGATCGAAACATACCAGAAAGGAGTGCCAGACAAGCCGCGATTGTTCTTCAACGCAAGGCCGAAGTCACCAACCTTTGCCCGGAACCTAGAGTCAATCAAGATATTCTTTGCCTTGAGGTCTCCGTGAAGAATAGGCGGTCTCGACGCATGCAGGAAGCGAAGACCCTGAGCGACGTCGCGGACAATCTGGAGGATGATTTCTCCTCCAGTGTAGAGAGTCTCGTTACGCAAAAGGTCATACAGAGAACCGTTTTCCATGTACTCCATGACCATCATTGGCTCGTATCCGTTCATGACTGCTCCCATAACAGTGGTGATGCCTGTATTGAATTGAAGAGATCAATAATGTCAGTACCTGGTGTCTGCTTTGTTAGCGATGAAACGGAAATGTTTGATGACTTACATGGATGGCGAAGCCTGGACAAAAGTCTCATTTCTTCTTTGAACTCCGTCTGCCTCTGAGTTGTCGCATCACACCACGGAAATACTTTGGAAACGATTCCTCTATGGCTGCTCGAACCAGCAGACGCGGTGCCAAGTACATTCATGTTGTATGCAGATGTATCTTGAGAGCCGAAGAGCATTCGGCTAATCGTGGACTGCTTGCGGTGTCGTTGGCCAAGTCCAACAAGAAATCCCAACTTCGAGTTGTCTCCCGTGCCCGTTGTACTCGTTGCAAGACTACCTCGTTTGACCCCAAATGACTCCAAAGGCGCTTCAAGATCTTTTGAATGGTTGGCATCATACGATTCTTGTTCCTCTGCTGTTTCCCTAGACTTACTGTCTGCAGAATCTTCGACAACCTCGTTGGATCTACCTGCTATTCTTGATCCGGACATTTTTGTCGATCCGCCCTTCTTAATTGGCAGTACTCGCTTGATAGCGACATTCGTACCACGATACTCGGCAAGCAGTACAACCCCAAATGCACCTTGCCCAACCACTTCAGCCGGATGACTGAAGTGTAATTCATCTACGTTAACTTTCCATACTTCATCGCTCTTCTCTCTTCTGTAGTTCATGAATCTCCATAGCAAGAGTAGCAAGATCAAACCACAGGCACCTGCAATGATGCCTGCAAAAGTTCCGTCCGCCATGCATTTACCATCAATCAACTTGGAATTATTGGAACACACGCAAACTCCATTTTCGTTCTTCAAGTGGATTTGGAAAGCAGAGATTTCCCACATTAGATGGCATTCATGGTGGAAGCATAGATTTCAACGGATTGGACTTACAGCAACCATTTGGTTCTCAAAGCAAACCTTTTCGATCACTTCAACTCTCCATGGTGACTCCGGTACTTGAACGCCGTCCACACTGATTTCTAGAATTGCAACTCCGCGTTGGTTCTGTGAGAAGAAAAAATTGTATGCATGCAGTTCATCTGGAGTTTTTGTGACCGTCAAAGCCCGTGTTTCCTGTCCAAAATGTACCAATGCTGTCACAGTTGCATTAGCCCGGTCCAAGTTATCCTGTATGTGAAATTTCAGCTTTTTTCCCTGTTCCACCTCACCACATAAAGACATCTGAAAAGATTATTTCCATTAGATTACCTTGCTCTGTCCAGTGAAACGTGAAACAATAGACACCATCTTTACGAACCTTGTCACAACCGCCCAAGTTGCTCAGAGCGGCGTCGGTCATAGCCTCTTTTTCTTCATCCAATTGAAAGAGATCCACCTCAAATGCCTTAATACAAGGCTTGCAATAGCAAGAGTACCCTTTTTCTTTTGGGCACGATAGGCCTTTAAGTGCGCATTGAGTATCAAACTGGTCCTCGAGAACTTTGTAGTGGCCCTCTGGACATTTGATGGCGTCATACAACGTCGTTACACGGGGGCATTGCCAGTCACCTGTACAGGGCAAAAAGTCAACCGTAAGTAGTTGCTCGGTGGACATCGCCCAACTCTGCAATAAACACCCAGTAAATATCTTACCATTCTTGTTTTGTTCAACAAAACCAATGTCCTGGACGATCGTTCTTAGCTCAAAGTGAGACCTCGCTGAGCGGAAGCCGCTGTGACGACCTGCCAGTCCTGCTTGATATGTCAGCTCCGCCATCTCTCGAGTGGTATCGCAGCGTGCTTCTTTCACAAAATCTGAAGGTGACATGGTATTGCACACGTCTGTTTCTGCTGCGGTTTTGGCGGCATCCAAACACTCATGAATAGCTCGACCCACATTGTTGTGATAGTGAAAGTTGATGAGAGCTGCTGACACTTCCTCTGCGATTACTCGGTCGAGGTCTTGCTTGGCAAAGAGCGGCCACTCCGGAACGACAGGTGTCGAGTGCAGATACGGAAAGAGGTCGCCATCATCCATAATGTAGATCCTTGGAGACACGACCTTGAAAAGCTCTGGATCGAGCAGCTCTCCCGTTTCAAGATCGGTGGTCTGTTCGACTACTCCCGTTCGAACGAAGCCGACGTCCCAGCTCCCATCGAGAACACCTCTCACGACATCTTCTTGATTATCTGTATAGTCCAGAGCAAACAATGACAAGGTGAGAACCATGGAACGAAGCATTCGTTCGAAGAAACAAAAGACAACGGGTTTCTTGCTTACCTGTGAATGTAACTTGATCAGGATCCATGATGTAATCCAATCCGTTCTTCATCATTACCCAAAATTGAGACTGGCCACCAGCAAATTCAGAAATCTTGACAGCGGCGAGCCGTTTGTTCTTCAAATCTGCAATGTTATTGATCTGTCTGTTGTCTGCAGCAACAAGCATAGTTCCACCGAGGACATCAAGGTCATAATATCGTCCTCGGACCTTGGTGCGAGACAATGTGGTTCCAAGAGGCTGAGCTCCAATCTCGGTACCAGTACACGAGAAGAAGCCAGAGTCAGCATACATCATATCAACATCTTGTTCTTGGTCGATCCACGCAATCAAAGGATAGCGTGTAGGTACCATCTTGAACTCGATGGGAGGGTCCCAGCGTTTTCCAACTGCCTCGGTGAGATAGGTTTCGAAGGTAAGGTTGAACGCTTGGACGGTAGTCTCGATGTCATCGGGGGCATAGATACCGATATGGTAGACCTTCTTTTGTGTAAGCTCGTTGAATTGACGGTATCCTTGAGCGCAGTCGAGCTGTCCAGTAGGCCACTGTTTTTCAGGGTCTGAGATTCCGACATCGGGGATGTTCCCTTCTAGAGGTGCATTTGTAGTTCCATTGATGGGTACAATGGGCGCAGTTGTATCATTGTCAAGAGCAACTGCTTGGCTGATGGCTGCCATCAGCATCATTAGGGTGTAGGCAATTGGTGCCCATCTTATTGTTTGTTTCATCATAACGTAGTTGTTTTTGTGCGATATTTGAAAGTTTGAATGGCTTTTGTCTCGACATCGGTATTCATAATCGAGAACACTGATGGGATCTTCGCCCTCCTGTTCCTTGTGAATTCGGGGTTCGGTTTGGTTTGAAAGTGCTTAACGCACATTCGGGTTTGGACGAGCTTACGCGACGAACTAATTGTCAAACGTTCTCAGAATCAGGCTTCTTTTCGCACCGGTACTGATTCCTACATTAAATACATAGATAGATAAAATCTGAGCTTCACTACCGTACCGGGTACAGTACGTGTGCCGGTATCATTTCACGATTTGTGTCGCTTCGACATTTCTGCTGGTTCAATCAGACAAAATTCACCGTTTGTCATTCATTCGTTGCTCCCCCAAAGTTGAATTCTGATGCTGGGGAAACAAATTCATGAAACAATATTGAATATTGAAGCATCGACAGCATGTCATCAACACGTCATCAAATTTTTTGCCCATGTTGTATACCGGTAGATCACTACTCGCATTACTCTTTTTCAGTCTTACAGGACACTGCGCACTTGTTGCTGCGAAAATCACGAAAGACGAGCAGAAAGCTTTCGATCGGCTGGTCAAGGCTGTGATTAAAGAAGGAGGTTATGTTCATCCATCCATTGGAATCCTGTCGCCAGCACCATCTGGAGCCCCACGAGGCATTGGTATGGTCGAGAATGTGAAACCAAAAATCGAATCTGGTAAAGATATGCTGATGAAGGTTCCGTACTCTTATCAGATGACCCGAGATCTGGCAATGTCAACGCTCATGGACGTGATACCGCCAATGGTTCTGGTGGATGCACCATTGTTAGAGTTGGACGATTCAGCCTTGCTGGTGTTACTTCTGGCCCATGAATACGGTCTCGGCAAGAACTCAAAGTTCCATGCCTATACAGAATTTCTACCAAGCTGGCAAGACGAAGGTGGCGGATGCGGTTATGAAAACGTTCAAGATTTTCGTCAGTTGCCTGCAGGTATTGAACCTGAAGAGATTGAAATGGCTTTACAATATGCCACCCACGTGTCTCTTGGAATGTATGGTGATTATGGCGAATACTTGGCAAATGACGCTTGGCCCAGGGAATGGAAAGATGAACCTGCACTCGCCTTGCGATGGGCAATGTGTGTCGTCAGTTCTCGGGCAACCGCTGCCAATCGACGTGCTGGAGACAACAATTCGGGAACTGGTGTTCGCCTTATTCCATTGGTGGATCTTGCTAATCACCGCAAAGCTTCTAGTGGCTTTGTTGAACTGTCAGGAAGCGAGAGAATAGTTTATGACGATTTCATGGATGCCACCTCAGATGACACAGGTAGCTTTGTGGTGCGCTCGGCATGGAAATGCGGAACAACTCGAGTTGATTTGGAAAAGGGAGATGAAATCACAGTTAACTACAACTTGCCTGCGTATCAAGCTGTTGACTGGTTCTTAAGTCTTGGATTTCTGCCAGCTGAATTGAGTTCGAACACTATGAAAACCAACGATGAGCTATAGATGAACTTGCGCAATCAAGGAATAATCATGCATTGAATTCCAATCTATTGGATTTCTGCCAGCCGAATTGAGTTCGAACACTACGAAAGCCAACGATGAGCTATAGATGAACTTGCGCAATCAAGGAATAATCATGTATTGAATCCAACCTATTTGAGCACACAGCTCCGTTTGCTCTACAAAAATTGATTCAAAATATATCGGTACTAAATTGACTCGTTATAAGCACTAATGCCAAAATTCATCAATCCGGGTTCGTGCCTCATTGAGATATTGACCGTGCGAATGCGAATGAGGAAGCGAGAGCAGAAGAGCGATGTGCTTTTTCTTCTGGTGGTACTAGTTCAAGTTTTTCCTCTGACTCTTGGATTCTTGCCTTGAGCCCATGCTTTGGGACCGGATTCATTGCGGAACGACTCACTTGATTTTCCACTGGCATTGGCGGTGGAGTCACAATGTCTCCGGCGAAATTCACCATTGGGTGGGCGTTGTTGAACTTGGGAACCATTCTTACTGGTGAACTTTCTCCCACCCAATACGTGATCATATTGCCCTTACCCTTTACTGCAACCTTGCCTCGCTTGCGCAATGACATGTCTGGGGCTTGCTCTTGCAAAATCTTGGCTGCAGGCTCGGAACATTGAATCTTATCGCTCACAGACAAAGACTCCATCCTGGATGCTGTATTCACTGTGTCTCCAAACAATCCATATCTAGGATTCAACGATCCAATCACATTGCTGACAACAGGACCAGAATGGAAACCAACACGGATGTGGACATATCCAGCTTCGGGATCATCTTCGTCGATCATTACTTTGCTTGCAGCCTGAACGGCGTCGATCGCAAACTCGGCAATGCGCTTTGCGTGGGTTTCGTTCTGATCATTTTCCACTGTATGTACAATAATTCAGATCAAGAAAAAATTGAAGAAACAAATAGTGAGAGAAAGAGCTAGAATGACGAAAGTGTTGGTGCCGAGGATACTTACAATTTGTCACTCCCATCCAAGCATCGCCGATCGTCTCGACCTTGAACACATCGTGCTTAGTAGCCAGTGCATCAAACGCGAGATACAAACGATCCAACATGCCGCAGACCTTCACTGGAGTCAACGCTCGAGAGATATCGGTGAATCGGACGATATCACTAAAGAAGATAGTCACGTTATTGTGCGTTTCCCTGTAATCCCGAGAGATCAGAAAACATTGTGAGATATCTTTCCATGATCGCAAATGGATTGGTAAGACAGAGTAAGACTTACGGTTCGACCTTTTGTCCGGCCTTAAGTTTGTCAGCAACAGCCTTGGGGAAGACCTTGTACAACATGTCTCCCGTCGCCACTTGCGTTCTTACGCGAGTGGTGGGACTGGCATCGGCAAGTGGTTCGGTGTCGTTGGCAGTCATTTCGCCAAAGATCATATCAAGATCCTTCGCGTCTGGACGGAAGAGAGGATCGCTACTCCAGCACTTTTTCATGATCTCTGACATTCTCTTGGGACACGTAGACGGCACAGCGGGTCTGTGGTTGATACGCGGATCACAAACCTTGCGAAGAACGGAGCGAGGGTTCTCTCCTGAGTATGGGTTGTTTCTGCTGTAGATCTCATACAAGATGATACCGAAAGAGTAAATGTCACAGTGGCTGTTGTAGTCTGTTTTTCGCAGGATGTACTCTGGAGCCAGCCTATAATTGAACAATAACAATTACAAATTACATCCCGTGTGAGTGCATATTCATCATTGACATGATAGCTGACGACAGCATTAAGAGAGAAGTGACTGATCGAAACATACCAGAAAGGAGTGCCAGACAAGCCGCGATTGTTCTTCAACGCAAGGCCGAAGTCACCAACCTTTGCCCGGAACCTAGAGTCAATCAAGATATTCTTTGCCTTGAGGTCTCCGTGAAGAATAGGCGGTCTCGACGCATGCAGGAAGCGAAGACCCTGAGCGACGTCGCGGACAATCTGGAGGATGATTTCTCCTCCAGTGTAGAGAGTCTCGTTACGCAAAAGGTCATACAGAGAACCGTTTTCCATGTACTCCATGACCATCATTGGCTCGTATCCGTTCATGACTGCTCCCATAACAGTGGTGATGCCTGTATTGAATTGAAGAGATCAATAATGTCAGTACCTGGTGTCTGCTTTGTTAGCGATGAAACGGAAATGTTTGATGACTTACATGGATGGCGAAGCCTGGACAAAAGTCTCATTTCTTCTTTGAACTCCGTCTGCCTCTGAGTTGTCGCATCACACCACGGAAAGACTTTGGAAACGATTCCTCGATGGCTGCTCGAACCAGCAGACGCGGTGCCAAGTACGTTCATGTTGTATGCAGATGTCTCTTGAGAGCCGAAGAGCATTCGGCTAATCGTGGACTGTTTGCGGTGTCGTTGGCCAAGTCCAACAAGAAATCCCAACTTCGAGTTGTCTCCCGTGCCCGTTGTACTAGTTGCAAGACTACCTCGTTTGACCCCAAATGATTCCAAAGGCGCTTCAAGATCTTGTGAATGGTTGGCATCATACGATTCTTGTTCTTCTGCTCTTTTGTCGTCGGCAGAATCTTCTTCGACCTCGTTGGATGTAGCAGCCATCGACCCGGACATCCTGGATTTGCCCATCTTCTTAATTGGCAGTACTCGCTTGATAGCGACATTCGTACCACGATACTCGGCAAGCAGTACAACCCCAAATGCACCTTGTCCAACCACTTCAGCAGGATGGCTGAAGTGCAATTCATCTACGTTGACTTTCCATACTTCATCGCTCTTCTCTCGTCTGTAGTTCATGAATCTCCACAGCAAGAGCAGCAAGATGAAACCACAAGCACCTGCGATGATGGCTGCAAAAGTTCCGTCCGCCATGCATTTACCATTAATCAACTGGGAGTTATTGGAGCACACGCATAATCCATCTTCGTTCTGCAATTTGATTAGAAATGGTAAATCCAAAGCAAAAGATACTGTAGCATATATAGCGACTTACGGCAACCATTTGATTCTCAAAGCAAACCTTTTCAATCACTTCAACTCTCCATGGTGACTCAGGTACTTGAACGCCATCGACAGCGATTTCGAGAATTGCAACTCCACGTTGGTTCTGCGAAAAAATGAAATCATAGGCATGATCTTCATCTGGTGTCGTTGTGACCGTCAAAGCCCGTGTTTCCTGTCCAAAATGTACTAATGCTGTCAATGTGGCATTGTCTCTATCCAAGTTATCATGAACGTGAAAATCCAGCTGTTCTCCCTGTTCCACTTCCCCACATAAAGACATCTGCAGAAGATTGCACTAGGATGAGAATACCAGTTTTGTCAATTGCAACGCGAAACAATAGGCAATATTTCATTACACACTTTGTCACAGCCTCCCAAAACGACGAGATCGGAATCCAGCCTGCCGTCGGTTTCCTTATCAAATTGGAATAGATCGACTTCAAATGCTTTGATACAAGGCTTGCAATAGCAAGAGTACCCCTTGTCTTTGGGGCAAGATAGGCCTTTAAGCTCACATTGATGATCAAACATATCCTCTGGAACTTTGTAGTGATTCTCTGGGCATTTGATGGCGTCATACAATGTCGTCACGCGAGGGCACTGCCAATCTCCTATAACACAGCGTGAGTAGGAAAGCGATGAAGTAATACTCAGTCGTGTCATGCACGTACCGTTCTTGTTTTGTTCAACAAAACCAATGTCCTGGACGATCGTTCTTAGCTCAAAGTGAGACCTTGCTGAACGAAAGCCGCTGTGACGACCTGCCAGTCCTGCTTGATATGTCAACTCTGCCATCTCTCGAGTGGTATCGCAGCGTGCTTCTTTCACAAAATCTGAAGGTGACATGGTATTGCACAAGTCGATTTCCGTTGGGGAGATGGCGGCATCCAAACACTCATGAATAGCTCGACCCACATTGTTGTGATAGTGAAAGTTGATGAGAGCTGCTGACACTTCCTCTGCGATTACTCGGTCGAGGTCTTGCTTGGCAAAGAGCGGCCACTCCGGAACGACAGGTGTCGAGTGCAGATACGGAAAGAGGTCGCCATCATCCATAATGTAGATCCTTGGAGACACGACCTTGAAAAGCTCTGGATCGAGCAGCTCTCCCGTTTCAAGATCGGTGGTCTGTTCGACTACTCCCGTTCGAACGAAGCCGACGTCCCAGCTCCCATCGAGAACACCTCTCACGACATCTTCTTGATTATCTGTATAGTCCAGAGCAAACAATGACAAGGTGAGAACCATGGAACGAAGCATTCGTTCGAAGAAACAAAAGACAACGGGTTTCTTGCTTACCTGTGAATGTAACTTGATCAGGATCCATGATGTAATCCAATCCGTTCTTCATCATTACCCAAAATTGAGACTGGCCACCAGCAAATTCAGAAATCTTGACAGCGGCGAGCCGTTTGTTCTTCAAATCTGCAATGTTATTGATCTGTCTGTTGTCTGCAGCAACAAGCATAGTTCCACCGAGGACATCAAGGTCATAATATCGTCCTCGGACCTTGGTGCGAGACAATGTGGTTCCAAGAGGCTGAGCTCCAATCTCGGTACCAGTACACGAGAAGAAGCCAGAGTCAGCATACATCATATCCACGTCTTGATCTTGGTCGATCCACGCAATCAAAGGATAGCGTGTAGGTACCATCTTGAACTCGATGGGAGGGTCCCAGCGTTTTCCAACTGCTTCGGTGAGATAGGTTTCGAAGGTAAGGTTGAACGCTTGGACTGTAGTCTCGATGTCATCTGGTGCATAGATACCGATATGGTAGACCTTCTTTTGTGTAAGCTCGTTGAATTGACGGTAGCCTTGAGCGCAGTCGAGCTGCCCAGTAGCATTATAGAGCGCAAATACTTGACTGATTGATGTCATCAGCACTACCAGGGTGTAGGTAGTGGGTGCCCACGCTGTTGCGTTTATTTTTTGCTTCATCGTTGTTGTAGTTTTCGACGTAAATAGATTTTGTGTCTTCTGCTTTGTTTGCAATCATCGAAAATCAATCTCTCCGCTCAGGAGGGGTTCGGTTTGAATTGAATTGCATTAAATATTCTTGCATCAAGAACAGAACGCTTCTTTGTGACTTTCTTACCAGCAGGCTTCGGTTTGGTCGGAAAGTCAAAAGGACCATTGCGTTTCATCGAATATCATTGCGTGTACCATCGAATATCATTGCGTACCCATCTCTATACGTTGAATACGTGCATGTAGATATCACTATTTTGAATTCATATTCTTCGCGTTGAAGTTCGTGATTGATGCTCTAAAGAAAAACGTGATAATACTGGTATGAACCATTAAATGCCTGATGACAGAATAATCGGCACAGGCACATATCGGATAAATGGGGTTTGCAAATCATCTCACGACTACCAGCTTCTACGTACACGTACGTGTACATGTCGTCAGCTGGAACCAAATCCGGGCTATTTTCTTTCAAAAAGCAAATCAGAATATATGAGGGGAGAGTTTCAGGGGATATGAGAGACTTGCCAAACAGCAGTGCTTAATAATAATCAGGCAGATCCAGTTCTACCGGTAGATTGGATGGTCTTGGATCATCAAATATAAAGAATAAGCAAACTAGAAACATTCCATACCAGCCACTTGCAATCTGATCCGCAAACCTGCTTTTCCAGAATGGACGCAACCTAACCAAACCACTGCAGCTCCAGTTGAATAAGTTCTAGCCTTCCTAGAGAATGTGACAGTATATTGGCCAACCGGAATGACTAGGGCTACATGGTGATGGTAACAAATAACAGTAGAACGTATTGTTCAAGCTTCTAGCTAGATTCTCTATTGACTATAATTTTTGTCTTCAACAGTAGTATCCAGTTTGAGTGTCGTCTTGTCATTGTTTAAGTCAAGTCATTGTCTCCGCATTGGCGGAATCAAGTCCTCATTTGTTCTATTCTATTCTCTCGTCAGAATTTTTTTCACAAAGAGCTCTGCAAGCGTCTTTCTATACGATAGTAGACAGCTTCGTTCAAAACACTGACCTGGAAAAAAAATTGGTCACAACGGAGCCCAGTCGGGATTCTGCGTTTGTTGTTGTTTTTTAATCTTTCCCAACAAATGTTGATTATTGTGTCTTCGATCGTTGCATACACACGTAGTATATTTGCGATGAAATCGAGCCTTGCGTTCGCCCTTTATGTTTCTTCCCAAACAACAAGCCGATTGATGCTTCAGGTCCAGATAATCAGCAAATTGCACAGGCTAGTTGTCGCAAGCCTCAGAGAAGTGTATACTTCACTAGAATCGCAGCGATAATCTCAACTGGTAGATTTGACTGCTCTCTCATGCCTTGATTGACCTTTCAAGGATGATGTCGATTCAATCACAATATGATGCGATCAAGTTGTTAAAACCACTTTCAACAAGCGCGAAGTTGGGGGGTGGTTGCGCTTCTATCGATCCGTAGGACCTCTCGATCGATTGCATGTCTCTCACAACAAAAATCCTGACTCCGAATCCACAATGCTGGCGTATTGTCGCAGCTCGCGTGAAGCTGATGATCCATTCTCTGCTTGTTGTGCTGCTTGTTGCGCTGGAGTCTGCCGCTCTCGATTCAGGCGCCTGTCGTGTCGTCATCTTTATCTCACTAGGTCGCAACTGTTGTGGTGCTGCTTGTTTGTTTTGCGGTTCCTTGGCTTTTGTCTGCAAGCTTGAAGCTGATGTGATGTCGATGCAAAACAATGACACATATTACAAAATGCTTCAGACCATCAGTGCGCTCACGAAAAAAGAGCTAGCGACATATCCGGGTTAGAAGTGCTTTATTTCGATATTTTTTATTTTCAAAAACTAATGGTCTGCCCTCCGTCATATTCATTTCTCACGATATTTCATGAGGAAAGCTGCCGACGTAGAGGTGGTACGAAAAATACGGCGGTTTTCAAAAATACCCAACCCCATTTATGAAATATGAACCGAATTGGGAGAGAAAAATTGAATTACCACAACACAAGTGGGTGAATTCAATCTCAGTCGATAAACTGGGCATCATTGCCGCGGCGCATCGACAACAACTTTTGACGATGGAAGGCCGTTCGGCCTTCGTCCGTCTGTAACACAATGTAGTCAAAGAGATCGAACAGTGTGCCTACGGTCTACGTTGGATGAACTTATTAAAATTTTTATAAAAACAATATAAAAATATTACACATATTTTTTTTAAATAAAAAAATACTAAGAATTTTATGAAAACCTGGAAAAAATGATTCGTGGTGTCATTTTTTTTAAAAAGTGTTGCTGTCAAATGCACGTGACGCATTGATGAATTACTGGGAAAGCGAACGATTATAGTTGTGGCTTTTTGGCACCACATGGTCGATGATCTTTGGAGCAGTCTCGTGCATCTCTTGAGCGGGCTTCGCAATTGCTGAATACTGGGTCCATTGAAATACAAATGCGTTAGAGGTTGCTCGAATCATGTTTCCACTCCTCGTGTATGGACGCTGACATGTCGATTCCAACAGCGCATAATGATCTCACCTTGTTTGGTTTTTTGGGCTTCTGCCTTTCTGGTCTTAGAGCCAAGATTGTCGTTTCACCGAAATTCACCGCGTGATGTTCGTTGAATTTAGATCTCGACAACTCAGTTGCCGGCGGTGAAGTCACAGTGTCGCCTGCAAAATTCACCATTGGTTGGGCGTTGAATTCCGGGACCATTCTTATGGGTGAGCTTTCTCCAACCCAATAGGTGACCATATTGCCCTTGCCCTTTACTGCAACCTTGCCTCTCTTGCGCAATGGCATATCTGGAGCTTGCTCCTGTAGAAACTTGGCTGCCGCCTCAGAACATTGAATCTTGTCGCTCATTGACAAACTCTCCATCCTTGATGATGTGTTCACGGTATCTCCAAAGAGGCCGTACCTCGGATTCAACGATCCAATCACATTGCTGACAACAGGACCAGAATGGAAACCTACACGGATGTGGACATATCCAGCTTCGGGATCATCTTCGTCGATCAAAACCCGACCTGCAGCCTTGACAGCGTCGATGGCAAACTCGGCAATGCGCTTTGCATGAGTTTCGTTCTGATCATTTTCCACTGTACAGTACGAAAACGAGAAAAAGAAACCGAAACGAGTGTTAGAAATGGTAAACGTTAGGAGTTGGAGGCCAGAATACTCACAGTTTGTCACTCCCATCCAAGCATCGCCTATCGTCTCCACCTTGAACACGTCGTGTTTGGTAGCCAGTGCATCAAACGCAAGATACAAGCGATCCAACATGTTGCAGACCTTCACTGGAGACAGCGCTCGCGAGATATCAGTAAATCGGACGATATCACTGAAGAAAATGGTCACGTTATTGTGTGTTTCCCTTTAAAAGAAAGTACCACAGAATGAATGATCGTGAGATGCCATTTCATGTTCACAAATGGATTGGTAAAACAGAGTAAGACTTACGGTTCGACCTTTTGTCCTGCCTTGAGCTTGTCAGCGACAGCCTTGGGGAAAACCTTGTATAGCATGTCTCCAGTAGCCACTTCCGTCCTTATGCGCGCCATGGGATTGGCGTCAGCAAGTGGCTCGGTGTCGCTAGCACTCGCTTCACCAAAAATCATGTCAAGATCCTTCGCGTCTGGACGAAAGAGAGGGTCGCTACTCCAACACTTCTGCATGATGTCTGACATCTTCTTTGGGCAGGAAGATGGAACAGCGGGTCTATAGTTTAGGCGTGGATCGCACACCTTGCGAAGAACTGATCTAGGATCCTCCCCTGAGTATGGGGTGTTTCTGCTATAGATCTCGTACAAGATGATGCCTGTACCGAATAAAAGTGCATGTTAGAGAATTGCGTGCTGGTCCACATATGCGTTCATTTAGAAGGACTCACCGAACGAGTAAATGTCACAGTTGCTGTTGTAGTTTGTTTTTCGCAGGATGTACTCTGGAGCTAACCTATAATTGAACAATAACAATTGCTTGTGAGTACATATTCATCATTGACATGACAGCTGACGACAGCATTAAGAGAGAAGTGACTGATCGAAACGTACCAGAAAGGAGTGCCAGACAAGCCGCGATTGTTCTTCAACGCAAGGCCGAAGTCACCAACCTTTGCCCGGAATCTAGAGTCAATTAAGATATTTTTCGCCTTGAGGTCTCCATGAAGAATAGGCGGTTTCGACGCATGCAAGAAGCGAAGGCCCTGGGCTACGTCGCGAACAATCTGGAGGATGATTTCTCCTCCAGTGTACAGAGTCTCGTTTCGCAAAAGGTCGTACAAAGAACCGTTTTCCATGTACTCCATAACCATCATTGGCTCGTATCCGTTCATGACTGCTCCCATAACAGTGGTGATGCCTGTATTGAATTGAATTAATGCAACAAATGTCAGTCTTTCATGAATGCTTGAATCGATGAAAAGGAGACGATCGATACTATTACTTACATGGATGGCGGAGCCTGGACAAAAGTCTCATTTCTTCTTTGAACTCGTACTGCCTCTGAGTGGTATCATCGCACCATGGAAAAACCTTGGCCATGATGCCTCTATGAGTGCTCGAACCAGCAGACGCGGTGCCAAGTACGTTCATGTTGTATGCAGATGTCTCTTGAGAGCCGAAGAGCATTCGGCTAATCGTGGACTGTTTGCGGTGTCGTTGGCCAAGTCCAACAAGAAATCCCAACTTCGAGTTGTCTCCCGTGCCCGTTGTACTAGTTGCAAGACTACCTCGTTTGACCCCAAATGATTCCAAAGGCGCTTCAAGATCTTGTGAATGGTTGGCATCATACGATTCTTGTTCTTCTGCTCTTTTGTCGTCGGCAGAATCTTCTTCGACCTCGTTGGATGTAGCAGCCATCGACCCGGACGTCTTGGCTGATCCGCCCTTCTTCTTAATTGGCAGTACTCGCTTGATAGCGACATTCGTACCACGATACTCAGCAAGCAGTACAACCCCAAATGCACCTTGTCCAATTACTTCAGCAGGATGGCTGAAGTGCAATTCATCTACGTTGACTTTCCATACTTCATCGCTCTTCTCTCGTCTGTAGTTCATGAATCTCCATAGCAAGAGCAGCAAGATGAAACCACAAGCACCTGCGATGATGCCTGCAAAAGTCCCATCCGCCATGCATTTTCCGTTGATCAACTTAGAGTTATTGGAGCACACGCATAATCCATCTTCGTTCTGCAATATAATTTGATGAGAAATGAAACATTCGGAACTTTTAATGGCATAAGCGGCGAGAATAGAATGATCAATGGACTGGACTTACGGCAACCATTTGATTCTCAAAGCAAACCTTTTCAATCACTTCAACTCTCCATGGTGACTCAGGTACTTGAACGCCATCGACAGCGATTTCGAGAATTGCAACTCCACGTTGGTTCTGCGAAAAAATGAAATCATAGGCATGATCTTCATCTGGTGTCGTTGTGACCGTCAAAGCCCGTGTTTCCTGTCCAAAATGTACTAATGCTGTCAATGTGGCATTGTCTCTATCCAAGTTATCATGTACGTGAAAATCCAGCTGTTCTCCCTGTTCCACTTCCCCACATAAAGACATCTGGTAATATTTTTCGAATGAGAATATCATAGCATGTCTAGTACACCGGGAAGCAATATGAAGTGACTTTACGCACCTTGTCACAGCCGCCCAAGATGCTGAGATCGGAGTCCGGCACCCCCTCCTCCTTATCAAATTGGAATAGATCCACCTCAAATGCCTTGATGCAAGGCTTGCAAAAACAAGAATACCCTTTTTCTTTTGGGCACGATAGGCCTTTAAGCTCACATTGATGATCAAACATATCCTCTGGAACCTTATAATGACCCTCAGGACATTTGATAGCGTCATACAACGTCGTTACACGAGGACACTGCCAATCGCCTACACAGACAAAGGTAATCAAAAAGGAAAAGTCAAGCGTAAGTAGGTGCTCGGCGGACATCACCCAACTCTGCAATAAACACTCAGTGATTATCATACCATTCTTGTTTTGTTCAACAAAACCAATGTCCTGGACGATCGTTCTTAGCTCAAAGTGAGACCTTGCTGAACGAAAGCCGCTGTGACGACCTGCCAGTCCTGCTTGATATGCCAACTCTGCCATCTCTCGAGTGGTATCGCAGCGTGCTTCTTTCACAAAATCTGAAGGTGACATGGTATTGCACAAGTCGATTTCCGTTGGGGAGATGGCGGCATCCAAACACTCATGAATAGCTCGACCCACATTGTTGTGATAGTGAAAGTTGATGAGAGCTGCTGACACTTCCTCTGCGATTACTCGGTCGAGGTCTTGCTTGGCAAAGAGCGGCCACTCCGGAACGACAGGTGTCGAGTGCAGATACGGAAAGAGGTCGCCATCATCCATAATGTAGATCCTTGGAGACACGACCTTGAAAAGCTCTGGATCGAGCAGCTCTCCCGTTTCAAGATCGGTGGTCTGTTCGACTACTCCCGTTCGAACGAAGCCGACGTCCCAGCTCCCATCGAGAACACCTCTCACGACATCTTCTTGATTATCTGTATAGTCCAGAGCAAACAATGACAAGGTGAGAACCATGGAACGAAGCATTCGTTCGAAGAAACAAAAGACAACGGGTTTCTTGCTTACCTGTGAATGTAACTTGATCAGGATCCATGATGTAATCCAATCCGTTCTTCATCATTACCCAAAATTGAGACTGGCCACCAGCAAATTCAGAAATCTTGACAGCGGCGAGCCGTTTGTTCTTCAAATCTGCAATGTTATTGATCTGTCTGTTGTCTGCAGCAACAAGCATAGTTCCACCGAGGACATCAAGGTCATAATATCGTCCTCGGACCTTGGTGCGAGACAATGTGGTTCCAAGAGGCTGAGCTCCAATCTCGGTACCAGTACACGAGAAGAAGCCAGAGTCAGCATACATCATATCCACGTCTTGATCTTGGTCGATCCACGCAATCAAAGGATAGCGTGTAGGTACCATCTTGAACTCGATGGGAGGGTCCCAGCGTTTTCCAACTGCCTCGGTGAGATAGGTTTCGAAGGTTAGGTTGAAACCTTGGACGGTAGTCTCGATGTCATCGGGGGCATAGATACCGATATGGTAGACCTTCTTTTGTGTAAGCTCGTTGAATTGACGGTAGCCTTGAGCGCAGTCGAGTTGCCCAGTAGGCCACTGTTTTTCAGGGTCCGAGATGGTAACATTGGTGTCGTCTTCTCGTGGTACAAATGATTGGTCTTCATCGTCCCAGTCAATTTGATAGGTAGTTCCATTGAGAGGTGTAATCACATTGTGGGGCGACGGTACATTGATCTCTGCTGGAGGCCCCTGATAATCTGTGGCCCAGTCGTCGATTTTGGTGTTGTTGTCTTGAGGCGTTGTGTTCGCAAGAGTATTGGCAATCGCGATGATTGCAATTTGAAGCCTCATAATGTTTAGTTTCAAAATCATTTCAGAAAGATTTTATGAGGTAAACGCTTTGAGCGTGTCTCTAGCTTGGCACTTCGCAGTCGGGTCCTTCTGGATTGATGCCGATTGTTGGAACCGAACCATCCCCATTCTCTTTCTGTTCTTGTTTCCCAAAGAACCGAATTTTAGTCCGCTAACAGGGGTGTGTCCAATCGCGATTTGACATTAGTGACATCCTCTCGGTCCGACGAAGGGGCAACGCGAATTCCAAGCGCTTTCCACTTGCGAATACCTTTGCAATCATTATTTGTGGCGAGGGAACTGATACCGAATGATATGCCAGTACGCACGAGGTGAAGGCTAAAAACTGCTCAGCCATAATCATGAGAAGAAGTCATGTTGATGTTGCGGTCATTACCACTCCATGGGCTTCGTTTTTGGTTTTTTACAAGGTACTTCAATAGTGCCTATTTTGACTTCCCCGAGTCCACAACTCAAATTTCAAAATTCATCGTTAGGAGGACCGTCGGCAATTGGTTGGAATCTCCCTCATAGATCCTTTGCCTCGCAGCTGGCCATCTTTCGATAATCGTGATAAATAGGTAAATAGGAAATGATTCCACCAGTCGACAGGCCCAGGAGCCTGAAAGTGCAGACAATCTGCTGGGGCAGCATGAGCGTCATGGCGGAGTGCCGTCATATTGAAAATGTCCAGATAGTGATAGATTGGACCCAACCCCTTTCTGTTGTGCTCGAGCAAAACGTATTTCGTGTAATTATTATAACCTTCAAACTTGTCCCAGTCGTGCTGGTGCCCGACTGTGACTTTGTAGTCCTCAAACTTGGCGAGGGGGACAATCCGAGTCCCAACCTTCCAGTCGAATTTTCGAGTTCTTGGCAAGCATCCTTCATGACCGGGACTAGTTGCGCGAAAGATGTACAGATCTTGGGATCGGTTCATATTTGACAAGAGATTCAGCATAACACCCAGATCTTGTCGATAGTGATTCACGTCGTGATAGTGTGCTCCTATATTGAAGACTGCCAACACCCGATCCGCTGGTGAAATGTCGAGAAAGTGACGAACCTCGTGATCAAATTCAATCATCTTTCGTGTTGTATTTGGTCGGACCTTGTCGGCAGAGACCTTCTTGTCAAACACTGGAATTATCCTATCATCAGCACCGTGAACTCCTCCAACTGGACAAATCATGGAACCATTCCGTTGGTTGTCTGGGTTAAGTCGAAAATTGGCATGACCAATTTTATTTGCCAAACCGGTGTACATTGCATCAGTGAGCGAGTCACCAAAGAAGAGTATTCGTTGGACATTCAATTTCTGCAAAACCTTGCAAAACTTGTCCAAAGTCAAAATGTCAACTTGGCAATCTGATTCATGATCGACCCATCTCCAGCTGGTCCTCCAAGGGAATGGAGCATCCTCCGAAGGTTGGAATGCGCCAGCAGTCCTTCTCTGAAAGGGCCCGTCTTTGATGACCAATGGTTTCTCAAATTGCCCATGATCTCTGGCAAAATCAAAGTCTTGAACCCACGATCCATTGATGCCTGATTTCCACAGACAGGCGTCCTGGCACGCATCCGAGTTCTTCCTAATAGCCGATAGTGGAGGCGATTGATCTTTGACCAAAACGCTTGACGACATCGCTTCATCTGCGTGTTTGGACAATGCGGCAGATGATGCCATCACCAATGATATCACTACGGCAATAAATAGGAGCAAACACAAACCCCGGGTCGTGTTGCATTTTCCCATAGAGAATCTGACCAACATATCGTTCGTATGTAGGATTAGACGATTGATTGAATGGCCCGCATGAACTTTGTCGTTTTGTTATTGTATCTTCAATGGCGACCGGTACGGTACCATTGTCATCGCGTCGCCAAAAATATTTTGGACTGAAATAATAACCGCAGCATCTTCAAATCATCTGCAGCGTTGAGTTTTCGGGTTATTATATTTTCGCGTGTCAATTAAAGGGGTCGCATCGATCGATCGCATCGATCAACGATCCCAATAAGTTATTGACAGATGAAGCTCGTATGCTTGGGACAACACATGACACAGTAAAGAAGCAGCATGAGAACTCTCCTTCAAAACAGAGCCTTCAAAGGCATGACGCTCAAGAGCCCTATGGGATGCGACACCTTCGTTGCCTTGTATCCAGCCACACCAAAGGGAACGGTCGTCTTTGGAAAGAACAGCGATCGTCCCGCCGGAGAAGGGCAATCCATTCAAAGATATCTGGGCCAAGAATACTACACTGTTGTTGATGACCAAGAAGAAAGTAGTAGCAGCAGCAGCAGCAGCAGCAAGATGTATAAAGACAAACCCCAATGCCAATGCACCTACATTTCCATTCCACAAGCTCCCAAGACACACTCCGTGCTACTCTCTCAGATCGATTGGATGTTTGGAGCCGAGCATGGAACCAACGAACATGGCGTGGTCATTGGAAATGAAGCGGTTTGGACCAAGGTGGAAGATGAAGACCTAGAAACGAAAAGGCTCTTGGGTATGGATTTGGTGCGATTGGGATTGGAACGTGGATCCACTGCCAAGACTGCCATGAATGTCATCACATCCTTACTGGAGGAACATGGTCAAGGAGGGCCATGTGCAAAAGATGATGATTCGCTTGTTTATCACAATTCGTTCTTGATTGCTGATCCAAGTGAAGCATGGATTGTGGAGACGGCAGGGAGGCATTGGGTCGCCAAGAACATTCAGGAAGGAACAAGAAACATATCCAATACGCTGACAATTCGTACCGATTATGATTTGCACTCGAAAGGATTGAAAGAATATGCACTGCAATCTGGACTACTGAAAACGAACACCAAGGGCAGTACCAATACAGATGTAGAAGAAAAGTTGGATTGGGCAGCATGCTTTGGTGATGGATGTATCGAGGAATGCGAATCCCCTTATTCCCGTCAAACCTGTGGTGGGAAACTACTGGAAAAGTATGATGGTACTCAAAATCTGGACTACAAGGCGATGATGGAGATCTTGCGGAATCATGACGCTGGAATATGCATGCATGGTGGGTTCGAAACGACGGCATCCATGGTCAGCGTTTTGAAGTCTAATGGCGATCACCAACACTGGATGCTGGACAAACCGCATCCTTGTAAACATGAACATGAACTGCAACCTAAAATATGAAATCAAGGAAACAGTACAATCCTACTTGAGAAACAATAGTCTTCCAAAACAAAAGTGGTTATAATAACGATTTTAATACTATGCTACACTATTTTGGCTTCTTTTGATAATAGCCTCGCATTGACCAAAAAGTCGTCATATGCAACAATGGCGTCTTTGATGGAGCTCAGTATTTGCAACTGTGCCACGGTCGTGACCCCTAGCTGTCCTCGAAGTCCTTGCCCAATGACCATGTCGCATTCTCCCCACATGCCAAGTGCCAGGTCAAGATCCGACTTCAGTTTGGAAATCTTCAGATCGTCAATAGTGGTGGAATTGGGAGTCAGTAGTCCATATTCAATCTTATCCACCAAGAATTTTCCAGATGATTGCACCACAGGCAACAGACCGAGAACCTTAATGCCTGCTTCTTCTAACTTTCCAGACATGACCACCTGTTGAATGTCTTCTGCCGCCAATTGTTGAGTGTCCAAGAGTTCGAGTGCTCTCTTGGCGTTAATAGGAGCTTTAATGGGTGGAATGTAGTTCAGGTCGGGTGCATATAACTTGAGCTTTTCGGGGGTTCCAACAAAGGGTAAAATACCGTCGTCGATGGGGACCTTGTAAACGCCAATGCATTCCTTAGACAAATCACCTGGCAAACATGCCGCAGAGGCTGGCTCCGCAATAGTAGTACTCCCACCAAGGAGAGCAGCCAATCCACCGCCAATAAGGAAATCTTGCGTCCATCTTCGACGAGTTATTGGTGTAGCTTCAACAGGTTCTGACGACAATAATTTTTCAGTACGAAACGTGGATGATGATGGATACTGCCCTGCTTGTGCATTCTTGGCGGTGTTAGCGGCATTAGACGATTGCCTGTCATTCAGATTCTGTGGGTTGAAAGCATTCGAGTCTATAAGCAATAGCAGTAGAGAGATGTTTATTAAGAGCAAACGTTGGTTCTTCATTCCAACACTGCTGATGATGATGCAAGATCTT